GATTGGGGAGGCTGGAGAGCAGGGGGGAAGGAGGGTGACCAAAGGCACTGTCGAAGAGGAGGGTCTTGCTTTGGGTCTTGAAGGAGGTAAGGGAGGGGGTGAGGCGGAGGGACTGCGGGATGGAGTTCCAGAGGATGGGGGCAGAGTGACTGAAGGCCCGCCCGCTAATGGTAGGTGTCATGGGGGACGTGAAGCAGTCCGGAGCCCGCTGAGCGGAGGAAGCGAGCAGGTTGGTATGTGGTTTAGGAGGTCGCAGAGGTAGGTTTGAACGAGGCCATGGAGGGCTTTGAAAGTGAGGGCCAGGATCTTGAACTGCAACCTCTGTGTGATGGGAAACCAGTGGAGTCAGGGGAGGTGGAAAATAATTTAAAAATTATCTGTTCACATTTATAAGTAACCAAAGTTAATACAAGTTCTGTTGCCTGTGAAAGTTTTGCTCAACCCATTTTAAATGCTTACATGCAGCTAAACTTATCAGAGGAACCTTTTTTTTCTTGAAAAAAAATTAACTACAGATTTTATATATCAAGTATTTGTGTCTAAATCAGACCCAAAGAATTTAAATTATATTAAATATAGTTAATTCTGGTCTTGTTTGCATATGAATACAGCTTTATCAACTTTTACTATAAAATACAAAGGTTAAAAATAAAGTATTTAAAATTAATCTTCATTTTTTGCAATTTGGGTTTTATAAAGAGCATTCAATAATGATTGCTAATGTACACAATTATTGATGTTATTCAATCTCAATAAAAAGTTGCACCTTAGATTATAAAAGTGATGTTAAACACTGGTGCATTTGAAACTCAAACCAAGTAGCCCATATAAGTATATACATTGTGATATGGGAGAGCTTCCATCAATTATTGAGTCAAGTAAATAGTATCTTCTGCCTACGCTGCTACATCCATTGTTTAATAAGTTATGCTATACTGGCTTTTGCCAAATTAAGTTATATGATCTCTTTAGACTGTAAGAGTGCTTTTAATCAGTCATACTTTGAAAAAAAATCTATTAAAATGGCCATAAAATTGATTAAGGTCATCATTTAAACTTAAGCAAAGTTTACTTAAATTGTCTGATGGTCAAGAGTCTTTCAGGATTCTTTAAAGTAACTACTATATTTATTTAATATTGCACAATTCACAGTATACATTACTAATAGCTGCACTCGTATGATTCATTTTTTAATGAATCATACATTGCTGGTGATTTAAAAGCATTCCACATCTTCTGATACGTAGCACTTTACCTTTGACTATAATATTTAGGTAACAGCTAGCGTGATGCTGCAGTAAATAAAGAAATTGCATTTTTACAGTCCACTTTTAATTAAAATGTCATCTTTATTCATTTCTCAAAGTTGTTCTCTATCAGGTAGAGTAACCATTTATATGCCACATTTTTATTGACCAGTAGTATAGTCCATATCTAATCATCTTTGAACTATTTACATTTACCATTTTGCCTAATGTTCAGACACAATACCCAAACATATTAGATATAATTATAATAATAATCCCTCCAAAAAACAAAAACAATAATAAATTGGTCATTTTCAATCCATGACTGTTTGTGGGACATTGCTGTGCGCAATTGGCTGCCGCGTTTCGCCCACAAAATATACAGTCAATTCACTTTACAGTGTATTCTGTGAAGCGCTTTGGGACGTCCTCCCGACGTGAAAAGTGCTATATCAAATGCAAGGATTATTATTATTACTTCCATTTAATTATAGAGCCTTATCTTGTTTTCGAGACGTCTCAAAGCTCTTCATAGAATATACTGTAAAGTGAATTGACTATATTTTGTGGGTGAAATGCGGCAGCCAATTGCGCACAGCAGTGTCCCACAAACAGTTGTGGATTGAGTGACCAATTTATTATTACCTTTTTAAATTAATCTATGACTCATCTACACAATGGATTGGTCTATTTCTAAACCACTATTTTCTTTTGAATCAATACAGAAGAGTTAAATGTCTTTAAAAATATATACAGAATACTGAACAGAGTATCAGGTAACATGCATTTATATAGCTAATGGCAATATTCTAGTATTTTTACAATTATGCAATATTTCTTGCCCCATCAATTACTCAAATATTACTACATTTATGAGAGAAAAATATTGTATATTTTTTAACTGAAGTAAGTTCAACATGAAAGGCTCCACATAAATATAAATTTGTATTTTTTTTACTTAGACCATATAATTTCCATATTGAATTTATCAACCCAAACACAGTTAACCATCAATGTAGGACAAAGTCCCAGGTTCTTTATAAGTGGAAGGAAGGACCTCGGTATCTTCATAAATTTCCATTGTGAAACATTTATATAGCACATTTCACATTGGAAAGTTGTCTCAAAGCAGTCAACATTACTGACTGGGACCTGAGCTGGGGATTGGTGATGAAGGGTGAACAAAGAGGAAGGTTTTGAGACCGTCCTTGAACAAGGTAAGGAAGGAGCAAGTCGTAGAGACTCTGAATGGAGTTCCAGACAGTGAGGAATAAAGGCTGAAAGCCCACCAGCTGATGATGGGGTGGGTAGAAGGGGAACATGAAGCAAGCAAGTTTCGTATTTTGAGGCAGTTGTTATGACATTTACTTTTCAAATTTCCAAATAAAGCACATGCAATTATTCATCAGGTTTCTAAAGACACTTATACATGTCTTTGTACTGGCTGAATACATCAGGCAGATACTGGAGGTACAGCAGTACATTTTTAGGCTGAGAGTTTCCTAGTCTTATTTACCTTCTGCCCGGATTCACACTTTGTTTCAGATGCCTTGTTATGCGAGTCTTTTCTACATGTGCCATTTTTTCATTTCAGCTGCCTCATAAATGTTTAGTGGTCTTCACACATCCAGAAGGAGAGTGTGCAGCACAGAAAGCAGTTTTTTCACATTGAATATTATTGCTCCATTGGGTGCGGTTTCTTCAATGGGCTCCATTTTCATGTACAAACTAGCCTGCTGAGCACAAGCTATATTGAATGCTCTTTAGTAATTTGCCTTCGGGCACTGGATGCAAGCACTAGGTAGCACATCAATTTCCAACTAGCCGCAGGAATGTTTTAACACCATCGATGGGCTCTGTGTTTGCAAACCCTTCTTCAGGCACCCACAGTGCCCACACAACTGGTCCCCACTGACCATCATCTGTCTTCTTGAAAGTACTACCTTCATCTGGGCACAAAATAACAACAACAAAACTTGCATTTATATAGTGCCCTTCACATGGTGTAGCGTCCCAAAGTGCTTCACAGTGGCAGAGTCTGACAACGAGCCAGGGGGAGAGGGACGGGGGAGCACTCAACATTACAACGTTACTCAACATTTAAGCACGATCAAAAAGGAAGCTTTTTAGGCAGGATTTGAAAGTAGGGAATGAGGGGCCAAGGCAGAGGGATTGAGGGAGAGAGTTCCAAAGTTTCGGGTGTAGTGGCTGAAGGCACGGCCACCGATGGTGGAATCGAAGGCATGAAGGACAAGCAGAACACTGGAGCCAGCCAAGCGGAGGCAGCGGGTGGTGGAGTGAGGGGTAAGCAGGTCGGATAAGTAGGGAGATGTGAGGGCATGACGGAATTTGAAAACAAGTGAGAGGATCTTGAAATCAATCCATTCGATGATTGTGAGCCAGTGGAGCCTGGCAAGGACTGGTGTGTTGGGGGTACGGAGTTCCGTGCAGGTGAATATCCGGTCGGTGGAGTTTTGAATTAATTGGATTTTGTGTATGGTGGAGCTGGGGAGACCAGCGAGCAGGGCATTAGAATAGTCCAGCCGGGAAATGACAAAGGCATGGATGAGGGTTTCAGCTGCATCGGTTGTGAGGTATGGACCGAGGTGGGCAATGTGACGGAGGTGGAAAAAAGCGGTCCTGGTAAGGGGACGGATGTGTGGTAGAAAGGAAAGCTGGGGATCGAACCTGATGCCTAACTTGTGCACAAAATACAATCAACGTATTAAGAAGGCCTCAAACACCGGTGGCCCAACCACTGTCCTTCAGGTATAGAAGGAACCCTATAGCATTCTTGATGGACTGCTAAGTTACACATGTCACAAAACAAGATTACATTGCTATTTTGACATTCTCCATCCATACAACATATATAACAAACAGCATCTTCATCAAATAAAGACTGAGGATCTCCTTAATTATAGTTTTAAAAGTACGATTCGTTCTCTAATTTATTCATCAGGAACTCAAACACATTCTGTGAACTTGCACTAAAGCCATCAGTTTTACACTTTTTATTAATCATTTCCAACCGTGCATAATATTCTTCGTCCATATCATATTCCACTTCACTATTAAGTTCCTCTGGATTTCTCAATGAGTCGGTAATAAGATGAGGGTCGACGAGGACCAGAAGGAGGACGATAATCTACTATTCTAAACCTAGGTTCTGACAATGTGTTTGCTGTCTGTGGTGGAGCTCCACGTGCATTCTGAACAGTGGCTTCCTTCTTTTTCACTTTATTTTTGACCCTTTTAGACTTTAATTGGGGGCGTTCAGTGTTTTCCGTGTTGCTGTGATATTCAACAATTTCTTGGGCAGTCAAATCATCTTCAGAAATTATTTCTAAAGGGTCATAAATACTGATCCTGTGTAGTTGGCCATCATTCTTCATTTCAACCATTCGTTGTGCCTGAGTCAGCATCTCTCTGCTTGGTGAGTGCTTCAGTTTGCATGGTGAAGTTGGATGCCTTGCTGCCCCTTGATGTTACCTCCCTTTCCTTCTCATTGTTAAAATACTGAAATACTGACTGTCCAGCGCCTTGGGATGTCCTCCCAAAGTGAAAGGAGCTTTACAAATGTCATTTTGTTGTTGTTAAAAGGAATATGCCATTTGCACTAGATGCCCAACTTAATACTTAATGCACACTTTATGTCTTAGCTATCATAAACTAATGTAAATACACATGATTATCAAAAATATGACCGTTTTGTTAAAAATTGTAAAAAAGAAATTGAATAATGTTTTGCAGCTTGATCATGCCAGAGTCACGCAAACAGAACTCGTACGGGATTCTATCAGAAAGAAAGAAGAGCTTGCTGACCTCCGCAAGCACCAAGAGGAAGTCACTGAGCAACTCAGCGAAGAGACTAAGGCCAGGGAACAGCTGGCATTGGCACTGCACAAAGCAGAAGGTACACTGACAATAAATATAACACCAACTTGCATTTATATAGCGCCCATCATGCGGGGTAGTGTCCTGGAGCACTTCAATCTTTGCAATGAAAATTATCATAAATTGTTAGCACTGAACTATATTCACAATAATAAAATTATTGTGCCAAGAGGTATTTTCTTAATAATATCTTAAAATTGCTTTAATATTGCTTACCGTAAGAACCAAAATGTTATTTTGAATAATCGGTGCAGGAACAGAAGAAGGCTGTTCAACCCATATTGAGCCTTTTCTGCAGGTTCAGTACATCATGTATAAAAGGCTCAATATGGATTAAACAGGCTCAATATGGTTACCTTTGCCTTTTTTTCTCCAAAGGGTATGGTAAAAAGGTGGGGAAATTTCCATTGAAAGCTGGGCCGAATGGATTCCCCCTGTCCTCTGCATTGAAACTATAAAAATAAAGTTACTTTTTGATGCATTGCAACAAATTTAACACAGTGGGAATTTCGGTGTTGTTGTAAATAATGATTGAAGCATTATGTTTCATTGCGCTTCCTGTGTTTTCATGCCAATTTGTTTTCTTCTCTCCTAAAACCTTTAGATGCTTTCCTATTGTTGAGGAACAGTATCCAGGGACCATTAAAGCCAATTTGATCTTAATGGTCCCTGGAATAAAGTGGTATCCTGTAGTGTATTGTTCAGAGCACTCGCCTTTAAGCGAGAAGATCCGGGTCCGATTCCTGGGCAGGGCGAAACCTTATGCAAGTTTCTTTATTCCACATGCCTCTTTACCTAGTAGTAAGTAGGAACCTGGTTGTTAGTCGATTGGCGAATCGCTTTTTTGGGTTTAATAATCTCTTAAATAATCCTTGCATTTCATGTAGCGTCTTATCATGTCTTCGAGACGTCTCAAACCGCTTCACAGAATATACTGTAAAGTGAGTTGACTGGATATTTTGTAGAAGAAACGCAGCAGCAAATTGCACACAGCAGTGTCCCATAAATAGTCGTGGATTAAGTGACCAAATTATTATTAGCAGTAGTATTTTTTTGAATGGATTATTACCCCCAGAAAAGCGATCCACCTACTTCCTGCTGGGTAAATAGGTGTGGAGTAGGGAAACTTGCCCAACGTTTCGCCCTGCCCAGGAATCAAACCCAGGTCCCCTCACTTGCGAGGTGATTGCTCTAACTACTCAGCTACAGGACTCTTAAAAAGTAATACTTTGGTCATCTCAATGACGTGATAAGGCACTAAATCAAATGCAAGGACTATTATTATGTGGTGCCTTCAATTATGGTCAGGCTTGCTCATATCTACAGTTTTATATTTAACAAATAATATCAAAAGAATGCATAGTAAAATGGCTTAAATTATGTAGGAACCATGATTGTAAAGAAAAAAATATCATGCTATGCAAATCCACTAAGATCAGTTAACTCTGTTTAACGAGATTCAAACCTAGAAGCTTGTGGCTTATGTGGCCTGGTGCTGAATTATTTTATATTATATGGATATCTCCCCTTCATTGCTCAGTTTGTAATGTCTGGAATAGGACTGAACCATACAAACCTGGAAAATGTGTCCTGACTTAGTTGATCACATTCAGGGCATGAGAATTAGCTCCTGTTCTGTTGAGTTGAGGTGGAAAATGTCAGATATTATTCCTCTTCCTGATCCCTATCCAAAAATAGTGTCTAGATAGTCATCAGGAAGAGTATGCATATTGAGTGAAGACCATAGAAAATAGTAACTTTTAATACATTTCGCCCACAAAATATGCAGCACTTTACATATTCTGTGAAGCGCTTTGAGACGTCTCGAAGACGTGATAAAGCATTATATCAAATGCAAAGATTATTATTATTTATTTCCAGGATGTCAAGATTAAAATAAAACCTTTTATTCACATTTGAGAAACAGTTTTTATGTTTGTATTCCAGTGTAGAAACATAATGTCTGTCGTTGAGCACTTATAATGCCAGTTTAAGAAGCGAATAAAATACATTGTATTTATTTAAAAGATTATAAAATACTGAGTTGCCAGTGAGAAATATATTCAAAGTTGGAAGGTGAATATTAATTTTAAACTGCTTCATTTTCTTGAATGAAATTCAGCAATGCACTTTGTGGTAGAATTGAAGATTTGTTTTCCAACTGGGCTGCATGAATAATCTATCACATTTGTGGAAAATAGATTTACAGTGAAAACTCCCCTACAGTTCTGTTGATTATCATAGCAAGTCACTATGGTGATTCACTGTTAATGGGTTACTATAGCATGAAAATTACTTTGTCTGCATACAAATCCTTATCCCTCCAAACTTATCCCTCCAGTTTTGTTACCCAAAGAAGGATACTTTAACCACTGGGCTGCCTGTCGGCAAAACCAGATACAAAACTGAGAATAATTCTACCTATCAAGATCTACCTTAGAAATATTAAAATTTTGTTCATGGTTCAGTGAGTTTAACAAGATTTTTTGTAGTAGTCTATTGTTAGGACAAACTCCTACGAAATTTTGAACCAATTTATACATCCAAGTCTTTTGTAATGTAATCTATATGCATGTGAGCAGTTGTACAAGTTCAGCCACATTTTTGTCTATTAATAGAATGCAGTTTGTGCCCTTTTTTGTACTGATGTAACAGGACCTTTGTGAAAATTATTGTGCTTGATATTTCAAGATTGGGAGGGGGGAATGTGGGGATTGGATCTGTTTTGTTTCACAAGATCAAGGAAAGCATCCAGAATGAGTACCATCTGGCTTGCTGTGCTATAAAAATGCATTTGATATAGAAGGATGTCTTTAGGTAAGTTATCAATGGGAACCTGGTGAAATTGGTTCTCTCCCTGAGGTGAGATCAACTAACTGAGATTAGGAATTAAGATGCAATATGGTGTAGCTAGCTGAGTGTTGTTGTGAATGCTACCTTTGCTCGAGACCATGAGTATTAATTACTTCTTGAGGCTTGATATGGGCAAACGTCCCAAATTGTTTTCATTCCACTCAATATTCACATAAGATAACATAATTTCCATAGTAAAAAATTTGGTATAGAGTCTTAACAAGTCGGAAGGACATCTCTACTACAACAACAACAACAAGATTTCATGTATAGAGCGCCTTTCACGTCGGGATGACGTCCCAAGGCGCTGGACAGTTGGGTCAGGACCTGAGCAGGGGGGAAATGGTCAGGGAGAGGGAAGGGAGGGAGCGAGGAGGGGGTAGAGAGTCGAGAGGGGAGCTGAAGGCTGAAGGTCAAAGAGAAAGGTCTTGAGACCGGCCTTGAAGGAGGAAAGGGAGGAAGCGGCGAAGGCACTGGGGATAGAGTTCCAGAGCCTCGGGGCTGAGAGGCTGAAGGCCCGGCCACCGATGGTAGAGCGGTTGGGGCGGGGGATGTGGAGCAGACCGGAGCCAGAGGAACGGAGGGTACGGGCAGGTAAGTAGGGGGATAGTAGGTCGGAGAGGTAGGAGGGAGCAAGGCCGTGAATGGCCTTGTAGGTGAGGATGAGGATCTTGAATTCGATCCTCTGGGGGATGGGGAGCCAGTGGAGGCGAGCGAGGGTGGGAGACATCTCTAAGTGCTTCTCAGGATTTACTGTGAAATGGAGTGACTGTGTATTTGTAGGTGAGCGCAGCAGTACAATTATGCACAGCAATGAGCCAGAAACAGTCATCAAACAAATGACCATAGAATCTTTAATGAATAGTGCCATAGAATCTTTAACGTCCACTTGAATAGGCAGGTGGGACCTTAGTTTATCTTCAAAGGATGTCATCTCTGACAATGCAAACACCCCCAGCACCTCATCAAAGTGTCAGCCTAGACTGTGAGTTTGAAGTTCCGACATAAGGCTTGAACCCACAACCTTCTCACCCAGAGCAAGAGTACTACCACTGAGCTAAACTGACAGATCATAGTAGGATATATATAAGTATAAATTATGAAAACAGTAATTTGAACTTTTGTAGATAATAGAATGAAATATAAAAGGGATGATCTATCCCCACCTAAAATATACTGACGTTCTGAAAATAATACAATATATTGTATCAAGTCTGGGTCATATTGCAAAGTTTAGTCATAACCTTTAAAATTTCACAATATGTTTGCGTGTGATTCCTTTGCATGAATGCCTGACAAGTTTAATTCCTTGAGGCTCTTATGTCATGCTTTGGAAGTAAGAATTGTGTGCTGATTGAATGGTCATATCTATTATGTAGCTATGTCAATCTTTAGCTGGCTCTGGCCTCCTAAATAATAATCCTTGCATTTGATATAGCGCTTTTCACTTCGGGAGGATGTCCCAAAGCGCTTCACAGAACACACTGTAAAGTGAATTGACTGTATATTTGTGGGCGAACGCGGCAGCCAATTGCGCACAGCAATGTCCCACAAACAGTCGTAGATTGAAAATGACCAATTTATTATTGTTTTTGATTTTGGAGGGATTATTATTAGGAGTGTGGAGTAAGGAAACTTGCCCAAGGTTTCGCCCTGCCGGGAATTGAACTCAGGTCTCTCGCTTGCAAAGCGAGTGCTCTAACCACTGAGCTACAGGACTCCTGAACTTCCTTTAACCCCTCTGCTCCACCAGCTGTGCATTTACATATTAAACCCCGAGACTATAGATCTCTGTCTCCAACCCTATCTGAAGAACGTTTTTTTGACCATGCCTATGGTCATCCTCCCTCTCTCCTGGATGCTGACCCATGTGAAGGGAGCTATATCAATGTAAATTTCTGTTGTCTGGATTGTCATTGACTAAATTCGTTTGTGAAGTCCTTTTTCAAGTATTTTTTGCAGAGAGAATCCTATTTTCACAAAATTTGCATTTCTACTTTTTCTTATAAAATGTTAAGTATTTAAAATGAACTGTTCTCTTTTCCCCCCCTCTGAGCATATTTGATTTGTTTAGCTTATTATTATCCAACAATTTTATTTTGACTCATTAAATGCGCGTTTCAGGCCTTATTGATGGTTACACAGACGAGAAAGCTAAATTGGAGGAGCAGTTTCGAGAGAAAGCTGAGATTCAACATCAGCTTGAACAGGAGCTCCAGCACACAAGCAGCCGTCTGCATGAGCTGGAAGAAGAGAGACAACAGCTTCAGCAAGAGAGGGAGTTGATCACAAGGCAACAAGATGCGATGAAGGAAAGTGCTGGAACTGTGGAGCTCCGTACGTATTAACCTGTTAAATTAACCAAGGTGGCTTTTCATTGCCATTTTGAGAATATATTTTAATATACGCTTTTAATATACTTGGGGAGGACAAGTTTGCAGTGCTATGGGGAGAGAGCGGGGGAGTGGGATTGATTTGGATAGCTCTTTTCAAAGAGCCGGCACAGAAACAATGGGCTGATTGGCCTCCTTCTACGCTGTATAATTCTATGATTCTATGATACAGTATATATAACTCAACTCTGACTACCTTACATTTTTCTCTCCTTTGACCAATTTACATTTTTAACTTCCTTGTGTTTCGCTTGTTATGGTAATACAGCATTCTCCATCTCAATATATTTCAGTTCTGGTGAAGTTGCACTCTCTAAATGATAACCTACCTTTCCCTTTCAGTTGCTTTGTTATAAGTTACATTTTCGGCTCCTGCTACCAGAATAATTCCAGCATTATTCATGTATTCTGTATTCCTAAAGTTTCTCTAACTATGTTGGCTTCAGTTGGTCTCTGTTCATAAGTGACTTGGTTTAGCTCTGAAGGAATTTACTGAAACTGTTACAACAAAGCAATGTGTGCCTTATAGGTTCCAAAATTTGCAGTGCAAAGGGTTTTTATTTCTCTGGCCGTATTAAGTAATAATAATAATAATCCTTGCATTTGATATTTAGAGTACTCCATGACTCTAAAATCTGATAATTTGTGGAGGATTTTTAGCTTGCGAAAGAACACCAAAGGACACATGGTTTCTAGGTTATTGACACAGAGGATACAGTTCAAGATCCTGGTCCTCACTTTCAAAACCCTCTGTGGCCTTGCTCCACCCTAACTCTGAGACCTCCTAACTCTCTACCAACCTGCCTGCTCCCTCCACTCAGTGGGCTCTGGTCTGCTTCAGGTTCACCATTGGCGAGTGGGTCTTCAGCCATCCTGCCCCCACCCTCTGGAACTCCATCCCGCAGTCCCTCTGCCTCGCCCTCTCCCTTGCCTCCTTCAAGACCCATCTCAAGACCCTCCTCTTCAACTGTGACTTCACTCACCCTCCTTCCTCTCCTGCCCTCCACCCTCCCCCGATCCCAACCCTCAGCTCGGGTCCAAAACACTGATTGTCCAGCGCCTTGGGACGTCCTCCCGACATGAAAGATACTATACAAATGTAATTTTGTTGTTGTTATTGTTGTCCTGTAAAGTATATCCTGAGTAACACCATGCCAGTTACTCCATAAGGATAAGCATCACTCTAGAATTAATTTGAGAAATGAATCAACAAAAGAACAAAGCCACTGACCTACAAACTCTGATCAGAGAAGTGCTTTCAGAAAGGGAACAGCCACGTGTGATCTTAAATAATAACTAATCCTTATAATGGAGATATAGCATCTTCTGGAGGATAACTCTTAAGCGCTTTCCAGGATTTACTGTAAATAATTTTCTAAGCAAACAGAAAGTCATCTGAAGTATGACTTTCTGTTTGCTCAGAAAGTATCTAAAATAGCTTAAGTGTTCAGGTTTGAATTATTAACAAATTGTTCTTCTAAAATGTCTCTTGTTAAAATTTGTCAAATCTTTTGGGAGCTTTTCTTATACTAAGATGTGCACATAATTCACATAAGCAAACTGTCATTTTATGAACTAGATCTTGCCTTTTCAGGTAAAGCAAACCTTTCAGTATAGCATCCTCTTACTAGATCTGAGAACTTGATCCATGGTATTGTGTATTATTATGTGGTCTCACGATACGCCCCTGTCTGTTCAAAAAACTGAATTAGTTTAAATCCCGACAGGTTTTAGCCTATAAAAGCAAGATGAGTTAAACAATGAGTTAAGAAGATTAAACAATTGAAATAAATAATACATGAGCAAATAATAAGGTAACCAGGATAATTGAAGAGTATTCACTTGGAATAATATGAAAGTTCAAACAACTTTGAAGAATTACATCCTTGTACAAAGTCTCTGAGCCACAGTACAACAACAACAACAAAATTACATTTATAGAGCATCCTTCATGTCCCAAGGTGCTGGACAGTCAGGGGTCAGGACCTGAGGATGGGGGAGGGGTGGGGTGATGGAAGACAGAGAGGTGAGAGGGTGATTGAAGGCACGATCGAAGAGGAGGGTCTTGAGACCGGCCTTGAAGGAGGCAAGGGAGGAAGCGAGGCAAAGGGACCGTGGGATGGAGTTCCAGAGTGTGGGGGCAGAGAGGCTGAAAGCTCGGCCACCGATGGTAGGGCGGGTCAGGCGGGAGACATGGAGTAGGCCAGAGCCCGCTGAACGGAGGGAGCGGGCAGTCGGTAGGGAGTCAGCAGGTCAGAGAGGTAGGAGGGGGCAAGGCCAAGGATGGCCTTGAAAGTGAGGACAAGGATCTTGAATTCGATCCTCTGAGGGATGGGGAGCCAATGGAGTCGGGCGAGGGTGGGAGTGATGGGGTCAAGGAGCCTGGTGTGCGAGAGTACACGCGCTGCAGAGTTTTGGATGATCTGCAGCTTGTGAAGGGAAGAGTTGGGAAGGCCGATGAGGAGGGAGTTTCCATAATAGAGCCTTGATGTGACGAATGCGTGGGTGAGGGTTTTGGCAGCCTGAGGGGTGAGGCAGTGGCGGAGTCTGGCAATGTTGTGGAGGTGGTGGTAGGCAGTGATGGTCATGGCGCGGATGTGGGGGAGAAAGGACAGTTCAGGGTCAAACAAGACACCCAGGTTCCTGACTGGCTTAGTGAGGTTGAGTGTGCAGCCGTGGAGGCTGATGCTGCCAGTGCCCGAGGTGCGTAGGCGCTGGCGTGAGCCAATCAGGAGGGCCTCGGTCTTGCTGACGTTGAGTTGGAGAAATTTGCCCCTCGTCCAGGACTTGATGTCAGACAGGCAGTCGGTCAGGACGCCAGTAGTCCTGGAGTTGAGGGTGGAGGCAGAGAGGTAGAGTTGAGTGTCATCCACATACATGTGGAAATTTTCCCCATGTCTGCGGATGATGTCATCAAGGGGGAGCATGTAGAGGGTGAAGGGGAGGGGACCAAGGACAGAGCCCCGAGGAACACCGCACGAGACGGTGCAGGGGATGGAGGAGAAACCGTTTGCTGAGAAAAAGTGGAGGCGGTGTGAAAGTTAGGATCTGAACCAGTCAAGGACAGAACCTTGGAGGTTGAGGTGGGAGGAGAGGCGGTGAAAGAGAATTAAATGGTCCACAGTGTGAAAAGCGGCGGAGAGGTCGAGGAGGATGAGGAGGCAGAGGGAGCCCTGGTCGCATATGGTGGATGTCATTTCTGACCTTGACCAGAGCAGTTTCCGTTATAATATTTTACCTGGGTTCAACCATTTCAACCTAGTGGGACGTTCTTTCCAGCTGAATACACAAAAGAATGAGATAAAATTCTTTCATAAAAGTGTACTTTGGTTTTAGACCCGAGTATTCTAAACTTCAGGTGGCTAATGTGTAAAAAATTTTATCCACAAACTATGATACAGTCTCTAAAGAATGTTAGCTTTATATTTATAAGCCAGTTTTGAATGGTCTGTTAAAACTAGAACTTCCTCTCTGCAACCAAAGATGTTAACCACTGAGACTACAAATCAGCAGCCCATATTATGAGTACAGAAGCTTTAGTATTTGAATAATAATAAACTTGCATTTGATATAACGCTGTATCACATCTTCGAGAGTCTCAAAGCACATCACAGAATATATTGTAAAGTGACTCGACTGTTTAATAACCCTTACTGTGAGAGTTAATGAAAATTTAACGCTGCTATAATAATGCGATTTTTTGTTTCATGTACAGCATTCACTACATATTTGGAATATTAATGTTGCTTGGCTCTAAAAATCTAATCATAATTTCTTATGCATACTTGAGAATCAAATATCGGATGTTATTTAAATACATTATAAGTGTTGCATTCTAAGAAGGCTGTTTTAATATTCATTTATTTTATGTATTTATTTTAAGAAATTAAAAAGAGGCCTTATTTGTATGAATATTCTGTGGAAGTCAGACATTGTGCAAGCCGTTCATGATCCCAAATCAACACAAAGGCTTGATAATTTTGTTGAAACTAAAAGAGAAAATCTCCCTCAAACTGATTGATTTGAGCACTAAGGACTGGTGAAAGCTTTAACTTCCATGAAAAATCTGGAGAAAACAGTACATTAAAATTCTGTGGAATTTATTACATTTTGAAATATCATTTAATTTGGTTGCTATTTTAGATTGGTTTCTACCTGGTAGTCGAGAGGTATTATAAAATATCAATGTTCTATCAAAAACAAGTAATTTTGTGAAATATGTCAATTGTCGAAATCAGTTGTTCATTAAATAGTTTAATGCTCATGCTTAATATTGCATGCTGAATATAACTTTTCATGTTATAATACATTATTATACAGCATTCTTCTGCTATACTTTTTTCTGTATAGCTCACCATGTTGTAAGTTAAAGAAGCTTTGTAGATGGCATATGAATTATTGTGCCTTTTTGTTCTCCTAGGCCTAGTTGAAGCTGCAGGTGCAGCACCAGAAGCAGGTGTGTTTGTATATTGCATGGCCAAGTTGCATAGTTTGGAGATTGGAGATTTATTAATTTTGATCCTTTTTCACTGGACTCTTGCTACTTTGGCTAACTGATCGCTACTAATCTGTATCTTTTGCAATAAATAACACAATTACAATAGATTTTGATTTGCTGATAGATGCTCTATAATAAATTGAAAGGCGTGATGCTATACTAACCAATCAATTCCCTGAGCTTCTGAGAGAACTAATTGCCTTTAATTCATAGGTTCTTAAGGATCAATATCAGGCATTTTAATGGATGAAGACAAATAATTGTCGCAACGGATATTTTAAAGGAACCTTATCTTCTCATTATTTTTTGATTCTCTGAATGATTTAAACACAACATCCACAAGATGCTAAGGAACTTCTTGAATACATTGAATTTGTTTTACCAACATTTTAACATTGGCATGTAAAATTATAAACACCTAAACAGCCTCTAAATGGGAATCCTGATTATCCACCATAGTGGAGGCTCCCTTCTCCCGGTCAATAATTGAGATTCATGGATAATCAAAGTTGCACTCTGTAACAGGTGAGCATTATCATTATATAGGATAATTGAATTTTATAAATTAAAATCTAAAAAGAAATAGTGGCATAGGACTACTATTCTTGGCAACCATTTTTCAGGCACCATAGAATATTTAGTATCCCATTCCCCATGATCTAGTCGGTAAAAGTACTGCCTGGAGAACATGAAACTATATGGGTCACTAAAGTCGTAGATTCAAATCTTCATCTGAGCTGATTTGGTTGATGTGTCTGGTTCAGTTAGTGACTCTACGTTAAGGAGGGGCAAATAAGACAGATAAGTCTTTTGCTCTGATCACAATCCAAACATCCAGACACTTGCTGGAAGGTGCAAGTGTGTAGATATTGGGTGGGGATAGGATACGCCATGGCTAAACTGCTCGCAACAGTCAAATAACTTGTTGACAATCACCGGCATGGATCTTATATGGATAATGGCCATTTAGACGAAGTATAAGAGAACATTCAGTGTTAGTGAAATATAACCCAACGGAAGGAAGAAAAGGAGTCTACTCTTTAAAAACAATATATATAATATGGGATATATATAAATATTTAATATAAGCTATAAATAGGTCAAGGAACTTCATGGGTAATTGTTGCCTATATGTAGTAGCCATGCTATACTCAACAGGTTTCCACATACAGCCATGAAGTGAATTACCATTTTATTTGGCAAATGGTTGCCAGGACACAGAGAGAAACTTCCTTCAAAGGATCCTCTTTAACATTCACCTGAATGGGCAGGCAAAAGTTCAGTTTAAGATTTCATCTCTGACAATACGGCACCCCTCAGTGTTGCACTGAAGTTTCAGCCTAGATTATGAGCTCAAGTCCATTGTGGGGCTTGAAATCTCAACATTTTGACTCAAATGCTACCACCTTAGTGAAGCTTCATGAGAAGGAGGAAGGCAACTGGAGGAGAAAAACTATTGGGAAACAAAAGAAAATAATCCAATGTAATAGTGCTAAAATATAATGGGTAATTCTAACTGATGCATATTGTGAGTCTAACTTACATGGATACTATTTGTTCAAATTTCTTCCACTGTTCTAACAGTTTGATTATATAAAATGCTTTGCCGTGGTTGTGGTTCTTTATCTTGCTGCAGAAGCAGGTGATGGGGGAGTAAAAGGAAAACTGCTGGAAATGCTATTTACAGGATTGAGCACCTTGGGAGTGGTTGCACAGTTTGTCTTCTTACTGTAAACATGACACTTGATGCTTTTTTTCTAATGGCATTCAGAACTTCTGGAGGAAACGGAAAAGCTCATGAAGGAGAAACGGGAAGTGCAGCGTCAGGCAGAGAAAGAACAAGGCGACTTTGCAAAGCAAGTGAAGATGCTGGAAAGTGAGTTAGAGGAGCAGGTGAACAAAAGCATAGAATTGGAACAGGAGAAGAAAGTTGAGATTCTAGACCTGCAGCAGCAAATTGTTGCTCTGGAAAAACAACTGGAGAAGAACCGGAAATTCCTGGATGTATGTATTGTCTAGCTTTTTGTGGATTCAGACTGCTAATTGATGCCAGTGAAAATCAGTACAGTATCTACCATGTTTTTTTGAGTACAATATGTTCACATTTTTAACTTGGTGGTTTAATAAGTTCTGAATAATTGGCATTGATGTATCGTTTTTCACATCAGGAGGATGTTTCAAAGGACAGGATGGATAGGGGTGGGGGTAGATACCCAGAAGCATGGTGGAAAAGTCTTACGGTGGGTTTTGAAGGTGGGCCAGAAGGAGCAAGATAAAGAGATTCCAGGATAGAGTTCCAGAGAGTGGGGCAGAATGGCTGGAGGTCTCCCCACCACTGATGGGGGAGAGCCAGTGAGAGACATGATGCAGGATGGTGTTTAGTGAGTGGAGCAAGTAGCCGGAACAGTGTCACTAAGAGGGAGCATATAGATTGTGAAAAGGATCGAAGATACAACCCTGAGAAACCCTGCATATGACTGTGTGAGTGGAAGGAGAAGTGATTGGAAGATACAAAATGAAGATGGTGGGATATGTAAGAGTGAAACGAGGAAAGGACAGAACTTTGGAGGTGGTACAGAGAGGAGAGATGGAGGAGAATGATAGAGTGATCATCAGTGTTCAAGGCAGCAAAGAGGTTCAGGAGAACAAAAGGAAACTTGTTCACAGATGGAGAGAATGCTGATGAAATTTTCTAAATAATACACCTGTTTTGTTCCACTCAGGAGCAAGCAATCGATCGAGAACAGGAGAGAGATGTGTTTCAGCACGAGATTCAGAAATTAGAGCAACAACTGAAGACTCCACAAAGGCTCCAACCTATTACTGATCAACGAAATAGAGAAGTAAGTTTAGAAATAAAACTCACCATTTTTTCCATAGATTCAAGGGTAGTAATTGGAGATTTCAAATGTATTACTGCTGCAGTGTTTGGTAGTCTTTCTTTTTTTCCTACTCACTTCTACACTTATCACCATCTACTTCATTCCAGTCATAAGATGCCCAAGGATTCTTGACAGTTCTTTCACCTTACAGGTTGTTTTTGCTAAACTACGTGGCTTTTGTTCACTTCATGGCTTTTCTTTCTGCAGAGGCTTTTCCTAGTTGTTCATCATCGCTTTTTGTAAACTTAGTGGTTTTGTTTTGCACATGAAAATCATTCCAATGTAATTAGGGCATTTGTTTTGTAAGCATTGCTTAGAACACACGTTAAGAACTTTATTTTAGCTTTTCTGTTTTAGTGCTAGACATCCCTCCAATATCATATTGTAAGATGCATTATATATCTTCAACTCCTACTCCATCGGAAACAATGTTGTACTTGCGTGGATTTTAATTCACAAGCTTGAAATTTCTTCCAGACCACTCCTTAAAAGAAGCTATCTTCAAATAATCTAAGTGTTCAACACTACTCTTTCAAGGAGCATTTTATCTTTGTCTTTTTTAAAAGATGCTTTGTGGCATCTGCAGAAATGTTCTTATCCAGCGCACTCCGCTAAGGAGTGTAGTGAAAAAAAGCAGTTGAAATCATCGGATGACTCTCCCCTCATTAGGACCTAGTGTTAGAGTCTTTTGTTATGGTGAAGATGATCATATCGACTATTATTCCTTTACAGAGTACTTTTATGGTGGAAAGAATTGGCATTGGAGCATTACTGTATTCTTCCCACTTAACCCTGCAAGCCAGAGGCCAAACCTTTAGCGTGGTCCTAGCTGGACAAGCAGCCATTTTTAACATAATCGCTTTCATCATCCAGTTTAATTGTTTTCATGTTTCTCCAAACATATCTGTTGAAGGACAAATATTTAGGCCATACTGAGAAAAAAATGCAATTTTCATTGTTTTGTTTCTCCATTTTTTATTTTCCATTTAATTTAATAAATTTCAGTTTAGCCAAGAATTAAAATAAAATAAATTTGAAATCTCTTGCCTTCTCATTGATTTTGTATTCTTGCAGATTGCACATTTGTCAGATCAGTTGAAAGACAAGACTGATAGGTGCAGTGAACTTTTGCTTGCTAAAGAACAACTTCAGAGGGATGTACAAGAACGCAATGAAGAAATGGAGAAACTGGAAAACCGCATTAGAGAACTGGAGCAAGCACTTATCATTAGCACTGATCCTATACAGAAGGTAAATTGCTGTGCTAATTGTGAAGTGGAGGTGAGCGGGTAGCCGTGTTGTTTTGATGCTCAATAATTGTTTTCAGATTTGTTAGTGGGGCAGGTTCAAATTTTACTCTTTATTGGTGCTCAAGACTCCTTTAATCCATTGGTGAGTTTATTGGTATTAAACTACGTTTCTATATAAAACAGTTGTCCCTATCTATTGGAGTAAAACAGGCTGAATGGTTTATTTTATTGTAGCAATAATAACCCTTACATATGATATAGCACTTTTCATGTCGGGTGGAAAGTGTAATCAATGTATTTTGTAGGTAAATGCTTAATGAAATATCTACAGCTTAGAATGTGGATTCCCTGAAAACAAACAAAAAAGTACACCTAGAAAACAATTGTCACATCAGTGTTTCTTACCTTCAGTGGGGAAAAAAATCAAGTTATGATTAATTTGTACCAACAGTTTTGAATATCAGCAGTTTGACAAAATCTTTCATAGTATGTGCTAAGTTATGAAGCTTACAGATACAAATTGCACCTAGTTTCTCGTGAATAAATGTTTTCCATTATCTTATTGCAATTATAAAGGTTGAAGAAAGAAAACCATTTGCAACCATACAAGTCAAAGGAGGCAAAAATCTTGAAACACAACTTCAAGCAGAACGTGAGGCTTTGGAACGAAAAGCGAAAGAGGTATATTTAACACCTTTGATAATTAGTCGCCTAAATGTCTTCAAAATAGTGGATACCATTACCATTTGATGCAAACCACTTCTAAAGAGTTTCCCATCTTATGGTTAACCAGTAAAGTTATATGTGTGGCTATTTAATGTTTCTTCACAGGTTGCTCCATTTGTTCATCCTGAGCTTTTTTCCCTCACCGACCCCTGGATTCCCCAATACTCTACTTCCTCCCACATTATTGCATCTAAACCTTATCTTCTTTACTCGTCTACCAACCCTATCCTGTCTTTTGCTGATGATTCCACTTTGCCTTCATCGGTTTCCTTCATATCAACCACCAATGTACACAGTCTTCACTTTTCTTGTAAGGCAGTGGCTGAATCACTAAACTCTAATTAACCCATTCCCTTTGGGTCAGTTAGTTTATTTAGTTCTCAAAGGCACAGTTCTTCCTTCTTCCAAATCTAGCCAATAATAATAGTAATCTTTGCATTTGATATAGCACCTTATCACATCATCACAATGTGTCAAATGCTTCACAGGAATTGTTGTAAAGTTTAAGGACTGGTTATTTTGTAGGCAAACAACAGCTAGTACGTTCCATACATTTGACAATTCTAAAACCTCCATCTAATTTGAATTATTGGTTGGAATATGTCTTCTGATCACAATTGGACTTCTCACATTTCCTTTGCCAAAGCAGGAATTTCAGTTTTCTCTTTTAAATCTTTCAAAGATTTATTTTCCCTTGAATACCCCAGTTTTCTATAAAGCCCAATTCCATCCAGTTTGACTGATACTCCAAATACAGTATAACAACAATAAATTGCATTAATATAGAGCTTTTCACATTGGGAGAACGTCCCAAGGCGCTGAACAGTGAAGGGTTTGCACCCAAGCTCTGGATTGGGATCAGAGAGGGGTGGAGGAGGGAAGATGATCAAAGGCACGGTTGAAAAGGAAGGTCTTGATTCAGGCCTTAAAGGAGAAAATAGAGACTAATATGTTCTTACGCCCCTAAAATTACTAACATAATTTTCTTTGTGAGATCAGAATTCAGAAAAGAAGAATTTGGCTACACATTATGAGTACTTTTGGCACAAATCAGAAGTTGAAATGTAGTTTGATAATGCTTGTGTTTTGCTTATTTCCTTGTTTTGTGAAAAAAAATTGCCTCCACATGGTAAGTGACATTTGTAGTGACGATGATAAGTGTGGCTGTGCACAATTGGCTGCCGCGTTTCGCCCACAAAATATACAGTCAATTCACTTTACAGTATATTCTGTGAAGTGCTTTGAGACGTCTAGAAGACGTGATAAGGTGCTATATCAAATGCAAGGATTATTATCACATGATCTTAGTTTTTTTTTGCAGGTTTCTTACTGTTTCCCTGGATCTGTTTTGCTTTCATTCATTTCACTACATTTGAAAGATGTGACCCACCCTACCCAATTGTGAAATTCTAAGAAACATGCCGTTCCTTTCAGACTATTGTTTCCTTTTCAGCTGACATGCCAGAGGCTTTTCCTTTCTGTCAAGTCACTGTTATCAACCTTGCTGTTGGAGAAGTTTCCTTTATGTACTGTGCCTCTTGGTTTCATGTTTTTACTTTTAGAGTGTCTGATATCTTGGCTTTGACTATTGTTTCAATTATCGAGGTAGGTTTCTGCTGCCAGTGTTTCCCACCCACTGCTTTTGGTGCCTTTCCCCAACCCATGCAATTTGCTTAAATATGTCAAAGGGAGAGTAAAATTAATATCATCGCACAAACAGATGGTCCAGACTGGGTCAGCTTACAAAAGGTAGCTACCCAAGTTAGGACAGAGAGATAAATCAGAGCCCAGGCCCTCACAGCTGAGAGTCCCTATTATGTATTTGTAAACCCACATTTCTCTGATAAAGGAAATCACACCTGTTATTAATAATTAATAATATTTACCATTAATAAAATAATAATATTCATTGAATTTGATATAGCGCCTTATTACGTCCTCGAGACGTCTTGAAGCGCTTCACAGAATATACTGTAAAGTGAATTGTCTGTATATTTTGTGAGTGTGCAGACTGGAGAAAATGTTTGTTGCTTGTTAGATCTAAAAATATATAATAATATAATATATAATAATAATCCTTGCATTTGATATAGCGCTTTTTCACATCTTCTCGATGTCTCAAAGCTCTTCACAGAATAGACTAAAGTGAATTGACCGTATATTTGTGGGCGAAAAATGAGAAGTAAAGAAAATGCAATAATGGTTTTAATACGTTATAAATATTTATATCTGAAGAATCAGCTCATATAAATTGTTTTGAAAAAAGGTCCCCGAATCTGTCAACTGTTCCCAAATGACTTTGGTATAATTTCATCCTTGATAACTCATGGTAGTTGCCTATTTGTGAAAAAATAAACATGCAGGTCAGAGAAGCAGTGCTCTACTAATTCCTGGGTTTTTCTGATGACAGATTTCAAACCTGGAAGAACAGTTGGAGCAGTTCAGAGAAGAACTGTTAAACAAACATGAAGAAGTTCAGCAGTTGCACATGCAGCTAGAAATTCAAAGAAAAGAATCTGGTACTCGGCTGCAAGAGGCTCAGCAAGAACACAGCCGGCTTCAGGTTAGTGTGTGCTTGCACTGCATTCATTAACTCTTGTGTAAATGTACTTTATTCTTAACCCTCCTTCCTGTTCAAAATTGAATTGAGAGTTGTGTTGTTTGTGCTGTTTGATCAAGTAAACATCAATGTATAATATTCTGCATTCTTGGTATCGGTTGTCACAGCTCAGTAGTTCCATCACATTTTAACTCCTAATGATTATAATGAACTTTCCACTACATTCAACCATAGAGTAAGCAGCCTTTGTTTAATTGATTGAAGGTCAAGACTGGCTTGCACTTTAATCAGGTCCCCTTTCCCCTGTTTTATGATTGAACACTCTGGGACATTCATTTATACCCAAAGAGGTATTGTGGAGATTGGCAATTAAAGATTCAGTCTATTTTATAACACAATGATGCATCTTGTTTGACCCTTTAAGATTTTGTTCCAAGGTATTTTTTAACATTTATTTTGTGAGGTCTAAATGTCTGTCTGCAAATCAGTCATACTGGTTCCCACTGGATCTGCACAGAAAGTAAGAAGGTGGCAGTATTTCAGCAGCTTTGAAAAATTATGTAAAATTCTTCCATTTTAAGGTATTGAAAAGCTGACAAAGAAAATCACCTCAAAATTTTTCGTAATCTCTTAGCGTTACTTTGCCTTCTCGTAAACGTTATTTAACATTTAGAATATTTAAAGGCTTGGGGTAAAAACACTGAGTAAAAACATGGTCAACGTGGTGGATGGTGTGTAAGGCACTTGAGTTATTCTTAATCTCATTCAGTGTACAAATCTCCCCCATTCTCGCCCGACTCCATTGGCTCCCTATCCTTCAGAGGATCCAGTTCAAGATCCTGGTCCTCACCTACAAAGCCCTCCATGACCTCGCCCCCACCCTATCTCTGTGACCTCCTAACCTTCTACCAACCCGCCGGTTCCCTCCGCTCAGCCGGCTCAGGCCTGCTCCACGTCCCCCAACCCACCCGTCCCACCATTGGCGGGAGAGCCTTCAGCCACTCTGCCCCCAACCTCTGGAATTCCATCCCCCAATCACTCTGCCTCAGCCTCTCCTTCGCCTCCTTCAAGTCCCGCCTCAAAACCCTCCTCTTCGACCATGCTATCGGCCACCCCCCCTTCCCCTCCCCTCCCTTCCCCCCTGACCCCAGCTCGGGTCTGAAATGCTGTACACTGTCCAGCACCTTGGGACGTCCTCCCGACGTGAAAGACCCTATACAAATGTAATCTTGTTGTTGTATTCAATTTTACATGTTTAAAGTCCACACATCACATGTACAACCATGCATATAGTTGTGAAATATTTCTTCTTTAATTAGAACTGTTCTTAAACCGTCCTCTTCTTTTACTCACCAGAATGAAGTGGAAAGCTTACAACAGTCTGTGCACGACTCCAGTGAATCATCTGGTGATGGTTACCGTTCATCAGCTAGGAGGTTGTCTCAGACTCTCAAGGAAAAGGACCAAGAAATAGAACATCTCAATGAGCAGCTTATAAAGTTACAGCAACAGCTTCATATCACTTCTCACAATAAGGTCAGCAAAACAAGCCAGAATTCCCAAACCTTATCACTTTTCAGCAACTGCTGCTGTTTGTGCAGACATTGTGTAAAGACAGAGTGAGCTTGGCAATGATATTGCCCCTTTGGTCCAACAGATTGCCAGTGTTCACACTTTCACACCCAGTTGGGTGAGGGCTTATTTTAGTCAGCCGAGTATGACATGCGGAAACCCATCATCGTGTTTAAGAGTATCCAAATTAGACTGGGAGTTCCATGTATGCCGCCTACACATAGAAATTTTTCTGCATCTGGGGAATGGGATGCACTCTCCCTCTCTGATGGGACACACCCAAAGAGTGCAGGTTTGAAAGAGCCAAGGGTGAGGCTCTGTCTTTCACAAACCACTTTTTGAAAAGGAGAAAATCTGACAGACAATTAAAAAAAAACAAGAAATTAGAAGGGGTTGCATTACTTTCAACTTAATATAAGTTCATATCAGGAAATTTACCAATATTTTTCATCCTTTTTAGGTAATTGAGGGAAAAGATACCCACATCCGGGAGTTGGAAGCACAAATTGAATGTCTTAAGAGTGACCAAGTGTGTCTGAAGAAGAGTAATGAAGAAGAGGTTGAACAGTTAAATGATGTGATAGAAAAACTGCAGCAAGAGCTAACTAAAATCATTCCTGCTCCTGAGGATGCAGAAAATTTCAAAGCTCAGCTTTGTGTGATAACAGGAGAAAAAGCAAAGCTGCAGCAGCAAATGGACAAGGGAAATGAGGACATGCATCACACACAGAAGGAGCTAGAAGAACTAAAGTGTGAAATGTTGCAAACAACTCAAGAACTGCAGTTGATGAAGACTGAGCACAGCACACTGTTAGAGAAATATCGAAATATGCAGACACAGGGTGCTGTAAACCCTGGTGCAGAAATTTTAGAGAAGGGAACCAGTGAGCAAATGATTCAGGAAAAGCCTGCAAGTTTCTTAGTAAGTGAAGATGGAGTGAAACCTGTTGAACACACCAAAGATCTGAAAGGAAGTGCGGACATAAGCATTCAGGCACTGCAAGCAGCTATTGAAAAAAGAGACAGAGAACTAGAAGCATGTTATCAGCAGATACAGAACCTTAGAGAACAAATCCAAACTGAAGCGCAGGGGCATGAGAAGCAAGTTCTTGAACTGGAAGAAGCTATCAGAGAGAAAGTGGCAACCGTTCTTGTGAGCCAGGCCCAGTTAAAGGCGGTACAACAACAAGTAAATAGCAGCTCTGCTGAACCCCTGAGCCAGATTAAACATGGGAAAAATATTGATGGTGTTGAAAAAAAGTCTGAAGTGGCAGAACCCTCCCCAGAAGAATCTTTTAAAGAAAAGCCATCGATGCTCTTCAGGGGATCAGAAGATGTAGATCAAGGAAGTCAACAAAACCTAACCAAGGCAGCACATGTTGAGGATCAGGCAACAGAAGATGTGATGGTGTTAAGAGCGAGACTAACAGAGTTGCTGCAGCAGGTAACAGACCTCCAGAAAAACCTTGAGCTTGAGAGGAAACTGGTAGCAAGTACTCAGCAAGAAGCTGCAGAGAAAGAAACAAAGTTGATAGAGTTGAATCACAAGTTATTGGAGATGAAAAGTTCAACAGAACAAGATCCTGGTAGAGGGAGTTCAAAGTTTCCCCACGTGAGTATGATAAGAGTTCAACTTTATCCCTTGGTCATGTGCAATTTGAGCAATATAATGAGGCACAGTCGGATGCATTAAAGACTAGAGGAATAGGGCATTGCAGTCAATTTGGTTTCTAAATACGTATATAGAAATCACAAAACTAATACAAATCTAGAGTATTTACCTGTTTTTGATGAGCTATAAAAGAGGAACTTTTATGTGATATTCCTATGGCTCCTAGTGTATTGAGATTGATTGTGATATGGCCTTAGGTCTGAGCTGATGTCAAGCACATCTGTGTGATGTGCGAGAGATTGTCTGGAGAAAATAATTTCAAGTCGCAGGGATCTTTTGCACTTGTCCTGCAGTGGTAAACTCGCAAGAGCACCTTTTAGATCCTATAATGAAGTAAAGGGGGAAAAGATTACAAGCTACAAATTCCTAATTTCACCTGTATTTTTAATATGTTGGATTTTGTTTTGTAGTTGATGTGCATAAGCAGAATGATCTGTACAACCTCAGGAAATAAACTACAAATGTCTTCAGATACGTTTTGCTAAATTTATTGATCCAATTTGTCCTTGCAGTTTAATGAAAAGGAAGGAAGACAGCTTGAGATTTCTGCTCAACAAAGCACTGCCTCAGTAGTGGAGCTAGTTTCAGAACTAGAACAGGTTAAAGTGGATGCTGCACTCACCAAAGAAGAACTAAACAACTACAGGGAAAGGACAGAGAAACTTCAAGAAGACTTGCAGGTATAAACTAAATTGGAGAGAAATTCCAAACTGAAAGATTTTCACATATTACAGTAGTTTATTTAAAAACGGTAACATAGGAATTAGCTTAACTCAAGGACCAGTTAGTTATTTCACGATGGCACTAATTGGATCGCACAAACTACTGTATACTTTGTTGTGTCCAAGGTTTTACTTACTTAGAAAATCCTGCTCTAGCAAAATTTGTACTTTCCATTCAAAAATGGTATGAAATGCAGCTTTTAGATTTTCAGATGTCATATTCATGGCTGAATATTTTCATTTTCCCATAGTACTTAATAAGCACTTCATAAAATAATGTTATAACAATAAGCAAAAACTAGCTGCAGATTATAACTAAGGCTAAGGATAATTTCAATTGTATATGAATTTGTATGCAAGATTATCTCAATACATAAGGATAAGCTGTTTTTGTGAGAAAATACACTATTTTCCCGTGATAACAAATAATTCAAGAGAGGATAGTAAAATTGATTCTAATGATAGAAAACTGGTTGCAATTTTTGGAGCCTTCCTGTAATTAATCTAGCAAAGATAGAAATAACTATATTAGTATATGTAGTGTAAAGAGCCAAGCTAAGTTTTGTTAAAACATGAATTGGGATCATTTTATTCAGGTAAAAGAACACACCATAAGCAATCTTCAAGAGCAGCTTGGCATTGTAAAAGAGGCCTTAGCCCAAGCAGAAGGGAAGCTTGGCTCCTTTAAACAAGGAGTGCAGCAGTCATCTTTGAAGATTGAAAACATAGACACTGATGAACCAAAGAGTACTTTGGTCAAAGAAAGTCCAATAAAAACACTGGGCACTTACAAAGATGCAGCAGTACAAACTGATCTGGAGCCCCTGTGCACTAGTTCTTCAGAAGATACTGCAGAAATCAGAAGGCAGTGCTCAGAAAAGATTGGCCAACTCCAAGACCTACATGCTGCTGAAATAACAAACATGGAAACAAGACATTCTGCTGAAACTGAGGCCTTGAAAAAAGAGTATGCTGTACAGGTGGAAGCACTTAGAGAACTCGGTGCTGTTAAAACAGTGATTAGTAGCTCCAGAGAGGTCAGTGTTCATTTTTTGCACCAGGGTGATTTTTGATGTTTTATATGAAAACTTGCCATTTAAGTGATTGAATAAACTTGAGTGTGCAGGCTTATGAACAGCTACAATATTGTGAAGACTAGTACCGAGTAGTGAGGTGGATTTGTGCTGCTCACCAGGAAGTTTGCAGGGAGGTCTTGGTATCCTCTATCCAGCTGCTATGGGCACAAACCTGTGCTTGTCAGATATCAAATGAGTAACTAGTGATTGTCCTCCAGGGATGCAAGGGAGGGGAACGTCAGCAGATTCTCCTTGTAGCTCAGTTGGCGTCAGGGTAACTTTGTTAGGCAACAAATGTCGGAATCAAGGTAGCCTTTGTGGCAAAAAGTCAAAGTGAATTGACTATATTTGTGGGCGAATGCGGCAGCCAATTGCGCACAGCAGTGTCCCACAAACAGTTGTAGATTGAAAAATGACCAATTCATTATTGTTTTTGGAGGGATTATTATTAGGCGTGTGGAGTAAGGAAACTTGCCCAAGGTTTCGCCCTCTGCCTGGAATTGAACTCAGGTCTCTCGCTTGCAAAGCGAGTGCTCTAACCACTGAGCTACAGGACTCCACCACCCTTTGAGTGAAGAAGTTCTTCCTCAACTCAGTGCAAAAGGGCTGGCCTCTGATTTTAATGTTGTGACCCCTGGTTTTAGTTGTCTCGCTTGCAAGGTGAGTGCTCTAACCACTGAGCTACAGGACCCAACCAGCATGCTCAGATAAGACTTGAAAGGCCAGACTGGTTCCTGGAAGCAAGGATCTTCCCACTCAGCTCCTATTAACACTGTAAGCCAAACTCCTTAATGTATAAGGTGAGCTCAGCTAGAAAAGCAGCAGATAGCTAGCCATACAATGCTTTCAGTGGCAAGCAATGTGGTTTGGGCTAGTTAAACCCCAGGAGTACCTCAACACACTTAAGTGGACTCCCCAAGCCTTGTATCTTGTCAATCTGCAGCCATTACTCTCTGGAATTAGCTAACTAACATTGCACTTTAATTTTTTGTGTGTTTTTGTCCACTCAGGGTCATCTAGATAGTCAAGCACCAACTGGCAGGCCACAGCTCAGGGACAGTGGTAAGAATTTCTAACATGCTAGTACTTAATTAATAAATGTCATTTGTTGTTAATCTTCAAACATAATTTTACTTTTCTGGCTCCACCCTGGATTCCAGGACGACAGCCAACTGGCTTTCAGACATCTAGTACTGGATGAATTTAACGTTTTACAACTCAGTGTCAATAAAAACTGAGGCTATCTTACTCAGTTCTTGTCAGCACCTCCTCACCTCAGAGTGACTATTATCAAGCTCCCTGGTTGTTCACACCAACTCACTGAGCCTGTGCAGAACCCTGGTGTTCTGTTAGACTCTCAGTTCTCCTTCAAACCATTTGTCTGTGTTCTGACCAACTTCACTTTCCTCCACCTCAGCAACTTCTCCAGCTTCTGCACTGACAAAATACTCTTATCACCTTCAGACTTGAAGCCCACATAATTTCCTGCATGTGAGCCTATCGTCCCCATCCTTGCCTGGCTCCACTGGCTCTCTGTCCCACAGTTAATCAGCTTTTTGCCCTTGCTTCGATATGTCACCACAGCTTTGCCCCACCTTTCCCCTGCGATCTCTGCAGCCTTATTACCCAGCCACACCCTCCGTTCTGCTAACTCTGGCTTGTTTCATCTTGTTCCTCCCCACCATCAGCAATCAAGCTTCCAGACACTTTGCTGCCACCATTTGGGATCCTCTTTTAAAATTATGTCCACTTCTCCCTCCCTCTTGGCTTTCCAGACACAACCAAAGTCCTATTTATTTGATTGTGCTTTCAGCCAACTCCCAAATTGCCCTCCCAGCTTGGGGTCCCACCTAGTCTCGCATTGAGATAATTGTTGTTGTGTTTTGTGTGTGCCTGCATGCATGCATATGAGTACATGTGTGAGCGCATACATTTAGTGTTGGCAACAGCAATAATAATATACACGTACATAGTACCTTTCGTGTAGAATAACTTCACAAAATGCTTCACTGGGATGTTGACACCCTACCATCCTAATTCCTGAGTGACAGGAGAGTGAAGGATTGGGTGGGTGAGACCTCATGTCCAAATGAGGATCTTGAAGTTGATCCACTGAGAAATACAACAGCATGATTTAAAACACTTAACACCTGAAAACACACGCACTGGGGATTGACCCTGATTTTAGTACGAAAAAATTGTGCAGCTGACAGAATTTTGCATTTGCATTTTTTTGCATCCCAAATGGGATTGGATAGTATGCAAAAAGAATTCTGTGAGGTTAATTCACCTCGACATGTGCTTTTAAAATTCTCTTTCCAGATGGCAGCTCTGAAGGGAGCCAGGGAGCATATTTTGATATTAGCCCTGAAGGACAAGAATACAGAAACATGCCAGAGGGAACCAAGAAAGAGAGCAACATGTTGCAAATAGCTCATACAGCTCTTGGGCAGGGTACAGAGAAGTTTCCTGACAAAATAAAGGTGAGAAAGAATTGCACTAATAATCTGAGGGAACTGAAAAGGTTCTTTATAAGAGTCTGGTTAGGTAGCTGATAACGTAGTAGTGATTGACCTTACATAGCCTGAACACAATGACATTGCTTAATACAAGAATACTTGAGTCGTTGTATTAGCTACACTTGTTCATTTTAATTGAAGCAGGTTACATTGGTAGAAATTGGTAGTGTTAAATACTTATGGGTGGTTCATATTCATATTTGATATTGCCCAATATCTGGTCATCGACACCTTTTAGATGTGCTTCACAGGATACACTATAAAGTAGTGTGACTGTGTGTATTTTGTAGACAACCAATTTACGCCCAGTAATTTACCAACAGCCGTGGAGTGAATGACCAATTTTATTTGGGGCATTGTTGGCCAGGACACCGGGAGAAACATCCTTTCTCCGATATGACCTTCCTCATATGTCCCATATTTTAGTGCTCAGTCGTCTGGAACTGCATCACGAGGGAAAGCTCTGCTGTGTTTTTACGAATCCATTGTTTTTATACAACCAATGGATTATTTTGGAAGGCCTCGGTGTCTGGGTGAAGTATAAAAGCAGTAGTAAACTTTGAGTAATTGCACTGAATCATTCAACACATATCCACAGATCCTACACTGCATCCCTAGCTTCCCATTCAATACTCTGAGGTGCAACTAGCTTATCTGACTCTGAATGGATGTATTGGAAATCTAAACGAGGACAGCTGGCCATTTTAAAATGAGGCAGGCTTGTAAACCATAAAGAAACTTAAGCTTCTCAACAAAATATTCTTGCATTAAAAATGTTCACACCTAGATTTGCTTATGAAGGAACAACAATTACCTGCTTTTGAAGACTACCTATAGTGTAGCCCTGTTGTACCATTCATTATGGAAGCACACAGGGTGATCAACATTCACACTAAAATAGCTTATCAGGTTTGATTTACACATAATTCCTTCCTGCTTTACACATGCAACGCAAATGGGATGTGACATTCCTGCCGAACTGGTGACTTAGGTGTCAATTTTTAAGTGAGGGAACTAGCCAGTGTTCAACTAGTGAACTGGCCAGTTACGTACATGTCGAGTGAAATTGATGATTGTGGCTCTCTGCAGCCTGGTTTGGATTTTAACCCAACCACCATGTTATCAGGGGTCTCCACTGTATTTCTAACCAACTTTTTCACTTTGTACAGACTCTGCTGCGGGAAGTCCATCAGGAGGGTATGCAAGTGCTGTCCCTTACAGAACTGCCCTTTGTGGAAGGACCGCAACAACTTCTAAACTACCCAGATGTTTGGCTTCAGGAAAGGCGGGCACTTTTAGACCTTGTGCAGTCACTTAAAGATGTGGTTTCCAAAACAAAAGGCAGTGGGGAAACAAAGGTAAGGAAGGCATAATGTTTAAAGGCAGCCACTTGATTTGGGAAAATTATTCACGCAAGGTCTACATAACAAATGTGCAGTAGATATGTAAATACTGTACTGCATTGTATAGTGTAATACATAAGTACTGTAAGGCTCTAAGATGCTACCCCGCATGGAGGGCGCCATATAAATGCAAGTTGTTATTGTGGCACAAGGAGGTGGCATTGACAGTCCTTTTATGTTAAATCCACGAGTTAGACCACCATTTGCATTAGATTTTGACTTGCATTGTTGAGGATATGTCTACGCTGACAAGAATCACTGATGAACTAAACAGGCTGGTCAGCTATCAACAGTGAATGCTTCCTTGGAGCAACCTTAACCTCAGAGAGACTCACATTATATTTATGCAAAAATTAAAAAGCATTTGGCAAATGCTTCTGCTCTGGTGGCAAATTACATTGTGCACACATAGTGCTAAAGAACAAAGTAAAATGAAGTTTTGGCCCAGTACTACAGAGAGGGTGGAATTATTCCCCATCCACAGAAATAGAAGAAAGTTACTCCCTAGGTTTCCATGTCAGCCATATTGATGTGTGGAGATCGGAGAAAGAATTTTCGCAGGGTGTAGTCATGTGTATCCTGGAAGCTGATTCAACAATGACGCTTCCAGACTGCAAATAATGTCTGACACGGAGAGGTGAAACAGACTGCATAAAATGGAGAAGCAATAAAAAGAGGGTTCGCAGAAAAATAGACCCTTCAATTCTTTCAAGTTGTTAGGAAATCTATGTGATGTTGTGCAGGTAAAAATATCTTGGATTATCTGCTGTTAGTGAAAGGGACTAGGGTAAAACAAAACTGAAGGATCTATGCTCTCAGCTTGTAGTAGGTGTTTTCTGCCAGAAAGAGTTGGTATAAATTGTAAAATGTTAGACCTGTCTCTTACAGGGTGCATCTCCTGAAAGTATCACTGATTGGCGCCAGGAACTTCTTCAGGCTGTACAGGCTGTTTTTGACAAGGAACATGATGTCTTGATAGCCTCACTTCATGCACAATCTTCATCCCTGAGCCCTGCAGATGCAATGACTCTAATGAGCCTACTGCAAGAACAGGTATCTCTGATAACTAAAATTTCAGATCAATTTGTTTGGGAGGTCTGTTTGGTCTTGTGAGCATTTTAATTGTTTGATGCATACTGTTTCTTCACTCTAAAACCACTGAAATATTCAGTCTACCTTATCCTTGCCTGTGGAGTAAGTTGCTCTTAAGATTTTATTTGCAGAGAAATTCTCAGGAAATATTGTTGCCGTTTGCCATATTGCAATATAAATAAAACTCACGAGCATGTTTTTTCTTTTCAGTCCAGTGTCCTCTCATTTAAAATCTCTTTCCCAAAAATTGTGAACTGGAAGGAACTATTTCAAAATGATTTTATAAAATTATTTTATAAGAAATACTGCTATAAAACGAACAGTTCCAATTTCCCCAAGGTTAACTTGTCCTTGAATGTGTAGGTGACTGAAGTTTCATTTGTACTTCACAAATCCAATAAGGTAGTCAGTTTGAGCCCTATAAAGAGCTGACATTTGCTGATGATAAAGTAAACAATGTATCAAGAAGTGTTACCTAACAGGTTACTGATTTTCTATTTCCTGTTTAAACAAAGAGGATATGAGTTGCTTATTCCAATCACGTCCAAAATTCTTGCTTTCCCAAACCACCGAATTACGACCCCACTGTATTATAGTCTCAGCCTTAAAAAAGCTACTTGTTGCAAAGGATTTCATGTTCTAATAACCCTCTCTATGAAAACATTACTTTTACAGTAATAATCTTGAGTTTATTACTGTTAAACATATTATTGATTTATTGAGCAGCAGGAATATTCTTTCATTATTAATGCTTTCATATCCTTTCAGGAATTTTAAGACCTCCAATAGATAATCTCCTAATCTCTATTACATTAAAACAGCTCCAGTGTTTCAAGCTTATCCACATAACTATAGTTTATCATCCTTATCAACTGTCTGTATCCTTTCTACAATGGTCTTTTCTACAATACACACAGTACTCTAATTGCAAGCTACTCAACATCTTGCTTAAATTGAACATCACCGTTTGCTAAATCTCAATCAAGGTTACATGCTTTATTCATTTCTTAACCAAGAAAATGAACTAGCTCCTGTATCTCTTGTGTACCTATAATATTGTCTGATGTTGGAATTTGTTCTTTTTCAAATTGAAATCCTTATTCATGTTTTTGCTCCCTCCCATTTGATTTAAATGCACTACTCATCAGTCTCGCTAGTTCCATATTTATAAATTTAAGATAATCCAAAACTCTACCACCCGCACCAAAGTCTGCATGCCCATCACTCCAGTCCTTGCCAAGCTCCACTGTCTTCCAAATGAATTGATGCAATGTTCTCAACCTCACCTAGAAATACTTTTTATTATATGCCTTAGCTGCTCCCTATCTTTATGATATCCCACTCCTCTGCTCACCCCTTCCTCTCAACTAACGTTGCTCTGCTATGAGTCTGTCCCATCACATCCCCTCAGTGGCTGAGCCTTCAGCCCATATCCTCTGGAACTCCCTCCCTTTAGCCTTCTGTAAACCCCTCTCTAACTGTCTTCAGATGATGCCTAATACCGACCTTTTTAACTGCACCTCTGGTCACCTGTGCCTTGCTCAGTGTCTAATGTCTTCAGTGATTCGTTATCCTACATGAAGGACACTATATAAATGTTAGTTGTTCTGTTGCAGGTAATGCAGAGGAGAGCAGATGTGGAACATTTAATGATTGCAGATAGGAATAGCATGATGATGGAAATTCGGGAACTGTGGTCTTATCTGCATAGAATGCAGCAGGGTGAGACGGGGCCTCCAACAGCAGAGGAACAGGTTCCACAAAGAAATCTAGGTAGATTTCAGTTTCTTTGTAATTTGTGTGTCTATGTCAGAGTAAAATGTTTGTTTATTAAAGTTTATGCTTAACTATACCCAAATCAGGAATATAGCTTATGTGATATCAGAATGAATTAAACCCTCACTATTCGTTTCTCTATTTGCTTTAATGCTTGAATCTTTGCTTTAGCATGAACAATAAGTTAGTGTGGGCTGTAGACTTCTCCATAACTATAATCAGTGCTGTTATGTATTAACTGACAAAAATGCACATGTTTGCAGATCCTCCCCACTGCAGATTCTGGGTCAAATTTAAATGCAGGTCTTCCAAAGTCCAGCTTAAATTGTTTATTGTATCAATTCACTGTGAAAATCGTGCTGAGTCAATGCCAGAAACCAGATATAAATCCATCTTAACACTTCATCAAACGATTTAAGATGAGATCACCTTCATTATATGATTGTAGCAAGACACCAGGACACCAGTTTGCACTGCCAGAGTATAAATGATCGTTTAACATTTTTAGACTCTCCAATGAACTGACTGCAAACTTTTAAACGTCAATTTTTTGTAAAGAATTAGTTGCACTCTTGTCTCTGATAATTGTACAAATATAACCAGTTTGGCACTGGCTAGGAGAGCTCAGCACAGACACTTAGTTATGTATGTGCAGAGCTCTGTCTCTGGTGAGAGAGGTTTGGAATAGAGAACCAGTATAAATGCAAGTGCATTGAAGTTGACATTATTCCCTACTGGCTACGTGGGACAGATTAGAATAATAGAGGTTTGCAATGTTAAAAGAGATGTTGGTTGAAGAAAGCGCGTTATCCCATTTGATAGACAGCAGGAAAAGAAGGTTAAATAGGTTCATAGTAAGTTTAAAATGTATTTACTTGAAGAATAATCATTAAACAGTAGGAATGCTATTTGGGAAAAATTAGATCAATTAGATGAGTATTCATCCCACATTACTCATGTTTCCTAAATGGATCCTGTGGTTTAGTGTCAAGCACCTTTCTTGGTAACTTGTTTCAGTTTTGATTGTCTTCAGTGTAAAGAAGGTTGCTTATGCAATCAAGGATGGAATAATAAAAGCAATGAAGGATATCTTAGTTAGACTTGTCATCCATGAAGGAAATTTGAGAAAATGGATGAAGAGAACTTCCTCCATTCATTGCTTCCTCCCTTTCCTCCTTCAAGGCCGGTCTCAAAACCTTTCTCTTTGACCGAGCCTTCAGCTCCCCTCTCGACTCTCTTCCTCCTCCTCGCTCCCTCCCTTCCCTCCCCTCACCCTGACCATTTCCCCCCTCCTCTCTCCCTCCCTTCCCTCCCCTCACCCTGACCATTTCCCCCCTGCTCGGGTCATGACCCAACTGTGCAGCGCCTTGGGACGTCCTCCTGACGTGAAAGGCGCTCTATAAATGGAATCTTGTTGTTGTTGTTGTTGTTGTTCAGTAGAATTAGTTTTATTCACGAATTTGCTGATTCCTCTTGTGTCTGATGGACTTTCATGACTCCCAAATGATGAGTGCTTATACGTAAAATGTTGTATGGATGTGCAATAGAAGCATCATTTCTCTTTTTCCTTTCCTTTCAAGGTAATATTGCCAAAGCAATGGTTAAGATGTTGAATATGAGTTTTCAATATTTCTAAGGATTTATTCCTCATCTTAAAATGTAATATGCAGATTTTTTGAATAATCTTAAATTCTGGGTTAGGAAGCCAATTTTCTACAATTCTTGAAAAGAACTTGGTAAGAATGTAAGACTTTTCCCAAAAGCAGTCTTATATTGTAATACTTACTATTTAAAAAATGAGAGATTTGGGTTTTCAGTGTTGCATTTTAATAATGCAAACTGAACAACTATAGTATGGACATGTTTATAGTGTAAATAAATGCCTATACATTACGAGATAGAATGGGGTTATGGTTATTGATAACTAACCATATGATTTCTTTTTATTGCATGTATTCTGCATTTTAATATTCTGCAACCAGTTCAGGGAATCAAAGCTTAAATAAATGGAAGTAGACATTCATGGATGTCTCTAGGGCTTGGATGAATACTTGGTATTTAAAGTGTGTACTATAAATGCCATCTTACCAGTATTTGTAACAAGGATCTAATGCCTATTGTCCTTTGTAGTGGAACTTTTGGAGCCCAACGTACAACAGAAACAATCTCAGATTCTGGAGTTACAAATTGAGCTGAGCGCACTTAAAGAGAAGGGAATGGAAGTTCAGGAGCAGTTGAATTCTGAGAAGATGATGGTGGCAGAACTGAAAAATGAACTTTCTCAAACTAAACTGGAACTTGAAACAACACTCAAGGCACAACACAAGCACTTTAAAGAGCAGGAGACCCTGAGGTAATTCATTAGCAAACTCCCACAGTCTTATTGCTCTAAAAGTGATTAAATTCTGCAAGAATTTGACTTGTAAAATTATTATTTTTATTAACTCTGGAACAGTATACTAAATTGGCATAAAACAAAAATGTGTAAACACTGGTAATCTAAAATAAAATGAAGATAAAGGCGGAATTTGCAAGAATTTCTTTTACAACAAGGGTTTTTAGATTATGGAATACCTTACAATAATTGTCCGAGCTGAATCCATAGCAAAAGAGAATTAGGATAAATAGTGTGGGGAAAATACTATTGTAGAATATGGGAAAGAGCAAGGGAATGGGATTAGGGTAGATGGTGTGGAAGGGAGGAGGGTAATATCAACATAAGCACAATGGGCAAAATGGCCTCCTACTGTGCTATAAACATTTTAATGATTTATATAATGTTGGGAATCTGAAAGGGGATGAGAGGTTAGCATTTCATGCATGAACCTTATTGGAACGAAAATAAAGTGACAGCTGCATTGCACAAAAAATAGTTTCTAGGTTCATTAAAGATTGCTTTTTGGGAGTGGACAAATAGCTGTAAAAGTGCACAGTTTAAATTGCTGCTGTTAAACATTCAGGCCCTAAGAATAAACACTTCACTGGTTCTTTAATGACTTTTTTTAGAATGGAGTTAAATGAGAAGGCAGCTGAGCTCGATATGGTAAGTGACACACTGGCTAATGAACAGAAGAAGATCCGGGAACTGCAGTGGGCACTGGAAAAGGAAAAGTGCAAACTAGATAGAAAAGAAGAAAGAGACCGAGAACAACTGGAGGTTTGTATGTTTTATGGATCCACTGACTCATTTTTTTGGCACTATTTTCTCCCATTGTCCATCATTCCTAATTAGGTGCTTGGATCATAACATTTAGCTGCAAAGGATTGAAAGATAAATAAAGTTGTGTTTGAACCTCTTGCTACTATTTGACCATAGCAGAAACAATAACAACAACAACTTGCATTTATATAGCAACCCTCACACAGGGTAGCGTCCCAGAGTGCTTATCAAGAACAGGTGACTGCTGAAAGGTTTACCAAAACTCTACCACGTATCCTCAACCACACCTAACTAACTCCACATAAACTCCAATGTCTGTGCGTCTCCCAGCAACAACAAATTACATTTGAAAAGTGCCTTTCATATCAGGAGGACGTCCCAGCAGATCGATTTCAAGGTCCTCACTCTCTCCTACAAATCCCTTGACATCCTAGCACCTCTTTAACTCTCCAATCACCTCTGCTCGCCCCCTTTGCTTGGCTAACTCGGACCTACTGCTGCCCTACCCTAACTACGAGTTTTCAGTTCAATCTGCTTAACCTCTGTAACTCTCTTCCTCTAACCCTCCATCTCTCCCTTCTCCATCTGTCTGCAAGCCTGCCTTAAAACCTACCTCCTCTTCAACTGCGCCTATTGTCACTCCCACTTCCTTCCTCCCCCACCTTTGCTTGGTGTCTGCCCCTGTCACTTTCAATACTCCAAACCGTTGTCCTACATGAAGAGCACTATATAAATGCAAGTTGTTTTTTAAAAAAGAATAAATTCTCACACTATCCATGTCTTTTTGGGTAACAATTTTTCATAACACAATGAGTAGCCCTTTAGCCACATGCCGGATTGTATACAGAAGTGGTGTGTACTGATGCCCATTTTTAATTTCATTCTCTTTCTGGGAAAGTATTCAAGATCTCCAGGGTAGACATATTTTTCCACTGTAAAGTGCTGGTTTACCATGGTGCAACTCCATTCATACAGTATTTGTTTCAGTGATTGATTTATTTGATCTCTTCTTCGACGAATTGTTACAGTTGTATTAATTTTATTTTTGCCACCTGAGTGGATCACATATTTTCTAAATAATTACATGAAAATTGTAAAAGTTTATAATGAAAATCCTGGTTTAGACCATATTGGAAAGACATTAGTCGTAGGCAAGAGAATTGATCTTGTGATGCGCAATTAATTAAATTCAATTAAGTAAATAATCCAAACAAATATTCCAAGGAAAACTGCATTTTTTTTTACCCATCACTATGCTGAGGAGTATTCAGACCATACTCAGCTTTTATTTTTAAAACTATTTATTAGTGATTTGTAGATTATCAAACACCTCAAGATTTGCAACAACTCAACCCTTGCATACATTTGAATGTTAAAACTTTTATGTTTGACTGAAGTGCTTTGGGACGTGAAAAAATGCTCTGATTAATTTCAGGATTTGAAACTTGCACTCGATGATCAAAAGACGAAGAGTTTGCAGTTGGGAAACATTTTGGAACAGGAAAGACTGGTAGTAACTGAGCTCCAACAGAAACTAGATTCTGAAAGCTCCCTGCACGCAACTGAACTGTCCCATGAAAGAAGGCGGACCTCTGAACTTCAGATTGCAATGGATGCTGAAAAAGCCAGAACTTCAGAGCTAAATAGTGCGCTTGAACGAGAGCGACAGTTCTGTGTGCAGCTTCAACAGAGTGCAGAGGAGCACCAAACAGGGGTGCCCAAGCAATCTGGGAGGATGTCCGAAACACTGCTTCGGGAACTGCAGAGCCAGCTGGAAGATAAACATGACCGTATAGTAGAGTTGGTGAGCGAGATGGAGAGGTATAAGCTGGAGTCTGTTCAGTTGAGACAACACCTAGAGGACGAGCAGCAGATTCACAAAAAGGCTGTGTTGAAGGAACACGAGACACACAGGTTGCTGCAGCAGAAGGTGGACGCCCTGCGTAGTCAAGAAGAACTGCTGCTGCACCAGCTGGCGGAGGAAAATCAAAAGGTCTTGAAATTGCAAAGAGAGGAGCAGAGGCTGCAGGAAACCATTCTAACCTTGCAGGAAATTGAACAAGAGAGGATGGAAAGAGAGGCAGAAAAGCAACTGGAGAGAGATGTAGCTTTAACCGAAAAAGACTGTCAAACAGCGGTAAGCCCTTCAAACCAGTGAAACTACTTAACTCAGCAAATATACCATAATCTATTGTTATTTATAGAGACCATTAAGTTCACCCCTCCCCCGAAAGAAAAAAAAACGCATAGGTTTCCTTTCAGTGATCCATTTGATCTGAAGGCACGAATAGGATTACCTTCAGAAATACTTTTTTATTTTTTTATATCTGTTAGTAAATGTAACTTGTATTGTAATGCTGAATGATGCTCTTTACCGAGTTAGTTGATTTAAACTTGGGAGATCTTAGGGTCTCTACTTTAAAGACTGAAAAATCAGCCAGGGTTTCCCCTGCTCTAAAGTGAGCTCCAGGGGAAGGCTGTACAAAACTTGATTGCGATGGTGATCACAGTCAAGTAACCTGCTGTCCGGTCATACACATGATGAATGCCTTGTTGGATTAAGAATCACACTTTGGGCACTGGCTTTGGGACAGCATTTAAAAAGACAATAAAACAATTTGTTAGATTTTCTATGGAGTCCAAAAGCCAGATATATGGAAACAATATAGGATGCTTTCTGTCTCCATAAATTGTCTCTTTACAAACATCAAAACACACAGAATTTGACCTGGGTGTTTGGCTTGCCTAGTTGTTACTCAAAGTTTCTTTATTCCTTAGTTTATTTCACTCACTTTGATCTACCCCTCTGTAGAACTGTGGAAGAAAAAAGTAATTGAATGTCTACAGAGAGGAGGGAAGGGGAACGTTTGGTAGAAAAATACCAAGGAGCTTAAATTTGTCCTATTTTTTCATTTCTCAATACTTTCGACAAGGTTTGTTTTTTTCCTAATTGATGAGCATAAATGCAGACAGAAAAGCACTGATCAACTAGAAGAAAGTTTAACCTTCTCATTGTGGTGTTTTAGTTTGCTCTTGTGGTTTGGGCATTATCCTAATCACCAGTTGAATTATTTTGATGCAATCGTGCATTAGTCTGCAGCTTCTAACAAGTTATTGTCACCCAGATAAGGGTTTTCCGATACCCAGTTTCCCAAAGAAAAGAAAGCTGACTTTATGAAATAGTTTTCATTTCAATACTTATGTATGTTTCATAAGGTGTTCAAATATAGAATTAGTGGCGACGGTTACGATAACTTGAGTAGTTCCATAGTCTGTTAACTTTATACTTGTTTCCTCAATTTTCTTTCTCCTCATCTCTCCTGAAGTTGTTCAATTCACTTTTTCTTCTGCTGGATGGAGGACAACTTTGGTTAATTACCTTAAATCTATGACCAGTAGTTACTGACTTGCCAATAATAATTTCTCAATTTCTCCAAATGGATATTTTAGATTTGAGATTATTAGCTCTTCAAATGGGGGCATCCTAGCCAAACTCACCTAATATCCATCCATGCCCTAGTCTGGATCAAGAACCTTCCTTAGCTGATTTTCCCTTTTAACTTGACAGTGTCAATGTCAATTGTCAATGTTGCAATTGTTATCTTAGCTGAGACATACAATGCCAGGATTTGACCCTGTAAACCTGTAATTTTACGATTGTAGGTCTAGTTGTAGTTTTACTCTATACTATGAGTTTAAGGTCCCAGAGAGTGTGACTAACTGAGCCAGGCTGACAAGATCCCATGGAATGAGGATTAAAAAAAATCAGATAAAATCATTCTTGGATATCTTAATCCTTCGTGCTATCACATATCGGTAATTGTGTCCTGGCACAAAGAATACTAAATCTCTATTTATCTTGATTGTGTGTAATCAACAATAGTGCCAAAACTATTCTTGATTTTGAGCCAGCAGTGATTATGATCATTGTAACTGTTAGTTTAATTGTTGATAATGTTTACTGGTGTTATATTTTCAGGAATAGATACAAGATACGTTGATAAATACAATGCTATCCTGTTCAGTGGTTAACTAATTTCTGCAACTGACATGACTTCCTGTGCAGCACGATATATGCATGAAGTGCCGTTGCTAGCATTTGGAGATGGAAGTGATGTCAGCTAGAATTAGTAGTAATTTCTTAAAGTTAAATAAGTTAATGTAAGTGACTTCCTTGTTGTGTATGATGGCAGAACGCTTGGGAAATTGGATTGTCAACTGACAGAACAAGAAACTGGATTATTCAGCAGAAGCTTACCGCCCCAGCAACCGGGAAGAGTGCACCAGTTTGTATCCAGCACTCCTACGCTCGCTCATTGAACAGCTCTGAAGTCAACGGAGGAGATGCTGCATCTGGGGAAAACCTGAACCTGGAGAACATCAGTCAGAGGATGCAGATGATGATTTCCAAACTAAAAGCCATGGGGAGCAAGGATTCTAGAAGGTAAAAAGAGCCAGAAATCAAACTACAGCTCTATACATAACAATGCGGATGGGCCCCAAAGTGCCACAGTACAATAGACAGCATTATTTAAATTCTCTGAGCTAGTGCATGGGGTGACTAGCTGAAACCTCCTGCTCCATAAGCACACCAACAAAGTGTGGTGATGTTTTTAATAGCTATGGTGGAATACAAAACTCCAGATCTGCTTTGTGAGTGATAGGGTTTTGAATTTGTGTGGTTACATTGGTGCTTTCTCAAAAAAAAATTAATAATGGTGCAGTTTTCTGTTACTGTCAAAATGCAGTTTTTATTTTAAATTCTGAAGGCTGTTTTTCCTTGGCTGGTATATGGGAAATGGGGCATTATAGCTCAGCATGATCCTATTGTCAGCCACAGTCTCCAAGCATAGTGTTTCCCTAGGGGGATTACTGCACCCAGTTCAAGAGTAGTAGCGCTAACCAGGGGATTATTGGTCTTCTCTCCCCCCCCCCACCACCACCCACCCCCCAATCCCCTTCCATCTGGGTCAGAGATCTAGAGGGTCCCAGTCTCTGTCATATCTGACATTAACTAACCACATGGAACAGCAGTTGAACCTATGATCTTTTGGTGCGTTTTAGTCAATGCCTTTACTTAATAATAATAATCCTTGCATTTGATATAGCATTTTATCATGTCATTGATATGTCTCAAAGCACTTCACAGAATATACTGTAAAGTGAATTGACTGTATATTTTGTGGGAGAAACGCGGCAGCCAATTGTGCACAGCAAGTGTCCCACAAACAGTCGTGGATTAAGTGACCAAATAATTTTTTTTAAGGGATTATTATCCACGGAAAAGCGATCCGCCAATTGACTAACACCAGAGTTCCTACTTAATGCTAGGTAAACAGGTGGGTAGAGTAAGGAAACTTGCCCAACATTTCGACCAGCCAGGAATCGAGCCCAGGTCCTCTCGCTTGCGAGGCAAGTGCTCTAACCACTAAGCTACAGGACTCCACAGTCCTGCTGTCTTAATGCTACATGCTTAATCCTGTAGCATTAAGAGAGCAGATTACTTTAAATTTGAGATCTGTAAGTAACTTCACTGTATAGTAATAACTTTCTTTAATATTTGATATCAACATGCCTACAATGACTACTCTGTTTTTGCCATGTTTAAGAATTCTTCCTCTTTCCTTTCTTCTGCTGCTCACCTGAGGTTGGGACAGATTCATGTTATATCAATGTACATTTGTTTATTAAATATGTGATGCTCAATGGGATCTTTACTAAGCTTCAAGTGACTTCCTCGTGTTAGAGCCTGGGATTGCTTAGCAAAAGAGCCACTGAAAGGATGTATATTAAAAAAATCATCCTTAATGCTGGATTATCAGATCAGTAATTTATAGGGATTTAAGTATCCTTGTTAGTTGCTGAGGTCTGTATTGAACTAACCGTGCTAGGAACCATGGGTGTATGAGTATATGTTTATCTACAAACTTATTCTTTACTCGCATTCTTATGACTTCAAGTCATACCTATGATTTATGGTTAAATATTGCAATTTAATAATAATCATTGTTGCACCTTTCATATAACGAGGACATCTTAAAGCATTTCAAAGTGTACTACTGCAAAGTGTAGGGACAGTATTTTGTAGATGAATTTAAATTTGCACAAAGTATAATTTACCATTAGCTTTTTCAGAATTTTCATAATATTACATTTAAACCACAAACAGGTGAATACTAGATAGAGGAAAAAAAATGTACATTATTCTGTAGTTAGTAAAAGTTTCCTGATTTGTGTCCAGTCAGATGGGTATAACATAACTCCCCGAGCAGACAATTGCAGAACAGCATTGCAAAATATCTTACTCCAGACTGCTCTCTGCTGGGGCGTAGTCTGTGGTGCAGGGTGACAAAAAATAACTAAAATGTTTAAAAACAAGGGACAAAAGTATCAGTATGCAGTATTGTATACTGCGGTATGGAGAACATCAAATATTAGAAAAGCTGGTTTTATTGCCCATTTACATTGAAACATTCTTTCATTCACAGTTGGCTGGAGCCGGGAACTGAATCCCGCACTGCAGGAGATGAGGACCTGATATGGCTACAAAATAGCATTCAGGATGTGGTTTCTCAGTTACAGCAGCTGCAAGCTTCTGAGCTTCCAGAGGTGAGGTTGAAACTATTCATTCAAATATAATCTGATCCAATAGGATCATATACTGTATATCCCTGCTGGATACCTGCACACCACATCAGTAACAAGCACTGATTTGTTTCATGTCATTTGAGCGGCAAGCATCGCCTATTGTGTAACACAAACAGAAGTCGCTGGGAATCCCCTATTATATTGTGGGTTTGAAGAGTTGAGCAAATATCTTCCCTCCTTTTGTCCAGTTTATTAGCCAAACATGTTGGTCAACCAACAACAGACAGATTATTGCAGACCTGTCTAACTTTGTCAGCTATATCCTGCAAGGAGACCCACAATCCCTCCTTCCCATCCCCCACTAACTAATTGCCTCAGAAAGATATTGTTTTGAAGTGCTGCTCCAACCATTTGAAAGGGTGAAGGGCTATTTTTGATGTGTTGGGTTGGTTACATGCAGTTTGTGGCTCTGAAACATGAGACCAAAGGGGAGGTTTGGGATGTCTGGTCAGCCCTAAGGTTAGACTTTCAAGTCAACAGCTGTGCACTAGCCGAGGAAATATTCATTGTTAAATAAAGTGAATCTGTGATTCTCCGGTAGAACATAGCATTTCCACCTGGTGGATCGACTGGCACCCTCACCGAGCGACTGCTGAGGCAAAATGCAGACCTGACGGGCTACGTCAGCAAACTAACAGAAGAGAAGAATGAGCTTCGCAATAGTCTCCTGAAGCTGGAGGAGCAAGTTCGCAAATACCGCCCACGAGGTTCTAGTAGCAACCAGGTATGTGCCGTGAACAGTAAAGCCTGCTCAAGATGATGATAATCAAAGGTTGTGCACATCAGCTATTAGCGTCAGTGCATATAAACAATAAATGAGAAACAGCTACTAGCCTCGAGGCGTGCAGTTACTACAAGATTCATTCTGATCAGCGCATACCACACTGATAGACAAAACTTTTGTAGTTTATACTGTTAAGATGAGAAAATCATTCACTGAAGCTTTTTTCCCCAGCAAATTGATGCAATTCATTATGCCTTTTTGAAAAAAAGTCTATTTTAAAGTTGGGTTCCTCCAATAGTCTAGTTGGTAGAGGTACAATGCCAGTTGTGGCACTAAATTCACACACACCAGAAAAACACCTGTTTGAATCCAGGTCTGCAATGCAGTGGTTGATCTCATCCAGAGCATGGTGATGCAGTTGGGACAAATTGTGTGATGCATGTGTGATCAAAATCCAGAGATCTCAGCAAACGATACACACATGTGGATGTTATGATTGGACCATGTTCACCTGTAATGGCAAACCTCATGGTTTGCGCAAAATGACTGTTGCGTTTACCTTCATGAACCACCACAATGTACAACTGGAGGAATTTACAGCACAGAAGGAGACCACGCAGCCCATCATGCTTGCAAAAGCTTTTTAAAGACATAGTAATTGCTTGTGGAGCATTTTGAAATGTTTTAATGTAATAAGGTGCTGTAAAAATGCAGATTTCTTTCTACTGTAATATGGTGATCAGCATTAGCCATATTACTCCAGATTACATAGCAGCAGGAGTTTGGCCCATCTGTTTTACCATCCATTTTCCAAGATTCCCTTGACAAATCTATTTCATCTAATATCCTGATTCTTTTTAATTTCCAGGAACAGCATACATTATAAATAATACTGCCTTCTTCCCTTTTGCAGTTAACTAGAAGATCCTTGGATAACCAGGACACTATTGATTCTCTAATAAAATCAGAGAGAACAACCTGGGCTACAGAAAAGGCAGGCCTGCAGCAGGCCCTGAAGCAAGCAGAGGCAGAGCTAGTCAAGATGAAAGCAGAAGCCCGAAGTGAAGCTTTACAGAGGAGCCTGTTTGGATCAGATTCTGAGGCAATCACTATAAAGGTGATGCTCATGTTGATTTGGAGATGGTTCTGTACTATGCAGTTTCAGTAAATACAAAATATATTTCCACTTCTCTATGGAGTTTTGTGTTCAAATATTAGTTTTGACAGTAGTGACGCGGAGAGGGGAGGTGGCTTTCCGTGAGCCTCGACTACTTTAGTGTGAAAGTTATAGGAATGTGTAAACGGAAGGAAGGAAACACTGGTGAACGTCTGCAAGTCAGTGTTCTAACATTGGCCGTTTATTTTTTTTCCAGAGAATTTATGGAAAGTATCTGCGGGCGGAAAGTTTCCGAAAAGCACTGGTTTATCAGAAGAAATACCTTTTACTGTTGCTGGGTGGATTTCAAGAGTGTGAGCAAGCAACGCTCTCCCTCATAGCAAGAATGGGAGGTCAGCCGTCTTACACTAGTCTGCAGCTCATCACCCACCGTTCTAGGGGATTCACCAGATTCCGCTCTGCGGTCAGGGTTTCCATAGCTATCTCAAGGTGAGCAGAAGAGATGTTAGGATTTGTGTGATTTGGTGGAGCTATTTTACTGCACCAACCTGCGGTGAAATTTCTAAGTAGCTTGACTGCTCCCCCCCCTGCACTCCCCAAACCCAACCCGCAGCTCAGGTCCGAAACTCTGTTTGTCTAGCGCCTTGGCACGTCCACCAGACGTGAAAAACATTTTACAAATGTAATTTTGTTGTTAATGAGGTGAATGCTATGGGGTTTTACAACAATATTCGTCCTTTGGTTGAGATGTTAAACTGAGATCCTGTCTGCCTGTTTAGGTGGACTTTAACAATCTCATGGCACTATTCAAAAAGAGAAGCGAGTTTCTCCTTGTGTTCTCGTCAATAATCCCCTAAATAAAAATGGTCAAATATAAGGATTAAATATATTAACTGTGTTTGAGTTCAGCGCTTCACTTTTGCAGGTAGCTAATCAGATGTCTGACCCAAAACAATACATCAATAGATTGCAACAAAAATTCTTTAGCAATAATAACCAGTGTTAGATGTTAAAAACTGTATAAAAGATATTCTTTAGTTTAGAATATTGTTAGGTGGTGTGCATGTGCTAAGGTTGGGCTTTTTAAATATTTTTTGACACTTTTCTTCCCTTTTTTCTGCAGGTTGAGATTCTTGGTACGAAGGTGGCTGCGAGCTGCTGGGTCAAGTGGATTGACTGGTAGTAATAGGAATGGGCACAGCCAAGTGACAGGTGAGCTCACAGCAATGTCAAAGAGACGAGTAATAATAATAATAATCCTTGCATTTCGTATAGGACCTTATCATGTCTTCTAGATGTCTCACAGCGCTTCACAGAGTATACTGTAAAGTGAAATTACTGTGAAAAGCGCTATATCAAATGCAAGGATTATTATTATTAGAAACCTTAGAAATTTATAGCGCAAAAGTTGGCCCATTGTGTCTGTGTTTCATTCGTTTCAGTTCCATTTACCTGCCCTTTCCTCATACCATGTAGTTTACTTCTTTTTAGATATTTAGCAAGTTCCCTTTCTGAAACCTATTATGAATTTTGCCTTAAGTAGATGGGCAGCCCATATTCTAACCACCCTGCGTGAAAAAAAATTCTCCTAACCTCCCCATTTGCTCGTTTGCTAACTACCCTTATACACTGACAAGTGAGAGAGGTTTGATGCTATTGCTAAAATTCAAATTTTCAAATGAGATCTCTCCTTTTAAGGTTTTATAATCTCAGCATGTTTACCTTGATCTGTCAGCACCAAATAGATGTTGAAATCGTTGTAACCAGCAGGTGGAGCCGCTGATACTGAACACCAAAAAACAGAGATACTGCATTTGTTTGTAAATTGCACATTAAAAATCACTTTACAAAATAGTGACAACTTAACTTTCAAAATATTACATTTCATGACGCTGAACACTCAGGGCTCTGAACGTATTTGTATTATTTGCCTGTTACTCTCCTTTACATTTGCCCACAAATCTACTCATCTATATCCAGGTTTAAATTTGTAGCAATCTTGTAGACTCTTCATAACTAGTCAGAGCAATTTCTCGGTCGTCTAGTTCCGGAGTCAGACAGATCCACAGTACTTCAGAGCAGCAGTAGATTGTATCAGAGTGAAGCAGATGATGTTAGTTTCCCCACCCAAAGATGAAGTCTGCTCCCATAGTGTTACATAGTCCTGCTGCTCAACCAAAAACTGGTCAAACTAATGATATGAAGGCAATGATCTATAGTCATGGAGTTCTTTATTACTTGTCACCCAGTTCTTCAATTAATCGTCTTTTAATTTTTTTTTAAAAAAGGTAATGAAGTCACTTTGCTGAGCCCTGGGGGAATGTCTCCAGAGTCATCTGTGACTAGAGAATTGTTTGGGGATCGTAGACATTGTGCAAATAGACAAAGATCTGGTCAAGAATCTCCCAGGTCAACCACAAATTCTCAATCCAGGTAACTGAGTTTATAAAGCTAATACTGTAACAGGAGTATTTGTTGGAACAACCCCTCCAACCAATTGGGATTATCCTCCTTAGGGGGAGGTAAGTGAGATCTTGGAGTTGAACTGGCTCCAAGGTGACATGTTTGACAAAGGAATATCAGAATCAAGCCCACCTTTTGTATCTCGGTAGTCCATTTCCTGAACCAGGCGGATCAGGGCACTGCTGATGACAGCAAGGCCAGGCTGGCTTATCAGCAGGAATTGGAAAGGCAGAGCGGTCACTTGAACCAGGGCTCTTCTTACTCAGCTCCTGTTAACCCTGTAAGCCAAAGCCCTAACGAGTTGGGTGTACCTACTAGACAAGCAGCGGGAAAGCTTGCCACAGTGCCCTCATTGCCATGCTATGCGGCTTTAGCTGGATAAACTCCAGCAGTGACCCAACACACACTCTGCAGTCTCCAAGCCTTGGCCCTTGCCAGCCTGTACCTAATACTCTCCAAAATTAGGAAAGCAGGATGCGTCCCTCCTGGGAGAGTGTGCATTCCATTATATCTCTGGAATTTCCGCGTATAGTTTGGATGCTTTTAAGCAAGGTGATGGGTTTCCGCATGTGTCAGACACCAGTCTGACTCCTCAAAAAAAACATTTGAAGGAGAAGTCCTAATCTGCACGTTATGCTGCAAATTCTGTTTTGTTGACATAATTTAGACTAGGTATTTAGATTTAAGACATCATTTAGACTTAGTAGGATATTGTATATAATATATATAATCCTTGCATTATCATGTTTTCTACACATCTCAAAACGTTTCAAGGTATATTGACTCTATATTTTGCAATACAATGAGCAGATTTTATATCTGAAGTAAATTGTTTATTATCTCCCAGGTGTCAATACCTTCCAGCCGATTCTAGTCCTGGTTCCTTTGCTTCGTCACACCTACAAAGTTATGACCCGGACCGAGCATTAACTGATTATATTAATAGACTGGAAGCATTGCAGAGACGACTGGGAAGTGTACAATCAAGTAAGTCATGTTTTCAGTATATCGTCATCTGTCTGTCTTTCAAAAGGATAACAGGAGTGAAGCCCTTTATTATCCCCTAAGGAGGGGGAAGGAGTCTCTAGGAAGTGCCGCAGCCAGGGTGACTGCTGCTCAAGACAAGTTTGAAAAAATCTATGTAAAGTTGTACCCGCTTCCTCATCTGATGTAAAGAAATAATCTTTTGTACAAGCAATCTGGCAGTATAGTGATGATTATCTAGTATGTTTATTACTACTGTTAATGTGTGCATTGGGCTGTATAAATCAAACTAGGTGGCAAACATGGATTTTAATAATCAGAAAGTGAATGAACTGATATTTAAAAAATCTGTGGAGAAAGTGAGTAACGTTTCGGGTCCACAACCCTTCGTCAGTTCTGCCTGACCTGCTGAGTGTTCCCAGTGACTTCTGTTTTGTTTCAGATTTCCAGCATCTACAGTATGTTATGTTTTGTTTAAAAAAAATCAGTTTGTTAACTCTTTGAAGTTTTTAGTTTGGACTCGCTGCTATAGAGATGTGGCCTCTAGCATGCAATTTTTACTGACCTCTCGGGGAGGGGGGAGAAATAATCTTTACTGTACATTTTGCTTTTTTCCCAGTGGTTGACTAGAAAGCAATGATGATGATACCCTCAGAAGCTGGCTATGCCATCTATTTAACCACCTCCTTTGCAAGAGAAAAAAAGACTTGTATTCAATGACTTTTGATAAGTAACACCTTTTCTTCTTATACATAGGTTCGACCTCCTATACCCAACTCCACTACGGAACCAGAAGATAATGTCCTGGAACGGAATTTAAATTGCCTTTTGAGGCTGTGCTTTGTTTTTGTATTGTTTTATGTATACTGTGGGACCATCATGAATATATTGAAAACAGCAGTCTTTGCCAGCAAGTCCAGATGAAATGAGTTTAAAATGTTTTTTCCTTTATATACATTGTCAGCTTCCAGTGTGCAGAATGCAATTTGTCTAAATGAATTACATGTATATTTGTGGAATGCTAATTTAAACATGATTATAAGTTATACTGTCTATTTAAAAGGTGGAAGGAAGGCATCTGTTTACTAAAATGGCTTCAAGTGCACTGCAGTCCAGCAAATGACTGCTAAGGTTACACTATGTGGTCCACAAATGGCTCTGCTGTTGTGGACAGTATACTGTTTGTAGAGGAATTATTTTTGTAAAGGTAGAAGTTTTGAATTTTATGGGTATTTTAACAAAAGTACTGGAATAAAAATGAATTTGAAGTTGAAATTTCTTAAGTTTTCATTTTGGCAATTGAGTTATTTATGAGAACAATGGGTTAACTATTTGAAAAAGCAGTAAACTCGTGGGGGGGGAAAAAAATCACAAAATACTGCAGATGCTGGAAATCTGAAACAAAAACAGAATTTGTTGAGAACACTCAGCAGCTCAGGCAGCATCTGTGGAGAAAGGAAAGTGAGTCAACGTTTCGGGTCCACGACCTGACGAAACGTTGACTCACTTTCCTTTCTCCATAGATGCTGCCTGAGCTGCTGAGTGTTCCCAGTAAAATCATGGCATTGTGAAAACATTTTTGGAAAATGTTCTGTGCAATTCCCCCTAAGTGTATTTCTGTACTTGTTTTAGTTGTGATGGTAAAGAAGGAAATGCCATGAGCTGAAAGCCTGAGTTGGCTCAATGCAAAATGTTGATGATAAACACCAAACGCATTGTTGTAAAATATTTACATAAAGTTTCACAGGACCAGTTTGTATTTTATACTTCATTTTAAAACCAATATCCTTTCAATAACCATACTTAGAACCATTAGTTGTTTAAAAACAAATGGGCAGCTTTATCAGTCATTTTGTAATTTAAACTCAGCGCCTTGGGACGTGAAGGTCGCTATACAAATGTAATTTTGTATTGTAAAACCAGTTACTTCACATACACCATGGAAGGAGAAAAGGCCATTCAACAGTGAAAAATAGAAAACTATGCAGCAATAAATGTGAAACAGGGTTCATGTAAATGTTAATGAATACAGAAATGGAATAATGTTTGCAGATTACAGTAGGACAACAGTTCCAATGGTGTTCACAGCAAGTTAATATTTCTGAAATACAAACAAAACACAAAACAAATGGGTCTTTACTTAACTGGATTCCACTGAGGCAGAATTTTTCCAGGTAACCAGGAGTATATCACACTGACCAATGAAAAATCAACTCCCAAAGTAGATCAGATTGGGGTTTGACAGCTGGCACAATGTACTGCTGATTAAAAAGATGGTATACAAATATCAAGCTGTGAGAAACTATCCCAAATGTGAAGCAGTTTGTTACCTCAGCTACTTACATATAGCTCACAGAAACACAGGAGGAGGCCATTCAGCCCCTTGAGCCTGTTCTGACATTCTATTAGATCATGGCTGATCTGTACCTCAACTCCAATTTATCTGCCTTTGCCCCATATCCCTCAATACTCTTGACCAATTTATTAAGGTGCCAAATAAAATAAAGGGATAGTTGCTATTGCAAGGAATCAATTGCTTTGTTTGTCAAATAGGTAGCAGATGTGAAGGAGCTGAATTTACCACCGATTAAGTCATTGTGCACCAAATCTACAAAAACAAAATTACCTTCAAATTACTAATTCACAGCAATACTCCACTCATAAAAATTAAAAGTGGAGCTATTAATTTACAAATACTCACGGAATGAGTTAGCTTTAATTGCAGATTTGCTATTATGAGAGGCTTCTAACTAATTTGAAGCCAATATGTCAAACAAGCAAGTTGCAGAGCAGAGACAGATTGATGGTGTCCTGTCCATCTCATTACATTCGCTTCTTGTACTGGATGATCGGATTATTTGGAGTATGGATCATAGTTGTGTAATTCACTGTCGGAAAGTATCCATCAACAAGATCAAATTGATACAACCGAAGTAAAGTGGACCAGATAGTCTTGATCTGCACATAGGCAAAGTTCTCCCCAATACAGCGATGACGACCTAGACAGCAGAGCAGAAGGTAACATTCTTACATTATACAAGACTCCAGGATCTGCACAACAATAACTGGTTTTATAAATTTGCAGGACTGCATTTGGTAAATGAAGCAGTACATTCAGTTTGTTGATTTGAAGATAACACTTCTTGTACATAGCATTCACACTTCCTGCATATTAATACACAAAATGTGCAGGAAATGACAATGGCAACCTAATGACCTAGAAGTCAGACCTACTTTTGCTCCTAATGCATTCTCTGAAGCTCTCCTTTAGTGACACTGATTTCACATTTCCCCATCAACTTAGTGTCACCCTGGTTCAGTTGGTTGCACTCACTCCTCCATGTCAGAAGGTTGTGGATTCAAGCACTCTGTGGGACTTGGAACCGATGGGAGTCTATGCTGACTCCAATACATTCCTGGAAGTGTGCCACATTGGCAGTGCCTTCCTTCAAATGAGAAAAACTAAGGTCCCCTCTGCCTGTGCAGGTGGACTGAGATCTCCTGACATTATTCAAAAAGTGAATGCAGGGATTTGATATAGCGTCTTAACATGTCATTGAGATGTCTTGAGGAGCTTCACTGGATATATTTAAAGTGATGTATTTTATGGGTGAACATAGCAGCAAATTTATGCACATCAATGTCCCACAAACAGCCAGAATAATACATTTTTATTATCTGCAAATTTAATTGAAAAGAAGTCTTGTGATAGTTTGTCAGAAGTGATTCTGAAGTCTACATGTACTTTGTAATATAGTTTCCCGCAATCAATTTGGTCACCCTCTCAAAACATTTTGAAGCTATGCTGATTAAAGTTATTTTCATATAGTTAATCTTTGTTCTTTACAAAAATTCCATCAGTTTGCTGATTATTGAGGTGAGGCTCACAGGTCATTGAGATGTCTTGAGATGCAATTGCCAGGTATGAACTATGTTACTTTTCTTGATTAGGAGAACCACATTTGCTTGCTTCCAGTCCATTGACAACTTACCCATAGTGATAAGACTCCCTCACAATCTCAGTCAGTGGTTCACAAATCTCCTACCTTGTCTCTAAGTCCCCTGGGATACATTTCATAAGTCGGATTTCTTTTCAGCCCCATGAGCCTGGAACCTCAGCCTCACTAATGTCAAAATCCTACAACTCAAACAATGTTTGCTGAATGTTCGGCATTCGTGCCCCTTGAACAACTGTGAGCAGAGGCTTTTTGACAGCAGATGAATTCAACCCCTGCACTATAAGTGCAGCTAGTGCAATTATTTCACCACTTAGCTCAGAAATGGTTCTCTCTCTCTTAACAGCATGACCTGCTCTGCCTTCCACAACATCGCCCGGCTCCACCACTGCCTTCAGGCCCTCAAAATCCTCATACATGCATTTATCACATCTAGGATCGACTACGCCAACTCCCTGCTTGTCAGCCTTCCCAACTCTTCCCTCCAAAAGTGGCAGATCATCCAGAACTTTGCAGCTCATCTCCTCTCCCGCACCAGGCTCCATGACCCCATCACCCCCACTCTCGCCCGGCTCCACTGGCTCCCCACCCCACAGAGGATACAATTCAAAGTCCTCACCTTCAAAGCCTTTCAAGGCCTTGCTCCTTCCTACCTCTGTGATCTGCTAACACCATATCAACCTATATGCTCAGCGGGCTCCGGCCTGCCACAACTTCGGCGATCAGGCCTTCAGCCTCTCTGCCCCACCCTTTGGAACTCCATCTCACATTCCCTTTACCTCGCTACCTCACCTCCTTCAAGGCATGTTTGAAAACCCTCCTCTTTGACCAAGCCTTTGGCCACCCTCCTACCCTCCCTGCCCTCCACCCTCCCTGATCCCAACCCTCTGCTCAGGTCCCAATCCCTGACTGTTCAGTACCTTGGGACATTCTCCCAAAGTGAAAGATGTAATTTTGTACTGTATTAAACGTAGCCTTCCTAAGCAGAGGTCTATACTAACATTTAGTTGTGCTTGCTCAAAACTCTCAACCCTGTCCAATGTGGTGAGCAAGAAGTAGATTTCCCACTTGCAATAGTGTTAAAGCTAAGAGAGGGCATTACTTCACCAACTGATGGCCAACCGTCTTCACTGATCTGAACATCTGTGTTGTTGGAGTGGGCACCACACACGCCTTCTGGTCCCTCACTAATAAGAACCCTGAAAGCTGAGAGGCTTACCTGCTCCAAAAGGCACGTATGCAAACTTCTGCACAGCAGCTGGGTTGTCTTGGAGGTATCGATCTGGATTGAAATCAAACCTTTCGCTCCATGTATCGTGAAGTGTATGGTTGACCGTAGGAGAAACGCAGACCTGATGCCCAGGGGGGATGGTGTAGCCAGCCACCGTCTGTAAGAGAGTTTGCAGCTCAGGAATACAGGACCAGGGTTTGTCCTATTGTCAAATTAAATCTGATGGTTCTAGGATTGATCAAACTAAGTAACATTCACGCTCACCGTCCGCCCAATTGAGTGAATTGGACAAACTTATTTGGATTATGGGTGAGGGACTGCGTTTCTACATCATCCAAGCACAGTACCATTCCTTCAAGCTTCAAACAGCTTTTTAAATTGACACTTTCTGTAGTTTTACCTTTCCAATACAATATCCTAAGTTGACCACGAGGGGTGACATAAAATGGAGGGTTTTTACACTCAGAAACCTTAGTGAAGCGCTGACAGTGCATGATTGGAAAGAGTAGGACAGGTGTCCCAGGTAATGGAGCTTGGATTGTAAACCTCTTTAGCATGTATTTAAAGGAAGGGAAAACTGAGGGATGGGAAACACAAAAAGAGTCCATTATATGGGAATTGGTAAATAGAGTGCACAGTAGCAACTCCTTCCAGTAATTGGTCCTGTAACACTGAATGTGTGGGAACCCAGCTCCAAATCTATCGACTTCCAGAGCAGAGTTCCTGAGGATTGTCATGACATACAGAGAGAGGTGATATTACCAACATAGAGTTATTGTTACTGACTAGATTATGAATCACCACAAATTAGACCCCTAGGCGTTCCATAATCATGGAAAAAATAAAAATGGAGAAACAAATTATGTCAGACCAAAACCAAAATTGAGCAGCTTAGTGGACAGCTGGCTGCTAAACACACCTCTGCAACCAAGCCACAAGTTAACCTCAAAATGGTGAGAAGCAGAGAGAAAAACTTTCCTTTCTGAATGTGCTGATTGGAATCTGAAAGCAGGAGCTACAACCTCAAACTTTACTCTTCCAGCAGTAACTACTCACTGGTTCTTTCTGACCAATATTATTTGATACAGATGAGAAAAGGAAATATTTCCTGAATAAGTGCAGCGTTATAAATTTTACAGGATAAAAGCTGCAATCACAAGATACGTTTGGATGTAGAAGACCCATCGGCCCATCAGATCTGACTGTACCATTCACCCATCACAGCATTAAGCTGCCTTTTGAATGATTCTCGTGTTCCATCACCTCGACCACATTTCCTGGAAACCTGCTCCAGTTGTTGATTACCCTCAAAGTAAAGATTCAGCCACACACAATAAAATACCTGTGGTGTCCTGGCCATTCTCATCATTGTCATAATTGGAGGACGGAGTCTCAGAGTTTCTTTGAGGCAGCGATCCAACAAGCTTATGTCCTTCAGCTGGAAAAGGAACCAAAACAAGGATTGGTATCAATAATGTGGAAACCAAACAGACTCACATTACGCTACTTATTCAACTTCATCTTCTTGCAATGAAATAATTAATTGGGCCTTTGTAGAACAAAAGGACATTATTTTTACAGTTTTTTTACTTCCCTGTCAATGTCTCAGTTATTTAACTGTACTTTTAAACCTGATTCAAGTCCAAACTCACAAGACTGTCAAAACGTCTGGAAGTGGTCAAAATACAAACTGGTAACAATGTGATTTGAGTGAAAGGGCTCTTCCATTGTAACACGAGCGTTGTTAATTGTCATTGAACAATTTCCAGTCATGTTCTAGCTGTTTTATACACAGTGTATGGTGATAAGAAGAAAATGAGGGGAGTTAAAAATCACTCTACTCATGCCAGGATACTCGGCATAAATGGTCGACTATAAGTTGATTCACAGCGGTTTATACTTTAAGTCCAGGCTAGGTTATAATGGGTACCTGATCGTACTGCAGTGCTGCCAGGTCCTCCCCACACACAGCTTTCTGCTCTGCATAACAGCGATCTTGTAACACTTTATCTTTAGCTAAGAAAAAGCCCAACCAAGCACTAGTGGTGGAGGAAGTGTGTTGCCCAGCCAACAGCAGCCCAATGAGCATGCCTGCAATCTCATCATCAGTCAAAGGAGAGCCGTCCCTGGAAACATTAGACACAAAATTCATACAAAGAATTTCAATGGAATCAGTTAGGGGATAACATTTTCTTTTTGTCTCACTAACCTAGGTTTTGTTGCCCAAGAACCTGCTTGACTTCTCTGAAGCTGACCACGAGGAAATGCAGAGTAACATGGAGTGACTTCCACTCATATATGTCCTCCTTATAAATATGATATATATATACGAAGAATAATATATACGAAGAATAACTTGACCTTTGCTTGACAGATCAGAGATCAGGAACTAACAATAGTATAGTAGGTGAAGAACTGTACCTTGCCATTCCATAGAAAGAGCACATACAGGCAAGGGCTTTTTTTTTAGATATGATTAAAGGAAGTGAAGCAGTTCACACAAATAATTTAAATTAATTAGAAGTTTTTCATAAAACAGGATGGGAATGAGTCTGGTAACACTAATTCATGCACTTGATATAGCGCCTTATCAGGTTGTTGAAACATCTCAAAGCGCTTCTCAGAATTATACTGTAAAGTGAATGAACTGTATATTTTGCAGGCGAAATGCAAAATATATTTTATATGATAAATCTAAATATATTAAATGATACAGAAATCTGTTGGGCTCTCAGGACATTCCTCAATGCATTTCTCATCAACGTCACAATATGTGTCTGCACCTCATGGTCAGTTAATGCTGCCTTTTTCATAAGTAATTGATGAAGTGCCTGGGCGGGGAGGGAGGGAGGGAGGGATGAGTCGGCAAAAAAAGAAAAGGTTACTGCCAGCAGCACTGACTGAACAGATTGCCACTTAATTGCAATTTGCTGTCCTGCTTTATAAATCAGTCAGACTTTGCCAATTTATGGGATTCCCAATAGCCATTCGTGAACATTTGGTATTGCAAGGTGGAAGCGCCACTTAGCTCATCTAGTGCAGTTTATGAACATCACGTACTGTGGCTGGCTGTGGCAACTGCAATAGTCAATGTTTCTTTAAATGTTGGTAACTGGAGGACACAACAGGACCAAAGCCCACAATTTCCATAATTCAATTTGATCTCAGACTATTGAAAATGACAGTTGAATTGCACATAGTTATTTTACAGTTTGGAAACAAATGTTTGACCAGACACAAAGGGTAATGCTTTCAAAGATGAAAAAAACACTTACTTGTAAGTGGAGTCCAATAAAGTCTGCAACATGTCATCATCTCTCTCACCAGATTCCCTGCGCTTCTGGATCACTTTGTAGAAGATATTCTTGATTTCTCTATGTGCTTTATCCCTACGCCTACGGTAACATTAAAAGGCAAAATATTTTGGTGTGGTACAGAGACTAACAGATCCAGAATGTCCTGGTTTCATGTAACAAAAAAAATCAAGTGATAAAACACAACACTTGCATTTATATAGCAGTGCCTCAGATAGGATAGCAGCTCAGAGCGCCTAAAATGCAATCGGAAAAGCTGAATCATATGTAATCCACAAATTACAAAGTGAAAAGTGCTCTATGCCACTCTGTCTATAAATCCATTCCGTTCATAAATACAACATACTTATTCTCCCAGATAAATTTGATCATTCATTTCATGACTGTTTATAGAATATTGCTGTGTGCAAACTGCATTCACCTATAGTTACCATATTTTACAGTAAATCCTGTGGAAGTCTTTGAGACATCCAAGCGAGCCAGTCTAACAATTACATTTATCTCAGTGTTACCCTGTGTGTAACAGTATTCACCTGAAACTGGGGAGAGGCAACCAACCAGGGAGTAGCCAGGCAGCATGGGTAAATCCCCATCAAGGTCAGCGTAGAGCTGAGCTACTTTTTCATTGAGCAGATTTCGTATCTCTTTGCCATGTAAACAGCGACTGGCGGTTAAAATGATGAGCTCCGATACAGCCTCAAACAGATCTACATTAAAAACAAAATGGAAAATGCATATTTGTGGATGGAAACTACATGCGGAAATTAAAACAAAACACTCCGATTCTAGTCTAGATTTATTCTAGACTTCTTCAAGTCTCACTATCATCAAAAAAGGTAATGGAGGCATGAACATAGAAATCAAGGTTAGAGAAAAAAAGGATTATTTTGGGATACAATACGATTGCTATTCAAAGTCCAATTTTCATGATGGGATGGTTAATTTTTTGCTGCAAATCACATTTTTCTCTCAACTTAAAAAATATTGTTAGACCGGGGAGTGGGGGAGATCCCCTCACTGTAGAAAGTGCACATTTCTGAAAAGCAGATGCTCTCAGATCATTTTACCTGATGCTATGATGGACAACAACAACAAAATTACATTTGTATAGCGTCTTTTCACGTCAAGAGGACGTCCCAAGGCACTGGACAGACAGAGTTACGGACCTGAGCTGAGGGTCAGGGTGGGGGAGGGGAAGGGCAGGTTAATAATCCTATGTGTAAGTGGATGCATCCGAATGACTGAGGAAGAATCAGAACTTCACAAAACAAGTTTTAGATTTTTACTAAGCCCATTCTTAAAATCTGATCTGCATCATTCAATCCATCCTGATCATCCACCCTCCCTGCAGCTTGTATCGAAGAATTGAAATACAACAACTTGCATTTATACAGTGTCCTTCACACGTGTAGCGTTGAAACACTTGTACAATTATAATTATCTAGATATAGTACAACTTACCTGACTTTTATAAAACGCAAAATAAATTCCAAGATTAAACGCACAAGAATGCAGTGAACTGAATTTTAAACTGTGCTCATTAACTATGGTTTCCAAAAGGATCTCATTCACAGATATTCCAATTAATCACTCTATATTGGTATAAACCTTAAATAAAACTCAAAATCGTTTGATTCCAAGTGAATCTATAACCTAATTCTCAACCCTCATCCTGAGGACGAACCAACCTATTCTATTTCATTTCACTTCACGGTGGCAGATTTCTTCTAAGTTGGCACCCAAACAAACCCACTAACAAGGTGTTGCATTCTCCTAATCTAACAAATGCATACATAGTATGTGCAAATAAAAAAGGTCTATTCAAATGAAGTCCCTCTGTGATGCATTTGATTTTAAAAAAAAGTTGGCTGTGGCTGAGAATATGTGTGAGCTGTTCCCTAGGACAATACTTACTTTTAATTCCACTCTCACCCCAGCGTTTAAAATAATCGTGGGTTTCTTCCTCAATCATAGTGACATGCTGCTTAAACTGGGCAATGTTCAGACCAGTTTTCAACATTTTCTTTTGCTCCAGAAAGACCTAGGAAGGTGCAGCAGAAAGTTCTATTTAGCAAAGTAGTGAAGCCATGGTGTAGGTAATGTAAGTAACTAGGTTTATGGTGATGGTTTGGGGTGGGGTGAGGAGAAAGATGACAGTACCTAAAAGAAATTAGCGCTGTTCAAAACCATACATCTTTGTATGGAAAGACACTATAATAATAATCCTTGCATTTGATATAGGGCCTTATCACATCGTTGAGATCTCTCAAAGCACTTCACAGGATATACTGTAAAGTGGACTAACTGTATTTTGGAGACAAACGTGGTAGCAAATAAGGGCACAGCAATATCACCATGGAGTGAGAGACCAAATTTATTGGGGGATTGTTATCCAGGATACTGGGGGAAACAACTTTCTCGTTTTGAATAGTGTCATGGGATCATTTACACCCACCCGGACAGACAGACAGGACCTTGGTTTAAAATCTCATCCGAAGGATGCACTTCCTACAATGCAGCACCCATACCATCACTGTATTGGAGTGTAGGAGTTCCAAGTCCCAACAGGGGCCCAAACTCACAACCTTCTGACTCAGAGTTGAGAGTGCTACCAACTGAGCCACTTCTAATAAGGAGCAAAAAGCTAAAATGGAAAGCTTCCGACCATGGCTGACTCCAAGAGCTGGTGGATCCCTGGATCAGACTGGGAATCCTCTTAACAGAAAGTAGATGTAGTTTGATCTTATACAGAAAATGAGACATTGATATTACTAGAACAGAATATACATACTGTATTTGGAACATCATATGCAACACCCTTGCCAAAAACGGGTGTAGTAAGTCTGGAGTAGACATCCTCGGCGTTCAATTCTTCATTTTTACTATTGAAGAGCAGAGTTGCAGCATCACTGCCTAGTAAGTATGTAAATGTACTCCCAACCATAGTAAAGCTAAACACAGGGCCATACTGTAAACAAGAGAAAACAAGACAGGATCAGGAATGGTGCAAAGAGACAAAGAAACAGCATTTAACACTAAAATAAAATTCACATCCAGATCAATACTTCAAGATGCAACAAGAAAATAAAACAAGAGGACATTGGTTTTAAGTAGTAAAGGACAATTTCAGGACAGATACCAGGAATTGTTTTATTTACTCAGAGGGTCATCAATGATTGAAACCGGTTGACAGTTTGTCAGGAGAGGTGATAGAGGCCAAGAAACTGGACTCATTTAAAAAGCAGCTTGATGCTGTGATGAGGGGACGGTAGAGTGAGTGGGTGTTCTAGATGAGATCAGATGGGATGTAGTTTATTGGAAAGAACTACAGTATAGGCATGTGTCACTTTGATTTGAGCAGTAAATTGCCAAAAAGGTAACTATATCATGGTGGCTGTGGAAATGAGTAAACAATAAAAAAAACTTACCTTATTGTATGCATTTTCTAAAAATTCTATTGGACTTTTTCCAAAACTGATTGCATGTCCAAGGAACGGGATGTTGGAATGAATATAAGGTGGGTATTTCTGCAGAAAAGATATCACATTATATAAACAAATAGTACCATGTAGTATTATTGGATTCCTTTTAAAGTCTCATTTATCTTCAATATGTTTGTACTATATTCATCAATTCTAATGGTCCAATTTTTTTTTTACCACCAAGATAACTTTCCTTTAGTTTTCTTCATCATATGGACGTTCTCTTTAAATAGACCACAAACGACAACAAATTGTACTTATATTGCATCTTTCACATAAGGAGATTGTCTCAAAGTGCTTCACAAAGATGGATCAGGTCCTGATGTAGGAGCAGATGGGGTGTGGGCGGGGCTGTCTGTGGCCAAAAGCACAGTTAAATAAATATGTCTTTAGATTGATTTTGAAAGCAGAGAGTGAGATAGAGGGACTGTGAAAGAGTTCCAGGTCATGAGCCATGCCAGAATTGTAAGAAAAGTAGTGGTCCTGGAATCAAGGATAGAGACAAAAAGGTATAGTTGTATACCGTCTGGGTACATTTAGGTGTCAGCCTGGCTCAGTTAGTAGCATTCTCGCCTCCGACTCAGAGAGTTGAGGTTTCAAGTACCAAGTCGGGTCTTTGAACACGTGCAGGATGACGCTCCAATGCCTTGAGACGTCCTCATGACGTGAAAGGCGCTACACAAATGTAATTTGTTGTTGTATTACAGTGCCGGGGTTGCACTGCATTGTTGGAGGTGCTAACTTTCAGATGAGTCATAAACCAAGGGCCTGTCTGCTTTTCCAGGTGGATTTTAAAAATCCGAAAAGAAAACAGAATTTCTCCTGGTGTCCTGACCAATAATCCACCAAGGTTTTAAAAAATGGTCACTTTCTTTATAGCTGTGGAATATTGTTGCGCAAATTAGCTGCTGAGTTCACCACAAAATATTGGCACTGTTTCACAGTGAAATCCTATGAGGCACTTTGAGTCAACCTCCCGATGTGAAAGACGTATACAAATGCAAAAATGATTATTACATACAGAAGTGGACCCCATATGCCAGGAGATAAGTCACAGAGGATACACAACAACAACAAGATTCCATTTATAGAGCGCCTTTCACGTCGGGAGGACGTCCCAAGGCGCTGGACAGTTGGGTCAGGACCTGAGCAGTGGGGAAATGGTCAGGGTGATGGGAGGGAAGGGAGAGAGCGAGGAGTGGGTAGAGAGTCGAGAGGGGAGCTGAAGGCACGGTCGAAGAGAAAGGTCTTGAGACCGGCCTTGAAGGAGGAAAGGGAGGAAGCGGCGAAGGCACTGGGGGATGGGGGATACATGTGGATGCAGAATAAGAGAGGACCAAAGGAGCTCCAATGAACATTGCAAGTAACCATGCGAGAGCAGGAGGAGAAGCAAATAATATTGTCTGAGTTCCTCAGTCAAAAAAAAATCAACATTCAAAAATTGTCTTTTTCAGGCAAAATAAACAATTCAGAGCACATTAATTCTTATTGAAATCTCAGCTAAATACTTGCTATTAATGGGTTAATCAAAATGCAGTGTTTATTTTCAAAATTAACCCATTATATTATCAATGCAGTATTTCATCTGAGCCAATTTCTAAACTAGTATAATGCTGCAAAATAGTTATGAATTATTGCAATTGATCTCCTGCTTTATCAAACAGCAACTTAAGGTGGTAATCTTCTCATTAAAATGTTCAGCAAATTATATCAATAGCTCTTCTAGAAATTGTAAATAGCTTTGTTTTCAGCAGAAATTAATCGGTCTCAGCAATATACATTTTCAGAAATATAACAGAAATGTGTATTTTCATACATACCCCATCCTTCTCATTTTCAGTCTGTTTAAATGTCCTTTTGGTGAAATACGCCAGACTCAAGATAAAAGCTGAAGTAACTAGAACTGTGGACGTCAAGTTCCCCTCCACAACCTTCTCCACTGCATTTTCTATCAGAGATGTCCCTGCCTCAAACAGGGTCAGCAACATGTTTGTGTGTGTGTCACAGGGCAACTGTCCACTCTCTCATTTGTTGTCAGGTATTTGGCTGTGAAACCTCTGCTGTTCCTACAACGGCTGTGCAGGACACAACCTGCAGCCCCTTCCAGACTGCCCCTCACTCACTGCACTGACTGCCCCTCACTCACTGCACTGCACTGACTGCCCCTCACACACTCACTGCACTCACTGCCCCTCACTCACTGCACTGCACTGACTGCCCCTCACTCACTGCACTGACTGCCCCTCACTCACTGCACTGCACTGACTGCCCCTCACACACTCACTGCACTCACTGCCCCTCACTCACTGCACTGCACTGACTGCCCCTCACTCACTGCACTGACTGCCCCTCACTCACTGCACTGCACTGACTGCCCCTCACACACTCACTGCACTCACTGCCCCTCACTCACTGCACTGCACTGACTGCCCCTCACTCACTGCACTCACTGCCCCTCACTCACTCACTGCACTGACTGCCCCTCACACACTCACTGCACTCACTGCCCCTCACTCACTCACTGACTGCCCCTCACTCACTCACTGCACTGACTGCCCCTCACTCACTGCACTGCACTGACTGCCCCTCACACACTCACTGCACTCACTGCCCCTCACTGCACTCACTGCCCCTCACACACTCACTGCACTGACTGCCCCTCACTCACTGCACTGACTGCCCCTCACTCACTCACTGACTGCCCCTCACTCACTCACTGACTGCCCCTCACACTCACTGCACTGACTGCCCCTCACTCACTGACTGCACTGACTGCCCCTCACACACTCACACACTCACTGCCCCTCACTCACACACTCACTGCCCCTCACTCACACACTCACTGCCCCTCACTCACACACTCACTGCCCCTCACACACTCACTGCACTGACTGCCCCTCACTCACTGCACTGACTGCCCCTCACTCACTGACTGCCCCTCACTCACTGCACTGACTGCCCCTCACTGCACTCACTGCCCCTCACACACTCACTGCACTCACTGCCCCTCACTCACTCACTGCCCCTCACACACTGACTGCCCCTCACTCACTCACTGACTGCACTCACTGCCACTCACTCACTGCCCCAACACTCACTCACTGAGTGAGTGGCTCTGCCTTCCTCACCTGCACCACTGCACTCGGCACTGATTGGTGGTTTAGCGGCGGGAAGGCGGGACTTGAATCCGAAGCCAATGGCATCTCCGCGTGGCAATGACATCGGGCGCTGATTGGCTGAGTGGAGCTCTACTGATGTCTGACTATATGATGTCATAAAGGGCGCTCTCAGGGGCGGCGCTCAGCAGCCACTCAGGGCTCAGAGCAGCGACACAGCCATTGAGTGAGGCTCAGCCCCACAGCGCACACCTCAGCCACAGGGTGTACACCACCCACTGCCATCCCACCCACCACCAGCCACCCCCACCCCACCCATCCCACCCAACACCAGCCACCCCACCCCACACACACCCACCAGCACCCACCCCCACCACCCAAACCAACCACCCCATCCCACCCAACACCAGCCACCCCACCCCACACACACCCACCCACTGCCATCCCACCCAACACCAGCCACCCCACCCCACACACACCCACCAGCACCCACCCCCACCACCCAAACCAACCACCCCATCCCACCCAACACCAGCCACCCCCCCCACACACACCCACCAGCACCCACCCCCACCACCCAACCAACCACCCCATCCCACCCAACACCAGCCACCCCACCCCACCACACCCACCAGCACCCACCCCACCACCCAACCAACCACCCCATCCCACCCACCACCAGCCACCCCCACCCCATCCCACCCCACCCCATCCACTGCCATCCCACCCACCACCAGCCACCCCACCCCCACACACCCACCCACTGCCATCCCCACCAACACCAGCCACCCCACCCCACCACCCCCACCCCACCCCACACACTGCCATCCCACCCACCACCAGCCACCACCCACCCCCACCCACCCAACACCAGCCACCCCACCCCACAGCACACACCACCCACTGCCATCCCACCAACACCACCACCCCCACCCCCACCCACCCACCCAACACCAGCCACCCCACCCCACAGCACACACCAACCCACTGCCATCCCACCCACCACCAGCCACCACCCACCCCCACCCCACACACTGCCATCCCACCCACCACCACACACACCCACAGCGCACACCTCAGTCACAGGGTGTACACCACCCACTGCCATCCCACCCACCACCAGCCACCCACCCCACACACACCACCAGCACCCACCCCCACCACCCAAACCAACCATCCCACCCACCCACCCCCACCCCACCCACTGCACACACCACCCACTGCCATCCCATCCCACCACCCACCCCCACCCACCCCACAGCGCACACCCACCCACTGCCATCCCACTCCCACACACACCCCCCACCACCCACACCCCCCACCCCACCACCAGCCACCCCCACACCACCCCACACACACCCACCCCACCACCCACCCCACCCACCCACCAGCCACCCCACCACCCCCACCCCACAGCACACCCCCACCCACCCAATCCCACCCACCAGCCACCCCCCACACCCACCAGCCACCCCACAGCACACAGCACACCCACCAGCCATCCCACACACACACCAGCCACCCCACCCCCACCCACCCACCCCACAGCACACCCCACCAGCCACCCCACACACCCACCCCACCAGCACCCACCCCACCACCCACCCCATCCACCCACAGCCACCCCACAGCACACACCCACCCACTGCCATCCCACCCACCAGCCACCCCACCCCAGCCAACCCACCACACCACCCACCCACCCACCCACCACCACCCCACACCCACCAGCCACCCCACCCCAGCCAACCCACCACACCCACCCACCCCATCCCACCCACCAGCCACCCCATACACCCACCAGCCACCCCCACCCACCACACCCACCACCCACCACACCCACCCACCACACCCCACCACACACCCCCCACCACCCACCCCATCCCACCCACCAGCCACCCCACACACCCACCACCACCCACCCACCACCCACCACCACCCCCACACCACCAGCCCACCCCCACACCCACCAGCCACCCCCACACCCACCAGCCACCCCCCACACCCAGCCCACCAGCACCCACACACACACACCCCACCACCCACCATCCACCCACCAGCCACCCCACACACCCACCAGCCACCCCCCACACCCACCAGCCACCCCCCACACCCACCAGCCACCCCCCACACCACCAGCCACCCCCCACACCCACCAGCCACCCCCCACACCCACCAGCCACCCCACACCCACCAGCCACCCCCCACACCCAGCCCACCAGCACCCACACACACACACCCACCACCCACCCCATCCCACCCACCAGCCACCCCATCCCACCCCACAGCACCCACCAGCCACCCCCACACCCACCAGCCACCCCCACACCCACCCCATCCCACCCACCAGCCAACCCACAGCACACACCCACTGCCATCCCACCCACCAGCCACCCCACAGACCCACTGCCATCCCACCCACCACCAGCCACCCCATACACCCACCAGCCATCCCACCTACCCCCACCAGCAATCCCACCCCACCCACCAGCCACCCACACACCCACCCACTGCCATCCCCCCACCAGCCACCCCACAGCACACCCATCCCACCCCACCCACCCCCACACACACCCACTCCATCCCCCCACCCCCCACCAGCCACCCCACAGCACACCCCACCCACCCCATCCCACCCACCAGCCACCCCACAGCACACACCCACCCACCCCATCCCACCCACCAGCCACCCCACCCACCAGCCACCCCACCCACCAGCCACCCCACAGCACACCCCCACCCACCCCATCCCACCCACCAGCCACCCCACAGCACCCCACCCACCCCATCCCACCCACCAGCCACCCCACAGCACACCCCCACCCACCCCATCCCAGCCCCCCACCAGCCACCCCACCCACCAGCCACCCCACAGCACACCCCCACCCACCCCATCCCACCCCACAGCACACCCCCACCCACCCCACCCCCCACCAGCCTCCCACAGCACACCCCCACCCACCCCATCCCAGCCCCCCACCAGCTACCCCACCACCAGCCACCCACAGCACACCCCCACCACCCATCCCACAGCACACACCCACCCACCCATCCCACTCACCAGCCACCCCACAGCACACCCACCCACCCATCCCACCCCACACACACCCACTCCATCCCCCCCACCCCCCCACCAGCCACCCCACAGCACACCCCCACCACCACCCCACCCCACACACACCCACTCCATCCCCCACCCCCCCACCAGCCACCCCACAGCACACCCCACCCACCCCATCCCACCCACCAGCCATCCCACCCACCAGCCACCCCACAGCACACCCCCACCCCACCCATCCCAACCACCAGTCATCCCACCACCAGCCACCCCACAGCACATCCCACCCACACCCATCCCACCACCCACCAGCCACCCCACAGCACACCCCCACCACATCCCACCCACCAGCCACCCCACAGCACACACCACCCACCACCCACCCCACCCCATCCACCCCATCCCACCCACCGGCCACCCCACCCACCCAACCACCCACCCCACCCACCCCATCCCACTCACCAGCCACCCCATCCCACCCACCCATCCCACCCACCAGCCACCACAGCTCACCCCCACCCCACACCCATCCCACCCCACCCACCAGCCACCCCACAGCACACCCACCACATCCCACCCACCAGCCACCCCACAGCACACACCACCCACCAGCCATCCCACCCCACCACCACCCACCACCCCACACCCATCCACCCCATCCCACCCACCAGCCACCCACCCCCACCCCATCCCACCCACCAGCCAACCCACCACCCCACCCCACCATCTCACCCACCAGCCACGCCCACACACACCCACCCACCAGCCACCCCACCCACCAGCCACCCCCACCCACCCACACCCCCACCAGCCACCCGACCCCACAGCACACACCCACCCCATAGCACACACCCACCCACCCCACACACACCCACCACAGCCACCCCCACCAGCCACCCCACCCCACCCACCAGCCACCCCCACCAGCCACCCCACCCACCAGCCACCCACCACACCCACCAAGCCACCCCACACCAACTCCACCAGCCACACCCACCCCCACCAGCCACACCCACCAGCCACCCCCACCCCACCCACCAGCCACCACCCACCCCCAACCCACCAGCCACCCCACACCCACCAGCCCACCCCACACCCACCAGCCACCCCCACACCCACCAGCCACCCCACACCCACCCCCCCCACCCCCCACCCGCCCCCACCACCACCCCCCCCACCCACCAGCCGCCACCCCCCACCCACCAGCCACCCCCACCCACCCCACCTCCACCAGCCACCCCACCTCCACCAGCCACCCCACATCCACCCCCACCCACCCACACCCACCCACCCCAACCCACCAGCCACCCCCACCCCACCCACCCCAACCCACCAGCCACCCCCACACCCACCAGCCACCCCAACCACCCGCCACCCACCCCAACCCACCACCCACCCCCAACCCACCAGCCACCCCCACACCCACCAGCCACCCCCAACCACCCCCACCCACCAGCCACCCACCCCCACCCGCCACCCCACACCCACCCCACCCCCACCCACTCGCCACCCCAACCCACCAGCCACCCCACCCCCACCAGCCACCCCACCCCACCAGCCACCCCCACACCCCCCCCCCCACACCCCCAGCCACCCCAACCCAGCTCTGTGGGGATCACACCCACCAGCCCAGCCCTGTGGGGATCACACCCACACACCAGCCCAGCTCAGCCCCTGTGTGGGGATCAGATACCCAGCTCAGCCACTGTGTGTGGGGATCAGACACCCAGCTCAGCCCCTGTGTGGGGATCAGACACCCAGCTCAGCCCCTGTGTGGGGATCAGACACCCAGCTCAGCCACTGTGCGTGTGGGGGGGGGACAGAGTCCCAGCTCAGTCACTGGGTGTGTTTGTGGGACACAGAGGCCCATCTCAGTCCCTGTGTGTGGGACACAGACCCATCTCAGTCCCTGTGTGTGGGACACAGACCCAGCTCAGTCACTGTGTGTGTGAGACACAGAGATGCAGCTCAGTCACTGTGTGTGTGAGACACAGAGATGCAGCTCAGTCACTGTGTGTGTGGGACACAGAGATGCAGCTCAGTCACTGTGTGTGTGAGACACAGAGATGCAGCTCAGTCACTGTGTGTGTGGGACACAGAGATGCAGCTCAGTCACTGTGTGTGTGAGACACAGAGATGCAGCTCAGTCACTGTGTGTGTGAGACACAGAGATGCAGCTCAGTCACTGTGTGTGTGTGGGGTGGGGGGACACAGAGAGCCCAGCTCAGTGACTGTGTGTGGGGGGGACACGGAGAGCCCAGCTCAGTGACTGTGTGTGGGGGGGACACGGAGAGCCCAGCTCAGTGATTAACTGTGTGGGGGGACACAGAGGACCCAGCTCAGTGACTGTGTGTGTGTGTGGGACACAGAGTGCCCAGCTCAGTGACTAACCGTATGTGTGCGTCACGGCGAGAGAGAGAGAGAGAGAGAGATTGTCAGTGTTTGTCAGTCAGTATGAGAATCTAGAGCACCCACACTGTGGGTCAGTGTGAGAGAGCTCAGGGCATCCACAGTGGGTATGTGTGTGAGACGTAGAAAGGGATGATTGCAGAGGGAGTTGAAGGTCAGAACAAGGATGTTAAAAGTGGATAACCCAGAGAATTGTGAGCAGGTGGAGCGTGGGGAGGATAGGATTGATAGATTGCAGAGATTTAGACAAGGGGGGGCTGGCAAACAGAACATTGGAGAAGTCTCTCTTTTAGGTGCTGAAGATATAAATTAAGATTTCAGGAGTATGGATTCAGTTTTGCTTAGTTGAAAATTAATGTTTATTCTAAAATTTTATGTCAGGCAGCCTGAACAGCAAATGGTGGAATTGATGGTGAAAGCTGAGAAGTAGCATTGGGATTCATTGGCATATGTGAATATAACCCTTCAACTGTGCATATTCTCATTCAGAACCCACACATCAGTCTATTAGCAATTGAATCACTCAAGTGCCCAACCCCCAGGTGGAACAAAATAACCTCACTGATAATCTGTAAAAAATAACTTTATTCCATCTCTCTGGTTAAGCAGTACACTCACAGACTTAGGATTTGTGGAGCACTTTTTTGATCACAACCGTTTAATGATTAAGCAAATGGCACAGAGCACTTACTAAGCACAGTACATGTTACATCTGGAATATGAGGTTGTAGATGAATGAAAAACCATTTTATATATCGTAATACATTGTGAGACTTGTTTTTCTATAGGCACCAAGGAAAATATAGACAAGGAATAGGAGAGGACTATTACTACAACAATTTACACTAATATAGTGCCCGTCACATTTGAAAAACACCTTAAGCTGTTTTAGAAAGGCTGAGCAGGTCCCCAGCTGGAAGAAGCTAGAGTGTTGAGGGGTTGGTGACTGAAAGAATAGTCAAAGTACATCATCAGGTGAGCTTTGAAAGCAGAGAGGGAAGGAGTGACCCAGGGGTTTTGGGGGTGTTCTGGAGGATGACGATATTAAAATTGAACCACTGGGGTAAGCAGGCAACAAAGTTGGGTGAGGAGGGGATATGCGTTAGAAATCCTGACGGTTTGGAGTTTGTGAAGGGTGGAGCCAGGGAGGCTGGTAAGCAGGGCATTGTGATAAAAATAATCTGGAGGTCGGTCACAAAGCACAGATGAGAGTTTCAGCTCCATTAGGGGTGAGGTAGTGGTCGTGGCCGACATTGCGGAGATGGAAGAAAGTGAACTTAGATTCTGGATGAAAGGTTTGAAGGAGTTCCGATTCAAACAAAATGTTGAGCTGGTGCACTGGCTCCGGGAGTTGGAGGGAACAACCGGGGAAATCGATAGAGTCATTGCGTGAGATGAGGAGGTGTTGATGGGAAGGAAGCAGGATAGCATAGAAATTTTTTTTTGTTGATTGAGCTGAAGAAAGTTGAGGCTCATCTAGAAATTAATGTTTAACAGGCAGTCAGCTGCTAAACAACAGTGGTCATGGAGGTGAGGATTGAGCAGAAACCATTGCGGTTTGGGTCCATAAAGAACATAAGAACATAATTAGGAGCAGCAGTAGGTCATTCAGACCCTCGAGCCTGCCCGGCCATTCGATAAGATCATGGCTGATCTTCTGACCTAACTCTAATTACCTGCCCTATCCCCATATCCCTCTATTTTTTAAAAATCTATCAGTCTCAGCCTTGAAAATGTTCAAGGACTGAGCATCTACAGCCTTCTGGGGTAGTGAATTCCATAAACTTGCACAACAAATTATAAAGGAGGGTTCTAAACGGCAGTGCTTCTGGGTTGTCACTTCTCTCACACAGGAAGTCAGCAAATGCTCTCATGAGTGTTTTCAGCAGATAGACACCACCAGATGCCTTCTCTGCCTGCAAGCTATGCAAAGGAAGCTGACCAGTTAGTGCCAGAAGCATACCGCACTTCTGGTCCACTATATAAGCACTATACTGGGAGCATTATAACTGGTTCATTTATTAATTAACAAGTAATAATTTCATTCATCCAGCAAGTTCATGGCAGAAAGCTACCAAATGGGAGAAACATAATTAATTTATTAGAGAAAAACATTATCTGCTCTGTACATTTCAGACCTTTTCTGCTCAAAAGAAAAGTAACACAATTTTTTTTCAGCTATTGGATTGATAACATCAACATCTCATTTTATAAAATAATACTAACAAGTTATTGTGTGTCAAAGCAATTATAAACATGCTCTTTTACCTAGTAGCAAGAAATAAGTGATTTTTTAAAAAAATTACAAAATTATTTGTTTTAACAGTACAGCTCATGCTGGTGAACAATGATTGCACTGCTCTTGAAGGTCAAGGTTAAAAAAATAACCACCGCAGATAGATATCTGGAAACAAATCTTTGAAGAGGTGTGTAATCAATCTCCACTATGTATTTGCTAAAAGTAAAAGGAATAAATCAAACATGATTTTTCCATATATGTATAAATATCACAAAAGCCAAACTACTTACAAGGTTTAAACAAAAAGATGCGTCTTCAAAGAGTCTATGTAATCCATGGCAATTCAGAGGCTGAGTAGATCTACAATTATGATTGGTAGAGGCAGATGAATCTCTGTGGTTAATGGTTACCCGTATCCAAATCTCTCCGCTAAATTTCTTTCATTTACACTCAATTGGCCACTCAACTTCATCAGTAACTTTACGATCAAGCCTGCCTGTAGAATAGATGCAGAAAAATACTGTAGAACAAGTACAAGTGTTGTAATGACATAAAATAATGAACAGCATGATTCATATTAAAATATAATCTTGTTCTGTCTCTCACACAAACAAAAATTTCTTACGTGTAAACATGTTCAATTGTGGCAACAAATGATTTAAAAAATAGAGGTTAGTCAATAAACTAAGTGCTTCAGTTCCAGAAATGACTGCTCAATCCACTACCTATTACCTCCGCTCGACTGGCTCTGGCTACTGCTTGTCCCCCGTGTCCACGCCACCATCTGGGTACAAGGGCCAATTAGCCAGGGAGTAAGCAGGTTGGAGAGGTAGGGAAGTGCCAGAGCATGAAGGGATTTGAAGACGAGTGTGAGAGTCTTAAAATCCTTTCGGTGCTGGGGAGCCAGTGGAGCCTGGCTAGAACTGGTGTGATGGGGGTTTGGAATTTAGTGTGGGTGAGTATGCAGGGTGCAGAGTTCTGGGATTAGCTGGATTTGGGGAGGCAGGGTTCATTGGTATCAACTACCATCCAGTACCTTGTCCATTCTTTACTTGTGAGCACAGACAATGGGAGTACCCCTTTGCTATTGGACTGTGGAAGATCAAAATTGAGAATAGCTCTCAATATCTACACAGCAATGGAATAGCAATCAAAAACAGGAAGCATCACCTACTTCTTTCCCTCTCTAGCCCAGAGGCAATGAGGCTAATATAATATAACTCAGATGAGATCAATTAATTCAGTAGAGTGTAGGGATTGGATTAGAGACCTATAAGGTTCATCTTCCTGCTGAGCAATTGATGAACAAACTTTGTCCGCAAGGATATGAAGAATTTTATTATCACAAGGAATTACATGGCACAAAGAAAATCACAAATAATATTAGACAAAGGTTATTAAGTAAATGAATTAAAGCAACACAACAGAAAATCGTTTTTTAAAATGGAAAAGGTCCACCTCTGCTTCAGCTCTACTCAAGATCAAATCATACCTGCTTTGTGTGTAGTACAAGGCTCATTTTATTTTCCAAACTGTGAATCTGAAAATAGGCATCTCCTTCACCCAACTGCCACTTGAGGGAGCCATACTTTAGGCTGATCAGCAAAGCCTGACAAAAGAGATAGAAAGCGATGCATTAAATGTGCATTAAATCCAATTACATGTGTAGCTCTTGAAATATAGTTCGCAAAACCCTTTACAAATTGTGGTAGATAATGGCTCTGAAGGCAAATGATCCTAAATGTATTCGGGGAGTAAGACATCCACATAACAACAACAACAAAGTTACATTTGTAAAGTAACATCGGGAGGATGTCCCAAGGCGCTGGACAAGACAGAGTTACAGATCGAAAGCATGGTCAAAGAGGAGGGTCTTGAGATGGGTCTTGAAGGTGGCAAGAGAGAGGGTGAGGCGGAGGGACTGTGGGTTGGAGTTCCAGAGGGTGGGGGCAAAGTGGCGGAAGGCCCGCCCACCAATAGTGGAGTGAACAAGGCAGCGGACGTGAAGCAGGCCGGAGCCCGCTGAGCGGAGAGAGCAAGCAGGATGGTAGGGGGGTTAGGAGGTCGCAGAGGTAGGGGGAGCAAGACCGTGGAGGGCTTTGAAGATCAGGACCTTGAACTGTATCCTCTGTGTGATGGGAATCCAGTGGAGTTGGGCGAGGATGGGGGTGATAGGGTCGCAAAGCCTAGTGTGGGAGAGGACACAGGCTGCAGAGTTCTGGATGATCTCAACCTATATGGAGGGAGGAGTTGGGGAGGCCGACAAGCAGTGAGTTTGCATAGTCGGCCTTGATGTAATGAAAGCGTGTATGAGGGTTTCGGCGGCCTGCGGTGTGAGACAGTGGCGGAGCCGGGCGACTTTGCAGAGGTGGGGGAAGGCAGAGCGGCTCATGGAGCAGATGTGGGGTAGAAAGGACAGTTGAGGGTCAAACAAGACCCCAAGGTTCCAGACTGGCTCAGTAAGGTGAAGTGTGCAACCGTGGATGGTGATGCTGTCAGCGCCTGAGGTGAAGAGGTGCTGACTGGAGCCAATCAGGAGATATTTACGTAAGTAAATATACAACAACAAATTGTATTAATATAGTGCCTTTCATATCAGGAGGACATCCTAAGGCGCTGGGCAGTGCAGGGTTTGAAGGCTAGAGATGGGACTGTAGTTTGAGAGCAGAAATGGGACAAGGGAAGTTTATTTTGAGGGTGGAGTTATAGCAGCAAAATATTACCAAAAGTCAGTCCCAAGCCACCTCTGTATAATTCCTTGGAGTCAGTTATAAAGCGTAATCGACAAGAGAAGGAGGAGGAGGTTGCCTGCTCACCCTTTTGGGTGGAGAGTGGGCACAAGATTACAGCCTGGCTCAGTGTGTCAGCCTGACACGGCTGATAGCAGTCTGGAATTGGGTAAGCAGAGGATGTGTCCCTCCAGGGAGAGAGTGCACATTCCATTCCAATAAACATCTCTGGAATTGTCACGTGTGCATGTAACTCTCAGTTTGGTTTGGATACCCTCAAGCACGGTGACTGATTTCCGCATGTATCAGACACTCGATAGCTGAACAAAAAAAAATAATTTTACTCTGTTCCTCAGAAATGTTCAGAATGTTCAATGCAACTTTGGATGCAAAATAGGTAGTGTTCCAATGCTGATGTGCCCCAAGTGAGGTATCACAAAAATACTTATTGAATTGTTCGCAAGATATAACTGTTGTCAGGCTGATCTGAAAATACTGTACTTGTGAAGGATCAAGAGAATGTGAAACAAGCAAACAAAGATGGCTAATAATTACCAGTAGTTTCTAAGATGTAAAATATTCATAACCAGAATATCAAAATGGGCAGAATGTTCTTGCTCTTAAACAGGGACTTCACTTGGCCTTAACTTTGCTGTATTATTAATACTTAAAGAGCCAGTAATACGCTTTGTGTGCTAGGTGAATGGAACTTTATTTAGTTGCTGAATCAATTTAATAGTGAGATTACCGCTCATCTTGGGAGAAAACATTCTTACTAATAGTCCAAAGTTTTTGTACAATCACTTTACCTTAGTCTCCATGTTCACGAGATGCAGACCCTTTGTATTTACACCAACATATACTTTGACCACTTTATGGCTACTAGAGCTTGCTTTGGTATAAACTTGCCCCGTGAAAAAGGCTGCTCCATAGGTTGGAAACTCCCAGCAAATCTGCAGGAAGAGACGCTGAAGGTGGTGCATCTCTTTACTGATCCCTTCACGACTGCTAAGACTCTGTTAAACGATCACAATAATTGTGATTAGAAAATGCAAACTGTAAGATAAAAATAGCTTTCGGATTTCCTGCCCTCCTATTCTCTTATTTTTTCATATCCCCCCTTCTCCCAAATGCTACGTTAAAGTCACCAACTGAGTGGTTGGGTCAGTGATAACACTCCTACTCCATCTTTGCTACTTTGTGAAATGCAATTTGTTGTTGTATATTTACTCATGTAAATATCTCCTGATTGGCTCCCGTCACCGCCTCCTCACCTCAGGTGCTGACAGCATCTTACTAAGATCATCCAGAACTCTGCAGCCCATGTTCTCTGTCGTACTAGGTTTCGCGACCCTATCAACCCCATCCTCACCCGACTCCACTGGCTTCCCATTACACAGTTCAAGATTCTGGTCCTCAACTTCAAAGCCCTCTACGGTATTTCTCCCCCCTACCTCTGTGACCTCCTAACCCTCCCTACCATACTGCTCGCTCCCTCCGCTCAGCGGGCTCCAGCCTGCTTCACATCCCCTTCCTCGCTCGCCCCACTATTGGCAGGCGGGCCTTCTGCCACTCTACCCCCACCCTCTGGAACTCCATCCTGCAGTTCCTCCACCTCGCCCCCTCCCTTGGCTTCCTTGGATTATGGCAACGCCCTCCTCATCGGCCTTCCAACTCTTCCCTTCACAAACTGCAGACCATCCAAAACTCTGCAGCTTGTGTACTCTCACGCCCAGGCTCCGTGACCCCATCACTCCCACCCTCGCCCGACTCCACCTGGCTCCCCATCCCCCAGAGGAGCAAATTCAAAATCCTCGTCCTCACTTTCAAGGCCACCCATGGCCTCGGCCCCTCATACCTCTCTGACCTGCTGACTCCCTACCAACCTGCCCGCTCCCTCCATTCAGCGGGCTCCGGCTGCTCCATGTCTCCCGCCTGACCCGCCCTACCATCAGTGGCTGAGCTTTCAGCCTCTCCGCCCCCTCACTCTGGAACTCCATCCCACAGTCCCTTCGCCTCGCTGCCTCCCTTGTCTCCTTCAAGGCTGTTCTCAAGACCCTCCTCTTCGATTGTGCCTTCAGTCACCCTCTCACCTCTCTGCCTTCCCTCACCCTGTCCAGCGCCTTGGGACGTCCTCCCGACTTGAAAGACGCTCTATAAATGTAATTTTGTTGTTGCTTTGATTCAGTGTTGGAAAATGCACAACAGCAGGAAGAGTTACACCCTGTACTGGGAAAGTGCCGTTTCTCTACACATATCTTCCACTACATGGGCCAATGACCCAGTTCACCATGTGAGGAGAGAACCTAAGACTCCCATGCAAAGTAATGCACCAATCTCAAACGTAGGTTGAGTTAGGACACTGAAATAATTAGTGAACTAAAATTCTAACCATATTGATAGAACTAGCTCAGTTGAAAAACAGAGCTATCAGAAAAATAGCCCAGCAGTAATAGGCTCTTCCTTTATATATCAACATACTGCGTTTTATTCTAATAATGCATCAATGCTGCAAAACCTAGTAAGTACAATAGTCTCACCTTAATATCAAAACTGAAATACCTATACCAAACAAACATGTACATTTCATAAAGATATGTATTCTCTGATGTTAGCTGTACAAATATTTTGGAAAGATTTCCCAAACTGAATCTACACCGGAAACATAAATTAAATAAATAAATTTTCTGTGAAACTGTCAAATTAAATTGCTAGATTCTAATGTAAATTTATGATCAGCTAATTTTATCAATTTATAAATTAATGAAAGTTTTTTTTAAACTGACCTTGTATTCGTGAAGAATCCTACCAATCCAATGTGGACCCTTGCTTTTGAATTTGGTACATGGCAATATACATTTTAGATTTTCTTCACTAAAAATAATAAATAGGGTTAAGAGATGAATAATACATTGATTTTCACTTAATAGGTTAGACAAAAAGTCATTTTAACATTGCAGATGAATAGTGAAGGATGCTTTAGAACAAAAGTTTGTGAAATAACCTAGATATTCAATATAAAGAAAATACAATTATGCAATACAGTTTACATTTATATTGTGCCTTTCATGTCAGGATAACTTCTCAAAGTGCTTAACAACACGAGATGGGCATAAGCTGGGTTGGGAGCTGGTGGGGGGGGTGGTAAGATGACTAAAAGCAACAACAATTTTGGAGTACAGAAAGAATTATATCTCTGTAACTGTGTTACAGTCACCCCTTTGTTTCTGTACCTGTCTGTTCTTTAGACTGTGTTCTGTAGGGCTTATGTGTTCACTAGAAGCATTGGCCAGTCTGGGTGACCCTTTGGATGCATCATTTATGTATTTAAAGTTGTTTGGGATGTTTCCTGTACCATCAAGTCTAAATATTTACAGCTTGCATAAGTGGATACAAAAGTGCATTGTTTCCCTATTGGGTCACTTACATCTTTTATGTATTTAAAGTTGTGGGTGACACTTGTGGTGTCACAACGTCTGACTATAATTTGCGTATGTGGATTCGGGAAGGGGCTCAATGCCCATAAAAGAACAAACACCAAGTGCTTGGCTTCGCTTTTACTTGGTAACATCTGAAAGATAAGTGTCTTGACTGCCTAGAGGCACAAACCCTCTGAGTCAAGAGTTGGTTCAGTGCACATATATTAACCTCATATTTAATAGATTTCCAGCTAGTATTTGTTAAAGTTGATTAGTTATTTGTATAATTCATAGTTGTGTAATTTATTGTTATTTGTCAAAATAAATTGAGAACTATTTTTGAGGAGTTTAGGATTCTGACCAAACCATAATAAAAATACCATTGAGTGTTCTTAACCGTGTCTCATTCGAGCTCTCTGTTCATTTTCAATTAGCAAGAAATATTAAGCAATAAGTTCTTGCACACATTAGTGAGAATTGATTAAAGAGGCCACCCAGTACACTCTGCGACGGGGATCGAGCCAAATCGTGGGTGTACAAATTAAGGGTGTAGAACCATCTCACAAGTCATATACTCCAGGACATTATTATAGCTAATTAATCACTGGAGCTTCACCCTCTTGGTGTAAGTCATCATCTCAACTCCTTGATGAATTACTTCCTTGTAATCAATCTATTGCAGACGAAGCCGTGATGTGCTGTTAACTGCAAGTAATGGGTCTATTAATAGCTATTCTGGCATAAGTAGTGGTATTTCCTTCAATTCCAGAATGTTCTAGCTCACGGAGAAGGAAAAGCCAGTCTGGGCTGCCCATAACCTACATCTCCCACACCGGAACAATTCAAGAAATAACCGGAGTTGAAATAGGGGCTACTTACTCAACATTTCTAAGATCTCCTAAAAATATAGGTGTCAGCCTGGCTCAGTTGGTAGCACTCCCGCCTATTGTGGGTTCCAGCTCCATATCAAGATTTGAGTTTATAGTCTAGGCTGATATTCCAATGCAGTGTTGAGGGAGCGCTGCACTGTTAGAGGTGTCCTTTGGATGAGACAATAAACTGAGATCTGTTTGCCTGTTTGGGTGATCCTTAAGATGGCACTATTTCAAAAAAAGGAAGGAGTTTCGCCAAGTGTCCTATGAAACAATCCTCCAAATAAAATTGGTTATTTCATTTTAGGCTGTTTGTGGGACATTATTATGCTCAAATTGGCTATGATATTCTCTTACAAATCCACAGTCACTACACTTTTCAGTAAAACCTGGGATTTTTCTCATTTATCAAAGTCTTCGTTTCTAATAATCAAGACATCAATTAAAAGGCATTTTTCAATGTAACTTTTCAAAACTGGTCTGCTTGTTAAATAATCAAAACATCCTTCTCCAGACTATGAAGTGACGGATCAACAGAGTATCAGTGAGAGTTGCTGAAAGTGCTTCAGCTGAAATGCCCTTTAATTTAATCTATTTACATTTACCACTTAGATGTACTCACTTGAGGAATCCCTGTTTATGTTTCTTGCTTTCATAATTTCCGTAAATGATTTGAAGGAGGAGGCCAGCCAATGTTATAAGTTGAGTGTCAGAACATGGGTAAAACCCTTTCAGCAAGTTATTACGTGCCTCATCAAATAGAATTAGGATAGCCAATGGATCATCCACCTGTGATAAACAATGTAGAAATAAATATACATGCACATACAGCAGAAAGAATGAAATTCTGTTTTTATAATACCTTCTGTCATGCCAAAACACCTCAAAGTTCTCCGCAGCAATTACTATTTTTGGGGGACTTGCCACCTTAAGTCTCAGGTTCCATCTATGAGAATTCATAGAAGAGTTTCTATTTGCTAGTTCTGCAGTCTTTACCCTAGAACACATGCAAACAAAAAGCAATGCAGCTCTGCCCATGCCTAGAGAACAAAAGTAGGGGTTGGCAATTATCAATGCATTTGGATTTCCAAAGTACTAATGTAATTGGAAAAACTTAAAATCATGCACCTTCGTACTGCCTTACTTCCTACTGCTTGCCCTACTCATTCGGAGGTTACCCAACAGAATTTTCAGCTAAGTAAGAATAATCCTGACTCTCCAGTAATGTGTCCCATTGAGTCAGGCAGGCTGCTCAATCATCACCATCTGCATGAATATAAAACGTTAATCACTGCCAGCTGTGGCATACCATCTTTCAAATTTAAAATTAAGCTGGTTTTCCTTCCTCAAAAAACTAGATGAAACTATTTTATGACACCGTCTTGACGATAACAGAGCAGTGAAAATGTAATTTATCTTCACTGATAAGAATACCACAACATGATTTGTCATTCAGCAATGGTAGAGCCATTATGTCAACAGTTCCATGGAAAGGGGCATTTTTACAGTGGAAATGGACCAGCATGAAAGAATTCCAGGTTAATCTGCTTTGTTCACTATGGTAGTGAATCTCTAATGTGCACTGAGTGTAAAAATCCTGCTATAAGCAAACATCTAAAGATTTGCTATATTTAGCAAACACAGTAGAATAACACCAATGGTGGATTAAAAAACACCCTCTCACTTTTCTACATCATCCAAATTGCTAATATTATTAGGTTGGCAAAAGGTATACTTTAAGAGTGAAAGTACGTTAAGCAAAAAGGCAGCAACTTGTGTTCCTGAGAATAGATAAAATTCGCATTATCTATCGCCTCCCAAAGCCTTTCCCACTTTCCTTCCCGCCATCTCCACCCTATTCTTCCCTCTCCCTCTGAACACCTCCTCATCCTAGGTGACTTCAACCTTCACTTCACCCCCTACTGCTCTACCTCTGCTGACTTCTCCTCCCTTATCTCCTCCATCAACCTCTCCCTCCACATCTCTCCCCAATCCACGACTGCTGTCATCCCCTCAACCTAGTGATCACTCGGGGCCTCACTGTCTCAGACCTCACCAGCATCAACAAAGCAATCTCAAACCATCACTTCATCTCCCTTAACTCCTCAATCCCTCTCCCCACCACCACCCAAACCACCTCCATCTCCTTCCGTCCCTGGAAAAAAACCTCTCCACTGCCTTGGCGTCATCTGAACTCCTCCCACTCTGGGCTTCCTCTCGCAATGACCTATCCTCCTCCATCACTCTTCTCCACAGTTCCCACTCTACCACTCTTGATTCCCTTGCTTCCTTCACCCCCCGAACCGTCTCTTACTCACGAAAGTCTCCATGATACACCAACCACCTCCACCCCCTTAAAGCACAGGTGCGTGTTGCTGAACGCACCTGGCTTAAATCGAACTTAATGGTCCATCAGTGGTAACGATACCACTGACCACTCTATCCTCCTCCACCTCCTCTCCTCAACCTTCATGGTTCTGTCCTTGAATGGTTCTGTCACACCGCCTCCACTTCATCTCCACAAACGGTTTCTCCTCTAGCTCCAGCAACATCTTGTGCCTCTGCTAAATCACATGAGAGGGTGGGCGGAGGAGACAGTTGGTGATAGAGGAGTCCGGGGTTGTCCTTGGCCTCCAAGATTGTTTTGGAGTAGAACGACATTCCTCAGGGCTCTGTCCTTGATCCTCTCTTCTTCAATATCTATATGCTCCCTCTTGGTGACATCATCCGCAGTCATGGGGTCAACTTCCACATGTATGCAGATGACACCCAACTCTACCTCTCTGCCTCCACCCTCGACTCCAAGACCACTGCTGTCCTCACAGAATGTCTGCCAGACACCATTGGCGGCTGAGCCTTCTGCCTCTCCTCCCCCCGCCCTCTGGAACTCCATCCCGCCTTGCGCCCTCCCTTGCCTTCTTCAAGACCCATCTCAAGACCCTATTCTTCGACCGTGCTTTTGATCACTCTGCTTCCTCCGCCTGACCTCCACCCTCCCTGATCCCGACCACCAGCACAAGTCTGAAACACTGACTGTTCAGCACCTTGGGACGTCCTCCCGATGTGCAAGGTGCTATACAATTGTTGTTCCCAATTTTTAAAGGAAATGTTTGCTACTAATAAAGCAACATATATCAGTGCTAACCTTCCTTTCAGTTTCTAACAAGAGTCGCACATCCCTACACAAGAAGAGTTGTGGCTTTTCCTTGTGGGGATCGAGGTTCGTCAGCTCTGCCACGATGTCTGGCCAGTCTCGAAGATGCTGCAAGGATTTGTGGTATGGCTTCAGCTGCAAACCTGGATTTAATGAAAAGCGAAATATACCACTCTGATGAACAAACACCCATAACTAATCAGAACAACAAACAACAATATATTACATTTGTAATGTACCTTTCACATTGGGAGGCTGTCCCAAGGCGCTGAAACAGAAATGTAATAGCAACTAAAAATATACTAAATTGTTCTGTATGATGGAATACACCAAAAAGATGACATGGTCTGGTGAAAACATCCTTTCCTCCTGTTATTGCCTTATGTAGTTATTCCAACTGAACCCAAGATGAAGCAATTAATTTATAATTGCTCTCACAACACAACTATTAGTATTAGCTAAGATAAACATTGGGAAAATCCAAGGAACAGACCCTTTGTTATTTGCTTGGTTGAGAAATATTGCACATCGCCATAAGGGAAATTAAAAATTTAGCTTAAAAAATCCACAGTAAAATATGGAAACAATTCGGAGTCACCATCTTTGCAGCCGAAAACAATGAACAAAAATATTCCAAACAGCAGACAAACAGTATTATTACTTTAACAAGTTAACTGAAAATAACATGTACTAATGTTCTTACTGAGGTTCTCAGAGCAGATCCAGATGGTAAAGTACTGCTGGATTCCAGGCGATAGCCGCATGCCTTCCATAATCTGCTGCACTGTAGTATTATTTCCATGTCGGAGTTCAACAGCACGATATGATCCATCTGTGCGATAAATTCTAACTTTCTCATACTAGTGATTTAATTTACAAAAATAAAATTAAAATTAACAAGTGGAATTTAGAAGATATAGGGGTCTATTCTGTGCCATATACACTGTATTTTGTTTCATGTGTAATAATATAATAAAAATCCTTGCATTTGATATAGCACTTTTTACGTATTCTAAATGTCTCAAAGTGCTTCACAGAATATACTGTAAAGTGAATTGACTGTATATTTGTGGACAAAACGCACCAGTCAATTGCGCACAGCAGTGTCTCAAACAGTTGTGGATTGAGTGACCAAATTATTATGGTTTTTTTTAGGGATATTATCCCCGGAAAAGCAATCCACAAATCGATTAACAACCAGGTTCCTAGTTACTGCTAGGTAAACAGAGGTGTGGGGAGTAAGGAAACTTGCCCAACATTTTGCCCTGCTGGGAATTGAACCCAGGTCTCTCGCTTGCAAGGCGAGCGCTCTAACCACTCAGCTGCAGGACTCCATTACAGGTAATATTGATACAGAGGGAATTGAAAGTGCCCCAATTATAATAATAATCCTTGCATTTGGTTTGTGTCTTTCATGTGAGGATATACGTCCCAAAGCACTGCCATTTCCTTTTTAGACATGTTTACCTATGGTACATACTATAAGTGGGCTGAATTTGGACTATTATGCATTATGTTCAAATATGATGCTTGATAGACCACACTGTAAAATCAAATTCAGCCCACTTCAAGTTAATTCTCAATTCTAATTGCACTATCTGCTCAAAGTGGTAAACAATACAAAATTATTCTCATAAAAACATTATGATTAAGACGCATTCTACACCATCATTTTCCTGGTGTTGCTGATCACATGAGCGAGCGAGGTGGTGGCACAAAATAGACATCCTCTCACCATATTCTAAATAATACGTTTTCAAACAATGTTTTAGAAATGCGGTTTTGTACATTTAAAATTAAATTTTATATTGATCTTGCTGCCCACATTCATCACATGCACTGAGAAACAGAAAAGCTGCTCTGTTCACATGACTGTCTATAGTGACACCAAGGGCAGCTTCTGCTATCATTGGGGTGATTTGAGCAAGGTGCCAGAGACACCACTTTAAACTTATACTGCATGGAAATATAACCGGATTAATCTATAGACCAACCAGTGTGCACATTTACTAAATTTTTCAATTTTCAATTCAGAAGTAGGAGTTGCAAAAATTGCCCTCAGAATAAGATACCGAGTTTAGACATGTTGACTGTGCTTCCAGGGCTAAATCATTTACAAATCAAAAGTAATAATGTGGTATTTCGAGACAGATCTCAAGTAGAATGTGGTGGTCTGACTTTATTTACTATTGATTTTAACGTTTTCTGAGCTAATCTTATCAATTTATTTTAACCTTTTTTTAAAAAAAAATTTAGATCCTTTACCCGTTTTGAATCTTTCTCCTGGTTCACAACAGTCCATTTTGGAGATAGGAGAAAGTTCCTAAACACGTAGGGGCTATTCTGACGAATATACTTGGTTGCTCCTAAAACCTGATGATGTCTAAACAACTATACTCATCCAAAGCTCAGAATCAACTGATGTTTTAGTGAGCGTTTGGGAAGATTCATTAAGAACAAATCCTGCATACGAGAGGCTACTTCTATAGCAAAGAAGAATTGATCTTAAGAGGACTCTATTCAATAAATGTTGTTAAATCTTGGGAAAGAAAATAGAGTATTTAAATACATCTCAAATAATGGTCTCAGAAAACTGATGATTAGCCTTTCAAAGGAGACCAGTTACACTGATGAAAAGGGCAGCTTTGCTCTGAAATCCATGCTATCTAATAACAATAAAAGCCTTAAAATTAATTGAGCAAAGCATTGTCTTACTGGTTTATTCAATGCCTCACTAAGAAGTTTTTCTGTGTCTTCCCAGTCATTCTGTTTGTTCTCTGTACAGACCTGTAAAGGTGTTCTTTCTTGTTGATCAACAATATGCTGCAATACAAGTAAGAAGCATAATCATTTACGAGACCAGTTTTGGATATTCAACACTGTTAAATGTTATTTAAACATCTATTCAGCCAACTTATTATTTTATTAGAAATCCTTTTTGGGGGAGTCTGTAACTAGGGGACAGACACAATTATAAGATAGTGTCCAGGGATCTAAAAGAGGATTTTTGGAAGAATCACTTCACACAGAAGGGAGTGAGATTCTGGAATTCACTGTCTGAAGTTGAATCAGATAGTATAGCTACATTCAGCCTTGCACATGAGGGAGAGGAATACCACACAGACTGATTGGGCCGAGCGACCAGTTTCCATGCTGTGCATTCTTTGTAATTTGAAGGCATCTATCAAATCTACTTATTCAGTTATGAACAACTGATAACTTTTCTTTGGGTTTTAACTTTTCCATTTTCTTTTGGTAACTAAGGTTCTTTGATTAAATTATGGCAGAAAGGAGTATTTATGATAGAATAATAATAATCCTTGCATTTGATATAGAGCCTTATCATGTCTTCAAGACGACTCAAAGCACTTCTCAGAATATACTATAAAGTGAATTGACTGTATATTTTGTGGGCAAAATGTGGCAGCCAATTACGCACTTCAGTGTCCCCACAAGAATTGGAGTGACGCATTTATTATTTTTTTTGAAGGAATTATTACTCCCCGAAAAGTGATCCGCCAATCGCCTAACAACCGGGTCCTGCTTAGTGCTAGGTAAACAGAGGAGTGTGGAGTAAGGAAACTTGCCCAACATTTCGACCTGCTGGGAATCGAACCAAGGTCTCTCGCTTGTGACACGAGTGCTCTAACCACTGAGCTACAAAATACATAACTAACATGTAATTTAGTGGTTTAATGGCAGTCTGCATCTCCAACTATATATTAAGTCAGAAATATCTGAACACACCTGCAGTCTTCAGCATCAAAATATACAACATGTAAGGTTACAGTACTGGTACTTACAAATTTTAAGAATAACGTATTTATACTTATAAAATGTTATTTGAAAAATAAGAAAAAGGAATCATAAAAAGTAATCATAAAAAATGACATTTAGCCATTGATAAAAACACATCATCTGTGATCAGACTGGAACTTATAAAGCTCAGTAAATTTATTTCAAAACAGTAGAAATAGAAAAGCACATTTAACAGTTAGAAAAGCATGGTTTAGAGTTCTAGTTTGCATTAGGATTTTAACAGGTAGACGCTAAGAAATCATCTGAATAGTACCCGATCAATCTCAGGATGTTGCAGCAAAAGCTGAACAATATCTATCCGTCCTCCACCTGCTGCGAAGTGAAGTGGAGAGCTTAGTTGTCCATTCAGTAAGTTAGGATTACACTTGCCCTTTTCCAACAGCATTCGAGTAGCTTCAACTTTTCCATACCTACACAATAATTAGTAAAGCAGAACACAGAATATGAGAAAACTAATAATGAATTATTGTTTATATTGATTTCAGATCATATTGATAACAGATTTGAACATAATTTCTGCTTCATTAATCTAACGTTTCCACATTATTGAAAACATTTTCTTGATGCTAAAAAACAAAGTAGATTTATATTGCTCCCTTAATACTGTTCAAATGAATCTAACTAATTTGTGGAGTCCTGTAGCTCTGTGGTCCGAGCACTTGCCTCGCAAGCAAGAGAACCTGGGTTCAATTCCTAGCAGGGCGAAATGTTGCACAAAGTTCCTTACTCCACACCCCTCTGTTTACCTAGCAGTAAGTAGGAACCAGGGTGTTAGTTGATTGATGGATCACTTTTCAGGTGCTTTTTTTAAAAATAATTTGGTCACTCAATCCACGCTGTGCACAATTGGCTGCTGCATTTCACCCACAAAATATACAGTCAGTACACTTTGCAGTATATTCAATGAAGCACTTTGAAACGTCTCGAAGGCATGATACGGCGCTATATCAAATGGAAGTATTATTATTTTATTCACCAGAGGATCAAAAAGATAAAATTACGATTACATAGAATTCCATAAGATGCTAAAATAAACATTTATTGTATTTAAAGACCTCCCTGTAATTTGGGTTAACAATTGTGCTTATTTGCAACAAATTAAACCACCTTATTTTTCAAACCTGGTGGATCGCAGAAGATTTGAGGCCTAAATTATGTAATTCTGAAACAGATTTTGTTTTTTGGTTCTTCTGGGCTATACTTTAAAGTTAATAATAAGGACCACATTGCAAAAATGTTGTACAATGATTCTCATTTACAACACATAATTCAGTAATTACATTTGTTCTTTCCATTTGGGGATATTTGAGCAGTCATTCACTATTACAATGAAGTTTCATTCATCCAAAAATCAAATCGCTAAAAAACTTGATAAAGTGACTTTAAAATCTGAAATTTAATACCACATCTAATTCTACTGTAGTCTGTTTGAAGTTAAAGAACAATAACCCTGGATTGCCATTAAGATTCTAAACCTTTTGTAAAAACGTAAACATTAGCATATGTTGGCACCAGGATATACATTTTTTTTAAAAAAACAGGTAAGTGCTACGCTGCTTGGTTTTCAGTATGGCTTGAAAGCAATTTACAAATGTACTCATAAAAAAAAAATTCCAAGCTACATTTATTCCTCACACTCCCCTTTCAGAGCTCACCCATTTATGGAGTTTTTGGAAACTTATGTAAATTTACACATGATCTGATTTTTTGGTATTAATTTAGCATTGATACGAGAAGGAAGGTGGTATGTAAATGTTATAGTTTTGAAGTAGGATGTTTCTGTAGGATTTTATGAGCTTGTGATAGGGATGCAGAGAAAAAGGTGATACAAATTTTACTCAGCAGGGTAATATAACCATAATCTGAAGAAAGTCATAATCAAGGAGGTTTCAAGGAGAATGAGAAGAGTAGTATCCTTTTATCTAGGTCTATGAGGTACCTGAAGATGTATAATCTAGGTTTTCGATTTACTAAATTAAAGAATATGAGCTCCAGAATATGAAACACTTTTTCTTTTAGGTATCCTTTGTCATTCCAGATTACACATCATCTCAGCCATGCTCTTGTCGCAGATGCTAAGAAGATGAAAAAAGTTGGCTAAGAAACCATAATTAGACAGAGTCAGTTGTTCGATGATATGTAGTACCTTAGTGATGTAAAATGAGATGAGAAGGTGAGAAGTTCAATTAACTGTAAGCTTACTTTGAGGTCAAACTACGTACCAACAAGCATAATGAATAGGAGCCCAATGATCGCTATCCAGTTGATTCACTGAAAAACCACTATCCAGAAGCTTACTCAGTAACTCTGTATCACCTTCGCAGGCACTGCGGTGCAATGGGAAATCATCCACCCATTGTCGCTCCCTGGAAAAACAAATCAGATCTATTTTAACATGTTTTAGCTTAAATGCTGTTTATACTAAAAAAAATCTTATGTTAAACAGTTTGCTTATCTGCAAAGAAACCAGATCCAATTAGTGCTGATAATCAACTATCCATTGTACTGATCCATGAGAACATCTCAAGTCAGAGATTTTGACATTTGAAGCTCAATTCTAATTTGCGCTTCAAATGTCATTGAGCTTTAAAGGTCAGTGTAAACATACGTCAATACAACGCTTAAAGGAAATTACTTATGCATAAATCCAAACCAATTGCTTTTATCTATGTTATATATACAGCGGAAATCGGGTAGGCTTTATTTCTTACTTATCTTCCATGATGCTGCTCATGCTTCGCTTCCATTTTTCACGTTTTGGAATCTGTATTTTGGAATAATCTGGGGCTCCCAAGCCAAAATATGGATTAATAACCACTTTGTCCACCTGTGAATGACAACAACAAATTTACACTTGTGTAGCGCTCTTCACGTCGGAAAGACATCCTAGGGTGTTGGACAATCAGGGGTTTTGGACCTGAGCTGTGAATTGGAGTCAGAAGGGGAGGAGGTCAGGGGGTTGGGAGGGTGGCTGAAGGCATGATCGAAGAGGAAGGTCTTCAGACAGGACTTGAAGGAGGTAATAGAGTGGGTGAGGCGGAGGGATTGCTGGATAGAGTTCCAGAGTGTGGGGGCAGATGCTGAATGCCCGATTGCCAATGGTGGGGCAGGAAGTGTGGAAGACCGGAAGCAGGCCGGTGGTGTCCGCCAAGTGGAGGGAACGGACAGGCTGATATGGAGTTATGAGGTTGGAGGGGTGGGGGAAACAAGACCCTGGAGGGCTTTGAAAGTAAGTACAAGGGTTTTGTACTCGATTCTCTAAGGAACGGGGAGCCAATGTTGCCGGGCAAGAACGCGGGTGATAGATTCCTGGAGCCTGGTGTGGGAGAGGATACGAGCTGCTGAGTTCTGAATAATCTGCAGCTTGTGGAGGGAGGAGTTGGGAAGTCTAGTGAGCAGGCAATTAGCCTAACGTAAGATAACATGTAGGAGCAGAAGTAGGCCATTCGGCCCTTCGAGTCTGCCCCACCATTCAATCATGGCTGATCTTCTAATCTAACTCGAGCTAATAACCTAACCCTGCCTTATCCCCATATCCCTTAATCCCTTTTGCAATAATAATAATAATCCTTGCATTTGATATAGCGCTTTTCACGTCAGGAGGTCGTCCCAAAGCGCTTCACAGAACATACGGTAAAGTGAATTGACTGTATATTTGTGGGCGAACGCAGCCAATTGCGCACAGCAATGTCCCACAAACAGTCGTAGATTGAAAATGACCAATTTATTATTGTTTTTTGGGTTTTGGAGGGATTATTATTAGGCTCTGTGTGGAGTAAGGAAACTTGCCCAAGGTTTTGCCCTGCCTGGAATTGAACTCGGGTCTCTCACTTGCAAAGCGAGTGCTCTAACCACTGAGCTACAGGACTCCACAATAAGAAAGACCTATCTCAGTCTTCAATATGTTCAAGGACTGAGCGTCAACAGCCCTTTGGGGTAGTGAGTTCCATACATTCACCACCCTTTGAGTGAAGAAGTTCTTCCTCAACTCAGTGAGAAAGGGCTGGCATCTAATTTTAAGGTTGTGACCCCTGCTTTTAGTTTCTCCAACCAGGGGAAACAATCTCCCACTATCTACTCTATTATGCCCTTTGATGATATTATAGGTTTCCATAAGATCCCCTCTAATTCTTCTATATTCTGGAGAATATAGGCCCAAATTGGTCAGCCTATCCTCATAACTCATCCCCTTCATCCCTGATACTAACCTAGTAAATCTACACTTCACCCCTCCAAGGCAAGTACATCCTTCCTTAAATAAGGAGACCAAAGCTGAGTCAAGCCGGGACGTAATAAAAGCATGGATCAGAGTCTCGGCAGCCTCCAGTGAGAGGCAGTGACAGAGGCGGCCAATGTTGTGGAGGTGTGGAAAGGCAGAATGGGTCATGGAACGAATGTGGGGTTTGAAGGATAGCTGAGGGTCGAAAAAGACACAGGTTTCGGATTAGCTCGGTGAGGTGAAAAGTGCAGCAATGAATGATGATAGTGTCAGTGGCTGAGATGAGGAGGCGTTGCCGGGAGCCAAGCAGAAGGGCGTCTGTCTTGCCAACATTGAGCTGGAGGAAGTTGGCTCTCGTCAACTTCCTACAAGACAGTAAAAATAAATAGTAAGAAGTAAGGAAAATTATCCAACTCAAATTCTAATTTCAAGAAATTATCAAATCAACTTGCCGTTTCAGATTTAGTTTCAACATTTAAAACGTCACTATAATTACACAGCAATTTAATGTCCAAAAGATTATAAAGCTCAAATTTGGAAATATGTCTGTACATTACGTGATATTGACAGAGGCTGATACGTTAAAAAAAAATGCATATTCTAGAAAGCTATAACTTAAGGATCCTTCATACTTGTGATTGGTCACTGGAAAGCGCCCTGTTGACATAAACATTGTTTTCAGCAAGGAATCCATTCCACATCACCCCAGCTCATGAGACCTCGGCTCCAATCTGACACACCTTAATAATAATCCCTCCAAAACCAAAAACAATAATAAATTGGTCATTTTCAATCTACGACTGTTTGTGGGACATTGCTGTGTGCAATTGGCTGCCGCGTTCGCCCACAAATATACAGTCAATTCACTTTACAGTATGTTCTGTGAAGCGCTTTGGGACGTCTAGAAGATGTGAAAAGCGCTATATCAAATGCAAGGATTATTATTATTACTAGATGTGCAGCCTTAGTAACATTATTTTCAGGAGTAGCACTTCAAAACCATTGTCACTGAAACTGAATTTTTTTTAAAAATCAGCTTAAAAATGACAACTGTAATATGTTTGTCATCCTGATTCAGTAGGTAACATCTAGCCTCCGATTCAAGCCAAGATTGTTAAATGCCTTAGTAATTCCTCCTGACGTGAAATGCACTATATAAATATAAATTTGTATTGTATGGAATTAGAAGGTTGTGGTTCAAATCTACACCAGGACTGAATTCATAGTCTACGGTGTATAGTGATGGGGCTGTGCTTCATTTTGAGGGGCTGCCCTTCATATGAGACACTGAGGTGATATTTGCCTGTTCAGGTGGGAGTTAAAGATCCCTTGGCACTATTCAAAAAGAAAAGGGAGTTTCTCCCAGTGTCCTGGTCAACAAAGCCCGCAAATAAAATTGAGCATTCACTCACATCATGCCATTTGTAGACACATTTGTGCTGAAGTAAATTGCCTACGGAATACACAGTCAGTAAACTTTAAAATATATCCCATGAAGTACTTTGAGGCATCCATCTGACATGAAAGGCGCAATATCAAATGTAACGATTTTTAAATATGTCTTACATATTTGTTTTTTCGATTTTGAATTCTTACCCTATTTGTATACTGTAGATCTGATCCAAACAGAGGATTGTAGATACACAAGTCAGCTTTTTCCAGGGTCAACATTTTGCTTTTCACCTCAAGTGCTGTATAACCCATGTGCAATGTACCTTCAGACTGATCACTTTCATTGTAAGCAGGGTTTACCACACCAGATTTTATTCTATCAAGAGGGGCGGGTCTAAAAAGCCCGGGAATGGCATGTGGGATGGTGTGCTGCTCTGCTAGCCACCTGCAAAGGCATCAAAGATATTTTAATAAAACATTTTAATATAGTTAAATTTGACTGCAACTAAAGATCTTGCCCTCTTTACTAATACTGGGATGCTAAGGCCAAATGCAGCACTTCTGCTACCATCTTAGCTGAGATCACCGAATGTACCATATACTCAAAGCGGATTACTGGGCAAAGACGCCCATCAGAGCAAGAGAGAAACCCAGTGCTAAGGTGATTAAGGGAGACCTAATAAAAGTTTTCAATATTATGAACAGATTTGATAAGAGTAAATAAAGAGATGTTTCCCAGTGAGTTGATAAAGCGAGCATACAAATAGGATTGAAATAATTAAGAGCGTTGAAATAATTATTACCACAAGTGGTTGTTGAAGCTGAGCCATATCATTAAAAAGGGAATTGGATATATTTGAGTAAACATTTTAAGGGTAATCAAAAAAAATGCATTTTTGGAATGGGGAAAATGGGAATCAGAATTGAGTAGAAGACTGGGATTAGAGCAGGTAGCTCCAGGGAGGAACCTAGGCACCAGAATAGGCATTATGAGCCAAATTACCGCCTTCTTCACTGTAAACTTTCTGGGATATATGCACATAAATAGAGTTTCTTATATTATTGTAAGACACATTGTGTTAACGCCATTCATAACAATCTGCAAACACATGCCAATGAAGGTCACTGTTGGATCTGAAGTTAGGAAATTAAGCTTCCACAGCTGTATTCCTAGTAGAGATGGGTGAGGATAGGGGTGATGTTGGTGTCCAGTGCAAGAGGGGACATAAGCTACACAGTTCTAAGCTTGTGTGTTGGGGGGGGAGGGGAGGGGGGGAGAGAAAAAGAGTTGGGACGTCCAGTGAGCAGAGAGTCATATTAGTCTAGCCTGGACATGAAGGATAAGGGTCTTATTTATTAAATTTACTAAACATTAATTGATCATAAAAGTTACTTTTTTAGCTAATCCTAGTCACTGAATTTGGTTCTCCTGCAAGCATATTTTTCAGATTTAAATCATTATAGAATTTACGTAATTTGACATGGCTGGTATTCCTTGATCAAGCAATTATAAAAATTTGATTTGAAAAGTTAAATAAACATTTTATGGAAACTAGCATTAGAGCAGGAAACCAATTAATTTCAAGACACGCAATACATGAACATGGTCATTTCAGACCAATCCTCTCCAGACTAAAATCTCTGGAATGAAAAACATGCAGGGAAAATATGAATTGTTATGATGGGAGACCATTTATTAGTTACTCTACAAGGAAGTTAAGGCTTTGTTCATTGCAAATGACGAACACATTGTTAACAAATATCCAATGTATCTAATGGCAACAATCTATTCTTCACCACGATTAACGTTTACCTCATCAATTGTGAAAAACACTACTCATTGTCAGAAATAGTGACAAACAGATCTCTGCTGAACAAAGCAAGGCCATTTTACAGATCACATTTCCTGTTTTTGCTGCCAGTTTTGATATACAATTACAAATACATGTTAAAATAACACATGCAAAAAAGATAGAAAAATTGGAAAGGTTCTTACTTGTCCAGGGCAATCAACATTTTTGCACTGAGTGTAGAAAAATGAGTACTTGATTCACTGCACACACGCATTATGTCTTGTAAACAATAAAAACTCGGTCCTCCAGGGCAATAGGATGTCTTGCTGTTATCTGTAAATTATAGAAGTGCTAAGTAAGTGCGATAATTGGGACAATTACTTTGATGTTCAAGAATATGGTAGTAATAAGTAGTGTCAGCCTGCCTTGCTTGGTCGCACTCTCACCTCTGAGTCAGAATATTCTGGATTCAAGTCCCATGATAGGAATTCAAACTCATTAATACAGAATTTACAGTAAAGTGTATGACTGTGTATTTCATAGGTGATTATTATGCTGTGAAATTATTGTGGAGTCCTGTAGCTCAGTGGTTAGAGCACTAGCCTTGCAAGTAAGAGACCTGGGTTCGATTCCCAGCAGGGTGAAACCTTGGGAAAGTTTCCTTGCTCTACACGCCTAATAATAATCCCTCAAGAAAAGAAAGCAATAACAATTTGGTCACTCAATCCACGACTGTTTGTGGGACACTGCTGCCGCATTTCGCTCACAAATATAATCAATTCACTTTACAGTATATTCTGTGAAGCACTTTGAGACGTCTCGAAGACATGAAAAGCACTATATCAAATGCAAGGATTATTATTATAAATCTGCATCTGGTATTCCTGCATCCAAGAATGGGCGATGTGGAGCCAGTAGAGATGGGTGAAGATAGGGATGATGGCAGAGTCTAGTGCAAGAGGTACAGAGTTCTGGATGGTCTGCAGGTTGCGGGGGGAAGAGTTGGGAAATCCAGTGAGCAGAGAGTTGTCTTAGTCTAGCCTGGACATGAAGAAAGGATAGATAAAGGTCTTGGCAGCCCGAGGGGAGAGGTAGTAGCATTGGCAAAGCAAAGTGGCAGGCAAATGTTGGAGGTGGGGAAAGGTGAATGGATCAGAGTAGAGATGTGGGATTTAAAGGACAATTGAGTCAAACAACATACCGAGGTTCTGCACTGGCTCCATGAGGTGGAGTGTGCATCCATGTAGATTGATTCTATCAGTGATTGAGACTCCACTTACCTCCCTCGTAAGAAAGATTTAAGTACTATATTTAAGCAACATTGCTGAACACACAATACTTTCCTCTTTTTACTTCCCTTATCCATTCTTCTACCTTCTCTCACATCACTTCTTTCTGTACCTCTCTTGCAAACTGAGAGCTCTCAAGTTAGTCCTATCACCTATTTTGTTGTAACGAGCCATCATTTAAACAATATCAAATGGTATTTTTAAGTTACAAATTTCAAAAATTTTAGTTGACAAGAACTTGCATTTATATACTGCACCGCCCTTCTCGTAGGGTACCTATCAATACCTATAAATTCTTTAAAATTCTTCAACTTAGTCTTAATTCAGAAGTCGGTACTTTTTATGAATTGTGGAAAACTGGCTTCCAAATTAAGACTCAATTTAAGACTTTCCTACAATTTTGCACGATCATAAATAGTGTACTGATATTTTCCTCCCAATCTTTAAACTGCATTATTTCATATTTGTGATCTCTTCCCTCTGATGGAAAGAAGTACTGAACTCTAAAGAGGGGAAAAAAACACAAATATGTACAGTAAGTTGATTAGGATTTGAAAAAGATCAGTCAATGCTTCAGAAGCCAAATCTGATGAAGGGTCCCATTCTAATATTGACTTTAGATGATGTGCAAATATATATATAAAAATCTATATATATAATATATAATTATTTATTGTTCATCCCAATGAGATCAAATATAGTTACAAACAGTTTTGGATGGTCAGCTCTTCACAAATGCATGTAAAATTAGAGCTAGATAAAATATGGCTATAATAGACTTAAGAATTTACATATATTTGCAATAATTCACACCATAATAAATACTGTAAGCTAGCTTCATCAGAAACCCATGGAATTTATAATTGTTTATTTTTTCTGGGAGATATATGAAGGAACAAAGGCTTGTGTAAAGATTGAAGCAAAACGTCAGAATTGTTTGAAGTATGATTATTATTGTAAAGGTGGACTTTGATGATGCTTGTAGTTTTCTTACCTTTAACTGCTGTTGGAACAACATAAAGGCAGATTTCCTGACAAATATTCTCTCTTTCGACGGGGAATTCTTTCAACAGCACCACTCGTTTTCCTTAAGGAATGCACAAATAAAATATGAAAAAGAACGGTCATCAGCACAAGATAAACATAATGAGTGCTGCAAATGTCTGATGCTACAAATGCTAGTCTTAGCCTGTAAGACCATTTTGTCTTAAATATTAAGATCACACAAAATTATAGAAAATTCTTCAACAGAAACATGTCCAGAGTGTAAAATCCGAGAGGTGATAGGCAAAATTGTATGGCAGAATCAAGGTTTGAACCTGTGATTGTCTCCAAAGTCAGTTTGTTCTTTCAGTAGAGAATGAAATTAAAGGACTAAAGGCACCAAGCTCTCTTTGTATATCTGCAAGTCTGGTTACTGAATATGTACATTTGTATTGTAGCATTGACAGAGCTCTGTAAAGTTAACTGCCATCTCTGACAAGAGAATGAAGGTAATGGGAAAAGTTATCCTATTGATGGGAGTTTGCTCAGAATGGTACAATCAAAGTCTATTTCTAGTCCTCTATTAAAATTATAAAAGACATAATCATGAAAATGAAGAATACAAACAGGAATCGTTAAAAAACAGTCCAATTCATTGACAAGGTTGCTAAGAAACAAACACATTTAAAACAATGTCTATTGAATGCTGTATACATGCAGTTTCTGCTTACACCCACCAATAAAAGCTACTATTGAATCTTTACAACCGTTAATAGCAAACTATACACTAATGCAAACAATGAATCCTTTTATGATTACAGGACAGTACAAAACAGCAATTGTAATTCTGTTCATTCTACCTTTGATGCCTTGGTTATTTGGAGATATTAGCTTAGTGGCTTCAACCACAAAGTCAAGGATTTCCTGTCCATCACCTTTCTTCCTCTTTATTTTTGTTCCCAACAAAACTTTCTTTCTCTTTTTTCCTTGACTTCATTTTGCAGTTCTAACAGCAAAATCTTCATGAAAAACAAGAATACAATTCAGCGTGATTCAAAATAATTTGTCACAATACAAAAGGGTCTGTTTAATAAGATCTTCCCTAATAAAACTTAACAAATTAATAAAACTTAATAAATCTTCCTTAAAACCTGCTGCCGCTGTGTTTGCCTCCTTAACAAACATTATATACAATTTTATTTATTTCCAGATCATCCCATTCATTCAATGTGTTATTAAATTAAGGTTCTCTCCACCTTGCAATTCAGATGGGCATAAGGTATCTGCACTGCCATTGCTATTTCAAAGGATGAGAGCTAACGTTCTCTAGTTGAAAGTCGACAAGACCGAGGCCCTCCTGATTGACTCCCTTCAGCGCCTCCACATCCCATGCACTGGCAGCATCACCATCCATGGATGCACACTCCACCTCACTGAGCCAGTCTAGAGCCTTGGCATCTTGTTTGACCCTCAACTGTCCTTTCTACACCACATCTGTGCCATGACCCCCTCTGCCTTCCCCCACCAACATCACCCGCTTCCGCCACTGCATTTCCCCTCAGGCCACCAAGACCTCATCCATGCATTTGTTACATCTGGCCCCACTATGCCTACTCTCTGTTGTCGGCCTCCTCAACTCCTCCCTCCACAAGCTGCAGATCATTCAGAACTCCTCAGCTCGTGTCCTCTCTCGCACTGGACTCCATGACCCTATCACCCACACCCTCCACTGGCTTCCCATCCCCCAGAGGATAGATTTCAAAATCGTCATCCTTGCCTTCAAAGCTCTCCATGGCCTTGCTCCCTCCTCCCTCTTTGGCCAGCTATCTCCATATCAACCTTTCCACTCCCTCCGCTCAGCAAGGTAAGGCCTGCTCCATGTACCCCGCTCGACTCGCCCCACCATCGGAGGTTGGGCCTTCAGCTTTTCTGCCCCCATCCTTTGAAACTGCATCCCACATTCCCTTCGCCTTGCTCCCTCTCTTCGCTCCTTCAAGGGACATCTCAAGACCCTCCTCTTTGACTGAGCCTTATGTCATCCTCATAATCCTACCCTCTCGATTCCAACCACCTGCTCGGTTCCAAATCCCTGACTGTCCAGTGCTTTGGAACATCCTCCCGATGTGAAAGATGCTCTACAAATTTGTTGTTGCTACAAGATTACATTTGTATAGCGCCTTTCACGTCGGGAGGACGTCCCAAGGAGTGCAAGTAATTCCAGTTATCGAGATGTTAAGCTGTCCTACATTCAGGTGAACATTAAAGATTCAGTTGCACAATTTGAAAAGTTTTTCCTCCAATCATCCAGATAAACTGGCCATTCACTATTTGTAGGACAACTTGTTAAAGTTTCCCAATGATTAATAATCCTTGGATTTGGTAACACCTTTCCTGTTCAGAGGATATCTCAAAGAGGTTCACGGAATTTACTGCAAATTTACTATTGTGACTGTGTATTTTGCAGCCAAACTAAGTTGTCCATTTGCACACAGTTTTGTCGCACAAACACCCATTAAGTGAAAGTCCAATTTCATCTGGGAGATTGTTGGCCAGAACACTGGGAGGAACTTCTCTCTTTTCACGTCAAGGAACTTCCTCGCTTCTTTCAAGTCAGGACCGACTCCCGACATGAAAGGCGCTTTACAAATGTCATTTTGTTGTTTGTTGTTTTCAAATAGTGCCACGGAATCTTTAAAGTTCCCCTAAACAAGTATACGTCTTTGGTTTTGCATTTCATCCGAAGGACAGCACCTCAGGCAATGCAGCCCTCCCCCAGTACTAAAAGTGCTAACATGGGACTTTAATCACAACCTTCTGATTTAGAGACAAAATGCATCCAACTAAACCAGGTTGCCCACTGTAAACAGCAAATATAACAACGACAAGATTTCATTTATAGAGCGCCTTTCATGTCGGGAGGATGTCCCAAGGCGCTGGACAGTTGGATCGGGACCCGAGCAGGGGGGGAAATGGTCAGGGTGAGGGGAGGGAAGGGAGGGAGCGAGGAGGGGGTAGAGAGTCGAGAGGGGAGCTGAAGGCTCGGTCAAAGAGAAAGGTCTTGAGACCGGCCTTGAAGGAGGAAAGGGAGGAGGCGAGGCGAAGGCACTGGGGGATAGAGTTCCAGAGCCTCGGGGCTGAGAGGCTGAAGGCCCGGCCACCGATGGTAGGGCAGTTGGGGCGGGGGATGTGGAGCAGACCGGAGCCAGAGGAACAGAGGGTACGGGCAGGTAAGTAGGGGGATAGTAGGTCGGAGAGGTAGGAGGGAGCGAGGCCGTGAATGGCCTTGTAGGTGAGGATGAGGATCTTGAAATCGATCCTCTGGGGGATGGGGAGCCAGTGGAGGCGAGCGAGGGTGGGAGTGATGTGGTCGCGAAGCCTGGTGCGGGACAGTACACGAGCTGCACAATAGTTATGGTGATGTAAATAAAACCTCTAGGTGCTCCTAAAGGATGTGTAGCTACAGGTTTATGAAATATATAATTAGCAAATTATACTTATTTTGTGTAAAGTTTAACATTAGTTGACTACAGGGTGAGAGTGCTACCAACTGTAGGTTACGGGAAAATATGGATATGGACCATGGTACAGGTATTTAAAATCATTGGAAATTTGCAGCTGAAATTTCCACTTTGTTGAAAATAATTATATTTTCTAAAATTATACAAGAATCTTAAATAATGACAGCAATCCTTGCATTCGATATACTTTGTCACATATCATTTACTTTTCACATCAATGCATGAAGGATGCATGCATAATCCCTCCAAAAAAAACCAAAACAATAATAAATTGGTCATTTTCAATCGACGACTGTTTGTGGGACATTGCTGTGCGCAATTGGCTGCCGCGTTCGCCCACAAATATACAGTCAATTCACTTTACAGTGTGTTCTGTGAAGCGCTTTGGGACGTCCTCCCGACGTGAAAAGCGTTATATCAAATGCAAGGATTATTATTATTATTATTATTAAGGAGAGCAACTACCAAAGTATTTATTTCCTTACTTCATAGGATTTTGTACGATAATCACGGGAATTCAAACTAGCCGCATTCTTGGGACGGATAACTGCAACATACACATCCTCCGGATCATTCAGACTGCCCATTTCTGTATGTCTCACTTCATTTCTTTGGTCAGAACCAGTAACTATACACAGCTCACCTGCAAATAGAAAAACACAGTTTGGAGTGTTTCATGTTTTAATTTTGATAATAATACAATATCAAGATAAAGTCACTGCACATATAATAAAAAATTGCATCTTCTGTTAAGGTAATACAAATAAATCTGGTGCTTATGTATTGTGGATTTTGGAGCAAGATGAAGCAGACTGCAAAATGTAATCAGTGTCCAGGAACCATGAATTAATGTGCTTTCACGTGGTTAATAATTTAGTTTAACCATCTGACACACTTGACTTGCTGCAGGAACAACAAAGCACACAAATATTCTGATGTGAAATGCACGTATTCTGTTTTTGTAATGGTTAAATGACGACAACCCTCCCTTTGACCGAGCTCGAATCTCAAAATTTTCCATTTTAAAATTTAACGACGACAACAACAAGAACAAGATTCCATTTATTGAGCGCCTTTCACGTCGGGAGGACGTCCCAAGGCGCCGGGGCGACAGGGCGACCAAGAAGTTGTGATAACCACCCTACTACCTAAAATAAAATCATAATTTCTGCTAAGACTGATCAGACATTGTAATGGCATCACAACTTTTTGGTCACTCTGTACATCAACGGTTACATTCATTCCATTGAAAAAAAATCAAAAGAGGAGCGGATACAGTATTGTCCTTTGAAGTACCACTCGTACACACAGAGCGAGAGGCCGTGAGGCTACATTACTGTAATGAGAAAGCTGTGGTTCCCCCCAACCCCTTCCCTCCCCCCATCTTCCCCTGTGCTCCCCACCTTGGCCTGGCCCCCACACCAAACACCTTGGCCTTGACCCCCCCACACCAAACACCTTGGCCTTGGCCCCACACCAAACACCTTGGCCTTGGCCCCCACACCAAACACCTTGGCCTTGATCCCCCCACACCAAACACCTTGGCCTTGACCCCCCCACCAAACACCTTGGCCTTGGCCCCCCACACCAAACACCTTGGCCTTGGCCCCCACACCAAACACCTTGGCCTTGATCCCCCCCACACCAAACACCTTGGCCTTGACCCCCCCACACCAAACACCTTGGCCTTGACCCCCCCACACCAAACACCTTGGCCTTGACCCCCCCACACCAAACACCTTGGCCTTGACCCCCCACACCAAACACCTTGGCCTTGACCCCCCCCACACCAAACACCTTGGCCTTGACCCCCCCCCCACACCAAACACCTTGGCCTTGACCCCCCCACACCAAACACCTTGGCCTTGACCCCCCACACCAAACACCTTGGCCTTGCCCCCCCACACCAAACACCTTGGCCTTGACCCCCCCACACCAAACACCTTGGCCTTGACCCCCCCCACACCAAACACCTTGGCCTTGACCCCCCCACACCAAACACCTTGGCCTTGACCCCCCCCCACACCAAACACCTTGGCCTTGACCCCCCCACACCAAACACCTTGGCCTTGACCCCCACACCAAACACCTTGGCCTTGACCCCCCACACCAAACACCTTGGCCTTGACCCCACACACCAAACACCTTGGCCTTGACCCCCCACACCAAACACCTTGGCCTTGACCCCCCCACACCAAACACCTTGGCCTTGACCCCCCACACCAAACACCTTGGCCTTGACCCCCCACACCAAACACCTTGGCCTTGACCCCCCACACCAAACACCTTGGCCTTGACCCCCCACACCAAACACCTTGGCCTTGACCCCACACACCAAACACCTTGGCCTTGACCCCACACACCAAACACCTTGGCCTTGACCCCCACACCAAACACCTTGGCCTTGACCCCCCACACCAAACACCTTGGCCTTGACCCCCCACACCAAACACCTTGGCCTTGACCCCACACACCAAACACCTTGGCCTTGACCCCACACACCAAACACCTTGGCCTTGGCCCCCCTTTCCCCTTTGCTCCTCTCCCTCTCTCGCCCCCCCCTCCCTCCAGCGCCCCCCCCTCCCAGCGCCTCCCAGCGCCCCCCCTCCCAGCGCCCCCCCCTCCCAGCGCCTCCCAGCGCCCCCCCCTCCCAGCGCCCCCCTCCTCCTCCTCTCTCTCTCTCTCTCCTCCAGACCCTTCTCTTTCTCTCTGTCCGTCGCCCAGTGTTGGGTTCCTCACCTCCTGTCAGTCCACCACTCCCTCTGTGTGTGTGTGTGTCAGACACTCCTGCCTCCGGCGCCATACATCGTCGTTGTTTTTTTTCTCGCGAATTTTTGCCCTGAAATGAATTGGGTCCTTTTACTTTTGCACTTCCTTTAAAACTAAACTAACGTCAAGAGGCCGTCACCGCCCGCCCGCCAAGTGCAGACAGGAGCAATGCGCATGCGCCAATAGGAGGGGCGGGGGCGGGCCCGGTGCGCACGCGCCATCTGAACCCCCTCTCTCTCTCGCCCCTTATTGGCGCATGCGTATTGCTCCTGTATGCCGTTTGCTTGTGGGGTCTGGCGGTTGATGACGGCCACCCGCGCATGCGCCGCTGTCAGAGCTGGGTTTCCCTGTCGAAGAGCAGTTGTGACCCCTCCCCCTCCCCCACCGCCACAGAGGAGAGGGAGTGTTTCCGGGTCAGACTCTCGGGCTTTTGTTTTCACGCAGTCACTGCTGTGGAGGAGACCGGGCGGCGCTCACAGGTAACCGCTCCCCCGCGGCCTCGCCCCTTCTGTCACTCCAGCGGATATTGTTAGACTGATCACCTCCTTACCCTCTCCCCCCCCTCCCCCCGGGACACAGCCAGCGAGCGCCCGCTGTGTTGCTGAGACCGGCGGCTCGGGCGAGAGACGGAGCTCAGCGCGGGGTGGGTCTGGTGCCCAGACTGAAGGCATCCGGCGCGGGGAGGGGGGGGGGAGACAACAGGGCCGGGGGGGCAACGAGGGCTCGGGGGACGACGACGACAACAAAGACTCGGGTGGGGGGACGGGACGTCAACGAGGGGTGGGGGTGGGGGGGGGACAACGAGGGGTGGGGGTGGGGGGGGACAACGAGGGGTGGGGGTGGGGGGGACAACGAGGGGGGGGGGGGGGGGGGACAACGAGGGGTGGGGGTGGGGGGGGGACAACGAGGGGTGGGGGTGGGGGGGACAACGAGGGGTGGGGGGGGACAACGAGGGGTGGGGGGGACAACGAGGGGTGGGGGGGGACAACGAGGGGTGGGGGGGGGACAACGAGGGGTGGGGGGGGGACAACGAGGGGTGGGGGGGGGGACAACGAGGGGTGGGGGGGGGACAACGAGGGGTGGGGGGGGACAACGAGGGGTGGGGGGGGGACAACGAGGGCCGGGGGGGGGGAGGGCAAGAGCTGGAGGTGTCCGGGAGAAAGGATGCCGAGGGGAGAGAGCGAGTGCCCCGGGAGCGATGCTGTGAGCAGAGCAATGCCCGGGGGGGGTGGGGGGGGAGGTGGGGATGGAGGGAAGACGTGTTCAACGGCGTTTTGTTTGTAAGAGAGGTCGGGGCTGCGGTTACCGTCGGCGCTGAGAGGGTCTGATTCCGGCCTCAGCTGCACTGACTTCCCCGGAGCAGTTTCTTTGTTATCGGGAACTGCTGCTAATTAATTGCTCGGAGAAAGAAAACTGGGAGCATTTTTTTTTATAAGGGAAAAACTCCCCGTAACTCTTACCCCCCCCTCCCCCCCACAATCCCCCCTCCCCTCCCCCCCACACTCCCCCTCCCCTCCCCCCCACACTCCCCCCTCCCCCTCCACACTCCCCCCTCCCCCTCCACACTCCCCCTCCCCTCCCCCCCATCTACACTCCCCCCTCCCCCCCATCTACACTCCCCCCTCCCCCCCATCTACACTCCCCCCTCCCCCTCCCCCCTCCCCCTCCCCCCCACACTCCCCCCTCCCCCCCACACTCCCCCCTCCCCTCCCCTCCACACTCCCCCCTCAGCTCATGTCCCTTTTGTTCCGACTCGTGCACTTTGCTGTTATTCCAGCGTTGTAAAGTCGTTCTTTGATCCGTATTTATTGGTGAGACCGAGTTGGATGGCCTTTCCCTCCCCGCCCCGCATTGGGGGCGGACTGTGAAGTGCATCAGAGAGGGTTTTGTTATTGTTCTGGAGTCGAGTGAAATTGGACAGACTGCGAGACCTGACATGTTGGGTATTTTGCTTTCGCAGTCCTGTTTCCTCATGTGGCTCACCCAGTGACTCAATGCACAGTTCAGTCTCACTCCGGCACTGTACATGCAAATTGAACTCTTCCGCTGTACTCCAAAGAGGGCAAATGTCTGCGTACTTAACATTTATTTGTGGTCTTACTGGGTCCTGTGTGAAATGCTAACTTGAATTGGAATTTGAAGCCGAGCAGCTGAAGCCTACCCATAGCTTAATCGCTACAGTCTTTGAACGCCCAATTTTAAGGTGAGTATCATATTTGGGTTTCATAAAACAAGTGCAGCCTTTTATCAGTTCGGAGGTTGACCTTGACTCGTTTGTGTACTGTTTTAACCATTGGGGTGAAGCGTTTTGGAGAAGGTTGTACAGTATATTGGTTGTATACAACAACAACAAAATTACATTTGTATAGCGCTTTTGATGTCGGGAGGACGTCCCAAGGTGCTGGACAGTCAGTGTTTCGGACCCAAGCTGGGGATCAGAATTGGGTAGGGTGGAGGGCAGGGGGTGGGGGGGGAGGAGGGTGACCGAAGGCACTGTTGAAGATGAATGTGTTGACATGGGTCTTGAAGGTGGCAGGGGAGAGGCGAAGAGACTGTGGGAAGGAGTTCCAGAGGGTGGGAGCAGAGTGGCAGAAGGTCTGCCTGCCAGTGGTGGGGTGGGCGAGGCAAGGAACGTGAAGCAGGCCGGAGAGCGGAGAGCGGGGCAGATTGGTAGGATTTAGAAGGTCGTAGAGGTGGGGAGGGAGGGGTGGAGCAAGGCCATGGAGGGCTTTGAAGGTGAGGACCAGGATCTTGAACTGCATCCGCTGTGTGATGGGAAGCCAGTGGAGTTGGGTGAGGTTGGGGGTGATAGGGTCACGGAGCCTAGTGCAGAAGAGGACATGGGCTGCAGAGTTCTGGATGATCTGCAGCCTATGAAGGGAGGAGTTGGGGGGGCTGACAAGCAGGGAGTTTGTGTAGTCAAGCCTGGATGTTATGAATCCATGTCTGAGGGTCTTGGTGGCCTGAGGCAGAGCAGGACGTGGCATGGTTGTGGGCTAGGAAGAATAGTTGAGGGTCAAACAAGATGCCAAGGTACCGGACTGGCTTAGCATACCTATTGTTTTACACTGGAAAATTGTGTGTTTAGAAATTGTAACTAAATTACTAAATTATCATTAATAATGAATAAATGTTATTTGCATGTTCATAACGTTAAACCTTTGTCTGCCAGCTAATTCAAGGAATTTTTTTTTCATTGGGCCAACTGCTTTTTGCATGTTCAACTCCTGGGCGTCAATGCTAAAAATAGCATTGTAGCCATAGTTACTCGGACACCAGGAATGACCAGTTAACAAGAATGAAGCATTGTTTTGTTCTCGTCACCACTTATGTCTCTGGTTCTGATTCCCTCAACCTTTATCGGGTTGAACCAAGCCAGATAATGTGCAAGCTTGGTATTCTGCTGAACCCCAAGATAGATACCAGATCCCTTACCTTTCCTTTTCCACCTCAGGAACATTGCCTGCTTCTACCCTTACCTCAATCCCTGTACTGCGTAGTTGTTAGAGCACTCACCTCGCAAGTGAGAGGACCTGAGTTTGATTCCCGGGCAGGGCCTAAACTTTGGGCAAGTTTCCTTACTCAACACACATCTGTTTACCCAACAATAAGTGGGAATCCGGTTGTTAGTCGATTAGCAGATTGCTTTTCTGGGCATAATAATCTCTTCCAAATATAATAATAATTTGGTCACTCAACTGTTTGTGGGACACTGCTGTGTGCAGTTGGCTGGCGTGTTTCACCCACAAAATATACAGTCAGTTCACTTTACAGTATATTCTATGAAGCGTCTTTGAGACTCCTCAAAGCTCTTTACAGAATATACTGTAAAGTATAGTGACTGTATATTTTATGGGTGAAACGCGGTAGCCAATTGCGCACAGCAGTGTCCCACAAACGGTCATGGACCGAGTGACCAATTTATTATTATTTTAGTGATGATATCTTTGATCTTATTTTTACTCAATCCTATGTTAGCTTTTAAAAGTCGCTATCAAAAAGTACCAGGTCCTGCCCACTGGCAATCATTTCTCTTGTCCTTTGACAAAGCCATATCTTGAAACCTGTGAATCTTCTGGAACATTCTTATTCTTGATGTTTCAGTTGATATATTGAGACAGCTGATGTCTTTGAATGATACAATCATAGAAATTCTTTTGCATACAGAGGGCCGTTAGACCCATCATACCTGCTCTGTCTCTCTGTAAGATCTATGTTTAATTCCACTCCCCTGAGTTTTTCCCTATAGCCCTTTTTCCTTTTTAGAATCTTGTCTAATTCCTTTTCAAGTTATTATTTAAAAGCTGTGAAAATCCTTTACTCCATTTTGTATGAATAAAGGTCTTTGGTCCCAAGGTTATCCCTTCTATTTTTTCTAAACACGTATTTTACTGAATTTGTTCCAGTCCACATTTTCTCCTTGGAAATTTGCACATGTTCATTCCATCCCTAAGAAAGTAAATCCTTGCTCATTCTTCAAGCGATTGGTCTTGCCTCTACTCTACTGGTGTGGAAACAGCTGTCAACTCAAATTCAACCTCTTGTTGCATGGACTGGATGGGAGGAGAGAGTGAGAAAGAGTCTTCCCAGGATCTTGTTTTTTCTTTTTCTTCTGTGGGATATCAAAAAAGATGGGGGAAGGAGAAAGAGAATAGTGGATAGCTCCAGTGGACAAAACTAGCACAGCGAGGTCAAGTGGCCTCTTTCTGTGTTGTAAGTCCTGTAGCTCAGTGGTTGGAGCACTCGCTTTGCAAGTGAGAGACCTGAGTTCAATTCCAGGCAGAGGGCGAAACCTTGGGCAAGTTTCCTTACTCCACACAGAGCCTAATAATAATCCCTCCAAAAAAACAAAACAATAATAAATTGGTCATTTTCAATCTGTGACTGTTTGTGGGACATTGCTGTGCGCAATTGGCTGCCGCGTTCGCCCACAAATATGCAGTCAATTCACTTTACAGTATATTCTGTGAAGCGCTTTGGGATGTCTAGAAGACGTGAAAAGGGCTATATCAAATGCAAGGATTATTATTATCATAAGTATTCCTGACTCCTTCACTCATCAAACCCTATCCATTCTTTTGCAAAAAATATATTCATCTACTTCCTTCAACTTTCATGCCTTTAGTGAGCACAGCATTTACTCCAATTGCAAGTCAACACCAATCACTAAGTTGTGGATGTCTCCATGCTTTTTTTTTGAGCCATTTCATCATAGTTTCTTCATGTCTTCAAGTCTAAACTAACAGCTGCTTCCTCTTTTAGCTCCTCCTGTAATCTATTTGTATTGTAGTATCTTAATCTCAAAATTCAAATTGACATCAACTGCTATTTTTAACTGGATACAGAAAGTAAACTTCTAACAATGTAGTGGAACCCTATTATAACTATCATTATAATGAGTTAGCTTATTTTCGTACCTAAAAATCCCAAATCCATACATCATGCCCTCCAAATCCATCATTGTACTTCAAATTGTGCTCGAAATCCCGTTGGGCGCATTTCAAAACACATCATCGCACTTAGAATTTCTTTGTTGCAGAATACACCATTGCAGCAACTGGATTTGAATGTAATATTATTTAAGAGCAATGCTCGCCATGGTGCTGGCTAGCTTTACTATGAACATGTCCAGGGATGCCACTAGGCATTATCAGTGATTTTATGATGTGCAAGTGCTTGCTTGTGACTGCTCGATTGTTTCCTCTTATCGCTAGAGAAAAGACATTAAGGGGGGACATAATAGAACTGTTTAAAATTATAGAGGAGTTTAATAAGGTTAACATAAATAGGCTGATTCCATTGGTTAGTCTGTAACCATGTGTATAAATACCAGCACAGACTGGTTGAGCACAGTAACCTATTTCTACACCATACATTTGTAAATATCTTCATAAATAAGGTAAGATAATTTATGGTAGAGAGGCATGCCCATGTTAGGAGGCACCCAGATAGAATAGATTGACATTACCTCATTTGTATGCGATGCATGCCAAAAGGATGCTTAATTGGTGCAAAATTATCACTTGATATTTGGGGCTTTAAGAATGTGAGCAATTAAGATATTTGTATTAGTACAGTTCAATCCATTTTGAGCAAATTAAATATGTCGAACCTCCAGCACTCTTGCTTTGTTTCTTGGTTTTAACAATTAGGAAAAAAGTGCATATTTATTAATTGTAGTTGTGACTTGATTGTCACACATGTGGTTGCATGCACAGTCTTGTTGATAGCTGTACCAAAAGAGGCCCAGAGACAACTTGCAATGAGACTTAAAGCCACAAAGGTTTTTTCTGCAGTGATGTTATCATTGGGATCTGCCTAAACTATGCAAAGGGGTTATCAAAGTCTTTTTTATTAAAAAAAAGCTTAAGCCAAAATCTTTCTGACGTGAAACGTTAATTGTTGCCTTCCCATAAGATGAATATCTCAAAGCACTTACAGTAATACTCTAATTATTAATACTTTCTAATTAGTAATACTTTCTTATTAATTTTATTTGACTACTCTTAAGGTTCAGCATCTTGGGATGTTCTCTCGATCTGAAAGGCGCTATGCAAATGTAATTTTGTTGTTTTGTTGTTCAGTTTAGACATGCACAAGAATCTAGTCCAATTTTTCAGAATACAATATAACATTTATATAAAAAATATAATTTTTTTACATATGTAAAAGGAAGCATCATTACAAGCCAGATAGTCAGTTGTAACTGTTCTCTCTGTATTCACATTATGGGTGGGAAAATAAACTGTTTGTGTAGCCTTTGGTAGTTCAGTCAATTGCTTTGTGCGTAGTGCATTTTGAGTAAGAAGTCTTCTTGTAATCTTTGTGACATCACTGTTTACATCTAATTCTGTAATGATGTGAATGATGTATTGTGTGAAGTGGTCTTCTTGATAATTCACCCTCTCAAATGTCATCTATCTGATGCACTCCAGAATGATGGAGTGATAAATTCAAAATATACAATTTGTGCTGTTAAGAATAGACAGCTCTTTTGAAGTAAATAGCTGGTTGCTTCTTGATGCCGGGGCCCAATAAATGGGCCGAATGTGTCACTCAGGATAGCGTTGAGTTGATTAAGAGTGGACCTGATAGAGTTGTTCAAGATTAAGAAAGGGTTCGATAAGGTGAATGTTAATGGGCTCTTTCCAATTGTTGAGTCCATAACTAGTGGTCATAAATATCGGAAGCTAAGAGTAGATCTCATAGGAAGTTTAAGAGGAACTTTGTGCAGCGAGAGTGGTATGAGAATGTGAAACTCACTGCTACAAGCTGTGGTTGAAGCATATAGCCTTAATGTATTCAATAGAAAGCTTCATACGTACACGGGGGAGAAGGGAATAAAGGGTTATAGGCTGGGCCAATAAAAAAAAGTGCGGACATATTTGAAAAAGAAAATTGCGGAGCGCTTTACACATCTTGCGGGAAATCGCGGCTGGCTTTCTTGTGGAGAAATTGCGGGGTTGATTGGTGCTATTAAGGTACATTTTACTGCTACATTTTTTCACTTTATCGATTTACAAACTAAACATAAGAAAATAACACAGATTGTTGCAAAAAAAAACTATTGATTACTCCTTTAACAAAAACTGAGTGGCCTTTTTGGGGGGGATGGGGGGACACCAGTGAGGCTACAGGAGCTCACCACCTCCTGCCTCAGGGCCTGCACTACACAGAGGCACCGAGAGAGCCACGCGCTCACAGGCACCGAGAGAGCCACGCGCTCACAGGCACCGAGAGAGCCACGCGCTCACAGGCACCGAGAGAGCCACGCGCTCACAGGCACCGAGAGAGCCACGCGCTCAGAGGCACCGAGAGAGCCACGCGCTCACAGGCACCGAGAGAGCCACGCGCTCAGAGGCACCGAGAGAGCCACGCGCTCAGAGGCACCGAGAGAGCCACGCGCTCAGAGGCACCGAGAGAGCCACGCGCTCACAGGCACCGAGAGAGCCACGCGCTCAGAGGCACCGAGAGAGCCACGCGCTCAGAGGCACCGAGAGAGCCACGCGCTCAGAGGCACCGAGAGAGACACAAGAACATTCAGACACAAAGAGACATATGCACACAAGACAGAGAGACACACATTCATACAGAGATATTCATAAATACACACATATAGAAGAGGCAGGCAGACTCACATGGAGCCACGCACACAGGCATTCACAACAGTGGGGCCTCAGAACGTAGCCCATTTGGCGCTTGCGCCACATTGCGCGTGCGCGGCCAGAAGCTGCTCTGCCTACAGTGATGTCAGGTAAAGAGAACAGCATCCCATGGGCCAGAAACTACACTTATGGAAAGGTGCAGTCGCACTTTTCTATTGGCCCAGGTTATAGGTAAGGGGAATACAACAACAGAAACAAATTACATTTGTATAGCACTTTTCACTGTGGGAGGGGTCTGGTCTTTTATAAACCCTGGGGTGGACTAGATGGGCCAAAGGTCTGTTTCCATATCACTCTATAACTATATAATGTGTGAATGAGAAAAGACTACTTAGTCTATCAATTCTACTCAATTCATAGAAAATGTAAATCCTACACCATTCTGGACAGTGCTGCTCCATGACCAGACACCATGTGTACCCACCAATGCTGTTTGGGGGAACGTTATTCTGATGATTGATGCCGTTTGGGACATTACTGTACACAATTGTAGAATATAGTCACTATACTTCGCAGCAGATCTTGATTGAGATTCCAGAATTTTGGAATCCGTCTGCACTGTTTAACTCTGGTCTGCTTCCCTCAACCCTCCACAAGACCCAGCACAACAGAAATCAAACTTGTGGAGTAGTTGCTCATCTCAGTTTGAAGCCGTCCTTATAACCTCAAGAACTATTTAGGACTAAATGCTCATTAATTTTTTGAAAAGGTTCATTGATGTAACAAAGAAATAATCATTCATATTGGGATCTGTTTTTAATATCTACAATGTGTTCTTTTTTTGTGGGGGTGGGGGCTCTATAATTTTAACCTCTGTCTTTCAGTCTTATGTTTGTTGTTTAAATATCCTTTGATAAGAACATAAGAAATGCTGGACGAGAAAAGACCAAGGTCCATCTGGTTCGCCATCCACTCTTTCTTAGTGGTTGCATACACACATGTCCCAAACTACCTATCTACTATATCCCATAATGTTATTTCCTAAAAGAAAACTATCTGTGTTTGAAAGAATCAACACTTCCTGCTTCAACCGTCTCCCTAGGGAGCTTGTTCCACGGTTCACTGTTCGCTCACTGAAATAGTGTTTGAGTAGATTCGTTCTGAGTTTACCCCCTTCAATCGTAGGCTTTGTCCTCTGGTTTTAGTATTCTGGACAAGTTGAAACAGCCCGTCATGATCTATACTGTCTAACCCCTTTAGAATCTTAAAGGCAGCAATCATGATTTGATGTACATCCAAGCAGGTTATTTAAACAACAAATACAAGAATAAAAGACAGAAGGTTACAATTACTCAACATTTGAAAGTACTAGTCACACTCGGCCCTCGCAGACAGTTTGTTTTTGGGATCAAAATATTTGATTTATTTTCTTAAATAAATACCACAACCTTAAAATAGTGGATACATTCTTGTTTTTGTGTTTATCCTTTGTTATCCAAAAGAGGTTGGTCAAGCGGCTACTCTTGTGCTCATTATTATCTCATTTGCTTTTAAATCAGGCAGTTGCCCAATTTCATAGAATTATCCAGAACAGAAGGAGGCCATTCAGCCCATCGTGTCTGTGCGGCTCTTTGAAAACAGCTATCCAATTCAATCCCAGTCCCCCGCTCTCTCCCCATAGCCCTGCAAACTTGTCCTCCCCAAATAATTATCCACTTCTCTTAAAAGTTGTTATCGAATCGGCTTCCACCCCCCTTTCAGGCAATGCATTCCAGATTCCAACAACTCGCTGTGTGAAAAAACTTCTCCCCTGTTTCTTTTAACAACTATTTTAAATCGGTGTCCTTGGGTTACCGACCCACCCACCAGTGGAAATAGTTTCTCCTTATTCACCCTATCGAATCCCCTCATAATTTTGAAAACTTCTATTACGTCTCCACTTAATCTTCTCTGCCCCAAGGAGAATAATCCTAGCTTCCCTAGCCTCTCCTGATAACTGAAGTCCCTCATTCCTGATACCATCCTGGTAAATCTCCTTTGCGCCCTCTCCACTGCCTTGACATCCTTCCCAAAGTGTGGGGCCCAGAACTGATCACGTACTCGAGCTGAGACCTAACCAGTGTTTTATAAAGGTTCATCATAACTTCCTGACTTTTGTATTCAATGCCCCTATTTATAAAGCCTAGTGTCCGGTATGTTTTTTAACAGCTTTATCTACCCGTCCTGCCACCTTCAAAAAATTTACTTATATGGACCCCAGGTCTCTCTGTTCCTTCACCCCCTTTGTACCATCAGCTTATATTGCTCTCATTCTTCCTCCCATCACTTTGCATTTCTTCGTGGGCTTCTATTTTGCTTACAAGTCTCTTATGTGGCACTTTATCAAACAATTCGTAAACTTTGTATGAACCTTTTTACCTCCATTCAGTTAGCTTAGGTTTTCAATTTTCATATCCAGTTTTTAGTCCCTCACTTGCTGTATAATTACTAAACCAATTTTAGATTGTGATTGCTTTTTATTTTGTGGGCCAATAAAACTCCAAACATCTAGTAGTAATATCACTATTCATAAGTGCTCTCTTCTAGGTAGCAGATTGTTGGGTTCTGTAATGTTTGTCTTAACAATATTTACATTAGCTATTTCCCCCTTGGGTGTATGTTTAATACTCATAAATAGTGATATTACTACCAGATGTTTGGAGTATTACACTTTTATGGAAATTAAATCTATTGGGAATGTTTTAAATGGGTTTTGAAGCTCTGGTTGGGAAGGCAATCTATGGTTGATATTAGATTAATGTGAGTGGTCTTCTTTCTATAGTACAATCTCTCAAGCTTTCAGGCATTTTGCTCCCGCTCTCTGAATCCTCATCCCAAAGTTCCTCTTTCCCGACTCGGAAAAAAAATGTATTCAGTTAAATAACAAAAATCTAAATTTCCATCATACTGCAAAAATGTTTGCCAAATATCTCCTGCTGTGAAATGTTTTCTCTATGGCGTACATTTTTCTCAGCCTCTGTTTTTCCTAGAATATAGTTATTGGTACTGTGGGAATGTTTTTTCAGTTGTTTTATATAATGCACTTTACAAAATGGACTAAAGCTATTGTAACCTAATGCTGGCAATTAATATGGGGAAAGCATTCCAGGCATTCAAAAGCAGGGAACGTTTACAGCAAAGAAGGGTGCCATTTCTGTGCTGGTGCTTTTCTCTCCCACTGGAGTATCTACTCTTAACCCTATTCCCCTGCTCTTTCCCCATACCCTTTAATGGTTATCCAATTCCCTTTTAAAATTTTCAATGGACTTAAATAATATTTGTGGTAATACATTTTCATGTAACTATCTACTCTATGTTTAAAAAAAACTTTTTTTCTTTACTGACTTTGATTAGTATGAATAGTCTCAAATAGTTTATTTAACCCATTAAAACCAAACAGAATTTTGAAAACCTATAAGTCCATCCAATTAATAACCCTTTTTACTCCAGAAAAAAATATTTCCAACCTTCAAGTTTTTTTCATACAACTAAACTCATATTCCCGTTATCGAACTGAATCTTTTTCGATAGCATTGCAATATTTTTCATCTGCTGTAGTGTCCAGTGTGAAAGGACACATTTAACAAATTATATAGTTGATCTTTTTTCTTTTTAAGGTCTGCTACCTCCATTACCATAGATCCTTCAGCTAGAAGGGCAGGACGATCTGGACCACAGACTTCCAACAGCTGCTGTCAATGCTGCCCTATACCCAGACACTGACCGAAGGTGGGTGCTTGTGAGGTGGTATAGTTTCTGCTAGTTTTCATTTTCTCTGCAGCTGTCTTGTTCAGAATTTCAGAGAACTGTCGGCCGAAAGATGTGTGTTCATAGTTGAAATTTCTGTACAGCTTCTATTTACCTCAAATGGCTTGATATACTAATCCTTGCATTTGATATAGACTTAAGACGTTGGAGCAGGAGTAGGCCATTCGTCCCCTCGAGCCTGGCCCACCATTTAATAAGATCATGGCTGATTTTTTTAACCTAATTCCATTTACCTGCGCTATCCCCATATCCTTTAATCCCTCTATCCTTTAGAAATCCAACAACCTCAGTCTTGAATATGTTCAATGACTGAGCTTCCACAGCCTTCTGAGGTGGAGAATTCCACAAATTCATTACCCTCTGAGTGAAAAAATGTTTCCTCAATTCAGTTCGGAAAGGCTGACCCTTAATCTTGAGACTGTGACCCCTAGTTTTAGATTCTCCAACTGGGGAAACAGTCTCACGGCATCTACCTGTCAAGACCCTTAAGAATCTTATATGTTTCTATAAGATCACCTCTAATTCTTCTGTATTCTAGAGAATATAGGCCTAGTTTACTCAACCTATCCTCATAGGTCAACCCCCTCATCCCAAGAACCAACCTAGTGAATCTACGCTGCAAATACAGAACTTGCTTGTCACATCATCAAAATGCCTAAGTGCTTCATAGGATTTTATTCCCAGTCTGACTCAGTTGGTAGCCCCTGAGTTAGAAGGTTGGGGGTTCAAGTCCCATTTTAGGAGTTTGAACTTAGTCTAGGCTTCTACTAAAATACAGTACTCGGATGTTCTGCATATGAGATGTTAAACCGAGGTCCCACCCGTCTGTTCAAGTGGACATTAAAGATCTGCACTATTTGAAAAGAGAAGGGAACTTCTCCTAGTATCCTGGCCTAGATGGATGTTTATGGGACGTTGCTGGATGCAAATTGGCTGCTGGGTTTAGCTACAAATAGTCACTATATTTCATAGTAACAATCCTATGAAGCATTTTCAGAAGTCTCAGCAATGTGAAAATGGGCTTTATGAAATGCAAGGATGATTATTTTATGACTGTACTAAAGTGTGTATTTGTGGGCAAAAGCAGCTGCCAATTTGTGCACAGCAGTGCCCTACAAACCATGAAGTGAATGACCAACTTTTCCCTCAGTTTATGATAATTTAATTCTTAATCTGTAACATAGTATGCAGAACAGGAGTTGAATACTCCTGTGTACTGTATATTGGAAGCTTATGTTCTACAGAACTTAATCGTTTCACCTGCTCGTCGGGAGATTGATGTTAGTGTTGGGAAGTAGATCACCTGCCTCTCTTTGGGCTCCCAGGTTCAAAGCATTCTGGTAAGTTAGTGCCTTTACATGTAGAATAAAGAATTTCTACTCCACTCAGCTATTTACTGAGTCAATGCTACAGTATTTTGTGTTTTCCATACTAGCTATGGGGCACTTGTTAGATTCCCAAATTTTTTAGAAGCAGAATTGATGTGGCCAAACAGATTTGGAAGGTAACCATAGACCATTAGTTTATATCCATCAGCAGTGATGGAATACTGCTAAGAAACCATAATAAGGGATAACATTAGCAACTGGTTGTGGGCTAAACAGGAATACTCAACATGAATTTCTAAAGGCAGGTCTGTGCCTGATCAATGTATCTGAACGTTTTAAAAAAAACTTACTGAGCATTTAGGTTGTCAGTCTGGTTCAGTTGGTAGCACTCTTGCCTCTAATCAGAAGTTTGTAGGTTTAAACCCCACATCAGGACTAGGAATTAATGTAATCTAGGGTAACACTAATGGAGTATGTGGGGTAATATATTTCATGGCCGTTTCTGGACATTGTGGTAAAAATTGGCTGCTGAATTTGTCCACAAAGTGCACTTTAGAGTATATCCTTCTGTGAAGCACGTACCTCTCATTGTGAAAGGTGTTCTGCCAAATGTAAGTATTATATAGGTGTACATACATAGAGTATTCAAAACACATTTTGTTTGATGTTATGTAAAAGACCTCACAAAGATTAAGGACTTTGGTATTAGCGGCAAAATGGGGACATGGATAGAGGGTTCATTGCATAATTGAGGAGAAGAAATAAATGGATTATTTTCAAATTGGTGATATCTGATGGCGTACACTTTGGATCTATGCTGTTCCTCTTATGTTCTCCAAATCTGTAAATAATTCCAACATCATGAGAGGAAATAGTACTGTATATTAGGATTTGGAAACAATAGCAAATTTAGAGGCATGACAAATTAGAGATATTTAGTTTCATCAGAGGTGATTGTGCTGAGGAGCAACTTGTGCAGAATTATCCAAGACATAGTAGTAACTGTTTGGACTTGAGCAATGTAAAGAAATCTAGCTAGCTAGTGAAAGTACCAGCAGTTTGCCACAACAAATGGGGAACACTGCAACTAAATGTGTTTCTCACTTAATTCAGCCTAAAAATGCACCTGGGAAAACGGTCATATCTCAATATTGTCTTTACTTTTATAACCTTAATGCAAAGGGAAACTAGAGAACAAAGATAACAGATGAACATTTAAAACCGGCGAGAGGGTGTGAGGATTCATTTTGTTCAAAGTTGAATGTTTTTTGCAGGATTAAATTTCTACAATAGCTGATCTTGGTTTAAAACTACAGTAATAGCTATTTTGTTTGAAGAAACAAATCAGAGTTAAAAAGAGTGTTCGAGGGATATGTAGGGGCTTGTTAAGCTTTTATATCTGCATTTTGATTGCATAAGGAATGTGCAAGGAAGTGTCTGAAATGGTCCTTTGAATGGAAATGAATCATACTTATGTAGTTGCTTCAGTTGATTAAACAATTGGGCAGTCATGGGAAATAACTCGAAATACTGTATCACAAAGAAAATGTTCCTTGCTGGAGTACATCTGTTTTCAATCTTTTTTTTTCCCCCCCCAAGAATGTGAAGCATGCAGTTGGAGATCAGCACATCAAGTGGCTGAAGGTGAAAGTGCCAACAATTTGCAATAAAAAATGGGGAACACCGCAACTAAATTTCGCAAGGCACTCATAAATGGTGATGAATCCTTGGCCTACCAGCTGTACGAAAGCAATCCTCAATTCAAAGAATCTTTAGATCCAAATACCTCTTATGGGGAGCCATATCAACATAACACTCCCCTTCACTATGCTGCCAGATATGCTATGAGCAAATTGCTGCGGTGAGTATTGAATTTGGATTGTCTGGTGTGTAGTTTAAAAAGTTTATGAATTACTGGTAGTTTTCAGTATGATGGAAATCTTTTTGTGGATATGAACTTTACAATTACGAAAGTTAAATTTGTGCAGGTGCGAATAAAAAGGGCTGTGCTCAAAATGCATGTAGTCTACTAATAGTGCTGCACTACAAAGATTAAGTTCATGTCCAGTTGCGCTACTCTGTGTGAAGAGTACTATACAAATGCAAGTTGTTGTTTACACAAGTGTTTATGTGGATTGAATTTGTACACTGGGATTAAATTAGTTAATCGAAACTGACTTTTTGATGAATGAAAAACGTCAGCCGTCACTGAGTGGTTTTACAGAGGGGCAGCAAGGGGGAGAAGATGTAATACAGCTTTCTAAAATCATAAAGAGAAACAATTTCCATTGATGGACTCTACATAAAATGTGTTTCCAGGTACCTCCAACCCCCAGTTTTAAACACTGAAACTGTAAGAAACAATGACCTTAATACAGTACATTGTCCACCCACTATGTCTTTGTGCCTAATTGTCCCTTTTTAACAGAATTTTGTAAAGTTCCAGTCATGAGATCCATTTGCTGGAAAAAGATCCTGTACAGATTTTTTTTTAAAAATGTTATTTTTATAGTGCCTTGAGTCAGGGTGCTCCAACCTGTTGGCTGCCTTGAGCCGGATCCCAATTTGAGAAAAGTCTGTAGGCCGCGTAAGCAATCATAGAAACGTACAGCACAAAAAGAGGTCATTTGGCCCATCAAGTCTGTGCCGGCTCTTTTCAAAGAGCAATGTAATATCAATCCCACTCCCCAGCCTTTTCCCCATAACCCTGCAAACCCGTCCTTCTCAAATACTCGTCCACCGCGTTTTTAAAAGTTGTTATCGGATCAGCCTCGACCACCCTTTCAAGCAATGTGTTCCAGATTCTAACAACTCGCTGCGTGAAAAAAATTCTTCTCACTTCTCCTCGGCTTCTTTTAGAAACTATTTTAAATCTGTGACCTCGAGTCACCAACACACCCACCACTGGAAACAGTTTTTCCCTTTCTAACCTATCAAATCCCCTCATGATTTTGAAGACCTCTATTAGGTCTCCTCGTAACCTTCTCTGCTCCAATGAGAATAATCCTCACCTCTCTAGTCTTTCCTCATAATCAAGGTCCCTCATTCCTGGTACGATTCTTGTAAATATGGTTTGTATTTCGTGTTTCCCTTCCAGAATTTTGTGTTTCCCTTCCAGAAACATAACAATATTTACATAGCACCCTTTTCATATTATAATAATAATCCTTGCGTTTAATATAGCACCTCTTCTAGATGTCTCAAAACGCTTCACAGAATATACTGTAAAGTGACTTGACTGTATTTTGTGGGCGAAACGAACTACTGAGTGGTTGGAAGGACATCTAGACTGTCGGCTGGGCACCTGAGCTGGGGGTGGGAGCTGAGAGAGGTGAGATGGGGAGGAGAAAAGATGACCAAAAGAGTGGTCAAAGATTTAGGTCTTAATGTGCCTTGAAAGAGGGGAGGGAGGGAGTCAGTCAGAGGGACTCCAGGATGGAACTCCAGAGAGCGGGGGTAAAATGGCAATAGTGGGGCAAGTGGGTGGTGGGCATAGCAAACTGATGTTTGCTCTGCAAAGGGAATGGCCGGGTCAGGAAGTCGCCGAGGAAGGATGGGGAAGGAGGTGGAATGAAGGACATAGATTGGTTTCTCACAGTGGAAAGAGGGAGGTTTCAGTGAGGAAACTGTAGAACATGTCACTTGGTGTCTGTCCTTGCCTCGTGGCAGCCGAGGGAAGCTACGATCGTCTGTCCTGATAGCAAACCACGAAACGCTGCCTTCAATTCTGGTATTATTTTCACTCTCTGCGCTGCATCAAAACAACAACTTGGATTTATATAGCACCCTTCACGCTGAACGGCGTCTCAGAGCGCTTTACAGTTTAGGGTCTCGGGACTGAGCCAGGGGGAGGGGGAGGAAGGTGACTAAAGGCGCGGTCGAAAAGAAAGGTCTTCAGCAGAGATCTGAAAATGGGAAGGGAGGGAGTGAGACGAAGGGAGTGAGGAAGGCAGTTCCAGAGCCTCGGGGCATAGTAGCTGAAGGTACAGCCGCCGAGGGTGGAGCGGAGGACTCGGGGGACGAGAAGGAGGCCAGACCCGGAGGAACGAAGGCAACGGGCACTGTTTTGAGGAGAGAGGAGGTCAGAGAGGTAGGGGGATGCAGAGGAGTGCAAGGACTTGAATATAAGGGTAGGGGTCTTGAAATCGATCCTCCTAACCGCCGGCTCCTGCCGCTGCCCTGGGAACACGTTCACCAGGAAGGGAGGTGGCAGAAGTTGGAATGTTGGAAATGATCTTGGGCCGGGAAAAAAATCACCCGCCAGGCTGGATACAGCACTTTATAGTAAATGCTGTCAAATGTGCGGCCTGTTTTTATAGACAAATACAGCAGCCATTTCGCTCACAGCAAGGTCACCCAAACAGGCATGAAGTGAATGAACAATTTATTGGGAGAATTATTGACCAGACTCCATGAGAAAGACCTCTATTTTTACATAATGTCATGAAATCTTTAACCTGAAAAGGCAGACTGGACCTTGGATAAAAGTCTCATTCTGATGGCACCATACATTTGCCGATCGCTTTTCACTGTAAAATATTTTCATAAGCAAAATAGTTTGCTTTAATGGCCTATACATAGTATCAATCATGATCATAACAATTTAATTTATGAACATTTATTTTACTTTTGGCTTTGTGCATGTAACATTATGGGTTATGCAACCTTTTGTCCGCTAAGTTCTACATTTCATGGTGTTATTAAAGTATAATTTGTTTAGGTTAGAGCTTAATGGAGCATACATGTTTCTTTAAAATCTTGTTGAAATAAATTGTTTTGTTCCCTTCAGCAGCTGATTTTAAATCCTTCCTGTTTGAGTCGAGCTGTGCATGAGAACATAGCCAGAAAAGATCACTGGGATCCATCTGGCTAGCTCCAAAGTAACAAAAGTAAAATAATAAATAATTCAACAATTCTCTTATACCCTCAATTCTTCTATATCATTTCCTCTCCAATTCAGAAATGCAATTTGACACCACTACTTTTCAGGGTAGTGTATTCGCCACTGTATAAAATAATTAAATTTGAACTGTAAAATAATTTATCTTCCCTCTTTTGAATTTGCATCCAAGTTCCCTAGATTTTTTTTGACATTGGTGAAATGTATAATTAGGATTGAGTTCATGTTATTACCATTTAGGATCTTGAATACCCTCATTAACATGTCCCCTTAGCGTCTTCAGTGCGAACATTCCCGAGTTCCATAACCTCTCATAATACAGATGTCTAATTGCATCTATCAGTTCAATTGCACTTCACTGTACTCCCTCCTAAGCCAATATATCACAGCTGTAATATGGCAGCTAGAATTGTGTACAGTAATCTAGATAAGGTTAGACTTGTGCTCTTTACAATTTTAATACCAATTTTCGTGTTTTGTTGACAATCACATCAGCTCTATATCCATAGCTTTTCTTTTGTTTTACTATCATTGTCCCCTATGCTAATGCTTTGAGTGATCTGTCAATTAGTACCACCCCAGTCCCTCTCTTCTCATGTTCTGTAAGCTAATGCAGTTTATTTTCCCTTTTATTCTCCTTTCCCTAGCTATGATTCTGCAATTCTCTACCTTAAATAACATTCACCACTTGGCAGTCCAAAGCACAAATCTATCCCTTCTTATTTGGGCAGTTTGTTCCCTATATACAAATAAGGGAGCATTGCATTGTCAGATGTGCAGTCCAATGAATGGGTCATTAAAGCAAGGTCCTGTCTGCTTGTTCAAGTACACATTAAAGTTCCCATGGCACTATTTGAAAAGAAAAGGAAGTTTCTCCTGGTGTCGTGGGCAACATCACTCAGATAAAATTGGTCATTCACTTCATGCCTGATGTGAGACATAGCAGCCAATTTGCATGCAGCAGTGTTAATCTACCAAAATACATTTTATTTAGTAAATCTTGCGATGGGCTTTGAGACATTTTGATGATGAAATAAGGCGTATATCATATCTAAGGATTATTATTGTTGACTTCCAAGCTAGCTTTTTTTGTACCATTCAAGAGATGAGACGAGTCATCCCACTCAGCTCCTGTTAACCCTGCAAGCCAAACACCTAATGGGTAGGGTAGTCCTAGCTGGACAAGCAGCGAGAAAACTTGCTGGACAGCAGTACCAATGACAAGCTTTGCAGTTTTAGTTGGTTAGACTCCAGCAGTACCCCAATGAACACTCTGGTGTCCCCAAGCCTTGGTTCTTGCCAACGTGCGCCTGATACTTTCCAGAATTAGGTAAGCGGGTTGCATCCCTCTAGGGAGAGAGTGCCTATTCCATTCCAACAATGTGTCTCTGGGATTTCCAAGTGTAGGTGGGATGCATGGAAATCTCATCTTGGTTTGTAGACTCTTAAGCATTATGATAGGTTTCTGCATGTGTCAGAAACTAGGCTGATCAGAAAAAGAGAGGAAAATTCCCTTAAATGTGCCCAGTTCTTTTATCTCTGATTCTGCTAAAGACCTTCAAGGCAAGTCTTTGATGATAGCCTTTGAACTATAATGTGCAAGTTGAATTCTTACAAGGTGTATTGAATTTTTATTCTTCTACATTCAATATACACAGATATAATTTTCTAAAATAAGTTATATCAGAAATAAAGTTTTTGGGGTCTTGAAATTGTCATCATAATCAGACTTTTGACAATTAATATTCTGTTCAATTATTGCCCTTTCACATTTATTCATATCAGTGATATCAAGCACCCCTTCAATCCACTATCTCCAATAGGGTCTTTTAATTAATCCTGATAAACACACCTACTTTGTATTTGTATCATCAACTGTCTCCACTGATCAGTGCGCCTGTAATGAAGAAATAATTTAGGATTGCACGAAAGAAAGGGAAAGGTTGGGATGTTTTTACACCAAGGATTATTAGAATGTGAAATATCTTGCTACAAATGGCTGCTGAAACTAACTCCATAAATAAATGCATATTAAAAGAAATTGCATAAGTTCTTCAGGTAATAATAATATAATAATCCTTGCATTTGATATAGCGCTTTTCACGTCTTCTAGACTTCTCAAAGCGCTTCATAGACTATGCTGTAAAGTGAATTGACTGTATATTTGTGGGCGAAACGCAGTATCCAATTGCACACAGCAGTGTCCCACAAACAGTCGTGGATTGAAAATGACCAAATTATTATTATTGTTTTTGTTTTGGAGGGATTATTATTAGGCGTGTGGAGTAAGGAAACTTGCCCAAGGTAACGTACTAAAGATTGTGGATAAGAGCAAGGGTACTGGATAAGATTGGAGAGGTTCAATGGGGGAGCAAGCATGAGTTAAGGAAGGCTTCTATGATTTAAAACAGACGGAGAGGCCAGGGATGTTGTGTGACAGAAAGATTTGGTGCTGGTTAAAGTACCGTTAACTAGGTATTGAGAATTTGAATTGCAAATTTTCAGTGGAAACATTTTAAAATTTGACATTGGTTTCTAAGATTTCAATTAATCATTGTACTGTGCTTTTACAATCGTCACATTAAGAATAAAAGCTCTTCAGTTATTTTGGTTTAAAACACTCAGTAATTGCTGCTTTTGTGGTATTTCAGCAAGCAGCAGCTGGTGATCTGACCTTATGGGTTTTTTAACATGATTCATGCCAGCAGCTCAAGGCAACTATCTAATCAGTAGGCAATATTAACTTTGCAGCTAATTTTTCATGTGAAATGAGGATGAAAACAACTGAATGCCTGCAACTCTGCACTTTTTTTTGACTTAAAATCCCTCATTACAATGAGGGATGTTATTGTTGCTGGGTAAAAGAAAATCCTCCACCCACTCTGAATACCCTCAAGTCAGCTTTAACACTCATTAAATCCACAGTAAAACTCATGTGTTTATACCCAGTCTTAGAAGAGTGCTGGCCATCCCAACGTTCAATAATATCAAACCTGGCGCTGCAGTTGATCCCTGTTTGCCTTCAAAATCCATCTAGCTTTTTCCCAAATTTGCTGATTCTATCCACCCCCACTGTCTCCACAGGCAGTCTGTTCAATATGTTTGCCAAAACATTAGAACATAAATTCCTCTATGTTCAGTTTATATTCAGGATATTGTGACCATTGCCGGGAAATCCATTGAACGGTTCTTCACAGTGCTTAAAAGACAACTGAGCACACAAAAGTAGCTATAACTGGCACAGGAAGCCTTCCATTAGCTGGCACTATCCAATTTGGAGGTGGGGGAGAAGTGGGGTTTCCTTTGAGCTGAGTTAGCTCCAAGGTGACATACTTGGCAACATAATGTTGAAATTGAATCAACCCTCATTGTTGGTCCCAGTTGTCTGGTTCCTGAGCCAGGCAAGTCTGCAATGATCACAGATAAGCCAATTGGCTGGATGACACAAATTGGAGGAATAGATTGGTTGATAACTGGCATAGGGATTTTTCCCACTTGGTTCCTATAATCCTTGCGAGCCAAAACCTTACTGAGTGTGGTCCTCGCTGTGGTAAGCAGCAGAAAGCTTGCCAGACCCCAGCCTGATCCTAACATACTCTCTGGGGTACCCATGCCTTGGGAATCTAATCTATATCCACTCATAGATGGTGGAAAGCATGTTTTTGCTCAGCACAATGGCATTCCTTATTAAAATCAGGTGCTTTAAGGCAAATTGGCAAAATATGCTTATTGGCTTGACTATTCCAAACATATTGCCTACTGGAGTACAGGAGCCGGTGGTTGGGAGGATGCAGCATGGAGAGTGAAAATAATACCAGCTGTTGCTGCAGTCTGTCAGGAAGGCAAACGCGTCTCTTACCAACCGTGTCCTTAGCAACCACCGTCTCTTACCGCTGCAGATAGTGATTGCCGCGTGGCTGATTGCGAGAGGAAGGAGGAGAGATGAGGGGGAGAGAGTATATGTGTGTGTGTGTGTGTGTGTGTGTGTGAAAGAGAGGTAAGAAAAGAGAGACAGAGAGGGGATAGATTGAGAGAGGGAGAGCAGAGAGAGATTGAGAGAGTTTGAGGGGGAGGAGCGAGAGAGCATGAGGGAGGGAATAATGTAAGGGAGAGAGGGAGAGAAAGAAACTGAGAGGAAGATTGAGATAGTTTGAGAGGGTATAGAGAGAGTGTGTGGGATTGAGAGAGTGATTGAGAGGGAAGTGGAGTGTGAGAGGTTGGAGAGGGTGAGAGAAGGGGAATTAGAGAGAGTTATTGAGAGAGAGGGTGTGCGTGAGAGGGAGAAGAGAAGACATGAGGGAGAAGGAGAGAAACAAAAAGAGTGAGGGAACAGAGAGAGAAAGAATTGAGGGCAGTGTTTCATGGTTCATTGTCAGGACAGATGATCGGAGCTTCCCTTGGCCTACCTCTGTCACCTCACAACCTGGCCATTCCCTTTGAGAGCAAACACCAGCTTGCTACATGTTCCCCCCCCACCTCATCTGCCCCACAATCGCCATTTTGCCCCCGCGCTCTGTAATTCCATTCCTAGAGTCCCTCCACCTCTCTCCCCTCTTTCAAGGCATGTCACGACCTAATTATTTTTGGCCACGCTTCCAGTCATCTTTTCCCCTCCCCATCCCACCTCTCTCAGCTCCCACCCTGGTTGGATCATCCTGATCTAGAACAATGCGGCCCGTGTCCTTTCCTGCACCAACCTCAGTGACCTTATCACTCCCATCCTCTCTTGCCTTCACTGGCTCCCTAACCCACAGTGGATCGAATTCAAGATCTTGTCCATGCATTCAAATCTCTATAGCCTTGTTCCACACTACCTCTGCAACCTGACTACTCGTCCTTTCAGTGAACACTTCTGAACTGCTTCATTTTACTGCCAAATTCACCACTCTATTGGTGGGTAAGATTTCAGCCATTCTGCCTGCTGTGTAGAACTCTGTTCCAGAGTCCCTTCTCCGTGTCTCATTTCCCAGCCATTTGAGTACACAGCCAGTTGTATAAACCACTTTAAGACTTTTTCCCAATGTAAAAGGTGCTATGCAAATGTACATTTTTTAAAAATGTGTTTATATTCTATTGCAATACTATCTGGAACTAGGCAAGCAGGATGTGTGCCTCCATGGAAAAAGTGGGTATTCCAGAAATGGAAATTTCCATGCTTAAGTGGCATCCATACGTGGAACTCTGCTGGTTTGAATTCTTAAGCACAGTGATTGGTTTCCATATGTGTCAGACATCTCAACTAGCTGACCAAAATTTTTTGTTCCAGTATATAATGGACATATAAATTATGAAATACCTTTCTTTAATTGATTTTAATTTGACTCCATTATTTAGTTGGTAACTGATTCCTTTTCTTATTTCTTAATGCAATGACTTGTAAATTGATTGTTAATCATGTTTTTGTGGCTAGCATAATAATTGGGTTACAAATGTACTTATTATTTTCTTAAACAGTTCTTTGTAGAAGCATTTATGCAGAGGAGCCTGTCCTGTCACAAAACAACAGCTAATGATGTGCTTTTCGAATAGAGAGGCAGGCAGACCTGATGAGCTGAATGACCTCCTATTCTTCCTGTATTCCAATATTCTTCAGGGGAATATTTTGTTATTCATTATACAAGTGGCATGTGATACAAGTTTGAACTCCAATCATCATGTGTTATTCTAACATTTCAGCTTTTTTGTTTACCAAATGCTTATCCAAAACATTCACCTTTTGATATATGGAAATAGTCTTTGGTGAAGATTGCACAACCTGCACAGAATCTCAGCGAGAGACCTGCACAGAATTAAATGAAGTAACTGAGAAACAAAGTTTTTTTTTAATACTAATTCAATAACCAGGAATATTGTTTAAACTTTAGTGAGGTAAAATTGACTCTCCGAGGCTAGTTGGAAATTTGACTTTTCTAGCTTTGGAACGCATTATATAATCATAAGACTTACTGTATATTGTATTGCTTAATGCAAAATGTGTTGAGTGAAATAGTTTAACTTAATAGCACAAGATAAGAGATCTCATCTTTGAGATGGTCATTTGCTTTACATCTGAAATATATTCTCTTCTACCCAAACAGAATCTTCCTTTTTAATAAAGATGGAAATCCCAATAAGCGGAATGTGCACAATGAGACTGCTTTGCACTTATTATGTATGGGACCACAAATCATGCTGCCTGAAGCATCCCTGCAGCCCCGGCTCTCACGACCCGGTGAAGATGATGGGAAGAGAGCTGAATGTCTGCAGATGATTCTGAAGTGGAAAGGTGCGAGGCTGGACCAAGGCGAGTTCGAGAAAGCCGATAGTAATGCCACTGATAACAAAATGAATACACCTTTGCACTATGCTGCTGCCTCAGGGATGAAAACCTGTGTAGAGGTAATTATTGCCTTTGGCTTCTTTGTGCTTTTAGATATTTGTCCAGTCTGGATGCTAATACTCTTCGAATTCAAGATCCTCATCCTCACCTACAAGGCCATTCACGGCCTTGCTCCCTCCTACCTCTCCGACCTACTATTCCGCTACTTACCTGCCCGTAGCCTCCGTTCCTCTGGCTCCGGTCTGCTCCACATCCCCCGCCCCAACCGCCCTACCATCGGTGGCCGGGCCTTCAGCCCCGAGGCTCTGGAACTCTATCCCCCAGTGCCTTCGCCGCCTCCTCCCTTTCCTCCTTCAAGGCCGGTCTCAAGACCTTTCTCTTTGACCGTGCCTTCAGCTCCCCTCTCGACTCTCTACCCTCTCCTCGCTCCCTCCCTTCCCTCCCCTCACCCTGACCATTTCCCCCCTGCTCGGGTCCTGACCCTACTGTCCAGCCCCTTTGTGACGTCATCCCGATGTGAAAGGTGCTCTATAAATGGAATGTTGTTGTTGTATATGTAGTAAATAAAGTGGATCGATATCAAGGAGGTAAATTTCAGGTGGACAAGAAATTAAACAGATAAGCCCATTTCCAAGATCCAAGATGGTATTTGATTTTCTGCATATCCCTGTCCCCGTAAACTCTGGAAAGTCTGCTGTGTTAGTTTTTTTATCTCTATTAGTTGCACCTATTAGGGTTTGATTGATGGATTTAACTACTACTTCTTGGTTGCAGATGTTAGTTAGGTACGATGCAGACCTGTTTGCAGAAAATGAAACTCGGGATACTCCATGCGATTGTGCTGAGAAGCAACATCATAAGGATCTTGCTCTCAATCTTGAATCACGAATGGTATTTTCTCGAGATCCAGAAGCTGAGGAAGTAGAAGCAGAGTATGCAGCTTTGGACAGAAAAGAGGTAATGGATTTTTTTATTTTACATTTTCTGGTTGAATTTATAGAATGAATGGACTCCACATTAGCAAATATTTTAAGTGTTCCTTGTTGAAACAAAAGCTAGGTTTGTGTCTAACGTCTTACAGTCGAGAAAGCTGGCGTTCGCTAGAATCAATCATAATAGAACATTTTTCTATATTTAGAAATGCTTTAAAATTCTTCCCAAAGCATTTTGAACAATTTTAGCTTAAAATCCTTCCGGAACATCGCCAGACTACGGCACTACCTCACCCCTCACGCTGCTGAAACACTGGTCCATGCTTTTATCACCTCAAGGCTGGACTACAGGAACTCTCTACTCGTCGGCCTTTCCGGCACCTGCCTCCACAAGCTGCAGGTCATTCAGAACTCTACAGCTCGTGTACTGTCCCGCACCAGGCTTCGCGACCACATCACTCCCACCCTCGCTCACCTCCACTGGCTTCCCATCCCCAGAGGATCAAATTCAAGATCCTCATCCTCACCTACAAGGCCATTCATGGGTTGCTCCCTCCTACCTCTCCGACCTAGTAGCCCCCTACCTACCTGCCCGTACTCTCCGTTCCTCTGGCTCCAGTCTGCTCCACGTCCCCCGCCCCAACCGCTCTATCATCGGTGGCCGGGCCTTCAGCCTCTCAGCCCCGAGGCTCTGGAACTCTATCCCCCAGTGCCTTCGCCGCCTCCTCCCTTTCCTCCTTCAAGACCGGTCTCAAGACCTTTCTCTTCAACTGTGCCTTCAGCTCCCCTCTCGACTCTCTACCCCCTCCTCGCTCCCTCCCTTCCCTCCCCTCACCATTTCCCCCCTGCTCTGTTCCCGACCCAACTGTCCAGCGCCTTGGGACATCCTCCCGACATGAAAGGCTCTCTATAAATGAAATCTTGTTGTTGTATTACTTTGATGAAGGTCATTAGAGTAGTTTTAGTACTGTAATATTTCTTTGCTGAAAATGTACAAAACTATCACTTTTATTAATTTTTAAAGCCAATGGGAAATTTTCCAGAGCTATCAGCAGTCTAAATATACTGAACTTTCATTTTTAGCTTTTACGTTTCCCCGTATTTAAAAATTATTTAGAATTTTTCCTGAAAATTAATCCTCTCAGAGCTCTCCCCCAAATGGTCCCAAGTTTTTGTAATCCTATAATTTCTGTGTGCCCCTGTCTGCTCACATAGTGAGTATCTGGTTAATATGCACTGTATGTTTCCTGTCCTTTACATTATATATTTTTTAAATATGTAAAAGGTGTGAATTTTCTTGTAGCTTTGAATCTTGTTGCTAATTTCACCTGAAAAAAATGACTTTGTTCACCTGCATTTTTTAGAATCGTTAGAAGTTCCGAAATAATTAATCTTAAAAGCCTAATTTTATAAAAGCTAATGGAATATTTTACAATGATTAAAATGTTTAATATACTAGTCAGCATTCCAATTCAGAAAGCGTTTTCTTTCAAACCATACGCACCTACAAACATGCACAGGTTTTTGTCATTCACAGTTTCAGCCATCACCAAACGTGTATTTTTTGAGTTTTGATTCACAATAACATTTACATTTATATAGTGCTTTTCATGTCAGGAGAGCATCCCAAGGTGCTGATTTAAGCAATTTGTAGTTGATAACAGTGACAAAATTAAGTACGATTTACACTGTGTGCCACACAATTAATCGAAAAAAAGTTGATGTAAAAGTGCATACTGTTAAAACATGAAATATGTATTTTAACCGAGTCTCATCTGTCGTGTTTTTTTTTCCTTCATTGAAATTCTCATCCTACACAGCATATGGTTGGAACTTTTCAAAATACTGTATCAAATGACACATCCAAGTGTATTTTGTTTCCATTTAATGCAAACTCTTAGAAAGTGCCTTATTCTAGCAGCAACATGGTGATATACAAATTCCTATATTGTAAATAAGTGTTTACAGAAATAGTTATTGGTTTGAACAATTAGAATATAATAAAGACAAGTAGTATGGTAATAGTAAAACTTTCATCTGTGTTTAACTTTTCAACTATTCTTCTCTGGTTAATGTTCCTTCGTCTTTTCTTTAAAGGCATACGAGGGTCTTAGGCCACAGGACCTGAGGAAACTCAAGGATATGTTGATTGTGGAGACAGCAGACATGCTTCAAGCCCCCCTTTTTACTGCAGAGGCATTGCTCCGAGCTCACGGTAAAATTAACACTGGTGGTTCGGGGAACGTGGTCCTATTTTGCAATATGTTCAACTGTAAATCTGTTTTTTAAATGCAGTGTCTGAAATGATTATCTTGAAAAACAGGGAGGTATTGAAGAGCAGTTGAAAATTAAAGGTAGACTATAATCAGTTAATTTTAAGACATTGGATGGAAAAATGGATCCAGATCAAACCGCTTTCAACTAAATTTGTTTTAATGGGCTGGTTTAAATCCTAACCAATCCTATACAGTGCATAGTGATGACCTGATCAGGTGGTGGCTTGGAAGGTTTATGGAGCCTGATTTTAAAATAAGCAGAATTACACAACTAGTGATAGCTATTATCTCAGCATTTCTTAGTGATCTAGTCATTTCAATGTTGCAAAATCTCAGTAACTCAATCAAGCTTAGATAGTTCTATATTTTTAAAAGAATGAACTGAGGGGAGGAAAAAAGAATATTTTTCTATCATTAAAAAAAGTCCTCTGGTACACTGCAAAACTATGCAGCTATTGGCACCCTCCTGATAAGCTTGTGTTACAGTTATCTAGTATGTTTTTTTCTCCCTTTATTTAAATTAATACTTTGAGCTTTTCAATGGTTTTGAAGCTTTCATCTCAAGGTTGTCTAGCAGTATATGTGCAACATAAACGGGGTAAGATTAAATTACCCTCCATCCCTTCAGGCACAAGTGGTATCTGAATTGTGGATTATAGTGGATGCTGTCAAACGTCTAGATTTTGGATGTTTGATCCATTCATTGTTGAGTTGCTTCCCAGCATCTAGTGTGCAAGAATTGAGATGCATCATTCCAGCAGCCTCCAATACTACAACAGTTAAGCCAGGTCATCAACACAACTCTTTGAGGGTATCGTGCCAAAACGATTTCACCAATGGACCTCACCAACATTGTCCTGCTTTGCCTTTAATGACTTGTTCCATTCCATTTGCTCCTCCATTGAAACTGAACAATTTTGTGCCCATTTATTATTTGCATCTGATAACTTTTATATACCAAAACTTTATATGAACATCTTAAGCATTGGATTTGAACATTACATCACATGTGCAAACCTTTCCATGATGTCTTTTGATTTTCCTTTTCTTCCTTTGGCTCTTTTGCTTCCTCATTCAACTCCGGTGTTGCAACTGGTGATTATACAAGTTGAGGATCTGGATCAGTGGCTCCAAGAAAGAAGTGCTCTCTCATTGGCATAAGTCAATGGTAACAATTAGCTTAAAGTCTCCCTTTGATATATTCTGCAACTAATATTAATGGACTTGGCATGTAAATGGGCTCAGTGATGAACCGTAACATTATCCGTGGGAGACTTTCTACCCTCTCTTTCTCCCCTTTCCCACTTTGGACAACCTTCGCACTGCATTGGAGTGTTAGCCTTGACTATATGAATTCATGTATTTTCATATGTATGCGGATGACATTCAACTCTATCTCTCTGCCTCCACCCTCAACTTCAGGACTACTGGCGTCCCAACAGACTGCCTGCCTGACATCAAATCCTGGATGAGGGACAACTTTCTCCAACTGAACGTCAGCAAGACTGAGGCCTTCCTGATTGGCTCACACCAGATCCTCCGCACCTCGGGCGCTGGCAGCATCAGCCTCCACGGCTGCACACTCAACCTCACTAAGCCAGTCAGGAACCTGGGTGTCTTGTTTGACCTGAACTGTCCTTTCTCCCCCACATCCGCGCCATGACCGGTACTGCCTACCAGCACCTCCGCAACATTGCCAGACTCCGTCACTGCCTCCCCCCTCAGGCTGCCGAAACCCTCACCCACGCATTCGTCACATCAAGGCTCGATTGTGGAAACTCCCTCCTCATCGGCCTTCCCAACTCTTCCCTTCACAAGCTGCAGATCATCCAAAACTCTGCAGCTTGTGTACTCTCATTCCCAGGCTCCGTGACCTCATCACTCCCACCCTCGCCCAACTCCACTGGCTCCCCATCCCCCAGAGGATCGAATTCAAGATCCTCGTCTTCACTTTCAAGGCCATCCATTTCAGGGCAGGCTCGAGGGGCCGAATGGCCGACTCCTGCTCCTCATTCTTATGGTCTTATGTTCTTATAGCCTTGCCTACTCCTAATTCTCTGATCTGCTGACTCCCTACCAACCTGCCCGCTCCCTCCGTTCAGCGTGCTCCGGCCTGCTCCAGTCTCCCACCTGACCCGCCGTACCATCGGTGACCGGGCTTTCAGCCTCTCTGTCCCCACACTCTAGAACTCCGTCCCACAGTCCCTTCGCCTCATTTCCTCCCTTGCCTCTTTCAAGGCCGGTCTCAAGATGCTCCTCTTCGATCATGCCTTCAGTTGCCCTCCCACCTCTCTGCCTTCCCTCTCCCCTACCCCACCCCTCCCCCATGTTCAGGTCCTGCCCCCTGACTGTCCAGCACCTTGGGACGTCCTCCCAACTTGAAAGGTGCTCTATAAGTATGATTTTGTTGTTGTTTTTCCTGTTGTTCAAAGTCCTGACATTGGACTTATACAACCCACAATTCTCTGAAGTACGTATTCTATCTTTAACCTAAATGTGGGAACATTGTCTAAAGTGCTTATTTGTCATCCTCTATTGTAAACTGGATTAATTTAAAAGGAATTCATATTAGTGGTCCTCTGGATGGGGAATTCCAGCAACTCGTAACTATATGTTCATTTCTCTGAGACACAGCTTCTTGGTGAGCTGACATGAATTCTGCTGTTGACTTCAGTATCCAATGGGCTTCCCTTTTGTACATATTTTGATTAATAAAAGTGAGCAAGTGAGTCCACAGGAAGTGGCTTTCTACTAGATTTGGCGCTAATGAGTGACCCAGATATTATTCAAGGAGCAGAAGTAACTGAACTGCTAGGGGTATCCAAGGAAGTTGGAATGAGATGAGCAGAAGGTGGAAGGGCCAAGTGACAACTTGGTTGGCATGTTAAGTGTAGATCTGGTGGAAACCACCAACAGAAGCTCAAGTAGCCGGTGACCAATATTTAAGAAATTATTGAAGATATGTGACTGGCAAATTGCTAAAAATGGTAGTTTTTTGCCATTGGTCCAGCGTGGATTGCACTGTATTATAAATCATAATCCTTGCAATTGATATAGCAACTTATCATGTCGTCAGAACCTTTTTTGGTCAGCCAGGTTTCTCTCGCAGGTGGAAATCTATCGAGCTTAAGTGTATATGCCACTTGCATAGAACTGTGTGGTTTGAATAAGCTTTAAGCATGGTGATGAGTTTCCACATCAGACACCTTGCTCACCCCTCAAAAAGTGTTAAAACCCTTTAAAGGTACTTCTCAAAATTTTACTGTAAAGTGTAGTGACAATATTTGGAGGTGACACAGCAGTCATTTTGCCTACAGGAACGTAGTACAAACAGCCTTGAAGGGCTGCCTATTTCACAATGTTGCTCCTTGTCAATATCCTCAGTCACTTTCAAATCACCATGCTCGGGAACCTCCCTATCTCTCAGATCTGCTTACGTACCACTCGACTACCTGTTTTCTTCACTCATCCGGCTCAGGTCTTCTGTACGTGCATCATCCCAAACGTTGCACTGTGCTTTGACAGTTGTGCTTTCAGCCACTAAGCCCTGAATCTCTGGAACTCCCTGCCTCAATCCCTCCATCTTGTCCCCTCTTTGGAGATCTTCAGAAGTCTTTCCTCTTCGACAATGTCTGTTGTCACCTAATGGCTCCAAGACTCTTATCCTGTGTAGGGTGCTATACAAATGCATGTTGTTGTTTTTGTTGTCACCTCCACACTGAGATATTACTCGCGCGAAGGCACTATATAAATGGGTGATGGTGGTGACCGTTGCCATCAGCACACCAGAACAAACTCCCTTCTCTTCCTATATTTAATATCCACCTGAACGGCAGATAGGGCTTTGGTTTATCTGAAAGATAACAGCTCTGGCCATGCAGGACTCTCCCAGCACAGTGTTGGACTGTCCACCTAGTCTGAGCTCAAGGTCCCAAAGTGGGGCTTCAACCCACAACCTGACTCGGGTTTGAGAATGCTGCCAGCTGAGTCAGGCTAACACGAAGTACAGCTGGCTTCCAGCACTTAGCCAGTTTCCCACTCAAAAAAAATGGCTGGCATCCTGGTTATCAGGTTAGTATTTGTGACAGCTCCTGAGTGTGGCAACCTTTGCACAGGCAATGCTGCTAAAGTCACTTCCTGCGTGCTTTCTATGTACAGAAAGGGCATTACGTGCAAAGAATTGTGGAAGCAAAGGAGGAACCTTATTCATTGTCTAAGGACAATATGAATAAAGCAGGATTGTGTAAGCCAACTAGGATATGCAGGGGTATTTTTAGAGTTGACATCAGGAAGTATCATGAGACATAAGGTAATCAACAACCCGAATGTGTCAACAGAAACTGGTAGAAGCCAGGACTTTGAACTCCTTAAGAAATGGTTAGATGTTCTAGCTGGATGACCTAATGAAAAGCTGGTAGGATTAGTGGACTAGAAGGATTTGGATGAGTTAATTTGAACCAAAAGACCTTTATCCAAAGATTTCTCCTAATTAATAATTAATTTTTTTTATTTCAAACCAAAAAAAGACTTAACTTTTCGCAGTGAAATAAGGTCAAACTAAATTTTGTAATATATTGTAACCACATGGAAATGCATAAGGAAGACTTAAAAAGAGATCTGAGTGTTCAAACAGATGCACAACATTCCTGGACAATGTGGAAACTTTCTTGTTTTGACATTTTGTTTTCTTAGACTGGGATCGAGAGAAGCTACTTGAAGCTTGGATGTTAGATGCTGAAGACTGCTGCCAACGTTCAGGCATCCAAATGCCAACTCCCCCACCGAGTGGGTATAACGCTTGGGACACGCTTCCTTCACCTCGAACTCCTCGCACCACCCGATCCTCTGTCACTTCTCCAGATGAGATCAGTTTGTCTCCAACTGATGATGATATGCCAGTGGTACGTGAGCTTTATGCTTGTCATTTATTTGACAACTTTGTTGTTGATTTTTAGATATTAGTGTATATATAATATATAGTGTTTATAATAATCCTTGCATTTGATATAACGCCTTTTCACGTCTTCAAGACACCTCAAACACTTCACAGCCTATTCTGTAAAGTATAGTGACTGTATTTTGTGGGGGAATTCCAGCAGCCAATTGTGCACAGCATTATAATGTATAATATTACATAGAATATACAACACAGGACTTGTGGAGTCCTATAGCTCAGTGGTTAGAGCGCTCGCCTTGCAAGCGCGACACCTGGATTCAGTTCCAGGTAGGGTGACACCTTGGGCAAGTTTCCTTACTCCACACGCCTAATAATAATATTATAATAATCCTTGCATTTGAAACAAAACAAAAAAAAATAGTAAATTGGTCATTTTCAATCCACGACTGTTTGTGGGACACTTCTGTGCACAATTGGCTGCTGTATTTCGCCCACAATTATATGGTCAATTCACTTTACAGCATATTCTGTGAAGCACTTTGAGACGTCTAGAAGACATGAAAAGCGCTATATCAAATGCAAGGATTATTATTATATTATATTATATTATATTAGAACACAGAAATAAGCCATTCGGCCCAACTGGTCTATGCTGGAGTTTATGTTCCACATGAGCCTCTTCCTGCCCTTCCTCAACTAAGCCTATCAGCATAACCTTTATTCCTTTCTCCCTCATGTACTTATCTAGCTTCTCCTTAAACACTATTCACCTCAAGTTCCACATTCCTACCACTCTCTGGGTAAACACGTTTCTTCTGATTTCCCTATTTGATTTATTGGTGACTATTTTATAATGATGGCCCCTGGTTTTGGCCTCCCCCATAAGTGGAAATATCTTCTCTACGTCTATGCTATCAAACCCTTTCAGAATTTTAAAGACCTCTATTAGGTCACCTCTATATGCTTAATGTGAAAGTAATGTGGTAGTTTGCATTTACACTTTTTTTTTTCATTTTGCCACTATTTTAAAGCATGTAGATGTTTTGTACTGTAATGGACAAAACTGACTGTTCTAGGTACATTGTAAAACCTTAGTATATTTGTCAAATTGTATTCTGCTGATCTAGATGTAGTTACTTGAATTTCATTAGCTTTTGTTAATTACTTTGCCACATTGTCTAGAAATGTTGTGCATCTGCTTGAACACTCAGATCCTTTTTATTTCAGTTTTTTTGCAAGGCCATTATTTTAAATGAAAGCTTATTATGCTTTCAAAACTAATTCCTGTATCTTTTATGAAATGAGATCATAATCTAAAACTAATATTTAATCAACCAATTCCTGTTCCCTAAATATCATCCCATCTCCGAGCACCCTTTCATCTCCAAAGTACTAGAACGAGCTTCACTTTTTCCTTGAACTCCCTGCATGGACCCCTCTAATCTGGCTTCACGATGCCAACAGTACCGAGACTGCCTTGGTCAAAATCACCAATGACATTCTCTCTGTCTGTCACCAGGGTTCTCTGCCTCCTCATCCTTCTTAACCTCTCTGCTGCTTTTGACAAAGTCAACAATTCTATCCTTCTCCATTACCTTTTCACTCATCTCCATCTTTCCTGGGTTCAATTTTGCCTATCCCAACATCTCCACTTTGGATCTGGTAACTGCTTGTCGTCCAGCCTACACGCCATGTGTGGTGTTCTTGACTTGGCTTGACTATGCTAACTCCCTGCTCACTGGACTGCCTCATATCTCACACCCCACCATCAGTGGTCATGTTCTCAGCCTATCTGCCCCTGGAAGTCCATCCCGGTGTCCGTTCACCTCGCCCTTTCCCTCGCCTCCTTGAAGGTCTTCTCCTCACCTCTCCAGGTTCCAATCCCCAGCTCAGGTGCAAACCCTTGACTGTCCACTGCCTTCGGATGTCCTCCTGACGTGAAAGTTGCTATACAAATGCAATTTGTTGTATAGGACTAATAGCTAGTCACATTACTTTATTGTATTGACTCTTACGAGCATTGAACCTTACTAGTTTACTTATTCCAGTTTTTTTAAATCATCTCACGATCAAGAAATTGATCTTGACTGTAATGCACGAGAATTTGGTTATATTGGTTAATAAAATGACATGCAATTTTTGTTCGAGAATTTACTTGGGATCTAACCTTTACTTTCCACTCAGTGTGGCATTTGCATGTGCAGCATTTCTGTGTTTGAAGATCCAGTCGACGTGCCTTGTGGACATGAATTCTGCCGAGCGTGCTGGGAAGGGTAAGTAGCATTTGGTGAATTATTGGTAATTGCTTTCAATTATTATAAGTCACACGTTTTCATTCGTCCTCTGGTTCCTTTATACACCATGCTCCATCTTGGAGAACAAAATAATATGAATTACTGTATGGCTGCATTCAGTATTTGGTCTTTTTTCTTAAGAGGAAAGCATATTCTAATAGGTAATGTACATTTATTGTGGTGCAGTTGACCTTGCGTGGTGTGGTTTAATGTATTAGACTGGTGCAGACGTGTACAAATTCGCCAAAATCGTGGCGGTCTAACAGGTAATATTGTGAAAAGAGAGAAATTGGTTGATAATAAAGTGGCATGAAATTTCCTCATTCCATCACAAAAACAGCATGAAATTAAGCTGAATGGTATTTGAGTCCCAGACATGCATCAGAGAATTGCAGAAAGCATTTCTAGCAGGGAAATCTAATTTTCTGAATTGATGAAAAAGGGTACTGTGGAGCTGGATGAAATTCCAAGATAGGATAGTTGTGTCATGTGGCCAGAACAGTGGAACAGCCAATATTGGAAATTTGGGGGCTTAAATGATTTATTAAGTAGTAAACATTTGATAGTCTTTCACATAGCTGAGGATCTCAAAGTGCTTCACAGAATTTACTGTAATATGTAGCAGCTAACAACAAACTGCTCTTGTGCTAGTTTTCATAATATCATGATGTGAGGCAAGTGCTCTAACCACTGAGCTACAAGACTACAAGCGAGAGACCTGGATTCAATTCCCGGCAGGGCAAAACCTTGGGCAAGTTTCCTTACTCCACACAGAGCCTAATAATAATCCCTCCAAAAACGATAATAAATTGGTCATTTTCAATCTACGACTATTTGTGGGACATTGCTGTGCGCAATTGGCTGCCACGTTCGCCCACAAATATACAGTCAATTCACTTTACAGTGTGTTCTGTGAAGCGCTTTGGGACGTCCTCCCAACGTGAAAAGCGCTATATCAAATGCAAGGATTATTATTATTTACAGTATATTCTGTCCAGCGTCTTGGAACGTCCTCTCAACGTGAAAGGCGCTATACAAATGTAATCTTGTTGTTGTATTGAAGGCAAGTATGTCACCAATATTACTTAATGGTCAGTCTAAATATCAAACTCCTCTTGAAGTGATTTATTTGAATTCTAATGTATTAAACCATACTGGTTTACTTCTGTTTTGTTTTTTAAAAATCATCTCATGATCAAGAAATTGATCTTGGGTGTAATGCACAAGAATTTGGTTATATTGGTTAATAAAATGACATGCAGTGCTAAAGAATTTAGTGATTACGTCATACTGGTTACTTAATACCTCCTGGTATGTGAGCTGAAATAGGGTATCCATAAGCATAAGACTCTGAAATTTCTTCTTATTTTAACTCTGCAGGAACTTCAGAACTAGTCAGAAGTTTGCATACAATATCCTATCCTGAAAAAGCATGATTCTGTATTATGTAAACCCATTTAAATCTACTTTTAGAACAGTAGTTAACTGTATATTGTTTTATTAACAATTACTAAAGTATGCTTCCCTTGTGATTTTATTTTTTACTTCCTTTGGGCAAAAGCTATCAAATCAAATCAACTCTGACCTTTTCAGCTGAACTCTTGGTTAATAGAAAAAAAAATTGCTTAATCAGCGAAAATGTATTTGTAGGGAACCTAAATTGGGTTGCTAATTAGTTGGTAAGAAGTTGTTTACATGAGAATTTAAAAAAAGCATCCCCAGAGCGACTCACTGTCATTTTGCTTGCAGCATTAGTTGATTGCTGCAGCGTCAGAGATTCAGTGATTTTTTGAAAGGCATTACCCACTGAAGAGTCTTCATGCTGGCTTTAAAACATTTCCATTTTTAATAATAATACTTGAATTTGATATAGCATATTTCACGTTGGAGGAACAAATTAAAGGTGCTTCACAGGATTTATTGTAAAGTGCAGGATAATTTGCAAGATAACAGGGCAGCCAATTTGCAGACACAATGTGGCTGATTTTATAGGATTGGAAACTAAATCCACAGCAAGGGTTAACAACAGCTGTCTTCAAGTGTAAGTGCATTGGCTTGTTAATGTATTTTTAAGAATTTGAATCTATTAATTTACCTAAAATTGTTGGTCATTGCTGTATTCAAATTGGCTGCATAATAGTGACTAAAATCCTGCTTTAAGACTTTATCCTGACATGAAAGATGCTACATTAAATGATAGGATTATTACTGTTGATATTTTTCTGGACAGGATAAGATGTGCATTGGGGAGAAAGTGTGTGGTTCATTCCAGCCAATGCCACATTACCATACATATTTGGACTCGGTAGTTTGAGGTTTGGATACTCTTAAGCATGGTGGTAGGTTCCTGTATGTGTGTCAACCCGGTTGACCAAAACAAACTCGGTTGGGAGAGTGATTCTGTTCAGGAGGCCTAGGCATTCTATTAGTTCTTCAAGCCCACAAAACACCTACAATCACTGGCAGATTTCCTACTGATGTATTTCCTGCTAATGCAAACTCTTTAGCGATATTCAATGAATACATTACCATGGTTCTACAACATTTTTATTTATGTTTTCTGTAGGTTTTTGAATATTAAGATACAGGAAGGAGAAGCCCACAATATTTTCTGTCCAGCCTTTGATTGCTATCAGCTCGTTCCTGTGGATATCATAGAAAACTTGGTTTCCAGAGAAATGGACAAACGTTACCTTCAATTTGATATTAAGGTAGGTTTTAGAATCAAATTAGCAAGTAGAAGCCAATTTTAATCAGTTAATCCTTAATGGTGGTCAGCCCTAGTTGAATGTTAGTCACCATGTGACTACAACAACAAATGACATTTGTATAGCGCCTTTCACGTCAGGAGGATGTTCCAAGGGATCCACAGTCAAGGATCTGCACCCGAGTTGGGGAGGGAGGGTAGGGGTAAGAGGGTGACCAAAGGCAAGGTCGAAGAGGAGGGTCTTGAGACGAGTCTTGAAGAAGACAAGGGAGGAGGTGAGGTGGATGCTCTGTGGGATGGAGTTCCAGAGGGTGGGGGCAGAGGCTGAAGGCCCACCTGCCAATGGTGGGGCTAACACGTGAGGTGATGTGAGGCAGGCCGGAGTCTGCTGAACGGAGGAGCGGACAGATTGGTAGGGTTTAGGAGGTCACAGAAATACCTTAAGTATTAGCCATTTTGCAGGTCATAATAGATTGTGCAGTCGAATTTACAGTTGGTCAACTATTGATTTCTAATTTAGATAAAGAATACATTCTCGACTGAGAAACTTCCCTTTGAAAGTATTAATTTGTCTTGAGGCCAGTGGATTAAGCAGATTAATTGCAAGTTCCAGATTCACGTTTTGCTACTGGTGACCAACCCTTGTCAAAGCAAGTGCCTATCTTCAAGGAAAATGTCCAGATTTGCACATGTTAAGGCTCAAGCTACATTTAGTCAAATGAGCTCTTTCAAGGACCACATCTTCAAATCAGTTTGAACACCACTGTCATCCCATGAATAACGGAGGTATTTGATAGCACAGGATCATTCAGAAATAAGGTGCTAGTTTCAGCAAATCTTTTTCTTAACAATCTTGCAGGGTTACTAAATATTGCAGACAAGGTTCATTAAGCAGAGATGCATTATGAATCTCCACCTAAAGAAGTGTAGTTTGACTTTAAATTGATAAATGGATATGCTGACAAATGGAGCATCTCAGACATATTAAAGTAGTCCTTCAGAACAATGGTTTCAGAACAGAGGCAGTGCTGGAGTATTTGGAACAATTAATTAAGGATGTTTCAATACATTAAGTGCAATTTTGTTCCATGTTACTCCAGGCTTTTTTCATTTTAAGGATTGTTCATACTGTTCAGGTAGAGCCAAAGCTAGTAATTCTGATGGCAGTAATACCTGAGAGACATTTGTTCTCTGTCCTGCTAGAATTCAGTGTCAATCACATGTTCTGCTGTTTTTTGCAAATTCAAGACCAAGCTGGAGTTGGGAGCCAAGGGTGGTAGAAAGGGGAAAGATGACTAAATTATATGAATTTCCCCTTAAATCTTCAATTTGATGAATCTTGTGGGACATCCTTGGTGGGTAGGGTTTTTTCTCATTCAGTAGATACCTTACTAGCTTACATATTTCAGGCTTACATCGAACTTTATGTAGAGACTGATACCTGGACAATAACCATAAAATCTTTAAGGTTCTGTTTCCCCAGATATAAGTTCATTATCTGTAGCAGTAGGGTCTATAACAGATTTTGTTAATCGCATTGGTTTCTGATAATTCCTGATAGCAAGTATTCATGTGAACATTGGTGAACAAGATTGGGTTTGCTTCTGTTGTTTTCTTTGACCAACGTTGTACTGGCATCCACTTACTAGCACATAAAGGTCACTAATAATGGAGGGTTTCTGTGGCGTATTAAGGGTGCCTAGTATAAATATCTGCATTCAGGAGAGAAGGGAGGGTAAAAATAATTTACTCGTATTGAAACCTTCCTTCATTTGTAGCATTGAAATGATATTAGGAATCGCACCCTTACAGAGTTAGCTTGTAGTATTGAACAATTATTTCTTTAGGAGGCGTACATTCTTAATTTTTTAAAAAAACAATTAGATTTAATGTATTATTTGTGTTTTGCTGGAATTCAGCATTCATATTCATTCTTTTCAGGCATTTGTGGATAATAATTCAGTTATCAAGTGGTGCCCCACGCCTGCCTGTGAAAGAGCAGTACGACTGACCTGTCAAAGATCAGGTTCCATATCATTAGATCAACTGAGTTTCCCTCTACTTAGTGCACCAGCAGTAGATTGCGGGAAAGGACATCTCTTCTGCTGGTAAGTGCAAGAGTTTGAGTTTTGTTTGCCTAGTTTAATGGTGTTAATTTCTATAGCTGTAAGGCGGCTCACTTGGATCATAAGAAAACGCCTTGAGTTTTTGGTCTTTCAGGTGTTTCCTGGAAAATTCAACTGGTTATGTTAAACCAGCATTTTTATTACCATTAAATAGAACTATGTGACTACACAACATATATTTGTGTCTCGAGTGCTGAATGGGAACACGAGCTGGGGTTGGGAGCCAAGGGTGGTAGGGAGGGGAAAGATAACCAAAAGTGCAGTCAAAGAGGTACGTTTTGAGATGTGCATTGAAAGGATTGAGAAAGGTAACTTCAAGCTGGAATTCCAGCAAACGGAGCCAGAATGGCTGAAAGCCTACATGCTTTCATGTAGGCTTTCATGATGGTGGGGAGAATAGGACGGGATAGAACTATTAGGTAACTGGTGGGTTCGGTCAGGTGTGTATTTTAACTCTGAGATATAAGACTAGTTAAATTTGTCTTTTGCATTTTTCTTTCTGTATTTCTGTGTAGGTCTTTCATTGTACAGATGTAAATGGTCAGGGCTAGCTGGGACATTTTTTTCAAATTGTAACAAGTTAGCCGAATACCTTGAATCAAATCAGTTAATTTGTATTTCAGCTAAGGATTAAAAAGAATGCTACTAATTGTGCAACCATTTTCAAGGATCTCTGCTAATGACACACATAATACGAAGTACATATTCTATCTGCTATATACTGTACAGGATAGCTTCAAAATGTGATAAAACAAAATGGGAAGTGCAAGAGAATCTCTTTTAGTAAAAGGGTGACTACAGCATTGCCACACCAAAATTTGTACTGAATCATTTGCTACTAGAAGCTTAGAGTAACTTGGAACTCATGTATCAGTCTGAAAACTTTGTGCATTAGGGAAATATTAATCAATTGTTCAGTTTTGGAATTCACTTCAATATGTTTTTCCTAGGGAATGCCTCGGAGAAGCTCATGAACCCTGTGACTGTCAAATTTGGAAAAACTGGCTGCAGAAAATTACAGAAATGAAGCCAGAAGAACGTAAGACTGTTGCTTCACATTCAGATCCTTAAATCTTTACGGTCTCAACATAGAACCATAGAAATTTATAGCACAGTCAGAAGTCATTCAACCCCTCGGGCCTATGCTGGCTCTCTGAAAGAGCTATGGTTCAGTCACATTCTCCTTCGAGAAATTTATCAAATCTCCCCTTAAAAGTTAAACATAGAGTTTAACTCCAGCCATTTTAGTTGACCATTTTTCATGTGCTTAAAAATCTTCTGTTGGATAAAGAATTCCCATAGCCTCTCCCTTTTCTCTTTTGGTAATTACATTGTCTAAATCCCTCAACTGTAAAAAAAATGAATCTCCTTTACCCATTATTCTTGAGAAAACTGCCCCAGTTTTTCCATTCACCTCATCAGTAAGACCTCTCATCCCTGCTACTCTACTAAATCTCCTCACTATCTTTTTATGGTAGCCTTCCTATAGTGTCCATAACTGGACACATAACCTTGATTCTTTTTCCTCCGTCATGTGTATGCTTTCTTCTTTCGAGTTTCCCCACACAATTTCCATGATTTGATGGCAAGTTGGAATGCTGCAGTCAGTTAAGGAAATAATTAGTAAAGAAAAAAAGTTCCCTTTGTAAAGCAAGACTAGATCTTAAGAACTGTACGTTCTTCACCCTCTCTCTGCTGAAATTATCCTCATGCCCACTTAGGGATAGAGAAAAATGTTGGTTTCTGATTTCAAAGCATTCTTTTCAAGTCTTCATGAACTCTGGGGTGCATTCATCCTGTGTCTGATCAGCTGACTAGACTCTTGGCCAAGTGGGCTGCTAGGATGTGTATGTCAGTGGCTTGGGATAAGTTTTCTCAGGATATTTTCCTGGCATCCAGTCAACATTTCCCTCACAACAGCATAGCTAAGATCTCAAATTACAGGTAAGAAGAAAAAATCCTGGCCTAGTGCGGTGGTGAAAGGTTTGATAATGGTTGTATAAATTGATTTCTCGGTGTTCTTTTTACAAGTTGCTGGTGTAGGTGAAGCATTTGAAGATGCAGCCAACTGCCTGTGGTTGTTGTCTAACTCCAAACCATGCGCCAACTGTAAATCTCCTATCCAAAAGAATGAGGGCTGTAATCACATGCAGTGTGCCAAGGTAAGCACTGGAAAGCATATGTAATTAAAAATTGATGCTTTGTCTCAAAAAGGAGAGTTTTTGAAAATGACTTTAGAAACCATTTATATAGACTTCAGAACATTTTTTTGTATAACTTTTTAGATGTCAATTAATTGTTGTGTACATTTGTAAACTCTGCCCTCTCAGATATGGTTATATTAGACAAAGCAACAAATTCCTCCCAAGTACAGAATTTTCCCTCTTCAGTTATATTTCCACTTTACATAATAATTGTTATTTCCTTAATGGAAAATATTTACAGCTAGAATCCCATTCTAATTTACTTTTTGTTCCTTTTTTTTCCCCCAAATTCCAATTGTTCCATGGTCAAAGTGTTTTGTTTCAATTCCTTCTTAATGAAGCAAATTTTGAAAAAAAAAATTATTCCTGAAATGTTGCAAGCTTCTGCGCTGTTAAGTAATATCAGTTTGTGTTCATCCCATGGTCATTCTTACAAGGTCATTTTTTTAGGTATTCACAAAATAGAATCTGCTGAGTTTTTACTCTTAATATGTAACTGAATGGAAGAATACCAGTTCACTGTCAAATCCAGATGATAGCAAGTTGTGATTTCAGCAAGTTTATTGCTTATGAATGATAAGGGCTTGAAAGCAGATCACTTGTTGCTTTTCAGCTGGCGAATAATACAAAAAAAACTATAGAAAAAGGGAAAATAGGCATTTAATCAAATCAAGGTTTCTATTAAATTTAGTAAATTATTAATTTGCATCTATTTTAACATCTTCCTCAGAGATGGTTTTGTTTGTTTCTGTAATCTGCTCAAAGCAAAATACTTATTCAAACTATTGTTTGTTTTGAATGACATATCATTCCTCACCAAACCAAAAAAGGAACATTTATGTATTGCTATACATGAGTATATGTATATCAATCCCAGTAATTCAGATTTCACAATCACTTCCCTGCCCCTGCTCCTTACTTCCTTTTGAAATTGTGCTAAGATAATGATTCCATTTGCATGTTCTTTGTCAATCAATCCGATTTGCCTTTGGAGCAAAGAATAATGCATGAGCACAGTGTCCTATTTGAAAATGCTAGTAAAGATGCAGTGATTATAGTGCAGCGATTTGAAAGCTGAAAGTAGGTGGGGTTTTTTGGTGTTGATATTTGATTTGAAAGCTTTTATAGATGGCCTGTGGTGATATATCCATTTGATGGGTTTCATCAAACACTTTGTACTGTTTGTGAAATAAAAGATCATTTTGTTATTCTAGCAGAAAGATATTTAAAGGGACTAGTTACTTGTGACACGGACTCCATTATTCTAACACTTAGCAGTTTGTTCCTCATGGTTAATAACAAAGTCTCATCTGATTTTTCTGTTCTCATTCAATAACTTTAGTTGAGACTAAACTTTGGATCTCTTGGGTTCAATGGTACTAGTAAATCATGCTTGGGCAGATGGATTTTTAAGGAAATAATTTTATTTAATATTACTATTTTTGTTAAAATCAATGGATTAAAATATGCATATTTAGAATCTCTTATTTAAACAAATATTCTTTTAAACTCTGCATATGCAGTAGAGAACTGATTATCTACACCAATTGAAGCCCAGATCCATTGTGAGTAAGCGTAGTGTGGATAATTGAACTCATGCAAAATAGAAATCAATGGTTCTAATTAAAATCTTCTGTTATCAGGAGCTGTACTGTCACTATACTATCACATTGTTCCAGCTTCTTGTCTATCCCTCTGCCCACTCCCTCTGCCCTCTCTCTCCCATAACTGCTTACGCTCTGCCTCTCACTCTCTGGCTCTCTCTAACAGTATACAGCTATGTACATGTTTACCAAGGGCAACATTTACCACGTAACTAAATCACTTGGGCCTATCTTTTCACACGTGCATAGAACAGGATTTTAGTTGTTTATCACAGGCCTTTGTCCATTCTCCGTTGACTGCCGGTGTGGATAATTGCTGTGCAGATAATGAACATTCTACTGATATCAAATCATGAATATCTCAGTAAACTCTTCTGTGATGTGGTCTAAATTGATACTACCGAGCATCCCAGTGATGACAGCATTGATGCAAAATAAGTTATTGGTAGCCTGAAGATAAACTTGAGACATTACTGGTAATGAAAAGGCTCTAATGAGCGAATCATTTTTTTTAAAAAAATTGGTCACTCAATCCACGACTGCGTTTCACTAACAGATGTGATAAGGTGCTATATCAAATGAAAGGATTATTATTTATTTTGTTATTAAAAAGTATTTGATTTTACTTCTGGAGATTACATTCCAATGTGTGTTTCCTCCATCTTCTCTTGTAATTCCTGCTCTCTTCCCTTTACTGATTGCAATTAATCATTGCTTGGGTATGGTACTATACAAAGCAAATTCCATTTTTTGTGCAAGTCTTGGTGGTTTTAGCAGTCTATTTGGCTGTGAGGGAGTTGAGGGATGACAAATAAGTAAACATTTTACCTGCATCTGACTTCCACATATGCATGTGCAGCAAGGATCTCTGAATAGGGAATGGAATCATGAACCCTGAGCATCAGTTTTTTTCCCGTTATTCTTTTGTTTCCTAGCCTGGGGTGTTGAAACCTGTTGTTGCACTCGCTAAGTTGGCTTACTAACCATTGGACAAACATGAGGCCTTTCTAGTCTATGTAGAGACACATGAAATGATCGGTGGGTGGGCCTTCAGCCATTCTGACCCCAGAACTCCATCCCGCAGTCCCTCCGCCTCACTTCCTTCCCATGTCTTCTTCAATACCCGTCTCAAGACCCTCCTCTTCAACTGTGCCTTTGGTCACCCTCCTTTCCCCCTCCCTCCTGATTCCGACCCCCAGCTCGGGTCTGAAACACCGACTGTCCAGCACCTTGGAGTCCTCCCGACGTGAAAGGCGCTATACAAATGTAATTTTGTTGTTGTTTGGGAAAAGGAGTCATTTCGGGATTGTTAAAATATATATTTTTAAAAATTCTGATTAAATCTAATGTATTCTCCACTGAGTGAACCATATAGTGCCAGGAGAATCAAAAACATTTGGTTATTTTAAGCTTTATTTGTCCACAGCACTTAAAAAAAATAATGGGTTACATGACTGGGTTGAAAATTTTCAGCGTTTTTCACCTACGTTTACTTGCTAACATGAGGGTATGGTTAGTAATATTCTTTATTCTATGGGTTTACTTATAAATGCATTCTGGCAATAAGGTGCACAAATGGGTATATTTCAATTTAGCAGTTAGTTGACATGTGGATTTAACTTGAATGGCACAATATAAATGGAGTACAAAAGCATTATTGCTTTGTGTATGGCAAACCTTGTTGAGTCTCACTTTTTGAGTGATAAGTACTGTGGCAGTAATTTTTGGAACGTTGGTGAAAAATCTTGTGCTTAAAAGAATGTTAATCCAGAATATATTTTCAGCTCTTGTGTAAAGTTTTTCTATCTCTTTGATGAACTTGCAGATATCTTGTAATAGATTGTGAATTATGCTTCTCTCTTCCTCTGCAGTGCAAATATGATTTTTGCTGGATTTGTCTAGAAGAGTGGAAAAAGCACAGCTCATCCACTGGAGGGTATTATAGATGTACTCGGTATGAGGTCATCCAGCAAGTTGAAGAGCAATCCAAGGAAATGACAGTTGAGGTAAGCATGTGAATAAGAACATACACAGATTTTAAAAATGGTGGTGTGCTTTGTTTTCTATTAGCTTAATTTTTTTTTATCTATCCAAAAGTTTGGTCTGTTCTTTGTCTTTAGCACTATTCTTTCTTGCCACGTGGTAGTTCTCCACGTTCCTTATTCAATCATAATTGGCTACTCTGAGTTCCCCAATGGCATGGTGGAATAGATTCCATGCCACATACACCAGAAAGGTTTCTGGTTGAATACTTAGTCTGTGCAGTTAGCAGTCAGATTCTTTCCTTCATGTACGTGAAAGAGGCTTGAAATTTTTTTAATTTGATAGTCACTTTGGAGTTATTTAGAATCATAGAATTATACAGCTCAGAAGGAGGCCATTCGGTCCATCGTGCCTGTGCCGGCTCTTAAACGAGTTATCCAAATCAATTCCACTCCACCGCGCTCTCACGATAGCCCTGCAAACTTGTCTTCCCCAAATAATTATCTACTTCTCTCTTAAAATTTATAATTATAGGTACAAGGTATTTAAGAATGAGGTATTTTCACTACTGTCCCATCAACGGTTATTTACATCTTAACATTGCCCCTTTTCACCCCATCCCACCATTTTAGAATCACAATGGGGATTTTGGATGAAGAAGTCCCTTTGGCTAATTTTGTGCTTCCGGAATATCATTCCCACCATCCTCCCATTACAGCATCAAACTGAATACAATGTTGTGGCCTCAATATCCTTCCTGGTAACTCCGTCCAGATGTTAATCAGAGCTAAAGTGGTTGGTTTTGATACCGTCTGTGAACATAGCTACTTTTTTAAGTAGTGGCCACTGGGAAGATGCTGGTGAAAGCATCTACATTAAATCGTGTTGTAACTGGTCATGCACACAGTTTTAATGTGCCTAGTACTGTACACACTACCCTGTAACAATAAATGGAGCAGTCTCCATAATACCCAGATCTTCAGGCAACATTGCAAAATGTTTCTCAGAATGGTTTGCAATAATAATGCATTCATACAAGACTTAATGCTGACCTGGTGCCAAGAGGCAGTTACTGCACACATTAGTAAGAGAGAATTTGCATTTTACAGTTCTTTATCACGTCTCAAGGTACTTTGCAGGTAATTTCTGTAAGGGTAATGATTTATTGTAGATACACTTGCCAGTCATTTGTGGTTGGAAGGCTCCTTGTATTTAATTTTTTTGTTCAGACGGGTGTTTGACACCTGCGGAATTCCATCATTATGCTTAAGCGGATCCAAACCGGACAAAGTGATCACATATATTTGCCACTTATGCGTGAAAAAATTCTTGTATGGAATGCATGCTCTCTCCCTGGAGGGCATGCTACTTCAAGTCCTGCAGATGAGCCAGGCTGACTGGTCTGCCATGAACAACGTCCTTGAGTCCTATAAACTCGGCTGGATCATGACTACCAAGGCCGCCAAAGAGGGTGCTTAACTAAAGAGGGTTCACTTTATTCCAAAATTCTTTTGCCAAATAGTCACCTTGGTGCTAATTCAGCTTCAAGGAGGTCCTCCCCAATTTAGCTTTCCCCCTCCACACACACACACACAGAAGGAGGATATCTATGAGGTGAATAACAAAATCTGAGGGATTATTACCCAAAATATAGTCGCACCCACTTATAAAATTTTAGTGAGGATCCAGCAAATCGCAATCTACATTATAACATGGCTATGAAAGCAGATTATGTGATGCTGGCTCAGGCTGCCTAACATATTTGACTACATGATATTCTATATTAAATCCATTTGAGGAGTAGATTATAGTATGTTGACACAAATTAATTCCTCCCTAACATTTTGGGGGAGGGGTCTCTGCCTCCAATACCCCTGGGACAGTGTGTTAGGTCAATTAATTGATTACCAATGAGAGATGGCACACTGGTGTTAATTAACATTGCATGCTTAGTGAATCACAAAATCAGTTTGGATAAAGAAGGGCCTTTGGGCTATTACATCTCATCCTTCTAGATCACATACACTTAGCAAATGAGCAGAGGTGACCTTTCAGCCACCAGTGGAATCATTACTCAATCTGAAGCAGGTCAGCACCAGATGGACTGGCTCTTTACATTTTGAATGTCCCACTGTCAGCAGAAACCTGGTAATTAGTTACCATACTTACACAGCTGTAATTTTTTTTGATTAACTTTTGAATAATGTAATAACCACTTATCTTTTCATATTTAAATGTACATAATCATTTTCACATACACGGATCTTTTGACTTTTTTTTAAAGTAAATCTGTTGCCTGTGGGTGAAGGAAAGTTCCAAAATAAAAGCATGAATCTTCATTTTGTTTTCTCTCTGGTGTTTCAGGCAGAAAAAAAGCACAAGAGGTTTCAAGAGCTCGACAGATTTATGCACTATTATACAAGATTTAGGAACCACGAGCATAGCTATAAGGTATGTTATGTAATGAAGGCTTATTTTAATCTTGATCTTTTTGAATGGAAAAAAAAATGTGTCTTTTGTCCTTTGACCAGTTAGAGCAACGTCTTTTGAAGACAGCCAAAGAAAAAATGGAACAACTGAGCAGAGCTTTGAAGAGAGGTAAGTGAAGTCTAAAATCTAGAAAGTTTAATTGTATTTAAAAAGCAACTTGATGCATACATGAGAAAGAAGGGAGTAGCCTTCAGCATTAAATAAGGCATTATGTTAAATTTCCACACTACCAATTGAATGCAGTACCTTGTATATATTAGTTTCTTGCTGGGTATACCTGAAACTGAATTAAAATTAACTGAGGTAGCCCTGTGTGTATAATACTTGTGCTTTAGCCTATAAAACAAGCATTTAAATCCCAATTTTATCTGACCAATATCCTCTGAATTATCTGGGTTACGTTTGGGGCAATGGAGAAACTCACTTTTTCTTAGAATCGTGCAATCTTTAACAGGCAGACATCCCCTCAGTTTAACATCTCTGTCCAATGGGAATATGGCAAGTGTGGCAATGTCAGATGGCAAGTGTACCTATTGACCAGTCATTTGGTAGAAAGGAATGTGACAAGAAAGGAGTGCATGCTTCTCTACAAGTGTTTTGTGTGTCTTTGTTTTCTTAAACTTTGCACTTTTCAAAGCTGATGATCATTTTTTGTTAAAGAGATCAAGAGATTCACCTTGTCTGGACAATTACTGAATTTGACAATATTTTCTTAAAATGCCAAAAATGAAAGAGAAAATAGCCCTTTATCTCCACTTTGAGAACCTGACAGACTATCTGTCCCCTTTGGTGTTATCAAATAAGTGGGGAATGATCTGCTCACTACCAAACATCAGTCAATTTACAGATTAGTACATAATTAATACCCACTCACTGCCAAAGATCAGTACATTTATTGAAGCAGAAAATGATCTTCCCCCAACCCCAGAAGGCCCTTCCCAAGTTTTTATCAGAAATAGTGTGAAGATCTCTATATTCTACTCAACAATATGCCTTAAACCAAACTTCATACTGCCCCCCTATATACATGTCATTGCATTTGTCAATTTCTAAATTCATTTGTCTCTGCTTTCTGAATGTAACTGTTTTGTGTGCAAAGACCCATGCTCCCTGAGAACTGGGTTGAGAAGTCCCAAAGTCACCTCTTTCAGGACTCTTTTCAGTACACTGCACCATGTACAGATGCAGTGGTCAGTAGAAAATATAAAATTAGACATTAGAAATCCTGAGATATTTTGAGATGAGCACCACAGGAACAAAATGGGTACTTTTAACCAAACATGTGGAGTCCTGTAGTTAGAGCACTCACCTCGCAAGTGAGAGGACCTGGGGTCGATTCCCGGGCAGGGCGAAATGTTGGGCAAGTTTCCTTATTCCACACCCCTACTGTTTACCTAGCAGTAGGTAAGAACCCAGTTGTTAGTTGGTTTGCAGATCACTTTTCTGGGGATAATAATCCCTTCCAAAAAATAATAACTTGGTCACTCATTCCACGACTTTGTGGACACTGCTGTGCGCAATTGGCTGCAGTGTTCCGCCCACAAAATACAGTCACTCCACTTTACAGTATATCCTGTGAAGTGCTTTGAGACATCTTAACGATGTGATAGGGTGCTATAGCAAATGCAAGGATTATTATAAACTGGGTTACGGGGAGTGCAAAAATGACTGAAAACGCAGTCATACAGGTAGGTCTTGAAATAATACATATTATTCCTTTAACTTTCAGCTGAAGGAGAGCCTCCAGATACCACTTTCATTGAAGAAGCTGTACTTGAACTCTTGAAAACCCGGCGTATCCTTAAGTGCTCCTACCCTTATGGATTTTTTCTGGAACCCAAAAGCACAAAGAAGGAAATATTTGAACTCATGCAGGTAAATTTGGCTGAAATTTATAACTGGAAAAATTTAACTAATTTTCTGAGTTAAAGTTTGGAATAAATGTAGAGAATTGATAATCTATAAGTGCCTTTGAAAGAAAATTGGATAAATGCTTGGATGGATAATATTAATAATTTGGAAAAAACATCACGGAATAGGATTAGCCTCTTTCTGTGCTGTAAACATTTCTGCTTCAGTGTTTTACAGTAAAACCTTTTTTTGTCATTAAATAGTTACCTAACTCCAGCAGGCCATTTCAAGTACATTTCAAATTCCTTTTTGATCACTACGTGAATTGAGCAGGTGACTGGATTAGCAGCTGCTCCATTAGTTAGAGACAAGTTAGCTGCAGGGAAACCAGGTCAAACCCACCTGTGTCCAATCTCCCTAAAATGAAGCTATAAGCACTGAATTTAATTCTGCAGGATTTCCAGCATCCGGTCAAATTCGTGCTATAAATAAGTAATGCTATAGTGGTCTAAACAAGCACTTGAACAACACATGAGAAATCTTGTTTGTAATTTTGCATTTGTATAGCACCTTTCATGTAATTAGTGCGGGTGTGAGAGTGGATGAATACTCTGCAGGTTGATTTGAAGATTTGGGGGGAGGAGTTTAGAGTGTTAGATAAAAGCTTCTTTCCTTAGAGTTTAGTGGTCCAAGGCAAAGTAGACTGTCCCTGGTGTGGAAAGAGCTGGTTGGATGAGCCAAAAGTCTCCACCTCTTTACATGATTTAGGTTCTTAGATTTGAATGCTCTCATCTTAAGCAAATGAGAAATTGTTTTCATCCACTTTATCCAAACAGACAGATCTAGAGATGGTAACTGAAGACCTAGCTCAAAAAGTAAACCGACCTTACCTCCGCACCCCTCGCCATAAAATCATCCGAGCAGCTTGTCTGGTTCAACAGAAAAGGCAAGAGTTTCTGGCCTCCGTGGCTCGTGGTGTTGCCCCTGCAGACTCGCCTGAAGTACAGAGACGCAGGTACTACTTCAGTCGTGTATTACATTAATACCTATTTTTTTCGTTGCTTTACAGAGCATTTGATGTTGCATAGGGTGATGCAGCACGGAAACTGTCCATTTGATCCAAATAGTCTTATGCCAGTGTTTATACTTCGCACAATCCTTTACCCCTCCCTGTATCCCTCTGTTTCCTTCTCCTATGCACTTGATGGGGATACAGCATAATATATGGTTCATGAATAACTATTTTAAAACAAGATGATTCATCTAATGTGGGAAATGGTACAGGTCGCGGTCCCAGCATACTTGGCATTTTCTTGAACTTGCATTATGAAGTTCTGAATTCATGCATGTACAATATACCTTAGCCTGATTCCATATGCATGTTTTAAATGCCTATGCTCGTGAGCTGTACCAGACTTCTGTTTTTCTTCTGCTTGGAATTATGTACACATTAATTTGCTCCCTCAAGTGTTGACTTATTTGCTCATAGTCTGTTTTTATCTCTTGGTTTTGGTAAAACTAATTACTGTTGAAAGGCCTTGCCGGTGTCTTTTGTGCACTGGTCTCTGACCCACCCCCCTCCACAAATAACTATTGATTTGGATGGAGATAGTCCATTATTACTTCAGTCGGTTTGTTTTACAGATCATTCACTAAAATGTAAATATTTTATATTATTTAGTTAAAGCCTGCCTATCTTTGTAATAATAATAATCCTTGCATTTGATATAACACCTTATTACATCTTCGAGACGTCTCAAAGCACTTTACAGACTATACTGTAAAGTGAATGACTGTATTTTGTGGGTAGAACACAGCAGGCAATTGCGCACAGTAGTATCCCACAAACAGTCGTGGATTGAGTGGCCAATTTATTATTATAATAATAATAATAATCCTTGCTTTTGATATAGCGCTTTTCACGTCGGGAGGACGTCCCAAAGCGCTTCACAGAACACACTGTAAAGTGAATTGACTGTATATTTGTGGGCGAACGTGGCAGCCAATTGCGCACAGCAATGTCCCACAAACAGTCATAGATTGAAAATGACCAATTTATTATTGGTTTTGGTTTTGGATTATTATCTTGAAGGAATTATTAGCCCATTTGTATGCAGATACCAGCAGTGGACCAAACAGAGCGACATCCATTTGCATGTTAATTGTGCATATTGCACATACCAAAAGTGTACAGTTACAAATCTAAGTCCATTTTTTAACCTCTCATGTGTGTGCAGGAAGACTAACATTTGAACTTGATGTATGATTTTCTTTTTTCCAGAAAAATGAAATGTTTCCTTTTTACTTGGCTGGAGAGTTACATCAGCTTGCTTAAATTAAATGGAAAAATGCTGTATTTGTTTCAGATTGAGAGATGTGGTCTAGGAGTTTCAAGTCCTTTTTTTTTCTCATCATTAATTTGATTTCAGTTGCATCATTTCTTTTGACGGGGAAGATGCAACTGTTTCATAGTAGTCTGAATTCAAAAGTGCTTTCATGAGAAATATTTTGTAACTTTTTTTATGCCTGATGCAGCTTTACTTATCCACACTATTTTAATTTTGCAAATATATTTAATGATCATTCTTTCCGAAAGAATGCTTCCCTATTTAAGAGCTCTCTAGGATGTTCTACTTTGCACATTAAAACAATCTGATGAATTACAAATATAGGTCCTTAATTTAAAAAGGTAGTTATTGTCTACCTGTGTAACTCTTAACAAAGTGCAATAACTGTCAGTTATCAAAATGACAGAATTTTGAATTGTTTGTTACAGTTTTGCTGGTGGAACCTGGGATTGGGAATATTTAGGTTTTGCATCACCTGAGGTAGGTATACACTGCTTGTGGTTATGACATACCCCTTTCAGTGCAAGGTTTTAGCAGTACCTTTGTTTAAAGGAGCTATCCTGACTAGGTGGTGGTAGTGGGTGGTGCCGCCAAACTAGTTCTGACAAGTCTTTTATTTGAAAACTAGCATTTTTTTTTGAAGTGCCTTGCAGTATGTAGGAGTAGCACTGCTTCTCCCCATGTCAGGCCCAATTTGGATGTGCCAACATGAGGAGCTGCAGCTGCACACTGCTGTAGCCTGACCCCATTCCCAAAAAAAGCACTTGGTATTGAGACGGTTACAACAGTCTTACAACCTCTTTTTGTCTCTGTGCCTTACCCTGGACAACTACAGATGTCAAGGGATCAAACCATTTGATGGTGTGCAATGCTAAAAATAATTTTATTTTTTATTTCTTTACGCAAAACAACCTGCAGGTATGGAGGACCAGAAGTAGAAGGCCTGCAGGTAAGGGTCTTTTAATTTATTTTTAAAAGCCTATTTAGGCTATAATCAAAACAGGACAGCTCCTTTAAGTGATCTTTATCCTTATCTTTGATTCTTTGATGTAGCTACAACTTCTATTGAAATGCAACTGTATCCACCTGCTATTAAAAGCACCTGTGCAGCTTCTCTTCTAACGGTATAATTGAGTACACTTTTATTCATGTGTAAAACCTGGAGAATGCATCGCTTGGGGGTACAATATTTTTCTGATACAGCCCCAGTTTTTAGTGAGGCAAAAGTGTATACCTGTGCTGCTTTTCCACATTTAAGTATCTGGTTGTACAGGCCTTCATGGAGGTCACCTCCTGCTTGTTGACATAACCACACATGACTCTGAAAGGAAGAGGAAATTAAGAATTCATGTTAAGTAAAATGATTCACTACTACAGAATTGTCTCCTCATATTTGTATGCCTGTCCCAAATACCGTAATGATCTCTATAACTTGTGGAACAAAATCTAAAACAATAGCACCTTTCATATCAAGTGGATGTCTCAGGATCCACCTTAAAGTGTTGATTAATTGTTTTAGGAGAAAATCCAAGATAAGCTTTGTTTATTCATCTTAGATGTGCTCCATGTGGCATTGTCAATAGGATTTGTCTCGCATGTGGCCTTATAAACCACCCCATTTCACTACATTTATTGATCATCCACCTCTTCACTGAGGTTAGAATATTGCTGCAATATCGCTGCTCCTGCAGATAGTAGATTTTAAAATAATCTAGACTCTTAATTTGTGTTTAGTGTAGTGTTTTCTATTTTTGAATCGCCAGGTAGTTTTTTTTATTTCCTTTCAACTGCAAAGGAACCACTTGATTTAGTTAATTAGCAGAAAAATAAATGTGGTTTATTCAGTTAACAAAAAATCTAAATGTTATGGTAAAATGGATGGTTTTGGGACAAAAAGGGCATTTCTATTGATTCAGAATGTAAGGTATTATGTTAAACTGCTTTTGTAAATTTTCACTGATCAGTGTATTGTTTACGCCCTTGTTTCAGGAGTATGCTGAATTTCAGTACAGGCGTCGGCATAGACAACGTCGACGAGATATGCATAGTCTTCACAGCAACACTGCAGATCCTGAAGATCCTAGTGATAGTACATTAGGTAACCATATTGTACAAATTGTGCTTGTTATGATTTTCATTAGAAAATGTTCATTAGTCCATCAGAAGCTCAGTCTGCTGGAGAGAGCGCCATTCATTTTTTTTTAAATGGGTTTCTAATGTGGGAAATGGAAAATAACTGTTTTTGCTGAGGATAGTCTTCAAAAGTTGGATCCTTAGCAGAAGATGATAATAATAATAGTAATAAACTTTGCATTTGATATAGTGCCTTATCATGTGGTTGAGACGTCTCTAAAAGTGCTTCACAGAATATATTGCAAATTGGATTGGCTATGTATTTTGTGGGTGAAACAACATCTGACAGGATTATACCCCTGTCGGTTGTTGTTGGGTGCTATGGAAGGAGATTTGGCCTTGGTATCAATACTTGGTGGGAAAAAAATAGGAAGCATTCCACTTGCATCTGTTAACTTTATGACCAAAACATTTGTCTTTATATGTTCTCCTTCTAATCACATATAGGAGCTTAACAATTTTGGCTTTGTCTAGTTTCAAAATGGCTACATTAAGATGGCTCAGTGGTAAATTTAAATAGGTTTCTCCCCTGATTTCATTTGTATTGGAATGCCATATACTGCAGGGCAGTGGGCTGAAGGGCCTTCTGTTTCATTTTGGAGACATCCTTTCATATCACTAATGCGCACCTTCAAACTTGAGCAATTTGCAAAGCTGTTTATTACAGTGCAAAAAGTGCAGCTGCATTGACTTTGTTGCTTGGTTACAGATACCCAGGAGGGTAGCAGCAGGCGACATGGTACTTCCATGGTGAGTTCAGCATCTATGAGCATTCTGCACAGCTCTTCGCTTCATGATTATACCCCTGTCAGTTATTCTGAGAACCAGGACTCTCTTCAGGTACCTCTCTTGGTGCATTCCTAGAACTTCAAACCATCTTTGCTTTGCTCTGTGTTTTTATAAGATACCAAATGTGTACTATTTAATTTGTTTGGATTTTATAATTGTATCCTGTTTCATGTAGTTTTTCTTTAAATGGTAGCTAAAAATTTTTGCAATGTTCTGTTATTAAAACTACTAACCCATAATTAAAGCCTCTTTTCAAAGTACAACAACAACAAGATTCCATTTATAGAGCGCCTTTCACGTCGGGAGGACGTCCCGAAGTAGAAGAAGTACTTTTCAAAGTTAGAGCACCATGGGAGAAGTTTCTCTGCACTGGCCCGTGTAGATGTGCAGTTGTTTGTAACAGTGGAGGTTTCTATTGGATATGAGTTTGTGTATTTAATTCTCCATCCCCTTTCCTGCCCCCTGCTGAGCTACATACCAAGAGTGAGGAGCAAAATTCCATCCAGAAATTATACAAATATTATTGGGTTTGATCCCTGCTACCAAAATGAGAATTGTTTGGGGATGAGGCTACCTTGAATTTCTTTTTGTATGTGGCTGTACTTTAAATTCTGGATGTGTGTGAGATTTCTTTTTCACTCTTGCCACTCAGCTTTGAAAGTGAATCAATGCCAATTCAAATGAACTGAAACCCATTTTGTGTATGAATTCATCTCCTGTTTAAACTTTCTTCCTCCTGGTGCTGTACATCATACTCCTAGCCTACATATATTGTCACATATTTTGATATCTTGTCTCTGATCTCCTACTGGGTGGTGTACAGGAATAAGCTTGAGGAGAACAATTACCTGACCAAGATTCAATTGAAAATTGTAGTTATGATCTTGTACATAACAATTCAGTACATCTGTCCAAAGAAGTCTTTCTCTCCAGAGCAACCTACCAGAGGAACACTTCATTGATGTACACAAAACCATCATCTTCCCTTTCTCCTTCCCCCTCCACCATCCCATGAATAAAGTTAGCAATTTGTTTGCAAACAATCCACAGAACATTAAGATTTGGACAGTGGTGATCTTAAAATGAGCTTGTATCTCTTGGTCTATATGCCAAGTATTAGATTGTGTACTTCTCCATTAAATGGGTGAAATTCCTCCTTACAACATATATGTATTAAGGCATGTTTTAAGTATGAACAAATTCTTATCAATGATTCTGATCTATTTGTGCTTCCTTTTGTTAGGCTTTGAGTTCCCTTGACGATGATGACCCAAACATCCTGCTAGCCATCCAGCTGTCTTTGCAAGAGTCTGGCCTTGGAATGGGTGGTGAACCACAAGAATTTAACAGTGAGGCATCTTTAGGTGCCATAGGGACTTCCTTACCTTCAAGACTTGATGCGACTCAGAGAACCACAGACAATGCTAGATCTTTCAGCAACACTCATTTGCTGAATTTGGAAGATAATCTAATGAAACTTGGTATAAGCAATGATGCTTATGCCACTAGATTAAGCAGCTCACAGCCCTTTGATGTCCACAGTAGACTCTTTTCATCCCCTGAAGGTACTGAATCCACAGATTCAGACCCTGCCATGAATGCAAATCTTCTTGGTAACATCATGGCATGGTTTCATGACATGAATCCTCAGAGCATTGCATTAATCCCATCAGCATCTTCTGAAAGTGACATCAGTTCACAGCAGCCTAGAAGTGGCGACGAGTCAGGATTGACCAGACTAGGAGAGATGCTGCAGAGCCTTCAGGAGGACCATGCATTGTTTGAAGCTGCCGTCATGAACGAAGGTCGAGGAACCCAAGTAGGCGGAGCTATTTCTTCAGAAAGTACTGGTGCTACAAAAATTGAGCCACAAGCAGAAACGCTGACTTTGAGCGATGACAGCAGAAATGTTACTCAATTGGAGGGTGACTCCCAGCAAACTTCTGCAAATGAATGGGAAGAGCAAATTCATTTAGTGTAACTGGAACAGGATGGATATCTGTTTCAGTCACTTATGTTGTCCAAATAGAATAGATCAGCATGAACCCTAGACTGGCACATAAAGAGTGTGGGCATGCTGAAAATCCTCTGTGATCAGAGAAAGCAGAAAAGGAGCCCTCAGAAAGGAGCTATCCCAGTTAGTTGCCTGCCTTGTATCAGTCTTGAGCTTTCAAGGAACATAAATCTTTTAGATCCTTGCTTTTATCTTACTGTACTTACCAACTAGCAATCCTAAAGGATCTAGACAAAAGTAAAATTGTTGATGACAAACAAGTGAGGCTATTATATCTACAGTATTGTAGGTATCATGTAGAATGCACTATAGGGAGCCTGTTGGTAGCAAATGAAAGTAAGCACTGCCTATTTACAAGTGAAATGTGGTGCCAAACAAACAGTTAAAAAAACAATAGTTTAACTTTATTGCATTCAGCTTGTGCCTGCACTAGTCTGAACTAATCAAGTCCTTGATAATAAAAGCAATCTCTGGGTGTTGACATCGTTTAGTGGAAACTTGAGGTAAATTGAAAATAGAAGCATGGTTGCTACAGAAATGTAGTGTGTACCTTGATGTGGTAACAGATATTGCTGTTTTAAAAACATTTTCTTGACAGGTGCTGTGTGTTTGAACTCCACAGACACTTTATTGTAAGTGCAATCGTAGTCTTTCCTTACTATTCAGAAGTATTCTATTCAAAGCACTGTCAGTGCCACTGGTTTTAAGAAATAGACTTGAAATAAAGGCCTATGATTTCTTAATTGCAAAGCCATCCCTTATCGGCAAAAAAAGAAATGACCTGAAAGCCACAACAATTACTTAAGACACCTGGCCTACTCAGTCTATCATTGTGCCTTTGCCTGACCCACATGGTTGGTTGCCACATGTTTTTGAATCATCAGAGTATCACTATCCAATCTGACCAACACAAGTTACTTTAGCATACCATCGTAGCCAGTTGTATATTGGTAGAACAGTTTTGCATTGAATATTGGGTCTTGCTCTGTGGAAATTTTTAATGCAGGTTTCATGGAATATTTGAACTTGGTTATATACAAAAATTAATAAAGCTTTTCAAGCATTAACTCATCTGAAGACATTTGTATTCAACACAGTTTTTATTTTTAAAACTAAAGTTTTTTTTCTTTAAACTTACTTGGGGAATTTAATTCACTTTTTAAAATTTGGAGCTTCACAAATCAAAACCATGCAAACAAGGCCCAAGGTATGTGACTAGTTTAATTTTAAAATGTTTTTCTTACGGTTTGGGATTTACCTTGAATCAGTGTGTAACACTGTAGTGTTGTATTGAAGTAATTTGAGTCTGATAATGGAAACAAAGAGGATGTGTATTACATTTCATTGAATATGTACTGCAAAGTTGAGGTATGTGGAAGTCTTGTATGTGAACTTAGTAGTTTTGTGGGGGTTTGTTTTTGTAAAACCATTGTTTAATTTGTGGATTTTGAACCATGGTCCATTCTGTGTAGTGCTGGCTGTGCAGTCAATACGTCATTCAGATACAAAAATATTATATTCTGTTACAAATTTGAGATGTCTTAAGGCTCAGGTGCATGCCACTGAATGCACCTGGCTCAAATCCAATTGAACAGTCCATCGGCAGATCTGGCTGGACCTTATCAAATCTTACTGCTCCACCCCCACCTCCGCCACATTACCCGGCTCCGCCACTGTCTCATATCGCAGGCCGCCGAGTCCCTTATACACGCATTCATAACATCCAGGCTTGACTATGCAAACTCCCTGCTTGTCGGCCTCCCCAACTCCACCCTCCATAGGCTGCAGATCATCCATACCTCTGCAGCCCGTGTCATTTCCCGCACCAGCCTCCACAACCCTGTCACCTCCATCCTCGCCTGACTCCACTGTCTTTTCCATCATCACACAGAGGATACGGTTCAAGATCCTGGTCCTCACCTTCAAAACTCTCCATGGTCTTGCCCCACCCTACCTCTGTGACACAGCGTAACACCCTCCCAACCTACCCACTCCCTCCGCTCAGTGGGCTCCGGCCTGCTTCACGTCCCCTGCCTCTCTCATCCCACCATCGGCAGGCAGGCCTTCTGCCACTCTGACCCCACACTCTGGAACTCCATCCCGCAGTCGCTCGGCCTCTCCCCCTCCCTTGCCACCTTCAAGACCCGTCTCAAGACCCTCTTCAACCACGCCTTCGGTCACCCTCCTTTCCCCCCCGCCCTCCCAACCTCCAGCTGGGTCCGAAACATTGATTGTCCAGCGCCTTGGGACATCCCCCGGACATGAAGGGCGCTATACAAATGTAATTTTGTTGCTGTTGTCATTCAGGTACAAAATTTGTATATTCTGTTACAAATTTGAGATGTCTCATGAACATGAAAATCAGAAGAAAAAAATGGCAAAACTATTTTATAAGGCAATGGAAATTTTATAAAACTGAAACCAACTGTATCTTGATTTTTTTCTGCAGAAATATTACTATTTGCACTTTCATAGTACTACACTTAATACATTCCCACTTTATATATGAATATATGGATAGATTTTTGGCCAATGCAAACATAATTTGAAAATGAACAGTTAAACTGCAAAATTGACCTTTTTAAATTGGATTTTGTTCTAAAAGATTTAAAATCTACAAGTTTTTCAATGCAGATACCGTATTTAGTTTTTGAATGTGACCTGTTTTTGCATTTTTACATTTGTTTTCAAGCTCCTATAATCCCGTTTTAAATTTTGCAAGTCTTTAAGTTAAACAATAAAATTCAGTTTAAGTATTCTAATGTGATTGGTTTCAGTGAAAAACTATTTCCCAAATTCTACCACTTACATACTGTCTTTGGACAACAGTTTTCTTTATTTTGTGTAATTTCACAGAAATGGATAATGAGGTTTGAGCAACGCAAAATTGTAAATTAATATTTATAATAAATACATGTTTCTGAATTTTTTGTAATGTAAATGGTTGTTTTCTTGAGATAACACACGTGTGATATGCTTTTAATTGAAAATGAAATTTAAAGAAAGTGGGCAGTGCCAGTGAATCTTAGAATATTACAGCACAGAAGTAGGCCATTCGGCCCATCGTGCCTATGCCGGTCCTTTGGAAGAGCCACCCAATCAATCCCACTACCCCGCTCTTTCCCCATAACCCTGCAATTTTTTTTCTTTTCAAGTACCAATCCAATTCCCTTTTGAAAGTTGTTGTTGAATCTGTTTCCACCACCCTTTTAAGCAGTGCATTCCAGACTGTAACAATTCAGTTTATATAAAAAATAAAAATTCTCATCTCCCCTCTGGTTCTTTTGCCAATTATTTTAAATCTGTGTGCCCTGGTTACTGACCGACTGGCCAGTGGAAACAGTTTCTCCCTAACTAGTCTGAACAAACCCCTCATAATTTTGAACACCTATTAAATCACCCCTTAACCTTTTCTGCTCTAAGGAGAACAATCCCATCTTCTCTAGTCTATAATAATAATAATAATAATCCTTGCATTTGATATAGCGCTTTTCACGTCGGGAGGACGTCCCAAAGCGCTTCACAGAACACACTGTAAAGTGAATTGACTATATTTGTGGGCGAACGCGGCAGCCAATTGCGCACAGCAATGCCCCACAAACAGTCGTAGATTGAAAATGACCAATTTATTATTGTTTTGTTTTGGAGGGATTATTATTAGGCTCTGTGTGGAGTAAGGAAACTTGCCCAAGGTTTCGCCCTCTGCCTGGAATTGAACTCAGGTCTCTCACTTGCAAAGCGAGTGCTCTAACGACTGAGCTACAGGACTCCACACAACTAAAGTCCCTCATCCCTGGTACCATTCTGGTGAATCTCATCTCCCAGTGCCTTGATATCCTTCCTATAGTGTGGTGCCCAGAATTGTCCTGTAGCTCAGTGGTTAGAGCACTCGCCTTGCAAGCGGACACCTGGGTTCAAATCCAGACAGATCGAAACCTTGAGTAAGTTTGCTTACTCCACACAGAGCCTAATGATAATCCCTCCAAAAAAACAAAACAATAATAAATTGGTCATTTTCAATCCACGACTGTTTGTGGGACATTGCTGTGCGCAATTGGATACTGCTTTTCGCCCACAAATATACAGTCAATCCACTTTACGGCATATTCTGTGAAGCGCTTTGAGACATCGAGAAGACGTGAAAAGCGCTATATCAAATGCAAGTATTATATACTCCAGTTGAAGCTTAACCAATGACTCGTAAAGGTTTAGCAGAACTTCCTCACTTTTGTACTCTATACCTCTATTTATAAGGCCAAGGATCCCATATGGTTTTTAATAGCCTCTTTCAAAAACTAGTAATTACCATCCTTCCCCAGGCAGCTTCAAATTCACATCAAGGCTATTAAACCATTCTTATTAGAAAGCGTTACAGCTTGCATGTCAGAGATTCAGATCGGTGTCCAGGAAGGCTGTAAGAAATAAGACGTGTGACACTGTGAAGGAAATTTGATTTGGTGATCAAGACGACAAGTTTCATTTATACAGTCAAGTTTCAATCTATGTTGATTTTCCCTCTGAGTGACCTGACGTTGTCAATCTCTCCCCATCGTCTGGACCTGTCCTGTCCCAAACTGTTCTGCTTAAAAAGACCGACCTTGCTCGCTTCTCACACTTGCCCCATTTAGCCAAGAACCTGGAATTTGTTACCATCCACAACTGTCAGCCCATCTCTCACCATTCATTGTTGGAGACTGGACAGTTGGGTGTTTAACCAATGCACAAAGGAAGACTCCTATCGGTGAGCAGCGATACTCTGTCAGATGGTGACCGGGGATTACTATCCTTTTTTTTTGTGCCTTTCCATTCCGTTCTCCTCCTCAGTCATTCCTCTGTGCTCAGTGGGTGGGGGCTCGGTGGCTCCGCTCCTCCTGGCTGTAGGGGGCGCTGTGGGCGGCGCGGTGGCCCTTCCCCAGCCCGCTGCCTGCTCCGCTCCGCTCTGCTCGCTGGGTTGGGGCTGGCGGCGGCGCCGGGGAAAGATGCCGCTGGGGCTGAAGCCATCGTGTAGCGTGTGTAAGGCCAACTCCTCGTCCATGTGGAGGAAGAGCAGTCAGGGCGAGATCGTATGTAATAACTGCTCGGGCAGACAGCCGCCCGCCAGCGGCCTGGCCGCCCCGGGACAGACCCCGGCCTCGGCCCCGCCACAGGCCCCGCCTAGCAACGGGGGCAGCGGGGGAGGCAACAGCGGCAAACAGGTAAATACCACAGCCCGAGGCCGTGCTGACCCCCCGCCCCGTCCTCATCACCTTCCGACTGGACTCTTCTCCCCCCACACCCCCCTCTCCCCCACACCCCCCTCTCCCCCCCACACCCCCCTCTCCCCCCACACCCCCTCTCCCCCCACACCCCCCTCTCCCCCCTCACCCCCCCACACCCCCCTCTCTCCCCCCTCTCCCCCCCACACCCCCTCTCCCCCCACACCCCCCTCTCCCCCCCCACACTCCCCTCTCCCCCCCCACACCCCCCTCTCCCCCCCACACCCCTCTCCCCCCACCCCCCCACACCCCCCTCTCCCCCCCCACACCCCCCTCTCCCCCCACACCCCCTCTCCCCCCACACCCCCTCTCCCCCCCACAACCCCCTCTCCCCCCCACACCCCTCTCCCCCCACCCCCTCTCTCCCCCCCACACCCCCCTCTCTCCCCCCCACACCCCCCTCTCCCCCCACAACCCCCTCTCCCCCCACACCCCTCTTCCCCCCCACCCCCCTCTCCCCCCACAACCCCCTCTCTCCCCCCCACACCCCCCTCTCCCCCCCACACCCCCCTCTCTCCCCCCCACACCCCCCTCTCTCCCCCCACACCCCCCTCTCTCCCCCCCACACCCCCTCTCTCCCCCCCACACCCCCCTCTCCCCCCCCACACCCCCCCTCTCTCCCCCCCACACCCCCCTCTCCCCCCCACACCCCCTCTCCCCCCCACACCCCCTCTCCCCCCCACACCCCCCCCCCCCACACCCCCTCTCCCCCCCACACCCCCTCCCCCCCCCACACCCCTCTCCCCCCCACACCCCCCTCTCCCCCCCACACCCCCCTCTCCCCCCCCCACACCCCTCTCCCCCCCCACACCCCCCTCTCCCCCCCACACCCCCTCTCCCCCCCACACCCCCTCTCCCCCCCCCACACCCCCTCTCTCCCCCACACCCCCCCCCCCCACACCCCCTCTCCCCCCCACACCCCCCTCCCCCCCACACCCCCTCTCTCCCCCCCACACCCCCTCTCCCCCCCCACACCCCCCTCTCCCCCCCCCACCCCCCCCCCCCACACCCCCCTCTCCCCCCCCCCACACCCCCCTCCCCCCCCACACCCCCCTCTCCCCCCCCCCTCTCCCCCCACACCCCCCTCTCCCCCCCCCCACACCCCCTCTCCCCCCCCACACCCCCCTCTCCCCCCCCCACAACCCCCCTCTCCCCCCCCACAACCCCCCTCTCCCCCCCACAACCCCCCCCCCCCCCCCCCCCCCACCCCCCTCTCCCCCCCCCACCCCCCCTCTCCCCCCACCCCCCTCCCCCCACCCCCCCCTCTCTCCCCCCACCCCCCTCTCCCCCCACACCCCCATCCCCCCACACCCCCTCTCTCCCCCCCCCCATACCCCCCTCCCCACAGCCCCCTCTCCCCCCCCACAACCCCCTCTCTCCCCCCCACACCTTCGATCCTGACTCCCCCTCTCATCACCCCATAACCCATATGAAACTGACTACCTGCTCTCTCGCCCCCCCCCCCCCCCCCATTACCTCCCAGCTCCCCCCTCAACCCTCTACTCACTGACATCCTAAACCTCTCCCTGGTCCTCTGGTTCTGTTCCCATCCCATTAAAAACCGCTGTCATCACTCCTATCCTTTTAAAAAAAACCATCCTCCCCCACCCCGGGACCTTTTTAAAATGCCTTTTTACACACGTTTTCTTCGACAGACAAAACAGGAAATTCACAGACGATCTGCGAGGTTAAGGAACACGAAATACAGGTCTACGCCCCCCACCGAAAAGAAAGTTTCGACCAAAGGAAAAGGAAGAAGACACATTTTCAAGTTAAAAAATGTAAGGGGAATCTAACGCACAGTCTTCAACCATTTAAAGCCTTAACCAAGAGAATAATGTTGCGAATGGAATGTATTTATAATCCTGTGAGCCCATACATGTTTATTGTTCCAGCCTATATGATATGCAGCCCGCATTTATCCTGGATGTACGGTTGCCCACTGTATGATTTTTCCTCCAAAGAAAATCAATCAGGAATTTTGTGCTGTTTCGAAGTGTCCACGTCTGATTTTTTTTTTCTTTTGAAGTAAATCTCCAACCGAAATTATTTTTTAATAATCATACCCTTATTAAATTGCCAATGGAGGAAATGTTACATTGTATAATGACCGAGCCTTCAGCTCCCCTCTCGACTCTCTACCCCCTCCTCGCTCCCTCCCTCCCCTTACCCTGACCATTTCCCCCCTGCTCGGGTCCTGACCCAACTGTACAGCGCCTTGGGACGTCCTCCCGACGTGAAAGGCGCTCTATAAATGCAATCTTGTTGTCGTTGTATAAATTCGTCCTCCAAAAAATAGATATAAAAGTAATGGAATTATCCCTTTTGATATTGGAATGTTGTAAAATATGAAGGGACTGAGATGTTTTTCCTTGTGTGTTGACAGAGGGAGTTGTGATATGATTTGTGATTTTTCTAAAACACTTTCAGAATGTTTCTGGCCTCAGTGTAATTGTGGTTTCTGTGGAGTTTGGCAGCAAATAATCCAGAACGTGCTGTATCAGGAACCGAACCTGCACACAAACTCCCACAGGAGACGAGAGTGTCCCTAACCCTTGAGTATTGCTGTTAAGGAGTCTCTGTTCATCGATTGTGGCATAATGTGATCAGTGGAATTTTAGCCATGAATTATTTAATGGAACAATTCATGTAAGAGTGGAGCAGAGTGCTACATTATCAGAGTGGCAGAAGAGAGGAGCTACCCTCGCTCCTTCTGCACAATAATGGGGAGTGACCTGTTGTGTACTCTCACCATCTCCACCAGCAGAGGCACAACTGACCTCCTACTCCAGACCTCTTACTGCCACTCCTGCATGTACAGCTCTGTTTTGACACTCACTGCATATATGTAAAATATATCAATGTATGATGTCCTGTGTAAACATTGTTAAGTAATTGTGCCAGAGATATTTGTTAACATTTTTTAAAAACAAATTAAAATAAAGAGGAAACATAATTCAGCGTTGAAGTTTTCAATATGTTGATGTCTGAATTTTGAACTTAAAGATGGCATTTTAGGGGAGGGAACCTATTAGATGTCAGAATTCTTCTGTTAGACCAGTTAGTGTCTGCTTTTTTTAGATATCAAAATTAGTTTACAATAATATAAATTTGCAAACAAAAAATCAGTAAAGATAAGCATTGCTGTGCTGTTTTGCAGCCTATTAAAGCACCAGAATCTGTATCTACAATAATCACATCTGAATCCATTTTCTATGGGGTAAGAACTTTTCCATTCTTCTATATCCTTAGAATAGTGTAACTTCATATATTTCCATAAGTTTGTAATGGCAGCAGCTTTATGATTTACTTCAGTCTTACTTTGGTGAAATCATATGCATGAATAATCTTATCGTTAACTCTAACATTAATGGGTAGCTTGCGCTGTATACATGTAATAAATATACTTTGAGTTTGCCCTTGATTCAATGCATCTACAATTATCAACAGTCTATCTTCAAAACTGGGTCTGGGGGTCAAATCTGAAAAGAAGCACATAGATGCTATTGGAGTTTCATTCAGTGAAAGTGGATAATGTCAATTAAGAAACATTTTTAAAGGGCAAGTTTGTGGGCTAAACTAGAAATTCTTGCAGAGTAATTTTTTTATTTCATCACCATCATACACTTATCAGACTCGACTTGTTTCTATATGACTTCCTAGTACAGATTTCAAATTTATATTGTACTTTAGCAGTGCACTTTTTTGTTTTAGGGTATATATTACCAAGTTGGAGATATTGTCTCTGCAGTGGATGAAGATGATGAAAAGGTCTACTATGCTCAGATCCGAGGATTTGTGCAGGATCAGTACTGCGAGAAGAGTGCAGTGATAACATGGCTTATCCCAACTCTTGGAAGCTCCAAAGACCAGTTTGATCCAGCAACTTATATCCTTGGTACGAATTAAAGCATTCCTTAAAATAGAAAGTTTGCTGAGCAGGATAAATAAATAAAATGTTGTGAAAAAGTTAGAACTGCTTGCGATTAAAGAACAGAGAGAAAACAAATGTATTCGCAACTGGAGTAATTAGCATGTAGAGAGGCACTTTGTACAGTGAGATATTTTACAAACGGCAAGGCCTAACACTGATCAAAAGCAAACAAAAAAAGTCATTCATGAGTAAGAAAAGAAAATTCTTCCTGGTGTCCTGGTCAACAATCCTCCAGATAATATTGGTCATTCACTTCATGGCTGACTCCAGCAGTACACCAACGCACACTCGGGTCCCCAAACCTTGGCTCTTGCCAACCTGTGCCTAATGCTTTCCGGAATTAGGTAATCAGGATGCGTCCCTCCAGATGGTGCGCATTTCATTCTGTCTGGGATTTCCATGTGTAGTGTGGGCTGCATGGAATTCTCAGCTTGGTTCAGAAACTCTTAAGCATGGTGATGGGTTTCCACATGTCTCAAATACACGGCTGACCAAAAAAATTGTCAGACGTTGCTGTGTGCAAATTGGCTGCTGCATTAGTCAACAAATGCACAACTACTACACTTTACAGTAAATTGTGTGAAGCATCAATAGTCTGTTTAACTGTGAAGAACATTGCTGCTGAGCCCAATTTGGATCTTGCCCACACCTGACATCATGACAGTAATGTTTTGATTTTATGTCAGTGTTGAGCTCTCCATCACACTCAAATCAGTTTTGAGCATCAAGAACTGAAGGCTGCTGCCATCTTGATACGTAAGCCAGGCAGGTTTCCCAGAAAATATAAAACAAGTGCATTTTTAACTTTGATGTTTTAATGTTAGAGCAGGCAGTTCCTCGGCAAGACTTCCAAATCTCATTTCTGTTGGAATGCTCAGCACCAGTTAGAAAATATGCCTAACCATATCATCACTGTATATAAACCTTCTCTCTTTAGGACCAGAAGAAGATCTGCCTAGAAAAATGGAACATTTTGAGTTTATATGCCATGCACCCTCTGAGTACTTCAGATCCCGATCAACCCCACTGCCAGTCATTCCAACCAGACCTGAAAAGGGGTATATCTGGACCCGCATTGGACCATCCTCTGCAATATCTGTTAAAGAATCAATAGCAAACAGTTATTAGCTGAAAGACTGATTCTTTATTAAAACAAGTTCATATTTGTGTATTAAATTTAAATCATAGCCTGAGTAAAATGTGAGCTGTTATAAAATATTAAACTGCTTCAATAGACTTGTATTTCTCTTCTTACTATGACAAAGTGTTAATGTCAGGAATGCCTTTTTAATGTCAGGAATTTAAAACATTGGATTTCAAAGATTAATCCAACATGTTGTTGGTGAAGTGTGTTATTTATCCTAGGAATAGATTCATAAACTAGCAAGTAAAGGCAAAGGGATGTCCCCACCCCCAAACAAATTACAGTAGCAATTTTTTGGGGAAATGTAGTATTTGTTGAAGTATTTTAAAATTGGTTAATGGATCAAAGGCCATTTGAGCTATCAGAAACCATTTTATTTTTTGATTTGTTCTTGATGATTATAATCCTTGCATTTGATATAGTGGCTTAGCACAACATTGAGACACCTCAAAGTGCTTCACAGAATATACTGTAATGTGAATTGACTCCGAAACATTACCAGACTACAGCACTACCTCACCCTCACACTACTGAAACTCTGGTCCACGCCTTTATCACCTGAAGGCTGGACTATGGGAACTCTCTCCTCGCCGGCCTTCCCGGCACCTCCCTCCACAAGCTGCAGGTCATTCAGAACTCTGCAGCTCGTGTATTGTCCCGCACCAGGCTTCGCGACCACATCACTCCCACCCTCGCTCGCCTCCACTGGCTCCCCATCCCCCAGAGGATCGAATTCAAGATCCTCATCCTCACCTACAAGGCCATTCACAGCCTCGCTCCCTCCTACCTCTCTGACCTACTATCCCCCTACTTACCTGCCTGTTCCTCTGGCTCCGGTCTGCTCCACATCCCCCGCCCCAACCGCTCTACCATCGGTGGCCGGGCCTTCAGCCTCTCAGCCCCGAGGCTCTGGAACTCTATCCCCCAGTGCCTTCGCCGCTTCCTCCCTTTCCTCCTTCAAGGCCGGTCTCAAGACCTTTCTCTTCGACCGTGCCTTCAGCTCCCCTCTCAACTCTCTACCCCCTCCTCGCCCCATCCCTTCCCTCCCACTGACCATTTCCCCCCCAAGGCTCGGGTCCTGACCCAACTGTCCAGCACCTTGGGACGTCCTCCCGACGTGAAAGGCGCTCTATAAATGGAATCTTGTTGTATATTTTGTGTGTGAAATATTTTGTGATGAATGTTTATTATAATAATAATCCCTGCATTTGATATAGCGCTTTTCACGTCTTCTCGACATCTCAAAGCGCTTCACAGAATAGACTGTAAAGTGAATTGACCGTATATCAGCAGTGTCCCACAAACAGTCGTGGATTGAAAATGACCAATTTATTATCGTTTTTTGTTTTGGAGGGATTATTATTCTCTTCAAACTGCATGGTGTGACTCCTGACAATGAAATCCTTTACTACTTACTTTCCTTTGGCCCAATTTCAAACATGTTGAATGTTTCCAGCTCTGAATGAATCTGCCTCATGGCTTCTAGCCACTGGGAAGAGAGTGGAAGAACACAAAAAATACATCACACTTTGACAGGTATCTGACCAAAAATCAGAATCCTGTAGCTTAGTGGTTAGAGCACTCACCTTGCAAGTGAGAAACATGGGTTCTGTTCCCACAGGGCGAAACATTGGGCAAGTTTCCTTACTCCACACGCCTCTGTTTACCTAGCAATAAGTAGGAACCTGGTTGTTAGTCGATTGGCGGATTGCTTTTCTGAGGATAATTCCTTCAAAATAAATTTTTTAAAATAATTTTGTCATTCCATCCACGACTGTTTGTGGGATATAGCTGTGCGTAATTGGCTGCCACGTTTTGCCCACAAAATATACAGTCAATTCACTTTACAGTATATTCTGTGAAGCACTTTGAGAGGTCTCAACGTGATAAGGCAAATGCAAGTATTATTAAAAAAAATTTCATCTGCATTCAAACTAATGTCTGAGGTGAAAGAACAGCATTCTAACCTATTAATAATAATTGAATATGTTTTGATAACATACCAGGATAGTTCTGCATATGCAATTTGGGGTTATTCTCCTGCAGGCTATGTACATCTTCCAGTCGAGACAGAAATTGTGAGGCTTGCAGATTTTACTACTTTTGAGCTGGCCACAAGAGGGTGCACAAGAAGTGGCTTTTCCTTAGATGTCCTGGCCAATAACCCTCTGAATAAAATTGTTCATTTTGTGGCTGCTTGTGGGATATTACTGTGTGCAGTGTCTTCAGTGCTCATCTACAAATAGATAATCACTACATTTTACAGTAAAATATAGACACCTCTGTGATGTGATAAGGTGCCAAATCAAATGCAAGGATTATTGTATAACGCTGGAAGTTAATTTATTGTCTTGCTTACAGATTTTTTTATTGTGGCTTTCAACTGCTGATTAGCAGGAAACTGGCTCTGCTCTGTTTTTACTTAGTTACAAGTCTATCCCAGTAACTGACCAGTTTCTCAATGCAACTGTTAAGAAGGGTACCAGGAAGTCCACCTCACCAGCACATCCAGAGATATGTAATGCCCAGTTAATGCTAAATATCATAAGGTCATTAAGTGGACTGCCAGTGGTACATAGAACATCATAACATTGCTAAATGTACCCCACTATCTGAAGCACATGCAGAAAAGTGAGCTATCCCTGGTAGATTTGTATGAAGCTCTCCGGCTCCAAGCACAGGAAAATGCTCAGCTTCAAGATGGTTCTAGCAATGATAGTATCCTAACATTTCATCTAGAACCTTATCATTTCATTGAAATGTCTCAAAGCACTTTACAGAGAGACTGTATTTTGAATGCTACAGGATTGCAACTTGTTTTAGGTTTCCTGGTTGCTGGGGTTAGTTTGCAATGTCTATTAGAATTTTAAAATGGCATCTGGGCACATCAGAGGGTTACACCATTGCAATATATAGATCAGTGAGGTATGACAATAAATCACTACAGATTACATTCTTCCAGTGATTATAATGAAGGTTAACATTTCGTTGAGGACAGCAGCACTCCAAACAAATGGAGCATCCAAACCATTGGTGTTGCCGTGGCACCTGCCAGTCGGGGAAAAGAACCCTGCAGTTAACTTCAACACATTTGCAATGTTGTAGTTTAAGAATAACACTGAATATATCAGTTTAAAAATACAATGGGATTAAAATTTGGGAAGGATTGCAAGACAACAATGAATCTCGTAATCGCTTCCACCCATCCATTGTTCTCCATGAAACCCCCTCCATGTATCTATTAGTCAGCATTTTAGTTCAGGTATCTAAAAGGATCCTCTGTGTAAAATGTGTGTTCTCTCACTGACATGCAGCAGATTAACTTGTTAGCTGATAGTTCCAGGTAATTCAGACAGCAGTATATGGGCACTGATTGTTGTCAAATAAATCTCCATTAGACCTTGGTAGAGAAATGGAACATGTTGGCAGTTGTGATTGAGAGGATTTAATCTGAAATGTAAATTAGCCACAATGACCTTGTGTGCAACATCTGGTCTATCATTAAAAGCTTTGTTTGCTGATTTTTATGCTCTAGTTGGATTAAAGGTACCAGTGTCAGACCAGTAGCTGCAGTAAAGCTATGATGACCTGACAGTTTTGAGTAATTACTGTACATCAGCTCCACATCACCAGCTGTTTCAGCAAAGCACAGGTCCATTAACAGTGTTAGAATATGATTGCATTTTTAATGTTAATGAAGCGACATCAGCAGTATCGGGCCTTCAATATCAATAAAAACCTAAGGGTGATGTCATTGACCACTTCCAAACTTGTTTCACTTTGTTTGAAAAGGTTCCTTTTCTCCAAATAAACTTACCTTAGACTCAGTGTGAAAACAAAAGTTTCACACTGCCTCCTCAAAGTTAAACTTATATTAAATAGGTTTTGTAAATATAAGCATCTTACAGATTTGTAGAATTCTTACAATAACTTACAATTATTATTAATTATATAGTATCCTTCATGTTGGATACAAAGGCAGGGAAAATGCCAAGTAAGGGAGAAGAGAAGATGGGGTTGTCCACGGTTGGGGAGGTAGGTTTTAAGGCAGGATTTAAAGACCTGTAGAGATGGGGCAAGGGAGGAGTAGGGTAGGAGAAAATATTGGAGGTACTAGGGTATGAAGGGATTTGTAGGTGAGAGGAAGGACTTTGCAATTAATCTGCAGGGATACTGGATTCTGTGAGCACTGAGATGATGCGTGGCTGAGTTTGATTCAGTAGAGGGTGCAGGAAGCAATCTCTGATACTGGTCTGGGCCTTAAGGCCATGATCTTAACATTTAAAATGGGTGGGAACAGGCCTGGTGATATAGTGGTAGAGTTCCAGAACCTCGCCCTAAATTTGGTCTTCACGCTGTGTCTGTTCTGAAACACCCATGCTCGCTTTGTGAAGAAAGTGAACAGACATCAAATCTAGAGACAGAACATTTTTGCTGTTTTCAACCACAAACAGCTTCAACTGTTCCCAGATTGGGATTAAAGCTTGTCACTAGCAATGTGAATTAAACTCAATTTATTAACCATCAGTCCCACATTAGTGACATCTCAATTTCCTAAATCAATATCTGAGTCCAATAGTGGCAAATTATGGACTTGCTTGTGCCACTGGAACTTAATTGAAACCGTTCCCAAAGTAATTTTTATTTAGAAGACTTTGCATGCATTAAACATTTTTAAAAATAAAATAAGGGTAAAATTATCACAGATTTGAGGCAAAAGTGGATCTTCTCAGTGAAAATGTTAGGTTCCACATCCTACTTAAGAATAGCTGGAATTTTGATGAACTTGCATTTGGTATAGCTCCACATCATAGTTGAAATGTCTCAATGTATTTAACAGGATTTACTGTAGTGTGTAGTGACTGTGCATTTATAGGTGAACTTGAGTGATGAAGTCTATTTCTAATGGCGTCTAATTATGGTATTTCTTAATGGAATTCCTTAATAAAAAAATCCAAGTTGTGCAAATGGCAACTCCTGGTAATCAACAGCAAATTCCATTATATAGTTCCTCTAATCAGAAATATGTCACAGCAATCTACAGGAACTCCACTCCAACGTGATCTAAATCCAGAGCAAATGTCTTATTAGTTGAGAAAAATTGTAACAGTTTAAGAAATACTGCAGATTAATCCACTTCCCCAGTTACCTGGTATAATAATAATCCTTGAATTTGGTACAGCACGTTTCACATCAGGAGGACATCCTAAAGCAGTTCACAGGATTCACTGTGAAATGAAGTGACTGTGTATTTGTATGTAGGCAAATTCGACAGCCCAACTGCATAGCAATGTCCCATAAACAGTCATGGAGTGAGCAACCAATATGTTGTGGAGTCCTGTAGCTCAGTGGTTAGAGCACTCGCTTTGCAAGTGAGAGACCTGAGTTCAATTCCAGGCAGAGGGCGAAACCTTGGGCAAGTTTCCTTACTCCACACAGAGCCTAATAATAATCCCTCCAAAAAAACAAAACAATAATAAATTGGTCATTTTCAATCTACGACTGTTTGTGGGACATTGCTGTGCGCAATTGGCTGCCGCGTTCGCCCACAAATATACAGTCAATTCACTTTACAGTGTGTTCTGTGAAGCGCTTTGGGACGTCCTCCCGACGTGAAAAGCGCTATATCAAATGCAAGGATTATTATTATGTTGGGGGGAAGATTGTTGGCCAGAACACTGGGAGAAACTCCCTTCTCTTTTTGAACAGTGCCATGGGATCTTTAATGTCCACCTGAACAAACAGATTGGACCTAGTTTTGATGTTGCATCCCAAAGACAGCAACTCTGATATGCAACACACCCCAGCACCGCATTGCAATGTCACCTTAGTCTACATGAGTTCAAGTGGGGCTTGAACCCACAACCTTCCGACTCAAAGGCAAGAGTGCTAGAACTGAGCCAGACTGGCACATAGTCTGCACAATGTTTAGTTATTTTAAAAACTTCTAGTTTGGCACTTTATTTCCAAATTTACAAAAGAATCTGAGTTACACAAATACAAAAATCATCCAGTTTGACAAATTAGAGTATTAAATGCCTGATATCACAATATAACGATGTACTGAGGCATCATTTGTTATTACATTTTATATAATAGTATGCATTGGGAACACATCTGTAAGCAATCAATTTGTTATGCCAAATTGTTACATCCTGTGTAAAATATTTCAATGTATTTTTTGACTTTATTGCAATATCAAATGCAAGGATTATAATACATTATGAAAAAAATCTATATTTTCTAAGTTTAAATACTCTGCTGTGTTTTTTGTTCAGCTCTATTTTATGGTGTCTGTTTCCATAAGAAAATTATTGCTGCAAAGATGTAACAGCAATAATGGCATTAAACAATCAAACTTTTCTGTGATTTACTAGTGATGTGATGTACAAGACTCAATGTGCTACTTGCTTTCATTGATTAGCGAGAAAGTCCAATGATCTGGAGTATGAAAAGAAAGAGGTTGATGATGTCAAGGTAGAGGTTCAGTGATGCAAAGATGTACTCCTCAGGACTCAGAGCATAACGATGTTTCCCTCCAAGCATCAGCTGGGTGTCAATAACTAGGTACTAGAAAGAAAACACATCAAGTTAATATTTGTATAATCCTTGCATTTGAAAGGCCCGCTTCATTTTCCAATGATAATCAGGAGAGGAAGTGTTCAAATTGTTTAACCAATTTCACAAGGAAATGGATTTCAAATACTGTAACCTAAGACCTCCAAAAAGGTCACTGCTCATGGATTATTAAATGGGGAAATAATATTTTGGATATTTCTTTGATACTTGGTGGACACCAGTCATCACCCTGCTCATACGTCTCCCCAGATCCACCTTCCACAAGCTACAGACCACCCAGAACTCTGAAGCCCATATTTTCCACTCCATGTAGCGCCATGAGGCCATCACCCCCATCTGGCTCCACTCGCTATTGGTCATCTCCACCCTATCTCTCTCCCAGCGCAAACTCCTTCTACGCTTTTGTAAAGAGCTTTCAGATGTTGTTTCTATTTGAAAGGTTTGTTACAACCCATCGCCACACCATCCTCATCTACCACCTCTTTCCTCATCCACTTCAGCGGGACTGTACTAGCTTGGTTCAAGACCTACCTAACAAACCGCCTTCACATTGTATCATCAAATGGTTTCTCCTCCGTCTCCTGCATACTCACCCTCACTAAACTCTGTACGCCCATCACACCAGTTCTAGCCAAGCACCACTATCTCTTTATTGCTGAACGGATCAATTTCAAGATCCTCACACTCATTTTCAAATCCCTTGATGTCCTGGCACCTCCCTACCTCTCTGACCGGCTTACCCCACAACCCACTGCCTCCGCTCGACTGGCTCCAGCCTTCTGCATGTCCCTCATGCCCTCCATTCCACCATCAGCGCCCACGCTTTCAGCCACTACACCCTGAAACTCTGGAACACTCTTCCTCTATCCCTTCACCTTGCCCGTTCCTTTCCCATTTTCAAGTCGTGCCTGAAGACTTCCTATTCAACGGAGCCTATTGTCAACTCCCACTCCCCCCGGCTCAGAGTCATGCTTTACCACTGTCAAGTGCTCCAGATTGTTACCCTCCATGAGGTGCTATATAAATGCAAGTTGTTGTTGTACAAGTGTAAATTGGTGTTATCATGTATGAAATCTGCAGCAATACTTACAATTGCAAATATCAGTGTTCCTAGGGAAGCATAAACTATTTGGAGCCACTGTGGAAAAAATAAAATCATTAGAATATGTTAATTGCCCATCCCTCAACAGCTGATGTATCATTTATTTTTATAATTCATAATAATCCTAGCATTTAATATAGCACCTTATCACATGTGGGAAAAGGGCAGATAAACAGGACTGAATGGATTGCTGTTTCAAAGAGCCAGCACTGACATTATGGGCCAAATAGCCTTCTTCTGTGCTGTAAATATCCATAGTTCCATGACAATTTTTCCTGTCTTTTCTGTTGACATTTATATGGTCTTGTTCCTCCCAATCTCTAATTATGCTGCCCTACACATGCTTTCTCTATCCTGCTTTTTCACTGTATTGAAATCAAGGCTACTCACCTTTTCCGAGTCTCTTCCTCTAATTTGTTCTTGGGATAGGGCCTTGGGTCGTCCGCCCGATATAAAATGCACTATACAAATGTAATTTTTTGTTGTTGTTGCTGTTCTTTCCCAAGACCTCAGAATTCTAGAATTCTCCTTATTTCCTATGGTTTCCCTTCCTCCTATCCAGTCTGCAAACTCAAAACCCAAGCTTAGCGATACTCAACCTCTACTTCTTGATTTATCCTGATCTCTTTTATAAACTTGATGTTGAGTCCATGAATTAGGTTTCTCAATAAATATGAACTGGATAGACATTGTCTGTTAAAGCTAAAGGTTTAAGTCACAAGGATTTGCTTTACATGCACAAATATATTGAACTATTTGATAAGTATTGGATGGAAACAGCATTTCATTGTGAATGAGCAGCATTGCCTCCACTGATCACATAAAGACATTTCCATTTAGAGTATGTTTCATTTTTCTATCACTAAACATGAGGAACAAAATAATATACTTACAAATGATCGTATTATTGCACACAGAAGACCAAATGCTAGCAAAACCAATAACACGACACATAAAATTCCACTCCCCATGGTGAAGTCCCACTGTAAAAAAAATAAATATTTCACACAAGTGTGCAGTGCTTCACCAGCTTCAGCTTAGCACATGAAATATGGTAAACATTACCTTGGATTGCATGGCAAATATGGTTAGTCCAAATGACACAAATGCAGTCGCTCCTATAGCCCACATCACAGCATTAGCACCATAATAACTGGAAGGAAATAAAGGTTATAGTCAAGAAAGAGAATTTACTTTAGGTTAAAATTAAAACTCAGTGTTTATTTAACATTGACCAATAGAGGTCATGTAGGTGAGATATAGACTTACACTGAAACAGCTCCCAACACCACACCTTCCAGAACAGTCTAGGTAAAAAGAACTCAATGTCACAGATTTTATTAAATAAATAATTGGAATTATAACTGGTTTATGAATTGTCAATATGGTTACAAAAGGAAAATAAGAAGGAATGAACTCACGGAGGAGGCAATATTTTGACAATTTATTTTTCTATGTTATGGACTTGCCTATAACAAATACCCTCTTACCCATCTTCACAAGTCCCTTTGGATGTTATATATAGCTCTGCATTCAAAAGGCTAGAGTCCGAAGAAACCAAGCTGACCTCAAGTAATGACCAAAGTGTGTGAAAGAGTGGTTCACTGGAGCCCCCTTCCCAAATGTATCTTTCTCCTTGCCACAGAAAAACATCTTGCTTCATTCAGCATCACCCAACAGAGATGCAGAGGAATCAGCAATTCAATAAACTTGTCCTTCCACTGAATATTTTGCTCTCATCCACTTTACCTTGTACAACACTTTACATCCCCTATAATCTTCTGTACAAGTGTACAAAATACTCTACGTTCCCTTTAATCTTCTTTATGATATACAAAATTCTACAATAACTTCCCTTCACATAGGATAACGTCACAGAGCAGTTTACAGTGACAGCATCGAATACTGAGCAGCAGAGAGTGGGGGGGATGAGGGAGGTGACCATAAACACAATTGAAAAGGTAGGTTTCAAAATGGGACTTCAAGACAGATAGAGAGGGAGCAAGAGGGAGAGGGGAAGAGAGTAGGAGTTCTGGAGTTTAGGATGTGGAACCTGAATAGGGCAGGGAACCAGCAAGGAGGTGGGTAATGTGGCAAAAGTGAAGAAAAATAGTCCTGGTCAGAGAACTGGACTTGAGGGAGAAATGGGAGCTGAGGATCGAACCAGATGCCAAAGTTGGGCAGTGGTTCAGTGAGTTTGAGAGATAGGTTGGAGAAGTTGAAGAGGTCAGAGACAAAAGTGATGAGACACTGACAGGAGCCAACTAGGATGATGTCTGCCTTGTCTATATTTAGTTGCATGAATGTACAGCTCATCCAGGCCTGGATGTCAAGCAAGTGGACCCATAATCAAGAGTGGAAATGGAAAAGCAGATTTGGTGTTATCTGTATATATGTGGAAGTTAGCTTTGTGTTTGTGAATGTCGTTACTAAGTGGGAGAATGTAGGTGAGGAAAATGTCCAAGGATAGAGCCCCGAGGCATTCCGCAAGTAACTTTTTGAGGGTTGGAGGAGAAACCTTCAAGAGTGAGCTTGATAGATTTTTGGTAGGGTCAGGGTATTAAGAGATATGGGGAGAAAGTGGGAAATTGGAACTGAAAAGATTAGTTGAGGTACAGATCAGCCATGATCTAATTAAATGATCTAATTGAAGGACTGAATGGCCTCCTCCTATTCTTTTTCCTCTAAACCATTAGAAACGAGAAAGTGGAGGCAGGATTGGAATGAGAAGAGTGCAGTCTGATGGAGGTGAATGAGGGAGGAGGCGATCGAGGAGGATAGAGTGGTCAATAGTATCAAAAGTGTCAAGGAAGCTAAGGAGGACGCAGGGAGCACTGGCCGCAGATACAGAGTACGTCTACTGTACGCCTGCTGTACCCTATACAGCACGTTCTACTTCCCCTTTCATCCACTGTAATGTGTACAACAACACTACATTCCCTTTCATTTACTGGACTGTGAAGATAATGGTTATTAAACTTAAACCTATCTGTCTTAGGATTCTTCTGTCTCTCAAAAGGCAGTGGTTAGAGGAGCTAATGCAATTTTCACCAGAATCCTACATAGATAATATTTTGTATTACCAGCCTACACAAAAGTGAGTTCTGTTCCCTTGCCTTCTACCCCACCTTCTAATTCCACATTGAAGGTTGCACTCACTGTTACTGGGTACAAACATTAACCTTACTTTAATATTACATGTTCCATAAAGCCTTCTATTTAACAGTGAGCACACAGGCTAAAAGATGATTTAATCATAGGCACATTTAAAATAACTAGTTGGTGAAATAACTCACAAAGACAAAAAGAAAGATGAAGTTCAATGGAACTTTGCGTCGAACACCATCACAGCAAGATAGGACGATGATCAAAATAAAGATGGCAGGGCTGAAAAAGAGAAGGTGGGAACTCAAACATACTGAAAATGAGCTGCAAAAGAATTAATAATAATCATTGAATTTGATATAGCGCCTTATCGCGTCTTCAATACATCTCAAAGCACTTCACAGAATATACTGCAAAGTGAGTTGACTGTATATTTGGTGGAGAAAAGTGGCAGCCAATTGCGCACAGCAGTGTCCCATAAACAGTTGTGGATTGAGTGACCAAATTATTCTTTTTTTAAAAAAAGGGATTATAACCCCAGGAAAAGCGATCCACTAATCAATTAACAACTGGGTTCCTACTTAATGCTTGGTAAACAGAGATATGTGGAGTAAAGAAACTTGCCCAACATTTCGCCCTGCCTGGGAATCAAACCCAGGTCCTCTCCTCTCGTTTGCGACGCGAGTGCTCTAACCACGAAGCTACAGAACTCCACGTCAACTTACAACAAAGGTACTTACAACAAAGCAAATGTGAACCAGCTATGTTCAAAGGTCCAGCGATTCAGAGTTTTCCTAATAAGTAAAACAATGAGACATTAAAATCTTCCATTCTTCCATAAGGAATTTCTTCTAGCAAACATTGTGTTATACACACCATCAAATAAGTGAATGTTTATTCCAGAAATGTTTATCCTTCAATGTTTTCCCTTCCCCTCCTCATATTTGAGAGACACTACATTCTTTATTTCTTCCACTGTCTTTACCATGTCCAGGCTAGACTATTCAAATGCACTGCTCCCCAGACACCCCACCTTCTCTCTACATAAGCTGGAGACCATCTAGTACTCTGCAGCTTGTGGCCTCTCCCGCATTAGGTTCCGTGAGCCTATCACCTCCATCTTCGCTCGACTGCATTGGAACCCCATACCAGAAGATTGAATTCAAGATCCTTGTTTTCACATTCAACTACCTCCATGGCCTTTCCCCACCCTAGCTCTATGGCTTCCTATAATATTACAGCCTCAGCCGCTTCCTCCATTCAGTGAACACTCGCTTGCTTCATGGGCCCCCCAACCTACCATCAGTGGGTAAACTTTCAACTATTTTGCTTGCCCCCACTTTCTGGAACTCCTCCCATCTCGTCCCCTCTGTATGCACCTTTAAAGCCTATCTTATAATAATAATCCTTGCATTTGATAGTGCCTTATCATGTCAGAGACAACTCAAAGCGCTTCACAGAATATACTGTAAAGTGAATTGACTATGTTTTGTGGGCAAAACGTGGAAGTGAATTGTGCACAGCAGTGTCCCAAAAACAGTCGTGGATTGAATGACCAAATTATTATTATTTTATTTGAAGGAAATTTAAGACCTTTCTTTTCACCTGTGCTTTTGGTCACCTTTCTCCTCAACGCCCATAGCTCTCCCTACCACAGCTTAGGTTCCCAGTTGACTCTGTGAAGCACTTTGAGACAACCTCCTGGCACGAAAGGTGCTATATATAGTCAAATCTGTTCAAGCAACTACCTCCTTTCAGTAATCACCTCCATTCAGCAACCACCCCCTATCAACAATCATCCTGGAACAGCCTGGAGAGCTCAGTTTGCACACCAATGGATCCTTTCTCAGAGGTCTTCTTAATATAAAGGCCATTTTGGTCCAGTCCCCTGAGTGGCTGTTGAAGACAGATTTAACTGTAAATGTAAAATTGTTGTTACTAGGGTATGGTTGCATAAGCAACAGGCCATTCTTCAAATGCTTTGACAGTGAGTGTTGGTGTGCTATTGACTGCAGAGAAGATGGAACATCACTAACAAACATTGGTTTGCTTTGGTTCAGTTTAGTTGGTAGTTCTTTTGTTTTGTTTTTGGTCAGCTGGGTGTCTGACACATCCAGAAACCCACCACCATGCTTAAGAGTATCCAAACCAAATTGAGCTTTCCATGCAGCCCACTTACACCTAGAAATCCCAGAGATATATTGTTGGAATGGACACTCTCTCCATGGAGGGACACATCTTGCTTATCTAATTCCGGAAAGTATTAGGTGCAGTTTGGCTTGGGGTGTGTGTTGGGGTGCTGCTGGAGTCGAACCAGCTAAAACCACATAGCTTGCCATTGATATTGCTGTCTGGCAAGCTTTCCCACCGCTTGTCAACTAGGACCTCCCTACCCATTAGGGCTTTGGCTTGCAGAGTTAACAGGAGCTGAGTGGGATGACTCCTTGCAGCCAGTGACTGGTCTGTCCTTCCAGGTCCTGCCGATGAGCCAGGCTGGCTGTGCTGTCATCAGCAGTGCCCTGGAATACTCCAGACCTACTTGGCTCAGAAACCAGACTACAGAGACCTCCATAGAAGGTTCTGACATTCCACTGCCAAACATATCACCTTGGAGCCAGTTCTACATCAGCATCTGATGGTTTATGAATTCAAGAGAAATTAATTTTCTATTTTTAATTGGTTCATTAATTCATGGCCAATTTAAGATGCTTCTTCCCCTTTAATGCAGGCTGTTGCTGGTATCAGGTTCATCATACAATCAATACTGAAACCCATTATTAAAGGGGAGTTTAGACCCCTGTAGGCAAGTCAGTTCATTAACATGTTACTCATGTTAATCTTATTGGGAATTAATGTTTCATGCTGTTTGTTAGTTCTCTGCTCATTTATTTAGGTTACCTAGGAAACTAGAAATGGGTGCAATTTTTGTTAAAAAGGATGCTCCTTTCAACAATACTTATTCAGATCAGAATAATGGAGGATGGAGCCTTATTCAAAGACTATGGCTGAGTTCGCTCAAGGTGACATGCCCAGCAATAAGAGTATCTGAATCAAGACACCATCCGTGATGGTTTTGGTGGTTGTGTTTCTGAGTCACGCGAGTCTGCAGAATTTGTCTCCAGGGCACTGCTGATGAATGATATATAATTAGACAGCAAGGCTCATTGGTAGGATTTCGATGGGCAAAGTGCATATAGTAATAATAATCCTTGCATTTGATATAGCGCCTTATAACGTGGAGCCCTGTAGCTGAGTGGTTAGAGCACTCGCCTCGAAATGAGAAACCTGGGTCGATTCCTGGCAGAACGAAATATTGGGCAAGTTTCCTTATTCCACATGCCTTGTTTACCTTACAATCAATAGGAATTTGGTTGTTAGTCGATTGGTGGATTGGTTGTTAGTCGATTGCTATGCATAGCAATGGGTTTCTGTATTGCAGGACCAAAAAAAGCTTTAGCCCCAACTGATTAGAGCACTCGCTTTGCAAGCGAGAGACCTGAGTTCAATTCCAGGCAGGGCGAAACCTTGGGCAAGTTTCCTTACTCCACACGCCTAATAATAATCCCTCCAAAACCAAAAACAATAATAAATTGGTCATTTTCAATCTACGACTGTTTGTGGGACATTGCTGTGCGCAATTGGCTGCCGCGTTCGCCCACAAATATACAGTCAATTCACTTTACAGTGTGTTCTGTGAAGCGCTTTGGGACGTCCTCCCGACGTGAAAAGCGCTATATCAAATGCAAGGATTATTATTATTATTATTATTACTGTATTTTCATGAAGGCAAGGAATTGTCATAATCTGGGACAGCAAAAGGAATGGAAAGAGAGAATGCAATTTTCACTTCTGTGCCTTTTTGTTTCTTTTGAAATGCCCCAATCAACTCTGCTCCAACAGCCCAGGAAGCTCCCAGGTTCAACCTCCAGTTTGTGCTGAGACCATTGATGTCTTATCAAAAAGACGTCTGGAAGACGTGATAAGGCGCTATATCAAATGCAAGGATTATTTAAAAATTATTAAAAAAAGGAAATGCTTTACAACAGAGTGAATTTTCTGTCTGCTTTCCTGGGGCGTTAACTATGAAAATAAGACATGTGACATGCAGCTGGGTATATATAGCTGGGTATATATAATAACACACTTCAATCTGATGGGTCGGATAAATACACCCTTCTGGTGTCAATTTTTTGCATTTTAGAATTCAGTTGTTTCAAGATTACTTTTTATCAGATGCTATGTGAATTGACCCAGATTAGTGTGATAATGAATGTTGCTTATGTAAATACATAGTACGATCACCACCTGTTGTACTGCCACAGAGATGATAAATGCAGAGCCTTAATGTGCTTCATTGCCAATAAGATGGCAAGGCAACAGAATATTATTTTACAATATTGGCAGTGAGTGATGTTAAGTATCACTGGTGATAATCACACTACACAATTTCCAGCACATCAAGCCGGTGGGGGTGGGGGGGTTGGGATTTTGTGGTGGGGGGGGGGGCGGTGTGGTGGGCACCACATGCCCTCACTTATATATTAAAGTAGCTACAGCTAAAATAAAAATACTCACCAATAAAGGAATGTGCAGATTATGCTTATGGTGATTATCAACTGAAGCATTAATGTGAGGTACACTTTTCTGATGAAAGCTGTAGAAAGAGTAAAAGATATGAAATGTTATTCTTAACCAATGTTGTATATTATCCTTCTAGAAATTTCAACAACTTCCAAATATATTACAGAGTGGTTGTTTCGGAGCTTTTAACTTGGTACGGATGTGCTGCATTGTGGGAGGTGTCACCCTTTCGATGAGATGCTAAACCAAGGTTTCCATCTCAGTTAAAGATCGCATAGCACTATAATAATAATATTAATCCTTGCATTTGATATCGTGCCTTATGTCTTCCAGACGTCTCAAAGCACTTCTCAGAATATACTGTAAAGTGAATTGATTGTATATTTTGTGGGCAAAACGCAGCAGCTAATTGCACACAGCAGTATCCCACAAACAGTCGTGGATTGAAATGACCAATTTATTATTTTTTTTGTAGTTGTGCCCTGGTAACAATGTCACCAGGACACAACTGCACATGGTACAGTTCAGCAGTGAGCAGAGTTCAGCAAATGGCTAGAAATGTAAGATCTTCCTTTTTGGATCATTTTAAATTTGTACTTCACCTAAATTCTACTGCAAATTTTTAATTTTTAAAAAAAATATCTACTTTACCCTCTGCAGTTTGTACAACAAGCTCTTCACCAAATCATATACAAAGGATTATGTTCAGTCATTGTACCAGTAATTAGTCTGTGGCTAAGGGACTTGAGAAGAATTATCTTATTGTCCCACTCAATATCTTGACATAAATCAAAATACAGTGAAATTAAATTAATTGAATATTATATGATTGAATAATTCATTTTATTAAATAGAATTTAGAGCCCCAAACCATGTGAATACCCAGTGTAAAAATATGGATTGGTTAATTGAATACTGAATGCATGATTAAATATGGACCTGATAATAGTCACACCAGGCCAGAAAGTAAGATGTATTGTTCTAGGTACATATATAATAGTTTAATAAGAGATTCTAGGTTAGAATAAATAGTAGTCTGACAAGAAAGGATCTAGATAAATATAAATTGTATTGTATTCTATTTTAGTTACATTTGTTTTATTTTCCAACAGATATTTCTGGGAATTGTTCCTCTTTTTCAACTTTAGCACCCTAGATATATACTATCAGTTATGTTAATTATCACATTGGCAAACATTCTGCCTTTTCCTCAATGACCTAATTTATTGACCAGTCCATGAGGGTGACCACCTCCATTTCTCCCCTTCTGTCACAATACATGGCCAAAGCCAGAGAATTGAAAGTCAGGAACTTTGGGCCCAAGCACATTGACAAAGTGGGTGGAGGGAGAAGTGATAACTTCTGTAGTCCTGTAGCTCAGTGGTTAGAGCACTCGCTTTGCAAGCGAGAGATCTGAGTTCAATTCCAGGCAGAGGGCGAAACCTTGGGCAAGTTTCCTTACTCCACACAGAGCCTAATAATAATCCCTCCAAAAAAACTAAAAACAATAATTGGTCATTTTCAGTCTACGATTGTTTGTGGGACATTGCTGTGAGCAATTGGCTGCCGCATTCGCCCACAAATATATGGTCAATTCACTTTACAGTGTGTTCTGTTAAGCGCTTTGGACCGTCCTCCTGATGTGAAAAGCGCTATATCAAATGCAAGGATTATTATTATTTATTATAACTGTAGACCAGTCAGTTAATTATGACAATGGTGGAGTTTTCAACTGTGTGATAATTAACACAGGACACATTGCAATTTCCACCCATACGCTTCTCTGAAAGTTTCTTTCCTGTTCAGTTGCTGAAACTTCTAACATTTTCTGTTTCAGATTTGCAACCACAGCACTTTATTTCCTTATTCTACACATGTACTGTTAACCTTTGCTTGCAAGTAACAAAGTCCACATAGTAGTAATGTAACCATAGCTACAATCTAATCTGCTTCCACCACCCTTTCAGGCAGTGCCTTCCAGACGTAACAACTTTGGGTAAGAAAAATTCTCCTCGTCTCCCCTCTGGTTCTTTTGCCAGTCATCTTAAATCTGTGTCCTTTGTTACCAAACCACCTGCCAGCGGAAACAGTTTCTCCCTGTCTACTCGATCAAAACCCCTCATAATTTTTAACACCTTTATTAAATCTCCACTCAATCTTCTCTGGTCTAAGGAAAATTATTGTTTTTTTCCTTTTTGATCAACCTGGTTGGTGTCTGATACATGTGGTACTTGCCATTGCTTACGAGATTCCAAACCGAATTATTTTTTGGGAAAACAAGGTTGAAACTTTTTATTTTCTGCCAAAATAAAAGTAACCTTAGACAATAGGGTTAAAACAGTGGACGTAACAGGATTCACTAATAGCAGATCAGGATCATTAACAGGGAATTTTGCATTTAACCAGCTATACATCTCTTGATCCAGTTCTGGAAGATTGGAACTGAGATCCTAAATGTTAACTATAAAATAATGTGCTTTTTAACTCTGGGTTTACAGTATGTTATACAATTCAAATATGTGGTTCATTGAGGAGACTCGCAATTGTTTCTGCTCTCCTGAATACCATATATGCTACCCGGCAATGTACAGGAGAAGTTGCTTACCTCTTCTGATAGCTTTGTCAAGGAAATGTAGCTCTGTTTGGTTCACTGAGACACTCTGATATTCTGGAGGAGTATCTTGCTCTGGGGTTAGAGGTGATGCTGTATAGCCTTGAAGTGCCCCAGGCGTAGGATATGCTTGGTTTGGGTAATCCTGAGGTGTGTAGCTCCTACCTGGGTAACTTTCCTTTGGGTAGTCTGGTGGAGGGTAGCTCATGACCTGTGACAAGTTATGCTGATAATTGCTTTGTTTGAATGAATATGGTGGGGGGTCTTCATATCTTGATGGGTCTTGTTCTCTTCGACCATCTGAGAATCTATCCATTTCCAGTAGCAGATGTGTTGTCGCTGGTCACTGAGGAAAACTTGAATTAATACATTTTTCTGTCATAATACTTGATAAATAACTGCTGGTGAAAGACAATAAGATCCCACAATACAGATGTTATGAAACTTTAACCCCGATTGCTGCACATACAAGAAATGTTAATAAAAAGAGAATGGCTGTAACTTACTGTGAATTGCTACAAAGAAGAAACAGACGGCGACTGCGTTCAGGTGGAAAGTGCAGCTATTGCCCTTTGTTGACATTATTTCATCATGCACAATTTTTATCTGATGTTCAAAGTCACACAATCTTATTTTCCTGGTGAATGGCTCTGGGTGTACTTTTGCAACCTTTGTCCTGAAGCCATTTTTGTTGACATGAAAGAGGAAAAACCAATAGAAGGCCATTGCTTCTGAGGATTGATTTGTTTCTGTTTGAATTGTTCTGCAGGTATTTATAGGATAACGTGAAATCCAAGTCCTGACTTCCAGTGCACTCCAGAATGTGTGATTATTTTTAATATAGATAAATACAAATGATTTCTTGCCTCTATCTGGTTCTGATATATAATTTTTCACTATTTTTTTCATCAAGAGCAGGAGTGTCCTGTCAGATAATTGTCATCTGACTTCCACGTCTATACTTGCCGCTCAAAACTTTCTGACTAGTCCTTTTCCTTTATACTGACATCCCTGCTGGGTCAAAAAAAAATCAAGCATCCTCACTAAATCCATCTGCTGCCTCTGTTACTTCAACAACCTGGAATTCTCCTGGGCAGAAAGGTAAGCAGGGCCTCTTTGGAGCTGAACTGGCTTCGAGGTGACATGCTTGGCAACGGAATGAAAGAATCCCCCTTCTGTGGCAGGCTCAGTAGTCTATTTCCTAAGTCAGGTGGGTCCACAGTACCCCAGGGCACTGCTAATGACAGCCTAGCCACCTTGGCTCATCGCAGGCCTTGGAAGGGCAGACCGGGTTCTTCCCATTCAGCTCCTATTAACCCAGCAAGCCAAATATGAATAAAATAATGCCAAATTTAAAAAGCAGATAGCAGCTTAACAGTTTTTTTTATCTAACTGAATAGATAAAGAGAAAGCTATGGAAGTTCTATATATAGATTTCCAGAATGGAATTTAATAAGGTGCCATAAAAGAGTTGTGTGATATATAGGGAACTATGAATGGAGTAACAACTGAATTACACAAAGCAGAGACAATAGAAAATTGCATTTGTATAGCACTTCATATATGCTAATGTCTAAGTGCTTTGCAAGAACAGGGTTAAACGCCAAGGAGAGAGAGAGTGAGGGCGAGGTGGTTAGGCACATTTGAAAAAGTAGATTTTGAGGTTAGACTTAAGACAGAAAGAAATGTAACAAGATAGAGGGAGGAGATTCCAGAGGCTTGGGGCAAACAAACTGAAGCTTGGCCACCAATGATGGTGCAGGGACACCTGGGAAGCCAGGACGCCCGAGTTAAAGGAGGCGAGCAGAGGATTAGGGTAGAAGATCAGAAAGATAAAGAGGTGCAAGGATCTATATAGATTTGTAGATAAGGATGAGGACCTTGATACTGATCCACTGAGAGACAGCAGTGACTGGAGTGATAGGTGTATGGGGTCTGGTGCAAATGAGAATGTTGGTGACGGAGTTTTGGATAAGTTTCAGCTTGTAAATGGTGGAGGGAAGGAGACCATGAAGGTGTGCAATAGAAAAGTTTAAATTATGTGAACGAATGTTTCAAAGCCATTGGATGTAATTAGGGGAGGAGGTGGGCTAAGGAAAGTGATCTTGGTCAGGTGTTGGAATATAACAATATAAGGAATTTATAATGGAATATTATTCAGGATTATGTTATGCAAACATGTATAAAATGTGTGATTTTAAATGTTGATAGTCATGGGATAGGACACATTTGGTTTTCTCTGTTTCTTAAGGAATAACAAGATAGCTTTGAAAAAGAGCAGGAGGTCACCACTTATCAGTAGATTACAACAAGCCCACAGAGGTAACGGTCTAAGGTACCGGTCGACACAGAATCTCAGTTCAACAATAAGTCTCTAGATTCTGACAGGGCCTTCAAAACAACCGAAGGCAACCCTCAAGGATAGCAACTAACGAGCAAGTTGTTTAAACTGAAGGATTTTGGTACCAACCCGGGATACTGATAAGAGATAACCATTCACTTAAAAGGAATGTACTAATGATCCCATATAACAAAATAATGAGCACCAGATACAGCCCTAAACTGATGAATCATTTGGCTTAGACAGGACAAAGGGAAGACCTCGTGGAGAATCAAGTCAGGATGGCACCAAGCCAAAAGGTCGATTAACCTAAGTACATGACAGTATCAGAAATGGATAGAGGGGCCCTAGGAAAAAAAACACTTGGAAAAAGGGTATAACTAGCCGACCTCTTGGTGAGATCGGTTAGAAGAGCAGAATGACTCCAGAGGGAGATAACCAGAGATCAGAGGGATACCATAAGTTTGTGAGTATATCACTAAGCTGTTCGGGCTCAAGAGAAGGAAGATGAAGAACTGCTGCTGCTGACTCCTTTAAACTGGAAGTATGAGTATTTCTTAACTGCATGTAACCAATGTGTTTTTAATATATTATAGTCAAGTTTCAGTTAGGTAACCCATCTGATATGGAAAAAGAACTCAAGGCACTCAAGGATGCCACAGAGGAAAGTTGCAATGCCATACATATTACAATCAGCATGGTTGCCAAACAGATATAAAAACATAGTTATTAAATCTCAGCAGCCAGATAAATGGCATACAAGGATCCTTAAGGATAAATCACTGAACACCAAGATTGCTTCCAAGATTCCTTCCCAGTTACATTAACAGAAGAAGAAAATAAGCAAAGGAAAAAAAAGTTACAGCCCAAGATTGGGTCACACCCTCAAACAAAAGGTTTAAGAAGGGAGCTCTATCTCTGCACATCCATCTTTTCCAGATTTTCCTCTCACATGCTCAAGCCCCCAGCTTTATACTGGCGCTCAATTATCCATAAGAGCTGGTGCCCAATTATCACAAACTCTAATGAAGCCTGATCGGAGTCCAGCCCTTGTTAGCACCCTTTAACATAGGTTGATCACCACTAACCATGAAAGGCAGTGACATGGTTTATCCTCGGATCACACTGTCATTTATTGGATTATTTTCGACACATAATCTTAAAACCCAGAGATGCGAGTGGAGCAAACTGAGCCAGCCTGACACGCAATGTCAATGTAATATCCATTGTGATATCTGATTGCTGTGACATTTTGTAACACATTTACAAATCAGCAATATCATCCTTGAATATAATCAAGGATCTCAAATCATTCTTCTTGTTCCATATGGTGCTGCATAAATACAATATGTGAGTCATATATACCTGTGCTGTGGTCCATATCTTCCCATAACCTACAGTTGGTAGCACTCTCACCTCCAAGTCAGAAGCTTGTGAGATCTTGAACTCACATAGTCTAGTTAGGGAACGCAACAATGTCAACAATTTCAAAGAGCTGTTTTTGATGAGATGAGATGACTTTGACTGTAAGCAGGTAAGCTGATCTCGACCGATAGCCCCGATAGCCCTGTTGAAATATATTGACTATCACCTCAGGATACATTGGTATATTTCAAACTGCAACCGAATGTTCCAAAAGGTTTGATAGTTTAATGGTTAAAAGTAGCTTTGCTGGACCAGTTGAGGTCAGCTTCTGATTAAACGGCTACAGTCTCAATACCTACCTATCTCAAAGCTGAGAAACAAGCAGGCTGTGACTCCACTGTTTTCCCATCACACAGAGGATACAGTTCAAGATCCTGGTTCTCACCTTCAAAGCCCTCATGGCCTCGCTCCCCCTTACTTCTGCGAACTCCTAATCCCTTACCATCCTGCCCGCTCCCTCCATTCAGCGGGCTCCAGCCTGCTTCTTGTGTCCTACCTCACCCAACCCACCATTAGTGGGCGGGCCTTCAGCTACTCTGCCCCCACCCTCTAGAACGCCATCCCACAGTTCATAGTCTATTTTAATAAACCTCTGGCGCTAATCTTCTCAGAGTACCTGAACATTTCCAAGGCGTTTCCATCTGCATTCTCTTCTGTATTTGGAACCACAGTAATTACCCAGTTTGGAAACTGACAAGTTCTGAATTCTGTTTAGTTTTACTACGCTGAACTTCCACTGCAGTGCTAGGGATTGCTGCATTGTCAGAGATGCTAGCCTTCGAATGAGATGTTAAACTGAAGTCCAATGTGCCTGTTCAGGTGGACATTGAAGAGCATTAATTTCTCCTGGTGTCCTGGCCAGCAATCCCCCAGATATAATTGGTCATTCGCTTCATGATTTCGCCCACAAAATGTACAGTCAATTCATTTTACAGTATACTGTGTGAAGCACTCTCTACCCCCTCCTCCCTCCCTCCCTTCCCTCCCCTCACCCTGACCATTTCCCTCCTGCTCGGGTCCCGACCCAACTGTCCAGCGCCTTGGGACGTCCTCCCGACGTGAAAGGCGCTCTATAAATGAAATCTTGTTGTTGTTTCGACGATGTGATAAGACGTGACGTCAAATCCAAGTATTATTATTAGAGTAAGTCGCCTTCCAGTGGAAATACAGCCTCACCATTTATACCACATCAAAGCCTTTCATTCCCTCAATTGCCTTAATGAAAAGAAAATTGCACTCCCCATAAAGAGATTGAAGTGTGAGCACTGGTGGTGGGTGCGATGGAGTCCTGTAGCTCAGTGGTTAGAGCACTCGCTTTGCAAGCGAGAGACCCGAGTTCAATTCCAGGCAGAGGGTGTAACCTTGGGCAAGTTTCCTTACTCCACACAGAGCCTAATAATAATCCCTCCAAAAAAAAAACAATAATAAATTGGTCATTTTCAATCCATACGACTGTTTGTGGGACATTGCTGTGCGCAATTGGCTGCCGCGTTCGCCCACAAATATACAGTCGATTCGCTTTACAGTGTGTTCTGTGAAGCGCTTTGGGACGTCCTCCCGACGTGAAAAGCGCTATATCAAATGCAAGGATTATTATTATTATTATGATGATGATTATGATTATTATAGGGTGTGCAGCTGCTGCTCAGTGTGTGGCTGCAGCAGTCACTCAGCAGAGGCGGGGTGGGGGGGGGGTGTGCGCATGCTCGGTGTGTGTCTTGCGCTGAGAGGGGGTCTCGGGCAGTGAGTGCAGCCGCGGCCCCACTGTCAGCCCAGGAGCCGCTTCCCCTCCGCACACACCCGCCGCCGCCACAGCCACCGCCACCGACCATGGCTTCCCCTTTGAAAGTGTGCGTTATTGGTTCTGGGAACTGGTGAGTTGGGGCCGAGTTGTTGCTGCGTTAGTGTGTGGCGGCTCTGAGCTCTGGTGCAGCTGCATTTCCAGGGACCCCAGTGCAGCCCCAGTGCAGCCCCAGTGCAGCCCTCCCTCCCTCTCCCTCTCTCTCCCCATTCAGACTTGTTGCATCTTCCCTGTGTTGCATACACTGTGGCTGTTGTCTCTGTGCATTAGGTGGTTATTTGTTCCCTGTGCAGTTTGTTTATCTGTCCCCAAGACTGGTCCATGGCCTGCCATGTACTCTCACTGTGTGCATCTTTCTGTTGCATGTGGTTAGTTTGCAGGGCTTCTGTGGACAGAGATCTTCAGTGGGGGACAGAGATGTATTTCTAAGCTTAGAATTGCCTTTATCAATGTGCAGTGCGACTCCGGCATTTGTTAGCAGAATTGTGCACCTTGCACCTGCATTTCAGTCTGTGCCATTTTGTCCAGATTGTAAGCTGCTATGTTGTCAAAGTTACCTGTAGGTGTTTTTTTTTATTCTTATGCGTAGAAGGTGTCTTCCGATCTATCTTTCTAAACCTACTCCGGTGCTTGCTTATTTGAATTTAAGAGAACTCTCTCTCTGTTTCTGAACGCCAATTCGTATTTCCTTTCTTAGTGAGCAGGCACTAAGTTAATCCGAAACCTCTGTAATAGTGTTCTAACCTACCGTGTGCAAGATTGTTTCTTCAATCCATATGTTTAAGCAAAAATAGTTGAGGTTGGATTTCTTTCTTTGTTTTCAGGGTGTTAGCCTGGCTCTGTTGTTAGTGCTTCACCTCCGAGTTCAAAAGGTTGTGAGTTGAAGCCCCACACAGGATTTTGAACTCTCAGTCCAGGCTGGTCCTACAATGCAGTTTAGGGGAGCACTGCATTGTCAGTGGTGCCTTCGTTCAGATGAGATGTTAAGCTGATATCTCGGCTATCAGTTCAGGTGGATGTTAAGAATCCCGTAGAACTACTTGAAAAGAGAGGGGAGTTTCTCCCAGTGTCCTTATAATAATAATAATCCTTGCATTTGATATAGCGCTTTTCAAGTCAGGAGGACGTCCCAAAGCGCTTCACAGAACACACTGTAAAGTGAATTGACTGTATATTTGTGGGCGAACGCGGCTGCCGATTGCGCACAGCAATGTCCCACAAACAGTCGTAGATTGAAAATAACCAATTTTCAGTTGTCAGTAAATCCCCAGTTAAAATTGGGCATTAACTTGACGGCTGCTTGCGGGACATTACTGTGTGCAAATCCGCTGCTGCACCTCCCTACAATATCCAGTTAATGCGCTTCACAGTAAAATCCTGTAAATGGGCTTTGAGATGTCTCAGTGACATGATAAGGTGCTATGTATCAATGCAATGATTATTATTATATATTTCTGTCTCCTGTGATGGCCTGGCTGAGTTTGGGAAGTTTATGTGGGAAATTATATCTGGGGACCTGCACTTTAATTCACCATTACTAGGCAGTCACTGAAGTGTCACAGACCTAATGCTCCAACAGGCTTGAAAGTCCACCAATTTTCTTGTGAGCCTTACCAAGAATGTTCAGCTATTCAGTTGTATTTCAGGGGCCTGAGTTTTGAAACACAGTACTCTACATACTTCGTTTAAGTACAGCAAGCTCCTGATAACTGAACGCTGGCTTAACTTGTCACTAGCACTTAAGTCACCATGCTGTCAATATCCCAGACACATTTATTTATGTATTTATACATATGCCTAACTTGCCACTCTGGATAATTTGTCACTGAGCTGTTTTCCCTTGGAGTGATGAGTTATCAGGAGTTTACTGTATGTTTTAATCAACTTGATTATATAAGTGTCTCTGGTACTCTTTACTAAAGGAAAAGATTACAGTGAAGAAGAGGCAAAATTGCTTTCTTCTTTTAGATTCATGATATAAAAGTTTCAAAAATTTGCAGTGTTATGGGAGAAATCTTTTTATAGGAGAAATTCATGTCCCCAACCTCTGGAGATCTTAGATGCCACAACAGCTTTCAGTCATAGATTCAGTCCGCAAATTGCTTCCATTGAGTTCCTGCCAAATCTGTCGCGTCACGTTTATCGACTCTGGCTCGTCTCCTCACTGCAGACGTTTCACAGTTAGGTAGAGTGATGGAAGCAGCAGTGAGTCCATATTATCTGTCCCAATGGAATGCACTGACTACCAACCAGTATCAAATGATTAAGCTAGTAATACCCAGCTGCATTTGTCGCCCCAACCTTTTAACAAATGTCAGTCCTTGAATGTATGGGCTTTCAATGACCTTTTCCATGAAACAAAATTGTAAGCACTAAAAATGTATATTTCAATATAGCAATAAATGTAGCAAATGTAGAGTCATTATGCAAGTATATTTTTCTAATACAGTTCTTTTAATTTCTCTAAATCTGTACCTTGTGCTTGTTGCCACTTGCAGTCTTATTCACCTAGAAATGTTTAGCGTCTTGTTCAAAGTGTACAGTTAAATGTTACTCAAGGCAATAATGTCATGGTTAGCTGCAAAATTAGCACCCTAAAAATGAGACGTCATCTCTTTAAATGTACCGAGTGGTTTTTTTGATTGTCTCAATACCTCAGGGCATTATATAAGGATTATTTCTAGCCAAAGTTATTCTTGAGGTGAACATTCATTTAAAATTGAAAAGAGCTGCACGTTTAAGTGTATAGTTTTGCAGTTAAATATGGAAGACAATAATGTACATTTAATAAATATACAAATCATATTACATTTGAAAGCTACTGGTTTTAGTTTGTCAGCATAGCTCAGGTGGTTGCAATCTTGCCTCAGCGTTTGGGAGATGCTGTCCTTTTGATGAGATGTTAAATCAATATCCCATCCACCTGTTCAGGTGGATGCTAATGATTCCATGACACTATTGGAAAAGAATAAGAGTTTCCTCCTTCAAGGCCGGTCTCAATACCTTTCTCTTTGACCGTGCCTTCAGCTCCCCTCTCGACTCTCTACCCACTCCTCGCTCCCTCCCTTCCCTCCCCCTGACCATTTCCCCCCTTGCTCGGGTCCTGACCCAACTGTACAGCGCCTTGGGACGTCCTCCCGACATGAAAGGCGCTCAATAAATGGATTCTTGTTGTTGTGTTGTTGTTGTTCCTTCAGTGTCCTGGCTACCATTCCTGCAAATAAGTTCATTTCATCTGGAGTGCCGTAGGGTGGTGGGTAGCATGCTCGTTTCGCAAGCGAGGGGACCCAGTTTAGATTCCCAGATGAGGTTTAACCTTAGGCAAGTTTCCTTACTCCACACCCCTCTGTTTACATAGCAGTAAGTAGGAACCAATTGTGAGTCAATTGGCAGATCATTTTCTGGGGGTAATAATCCCTCAAAAAAAATTGGGTCACTCAATCCATGACTGTTTGTGGGACACTGTTGTGCTCAATTGGCTTCTGGTTTTGCCCACAAAGTACAGTCAATCCACTTTACAATATATTCTGTGAAGTGCTCTGAGACGTATCAATGACGCGTTAAGGCGCTTTTTCAAATGCAAAGATTATTATTATTTTATGGATGATTGTGAGGAAATAGCTTTGCGGAAATTGGCTGCCGCAATAGTCTACAATTGCAGTCACTCCTCTTTACAGCAGATATTTGTTTTGATTTTAATAGACACTAAGCAGAGACACTAAGCACTAAGACACTGTAATCTAAACAGTATAAGATGTCTGTGTTTCAAAACTTTCAACAGTGTTATTGTAATTATGTAGGATCACTTTCAGTTTCTTTACTTAGTTGCATTTCTTATTGCCGCGCATATTGTAGCTAATTTTTGCTCTTTTAAAACACAGTACACAATTTCGCTCCTATTCAACATTGCTGTGTTGAACCATATTTTGTGACCGTTCCCCCAGTGTAGATTTCAGCTTGTTTTAGGTGTCAGCCTGGCTCAGTTGGTAGCACAATTGCATTCATATAGGATTTTTCATGTGGGGGGGTGTCTGGATATTCCAGGTTTTGTACCCGAACTGTGGTTTAAATTCGGAAGGGGTGGCAGCCAAAGGATGTGGGGGTAGGAAGATGACCCAAGATGTGTTCAAGCTCCACATGGGGACTTTAGTTCATGGCTATAGGCTTTAATGCAATGCTGTAGGAGTGCTGCATGGTTCTTATTAGTTCCTATTCCAGGTTAATCCTGAAGGCGAAGGGCAACCCCAGGCTCCTGTTCTCCACCACCAACTGGCTCCTCTGCCCTCCTCGCCACGCCTCGCAGATTCTTTCCTCTGACTCCCACTGCAAGAAAATGCTGGACTTCCTCGAGTCCAAAATCGAGGGAATCCGCTCAGCTGCCACTGCCCTCCCAACTTCCACCCCCTCCCTACCCCCCACCCACACTCTGACCACTACCCATCCCTCCTTCCACACCTTTGAACCTGTCACCCCCTCCTCTGTCTTCACCACCATATCCTCCATGAAGCCCACCACCTGCTCCCTGGACCCCATCCCCACCCCTCTCCTTAAATCCCAGCTCCACCTCCTTGCCCCACTACTCGCCGACATCATCAACCTCTCCCTGTCATCTGTTCCTTCCCCCCTCAAAATAGCCACTATCAACCCCACCTTGAAGAAACCTTCTCTTGACCCATCACAGCTATCCAGCTACAGGCCCTTCTCCAACCTCCCTTTCCTGTCCAAGGTCCTTGAGAGAGCCGTTGCCTCCCAGCTTCACTCTTTCCTCTCCTCCCACTCTCTCTATGAGCCCTTCCAATCGGGTTTCCTTGCTGCCCACAGCACGGAAACTACTCTGGCCAAGGTCACAAACGACATCCTGACCATGTGTGACCAGGGCTCCCTCGTCCTCCTCGACCTCTCCACCGTGTTTGACACTGTGGATGATTCAATCCTCCTCCACTGCCTCTCCTTCCACCTCAACCTTCAAGGTTCTGTCCTTGACTGGTTCATTTCCTACCTTTCACACCGCCTCCACTTTATTGCGTCAAACGGTTTCTCCTCCAGCCCCTGCACCATCTCGTGCAGTGTCCCTCAGGGCTGTGTCCTCGGTTCCCTCCTCTTCACCCTCTACATGCTCACCCTTGGTGACATCATCCACAGACATGGGGTAGATGATGCCCAACTCTACCTCTCTGCCCCTACCCTGAACTCCAAAACTACTGGCGTCCTGACTAACTCCCTGTCCGACATCAAGTCCTGGACGAGGAACAACGTTCTCCAACTCAACGTCAGGAAGACCGAGGCCCTCCTGATTTTCTCACGCCAGTGCCTCCGCACCTCGGGCACTGGCAGCATCAGCCTCCACGGCTGCAATCTCAACCTCACTAAGCCAGTCAGGAACCTGGGTGTCTTGTTTGACCCTGAACTGTCCTTTCTCCCCCACATCCACGCCATGACCGGCACTGCCTACCACCACCTCCACAACATTGCCAGACTCCGCCACTGCCTCACCCCTCAGGCTGCCAAAACCCTCACCCACGCATTCGTCACATCAAGGCTCGATTATGGAAACTCCCTCCTCATCGGCCTTCCCAACTCTTCCCTTCACAAGCTGCAGATCATCCAAAACTCTGCAGCTCGTGTACTCTCGCGCACCAGGCTGTGTGACCCCATCACTCCCACCCTCTCCCGACTCCACTGGCTCCCCATCCCTCAGAGGATCGAATTCAAGATCCTCGTCCTCACTTTCAAGGCCATCCATGGCCTCGCCCCCTCCTACCTCTCTGACCTGTTGACTCCCTACCAACCTGCCCGCTCCCTCCATTCAGTGGGCTCCGGCTGCTCCATGTCTCCCGCCCGACCCACCCTATCATCGGTGGTCGGGCTTTCAGCCTCTCTGCCTCCACACTCTGGAACTCTATCCCACAGTTCCTTCACCTTCACCTCGCTTCCTCCCTTGCCTCCGTCAAGGCCGTTCTCAAGACCCTTCTCTTTGATCGTGCCTTCGGTCGCCCGCCCACCTTTCTGCCTTCCCTCACCCCTACCCCTCCCCTCCCCCATGCTCAGGTCTCGATCCCTGACTGTCCAGGGCTTTGGGACATCCTCCCGACATGAAAGGCACTCTATAAATGTAATTTGGTTGTTGTTGGAAATGCCATCCTTCGGATGGGATGTTAAAGTGATGTTCAGGTGGTGGTTAAAGATCCCATTGAAATGCCAGTTTCTCACTGTGTCCTGACCAATATTCCTCTGAATAAAATTGGTCATTCACTTCATGGCTATTTGGAGAACATTACCCTGTATAAATTTGTTGTTGTGTTCACCTACAAGATGCAAAGTTACTAACTTTTATATAAAAATATAATGAAGATACAGTCAAAAACCTTTATAGAAAAATCCTGTGAAGCACTTTGGGATGTTCTTGATGTCATAGGTGCCTTGGTGACATCCTCCCGATGTGAAAGGCACTATACAAACGTAATTTTGTTGTTGGTATAGATGCTATATCAAATGCAAATTTTATTTAAGAATTTTCATTAGAAGTGTACTTTTGTTTTTCTTTCTTGTGTATCATTTGTTAAATGTAACTTTAGAATCAGAGCGGTCAGCTAAGATGGATTTGTGGAGGGCATTGAATCCTCACTCAGCATCCCTACGTTACCAGCTGGATTGTGATCGGAAGTGGGAACCTGGATCAATGTTGTTTTCTCTCCCAATCTTACGATTATCAATCTAGAGAATCTTAGCTCATTTATTTTATCTCCAATGCAACCCCCATCCCCACCCCCCCAACAATATTATCAAAATATGTGTTGTGTATTTGTGTAAAGGGTAAAGATAGGTTGTACACTGGATGACAAAGGCAAGATATTCACTGGATGAGGCCATTTTGTTTTCAGTTGCTTTTGCTCAGTAAATTGCAGTTCATTCAAATATCCTCATTTCACCCTTAAAAGAATGTCTAATGTGGTCTCCTTATGATTTTTTTATGCATTAAAAAAGCTGTCTTACATTCCTACATTTTACCTGTTTCCACAGGGGGTCTGCAATTGCCAAAATTGTTGGAAAGAATGCAGAAAAGGCTGAGAAGTTTTCCAAAACGGTGAAGATGTGGGTTTTTGAGGAGATGGTTAACGGAAGGAAACTGACTGATATTATAAACCAAGAACATGAAAACATTAAATATCTTCCTGGTTACAAGCTGCCCAAAAATGTGGTAAGGTTATTCTCATTTAATAAAGACACAGATTTCAGTTAACCTATCAAATATAAGTCAATATTAACGTCTACCAGAATCTTTAAAACTCTAGGTTGTGGTGGTGCTGCACTCGTTTCATACTGAATAGAATTGTAGAAGGAAGTTCTCTTCTATTCACCATTGTTGTTCAGCTATATTTTGTTCCCTTCCAACAGCAGCAAACCCCTTGGTTATGTTGAGATCTCATTTTAAGGCTTCCAACCACTGTTATAACACCACTATGTTATAACTAGGTGTGCTGCTGACTTTCATTTCCAATCTGAATACTACCTGGTAGTGGTTATAGAGTAAAATTCACATAACTCTTACCTTTAAAAAATCGTATATTTGCCTAAGTAGTACATGCATCAGAGTCCCAATCAGTTTCCTATCAAAACCACTTAGATTTCTTTGCACTGGTTGTGTTTGTCATCTCTTAACTTGTAACATCGTTCCTAAATCCTCCATTACTCCCACACTTACCGCTTACATTGAATCACAGGAAATGATGTCCAGATCGGTCACCGCATGTGCACTTACCGGCTGGCTGATTGAATTGCAGAAAACATACTCTTGATCTATCACCACATGTACAGTTGAACTTCATTTCCACGATTCAGTATGATTCCAATGCTTGTTGCTTAGTGCACATGTGGCGATGGATCAAGATGTATTGAATCGCGGGACACATAGTCTTGACCCATTGCCGTATGCCCAGAGAGAAAGTACAGCATGCACACTGAATTACTCATAGCCTGTTTAGATTATTGATTAAATCGATTTTATACGACTTCTACAGTTTGTCTGTACTCAGCCTTCACGTAAGTCATATTAAATATTATGGTTTTAACTAATACAGCTTATGTGAGCTTTACTGTATTATTAAGCATAACAAGGTGCAATATATTTTCTGTCTAAAAATCCACTATGCTATTTATTGCAGGTTGCTGTTCCAGACTTGAAGGAAGCTGTAGATGGTGCCGATCTATTGGTGTTTGTCGTTCCTCATCAATTCATTCGTAAGCTCTGTGATACGATTACTGGTCACGTGCCACAAAAAGCACTTGGTATAAGCCTTATAAAGGTACTTAAATAAAAAAATGTTACTCTGTCAATTTACATGGTCATTGTCACACACCAATGGGTTGTTTTGCTCCTTACCTATGGAGGGGGAAGTTTGTTGATGTTCCTTATCAGCAGTGTAGTTTATCTGGGGTGCATTGACCCCATTTGTGATTAACTCAGCAACTTCTTAGTTCAACTTCTTTGGTTGCTAGTCACTCGCCTGTTTACCTGTCAGCTCATTAGCAGGAAATATTGGATTCTCTTCAGTCTGATGACCTGGGCTTTATTAATGTTAGGCCTTGGCTGTCTTCACCCATTTTCCATTGTACTCGTCTAAGATACCATTTTTCCATCTCCCTTAACACCTTTGATTTCTCTTGTCTGAATAATGTTGGCATGTTTTACTTCTGTCTGAAACTACTTTTATTTACAACCCTTTTTTTAACATTTCACAATCTACAGTGTATTATAAGTATCATTATCTCAAGGTTACTGATTATCAACTGTTAACGTTTTCCTTATGCATTTTGTTTCCTGGGTATGGCCTTATTTGCCTTTTATATGTGCTGCAAAGTTGTTAACGCTGAGGAAGGATCATACCAACATGTTAACTTTTCTTTCCCTTTTAGATACAGTAAACCTCACATAAGTCATATCAGTTGGGACCAGACATTTAATATGACTTATGGAAAGTTTGAGTTATTTCAAACTTGCATAGGATATAAACTCTTGAACAAGACTTGGGCAGATGTAAGACTTTGGCGATTATATGATTCATATAGACCAGACTTTTGCGAGTTTTACTGTATCAATTTTTGACTGGTTTTCCTGGTTTATTTCCATTTTACAAAATTCTTAGTTTTTTTTAATTTTAGTTAATTGAAAGGTATTTTTTGGCACAAAATCAGTGCTGCCTAGTATCTGACTCTGATAAAATACCAGAAGCTACATTATCTCAAAAAGTCATCAGTTTCTTAAATACTATTGGGATATAGAAAATTGGTTAACGACTGAATGATTGCAAAGAAAAAATGGAATGCAATAATCAAACGTCTTAGCAGTAAAGCACTGCCTGAAGCATTAAGGAACCAAACAATAACTTGGATGGACAATCGCCAAGCAATTCCTTCCATAGAAAGAGAGAAAGTATCTCCCCAGACACTCAACAATATGGTAAGTAAAATGCATTATTTGTAACTAATCTCCCTGTAATGTTACAAGTATTCTGAAACTACTGCTCATAAGGTTTACTATAATCAACTTTTTAATAGGCTCTGAAGTAAACCTGTAATTACACAAGGAAATGCATATTTTTCATACCTGTGTTGATGTAAACTGCATCATTTATCAGTAGCCTTTCAACAGTAGTCTTGTTTTTTGTGGATGTGAAATCAACATAATTGATGGAACTAAGTACTTTATTTCTCTATAGGTGAATGCTTTTCATCCAACTCGGATGCATCTTCCTTGCAAGGTTATAAGCATCTCAGAGGGAGACTGAAACGAGGCCTGTGAGGACATTGAATCCTTGGGCAAGAAGACAGTCAATTGTGGCCAAAAGAGACATGCCACCCTGAGAGCCGAATGCACTAATTGCTGTCATGCAATTGATGGACTTTTCATCTATCTGCAGATCCTTTACACTGAGGTATACTGTGAACTAGGTGCCTCCAAAAGACCAAGGGACAGGGCAGCCATGGTAGCTGCTGACCCTTTCATAACCCACTACTGTCCCGCAGCTAAGTAATGGTATCCAATTGCTTAATCGGCCAATTTGGAGTCTGGTAATGCCCAGATACACACCAACATGGTTACTGTTGGAAGAAGATATTGGTTGGAGAGCCAGTTGGCTGACTTGCCTGTTGCAAAGACAGAATCAGCCTCCACTCTGTTTAGGGTTGTGGCCTTTCAAAGATATTTTTAAGTTGACTGAGCGTTTGCCGGTTTCTGGGATTGAGTTCTGTGTGCACTGTGGTCCTAATCCAAACGTCTCCAGAAGGATTTTTAGAATACTGAGCTCTTCTGAAGGTCTATATAAATGTGACTAAGTGACTGTCCCAGCACAACTTGTGTTGCATGTCAGCCTAGCTCATTTGGTACCGCTCACAAATCGGGTTCAACTACATTGGGACTTTGAATTCACAGTCTACCCTGACATTGCAGTGCTGGAAGAGTGTTGTGTTGTTATAGGTGCCATCCTTCAGATGATGTGTTAAAAGTGAGGTGCTATCTGCCTGTTCAGGTGTATGTAAAGATCCTATGGTACTATTCAATGTTAAGTTTTGGTCGGCTCTTTGTCAGATATGTACTTAAACCCACCACCATGCTTTAGGGTATCCAAACCAGACTCCATATGTGGAGTGTTCCATGTATATGTGTTACCAACCATGGACATGTCTCTTATCTAGAATGGAATGTACTCTCTCTCCCTGGAGCAACACAACCCACTTACCTAACTCTTACCTAGCCAGTCTGCCCCTCTAAATCTTGCCAATGAGTAAGGCTGGATGGGCTGTCTTCAGCAGTGGAGTAACTTGGAGTAACTGCAGTTCCACCTAGCTGAGGAACCAAACTACCAAAATAACAGAGGGTTGACTTGATTCTGATATTCCATTGCCAAACTTGTCGACAGGACGTCCGCTAAACTCTAAGGTGGATAGTCACTAATTATTTGTTATTTGAAAAGAGAAGGGAGTTTCTCCCATTGTCCTGGCAAACAATCCCTCAAATAAAATAAAATTGGTCAATCATTTCATGCTTTTTGTAGGACATTGTGCACATAAAAATATATTCACTAAACTTTAAAGAGAAAATTCAATTCAATACATCTTGACCCATTGGCACACGTGCACTTACCGGCAAGCATTGGAATTACATTGAATTGTGGGAAATAAGTTGTTCTGCACATGCGTCAACAGATCAAGGCTATATTTCTCATGAGTCAATGCAACCAGTAACTATGGGAGTATAGGGGAGCAATGTTATCAGTTAGGAGGTGATCAATATGAATAGTGCAAGGAAATCTATCGCGGTTTTGATAGGAAACTGAATGAGACTCAGGTAAATGTACGACTTAGGCGATTATATGATTCATAAAGATGAGACTTATATGAATTTTCTGTATTCCAGCTCCGCCACTGTCTCACACTGCAGGGCGCTGAGACCCTCCTACACGCATTCACAACATCCAGGCTTGACAATGCAAACTCCCTGTTTGTCAGCCTCCCGAGCTCCTCCCTACGTAGGCTGCAGATCATCCAGAATTCTGCAGCTGTGTCCACTCCCGTACCAGGCTCTGTGAAACTATCGCCCACTTCCTTGCCCGACTCCACTGACTTCCCATCACACAGGTTACGGTTCAAAATCTTGGTCCTCACCTACAAAGCCCTTCATAGCCTTGCTCCCCCTGCCTGCCTGCTTCATGTCCCTCGCCATTGGTGGGCGGGTCTTCTGCCACTTTGCCCCCACCTTCTGGAACTCCCATCTGCCTTGCCCCCTCCCTTGCCTCCTTCAGGACCCGTCTCAAGACCCTCCTCTTCGACCGTGCCTTCGATTACCTTCGTTCTCCCACCCCCTGGCCTCCACCTTCCCTGATCCCGACCCCCAGCTCGGGTCTGAAACGCTGATTGTCCAGTGTCTTGGGATATCCTCCCTAGGTGAAAGGCGCTATACAAACATAATTTTGTTGTTATATCTAATGTAAGGATTATTATTGTAGGAATCTTTAAAATAACCTTTGCATTTAATAAACCACCTTTTACATTGGGAGACGTCTTGAAGAGCTTCACAGGATTTACTGTAAAGTGTAGTATCTGTATTTTGTAGGTGAATATAGCAGCCAATTTGTTCACAGCAATAAATAATAATAATAATCCTTGCATTTGATATAGCGCCTTGTCATGTCATTGAGATGTCTCAAAGCACTTCACAGAAAATACTGCAAAGTGAATTGACTGTATATTATGTGGGCGAAACGTGGCAGCCAATTGCGCACAGCAGTGTCCCACAAACAGTGGTGGATTGAGTGACCAACTTTTTAAATTATTTTGGGGAAGGAATTATTACCCCTGGAAACACAATCCGCCAATCAACTAACAACCGGGTTCCTACTTACAGCTAGGTAAACAGAGGCATGTGTGTGAAGTAAGGAAACTTGACTAAGGTTTTGCCCTGCCCGGGAATCAAATGGTCAGGCTGACACCTAAATAACATTCGTATCAATTGTATAGAAGGGATTAATTTGGTCAAGGTACCAAATTTCAGTGTCTGGTTAGCTGAAGCAAAGAGCTTTTCTGCTGGCAACTTATTAGGGTTACAAAGAGGTCAGTTTGATATTAACTAGGCATGAAGTAAAAGCAAACCGAACCAGTCTGTAAAAGATGGAGTAAAATAATTAACCAAAATCAATACTCACACAGAGGCAATATTTGTCACCTGTGACAACGTAGTAGGTGAGATTGATTACAAGCCTTTATGAACCCAATAATATCCACTGTTATATGTTTACCACTTGCAACTTTTTCACAACCTGTTACCTAATATCCCAATATCCAACAGGTATGCTAATGGTGAGTTCTGTGGAGAGAGGGAGATTCAAGATTTGAGAAACCGGCTGATTCGAAAAAGACCAGCTCTGAATACCGATACCAATAGCTGAGCAGATGGCAAACTGATTCTCAACAGATTGGGCCTGATAAAATTTGAATGGATTTTGTCCAGATGTATGTAGAGACTCACAAAACTCAGTTTTGCTACGAAAGCAAGATCGTTTGAAGACTCTCGTTAAACAGAAACAAAAAGGCTACAACGACATCTTGCATTCATACAATACCCTTCATGCAGGTAGCTTCTCAGATCGCTTAGACTAGAGACTGAGGGCGAGAGACTCCCATTACCAAACATTGTTACCTGTTAACTGATAAAGAACAGCGACAAGCAGAAAGACCTAAGATACAAAGAAGACACTCTAAAGGGACAATTGCAGTCAAAGGGAGAGATGACTCAAGGGGCTTTGCTAACTAAAGTGAGAGGTGATCCAGATAAGACTATGCAGTAAAGACCTGAGAAAGCTACACCAATGATAATAAAAGGTTATAATGTTTACAAGCTTTTATGAGCCTAATCGTATCCAATGTTATATGTTAACACTTGCATCTTTTATACAACTATAGTGAATAAAAGACATTCTATTTTGTGTCGTCAAAGTACTTGACTTTCTCTTAGTTAATAAAGGGTTTAATGCCTGTTAGATCAAATGAGCTTCTGAAACATTTTTATCCTGAAAGGGAATCTTATGTCTGCACGTGTATCTCAACAGGAACAGCCTCCTAAAGGAATTAGTGACAGGAGAAGTAACTGTCAGGTAGGGATGTGTTTCAGAGCTGTGAGCAGAAAGATGGTGGCTGTGCTGTTACACATGTCATGCAAAGTCACCATGAGGCTTGCAAGGAGTTCCTGGTATCTGCTATATACCTAGAAAGGGTTCAAACCTGAACTTGTTGGATGTTTAATGACTCGTTTGGGGGAGCGGGCTTAAGAAAGCAAGATCTCTTTGGTGCTGAGCTGGCCTCAAGGTGAGGTGTCTGGCAATAGAATATTAGAGTTGAGGTGGGTGGTCTTGGTAATCTATGTCTTCTGCAACACTCTAATGTACTGTTGAGGACAGTCCAGCCAGCCCAGTTTGTTGGCAAATCTTGGAGTAGACCATACTCGGGGCAGGGAATCTTCCCATTTGGTTCCAGTTGTCGCTGCAAGCCCAAACCTTAATGAATAGGGTTGACCTAACTGGACAAGTAACAGTAAGCTTGCCAGACAATGCTTGTAATGGCAAGCTATGCAGATTTAGCTGGTTTAAAGCAGCAGTACCCCAGTACACACTCTGGGGTCTCCAAGCTTTGATTCCTGCCAACCTACACCTAATCCTTTTTGAGTTTAGTAGAATGCAATTCCCCATGGAGAGAATGCACACTCAGTTCCAAATGAAAGGGAAATTTCAATGCATATGTGGCATGTATATGTGGAAATCTGTCTGGGTTGGGTATTCTTTAAGTACGGAGATGGAATTCTGAATGTGTCAGTCACCCGGCTGACTTAAAAATCGATCTGTCTTTGTTAACATGTACTGTTTACACTGTAATCTTAACTCAAAGCAATGCTGGGTATATCCTCTTGAATCTTAAACTCGTTGAGACAGTCTGATGATCAATTGGTGACTGGTTCACTTTAGGATCAGTACAAGTGAGGGTTGCAATTATGCGGGATTGGGAAGGGTTGGAAATGGTTGCTTATGATTTGCAAAATTTTGCATTTGGGACTGTCACCTATTCATTTGAAGTTTTAATGACTACTTACCCGATAGGTGAAGGCTGAGAGTAGCCCATTGGTGTGGTAACTGTTGTAAAGTAGATCTGTCTTACCTCTGGTGTTTGTTTAAGCCAAAGCAGCCAGCAAGTTAGTAAATACGCATGAAAGACAGGGTTTGCCTGTTGGCTCAGTGAGATTTATGCATTGAGCAACTGATCCACACAGAGTAGGAAAGTCTCAATTTGATTCCCGGTTTGTGTGGGTTAGGTAATATCATTTGGGGTAGCAGTGACACACAGCAATTGACCGGAGTTCAGCTAGGAGTCCTACTCTTGATCACCATCACTTCACTGATCAGCAAGCCCTGTTTAAGATGTGCACAAATATTGTTGAGGACAGGGTCATGCTTGGCTGTTGTGCACTCCCGCATGGTCGAAAAGCCTGACAATGTTAAAATAGTGACTTGCGTGAGGACCCAAGGACAACAGGCACCCGAGGAACTACCTCAGCACAAAATTGATGTGTTCAAAAGCGACAAGAAAATTGCTGTGAAAGAGATATTAGAAATTTTAAATCCAGCTGTGGCTGATAGACGATATTTATTGAGCAAAAATCTGTTGTTGGCATGTACACTCACCAAGCCAAAATTAAAGAATACAATATTGTCTAGGCCTGTGTGTTCATTACAAATATTTACTGACTTCGAAATCCAGTGGCTGTTACGTGGATAATGCTGAAATCTATAAATTGCGAAAAAGACTGTAAATCCATACAAAATATCTTCCTGAATAGTTTTCAATCGCTCTGAAATTTGCAGTGTTGTTTTTTCCCTACTCGTTGATTTCTCGTTTTAATTTTTTGTTAATTTACACTTGATTCCAGGGAATTGATGAAGGGCCTGAGGGACTAAAATTGATTTCTGATATAATCAGGGAGAAAATGAAAATAGATGTCAGTGTGTTAATGGGGGCCAATATAGCTAATGAGGTTGCAGCGGAACAGTTCTGTGAAACCACAATAGGTAAATCTGTTTTACTTTTTCAGCTGTTGTGCTTTCAGTGGCAGAAGAATTTTGACAATTTAAGTTTCTGTGGTGTGTTAAATTTGTTAACCTTTAAGTTAAGGAACTTGCTTGTAGGTTGCACGATTTGAAATTATTATTTTTTTTAAACTCGCATTGCTTGTTGCTGGGTAAGTGGTGCCAGAAAGATTTTGCAATTCTGATTTTTTCTGAACTTGTAGAGTTATTTTTTTTGAAGGTCTGACTTCTCTCTGATCCCCTGCATCATTCATCACCAGCTCCAGAGAGCGTGGATGACCCATTCTCGGATCCACCATTGACCAACTGGGAGTTGGGGCTGAGAATATTATGCTAGTGCCTTGGGATGACGTTGCCTCTTGCGTTTCACTGGTCATGTTCCTCCCCGTAGAGCCGCTCGAGTTGCAACCCAAGTTACTGGATGGGAGAGGAGTCCCAGTATTCCCCATTTCTGTGAATCTGTGGGTTCAAATCACAAAATTAATCGCTCCCTTGGTGAAGTAGCACAGCCATTTAGACCACCTTCAGTCTCCAGTCTGTGCTGAATTAGCTGATCTTGAATCGATGAGGGCACTACATTTTGCCTTCTGTCCCTGGAAAATAATTAAAAATTTAAATCCTGATCTCAATCTAGTGATCACTCTAGGAAATTGCCTCTATATCCTGACAGGTGAGGAGGATCTGTGATATCCTCCATGGTCAACTAGCTTGCCTATGCTTGAGATCTAAATACTGTGACTAATTTACTAGGTACCTTATATAGTAAATCTGGGAATGTTACTATTGAGGCACTTGTTCAAGCAACTTGGGATCACCCTTGTTAATGTATGAGTGAGTGATTGAACTCATGGGTAAAATGAAACCTATATTCAACTTAGAATATTGTAAAGTATATAGAAGCAATCAAAGGAGAACATTTGCATAGGCAAAACAAAGGTTTATTTGTAAATTGTAAATTTGCCTTTCATGTCTCAAAATGCTGGAGAGGGGGTGGAGTTGGGGGAGGGGGGAACCTTTACCTACCTGATTCAACAAACCATATGTATTGGAAGTGAATTGGTACTTGAGCAAACGCATTCTTGTGACTTTCCCAGCAATTGGCTGCTCATTAGCTGGCATGTAGCATGGTGTTAATTTTCACTTGGTCTGTGCAAGTTTTGTTTAGTTGAATGAATGATTTTGCATTTTTACAGCATATATGACCTCAACGCCTTGTGTAATGTAATGATATATTTCTGATGTGATTTTCATTGCTCATCCATTGTTAGGAAATGCAGATGGCATGTTGTACATTTTTGAAGAAGCTATTACTGGAATCAAAGTTTCTTAATCATTTTCTGGTTATGTTTGTGTAACAACAACAAATTGCATTTGTATAGTGCCTTTCACGTCGGGAGGATGTCTCAAAGCACTGGACGGTCAAGGATTTGGACTCAAACTGGGGGTTGGGATCTGGCGTAGAAAGGACAATTGAGGGTCAAACAAAGTGGCCAAGGTTCTGGACTGGTTCAGTGAAGTGGAGTGTGCATCCATGAATGGTGATGGTGTCAGATCCCGAGGTGTGGAGATGCTGACAGAAGCCAAGCAGGAAGGCCTTGGACTTGTTGACATCATGGAGTCCTGTAGCTCAGTGGTTAGAGCACTTGCTTTGCAAGTGAGAGACCTGAGTTCAATTCCAGGCAGGGCGAAACATTGGGCAAGTTTCCTTACTCCACACGCCTAATAATAATCCTTCCAAAAACAATAATAAATTGGTCATTTTCAATCTACGACTGTTTGTGGGACATTGCTATGCGCAATTGGCTGCCGCGTTCGCCCACAAATATGCAGTCAATTCACTTTACAGTGTGTTCTGTGAAGCGCTTTGGGATGTCCTCCCAACGTGAAAATCGCTATATCAAATGCAAGGATTATTATTAACTGTAGAAAGTTAGCTCCCATTCAAGACGATATCTGACAGACAATCCGTCAGGCCAGAAATGTTTATACTCTGCTTTTCATCTTTGGACTCGACTCTGTTATTCACCAATTCAGCAATAAAGAGCTTAATGTTTAAATATTTGGCAGATTTGGCAAAAAAAAGTACAACCTGACTTATACTGTATTTCCTAATTATATTTATAGGATGTGACCTTTCCTAGGGTTAAGTTCGGCGGGTGAAGAGAGATTACAGTAGCAATGAGGGATTAGCAGACCGATCTATTTTAATACCATGGAACACATCAGCAAAAACCTAGCTGAAAGGTCAAGTTGTGTTGCAGGCCTAAGCTGAAGTGTTCAGCTCTGACAGACTATAGCTTCTACACTGAAGTCAATATTACTTCTGCACCAAAGAAACAAATTATTATTATAATAATAATACTTGCATTTGATATAGTGCCTCATCATGTAATTGAGACGTCTCAAGGCACATCACAGAATATATTGCAAAGTGGATTGACTATATTTTGTGGGCGAAACGAGGAAGCCAATTGCACACAGCAGTGCTCCACAAACAGTCAACTTCATTATTTAAACAATAAATTATATTATCTATGGATTGCTAGGGGTAACTACTATTCCTACTGCTTTATCTGTGCTTTCTCTTCAATGCTACATTTCATCAGAATATTACTGTAGTACAGAGCCTGATATCCGTATTATTTGAGACCAGCCCCTTTGTGAATATGATAATAGTGTGGATATCAGTACATCACAAAAAACAATACAGTAATAACCAAAACATCTTCATGAAGAATCATGCTATCACAATAGCGCCACACAGTGACATCCCTTCTCTCTCACAACAACGACTGTTCTCTTCTGCTCCCCCCAGTAGCAACACTTTCTTTCTCTCACTCACCGAATAGAGCCTGTCCGCTCTCTGTCTCTGTTAGCCCCTGAATCGTATCCATAAATAGATATTTCTGAGCACCCCAACTGAGAAAATCCCGCATCTTGTAAAATGGTTGCTCAATCGCAGCACAAACCACATTGCAGTTGTGTTGACAAGTTGCTATTTGCTGTGAAAGGATAGAGTACTCATCTGGATTAAGGCCTTTGACAATTCAGTGTTAAATCCACTGACTATACTGAGCCATTCAAACCTGGAGGAATTTAGCTTTGATTTCCTGGTTTGATGGCAGCCGCACTGGTACAATTGGTCTCAGTGCTTAGGGTTAGAAAGGGGGAAACATCAGCCAGGCTCCTGCTCATACTGCTATCAGATGGCTATTACAGGAGATGTGTGTTTATTGACGTTAGGTGACAACAGTTTTGATGTCTCATTTTTACCCCTCTCCCTCTGCATTGGGTCAAATAGTATGTCAACATTCAATAACTAGACTCCACGTGAAGAATGATCAATGGGGCAAGATAGTGAAAAATGATCATAGCTTATAAAACTCAGCCACTTCTCAGTGGATCATGCACTGCTATTCAAGATTGAGGCAAACCTTTCAATGATACAATTACTGTGAATTTAATGTCCTACTATCCTATAATTCTTTGCAATTCACATGAACCATTTTGCTGACTTCATGTACTCTAGAATGTGCAGCTATTTAAGGTTGTAACAGAGCCTAATTCCTGGGGTTATTAATATACTCACTTCTTCTGTCAGGCACCAAAAATCTGCAAAACGGCTACATCTTCAAAGAGCTCTTGCAGACTTCCAATTTCCGGATTACTGTGGTAGAGGATGCAGATACTGTGGAATTATGTGGTGCACTAAAGGTAAATATAATGAATACATTTTTTACATGGCTCCTTTCACATAAAGATCACAAATAATAATCCTTGCAACAATCTTTCACAAAGGGAGCGTACAGGAATTTAGATTATAATAATAAAATAACCCTTGCATTTGATACCGTGTCATTTGAAATGTTTCAAAACGCTTTACAGAATTTACTGTTAAGTGTAGTAACTGAATATGTATAAGCAAATCTGGTGGCTAATTTATGCACACAATGTCCCACAAGCAGTCATGAAGTGAATGACCAATTTTATATGGGGGAGATTTAAGTGGTGGTGGGGATAGGGAGTCAGGGGAAGTTACATTGCAATGCTTTATGGAATACCTAACCTAAACTCCCAAATTTAATCTACCCCCATTTTGAGACTTTGTACATCGATTGAGAAGATGGATCTTGAGAAAAGTAATTTAGTTATCCCTTGTTAAATTCCACTTGGTTTTAGAAGGAATCAGCGTTGTGTAGAGTTGCAGGTAAAATCATTCAAGTGTTAGTAGCATAGTGGAAGTCAAAACATTGGGAAATTTGAAGATAGCTTGTTCTGTGGTCGCAGAGTGTAATGAGATGTACATCCCATTTAGAGTGTCAATAGCTTATGTTTGACTTTCTTTTGACAGAACGTGGTTGCGGTTGGTGCTGGTTTCTGCGATGGCATGCAATGTGGTGATAACACCAAAGCTGCAGTGATTCGGCTTGGCTTGATGGAGATGATTGCATTCGCCAAGCTCTTTTGCAAAGGAGTAGTGTCTACCACCACTTTCCTAGAGAGCTGTGGAGTTGCGGATCTCATCACAACCTGCTATGGGGGACGGAATCGCAAGGTTGCAGAAGCTTTTGTGAAAACTGGAAAGGTAAAGCAAACTTTGGTCACTTGCAAATCCTATTGAAGGTAATAACTATTTTGAAAAGCATGAAACTGTATTAGTTTAATTTACCCCATTTTGAGACTTTGTACATCAATTGAGAAGATGGATACCTGAGAAAAGTAATTTAGTTAACCCTTGTTACAACATATTTGTATGTATAAATACCTATACCTATACCCTTGATATCGTTTGCTGGTAAAAGCATTTATGCGTTGACACCAAAACCTCCATGGCTTAGTTTTATAGAGCAGTGCTTAAAAAAAATCCTTGCATTTAATGCATCGCTTTATTGTTGAAACATCGCTTTTTTTTACAATAATTACTGTTAAGTATAGGAGTATGCCTTTGTAAGTGAATGTGATAGCCACTTTGCATACAGGAAATGTCTCACAGAATCAGGAACAATTTATTTTGGAAGGATTGTTGCCTAGAACAGCAGGTGAAACTTCCTTTCCAAATAGTGCCATGGATCCTTTAACATCCATCTGAACATATAGCCAAGACCTTGGTAATAACAAGAATAAGCTGCATTTAAATAGCGTCCTTCTTGTGGGGTAGCGCCTCAGAGCACTTAAATGCGCAGTAAGTAAAGCTGGGAAATATTTGATGCCCTGCAGACTATAGAGGCACTGGAAATGGAAATGCTGAATGGCCAGAAGCTCCAGGGACCCCAGACATCAGGAGAAGTGCACCACATTCTTAAACAGAAGCAAATGGTGGATAGGTAAGTCCCGTTTGTTTTTATCTCCATTCCTCTTTCTCTCTCCCCTTCAACCCCTCCCCCCCCTTTTAAATCTGGAAGATACTGATTTGTGCTGAGTTTCCATGAGCGACCAATGTTTTGCATGAGCCTGGACCATGAGTATCAGTAGGTCATTTAACCAACGGGAACAAGAATGTGGAGCCAACCCCATCCTTCACCAATTTCTAAATGTGCAAACCTTCCCACAGGGGACATTAGAGTGATCAAAACCACACTTCAAATTGAGGTTAGAATTCAGATCTGAGAACTTACCAGACTGCCTGCCTTATGAATTAATTTGCTTGAATTAATTGGCAGGAGTAGTTTGGAGACCACACTTAAATTGTGTAAATGTACACTATTATCACCCTAAATTTCTTCCTCTCCCCCCACCCTCCCAAAATAAAGCTGCAATCTACTTTGGTCTGCCAAAAGGTCATTGAACTGAAACGTTAACTAATTTTCCTCTCTCATGGATGCTGCCTGACCTGCTGCGTATTTATACCAGATTTCCACAGTACTTGCCTTTCTTTTCTACTTTGGCCTAGCTGCTCATCATCCTCCTGAGATTAGCAGAGAAAAGAGTAAATGTTTATAGTCAGTCCTTTGGAGCTGGTAGCTGGGGAGTTCCATTTTACACTGCAGAATTTCACAACTTTTATTTTCTTATTTGTTATCAACATATCCCGTTAAGAAATGCTGCAAATGTTTTAAACTGCTCAATTCTGATGAAGTGAAGAATTATTTAGGCATTTACTACAGTACAGTAACTTATTTTATTAAGGGTGTTATAATGAAGAACTGAACTATTACTTTGTGATTTTTCATTAGATAGACAAGAAAGGAAATGTAGTTATTTTGCAGTATTCACGTATACCTTTTTCTTCAAGACTCTATGCGTAATTGCTGTGCTTAACTGTGTTGTATGCTTCTGCTGATCGTTTGTTTCCCTTCTTGCTCAACTGACACAAACATTTTTTCTGCTTGCTTTCTTGTTGTAGGTTCCCTTTGTTCTCGGCGGTATATCAGATTTGCTATGAAGGCAAACCAGTGAAAGAACTGCTAACGTGCCTGCAAAGTCACCCAGAACACATGTAAAACAGAGCTACTATGGATTATGTGCAATGTTCCTCTTTACTTAAGTTGAATGCGACTAAATAGTAACATATGGATAAAACTTGCTAAAGGAGGGCGTGTGTGAGTAGCTATGAAATATATTATACAGTACCTACCAGCTGCATCAGTCAGTAAGTGGCATGTGCATTATATTTTCAATTGATGCACTAAAAGATCAATGGTTAGTTCAAAATGCCATTATAGACAAAAAAGTGACATGCATAATTGTTAATTCACGTGCCTATTCAAGATGGCGTTAACCTGAAGGACAGTTTGCATTGTTATTGAGGATTAAATTTGGATACTTTGTGCACTTAGTTCTTTATCATTATCTACCGTTAGTTTAGAACAACAACAACTTGCATTTATATTCATGCAGGTAGCGTCTCTGAGTACTTAAATTGGTTTAGCTTAAAATATCATGTTTAAAGCATCAAGCAGCTTTCAGGAGATCAGATGTCAGTGACTGTTGTCCACGACAAACAGTTTACTCCTTTCCCAAAATATACTAGACTTTTTAAATGTTTGCAGTTTTGTCAGATTTATCTTATTTTTAATGCAAAGATGTGGAAGTGTATCAAGTTAGGATGTTGTGCTTTCCTGCTGGAGCATGGTAATATCCACAGTAACTGCACACTTTTGCGGTTCTAACGCTGAAGCTGACTCCACGTTACATGGTCCAGATGGCTATTGTAATACAATATCCCTTCCAGAAGCTGCATTTATGCCAGTCCCATCTACACCATGTGACGTGGAGACAGTCAAGCTGCCATACTTATTTCAGATTTCACAGCAGAGGTTCGGATGATGTACACATTTCATTTCAACCTTTCAAAATTCCAACTCTATCTATTACATTGTGACATATTATTTCTTGAAACGGTTCAATTACTTGGCCTCAGCCAACGTGTACCCTCCTGACCTACTGTTTGATATATTTGAAAGTACTGTTTTTCGTTTACTCTTCTGAATCCCATTTTATATTGCTGCCATGGTGTCCGCATTTGAGAAACACTTTGACCTAGTGTCTTCATGAAGCCCTTATAGAGAAGTTGGAATCTATGGGAGTACATGGCCAAAATTTGTATTTTATCTGGAATGTGTATTCCAGCTCTTAAGGTCTGTATAGGATTTGATGGTAGATTCACTGAGCGTATCCCTCTCAAAAGGAGGATAAGACAAGGTTACCAGCTGTCACCTACCCTATTCAATGTACTAATCAAAGATGTATTCAATAGCATCAAGAGGGATGGACTTGGTGTCTGGTATTTTCAATAGATTTGTAGCCCTGCTATTTGCAAAAGTGTGTTATTGGTAGACTCACCTAGAGATCTAATGCCTATACTCACCAACAGACTATGCAATGTCAAAATAACCATGTACAAACTAATGAATAACATTAAATTGAAAGTGTTCTACAGATTTACTTTGGAACAACTTTGCTGTAACCACAGATGCCTAGTTCTCTGTAATTGCCTTTTAACCACAAGCTGGGTGTTTTTGCACACCTTTCTCTCATAGGCAAATTTGCTTTCTGCAGTTGTAATCTTACCTAGGAATACTTTCAGATACATCAAGTTAGCAGGAAAATAGAACATTGTGTTTGGGGTTCTTTTAAGGACTCTTTTAAGACAGATACCAAGAAGTGTTTCTTCACGCACCGGATAATTAACAGTCAGACACATTAACGGTGGTGTGAGGCCAGGACCCTGTGCTCATTTAAGAAATAGCTTGATTCTGTAATGGGAAGATGACAAATTGGAGGTATTCTGGAAGGATGGAATGAAATGTGTTGAATGGGTGTGGGAGAGGGAACAAAAGAGGGAAAAATATTTTGCTGAATTCTTTTGAGGTACGTTTCACCCACAAAATATAGTCAGTTCACTTTACAGTATATTCGGCATAGAGCTTTGAGACCTCTCGAAGACGTGATAAGACGTGATATATCAAATGCAAGGATGATTATTATTATTGTTATTAATTGGCATAAGATTGTATTTGTGGTATATTTGAGTGCCTTTCATAATTTGAGGCAGTGCTGATAAATTTGTCTGCTTATTACAGTACACTGAGTCATAGTGTTATAAACACTTCTCTGGAAGAATACAAGAGAAAGATAAAGCATAATGTTACACTGGAGAAAAATATTCTTAAAAACGTATTGAATAAGTAAGGTGCGCATTGAAGAACATATCTCTTCAAGTCTATCTATATTTTATTTAAAAAGTTTTTTTTTAAAAAAACAATGAATTCTTGTTCCTTCTCTGTACTTATAAACTTTGTGGAAAAAGATTTCAATGAAAATATTTTACACTTAGTAATATCTAATAAGCGTTTACACTGCCAAGGAATAAACATTGTGATCATTGGGCTATCAGGCTTGTGTTAGGTCTGACAATAAAGATTAAAATTGTGCTGGAATGTGTCCTTTTTAATTGTATTTTGAATCCGTCTTACAACAGATGTGAGAAAAGAAGTGTATTTTTGAAAACTGACAAAATGCACCTAATAATTCTTTAATTGCAATAATTGTCATGTCTAGATAGTAGTCTACATGTGGAAAAGTACATCTAACCACCATTGGATGCCCTTTAAAGACATTTTACTCCGATGCCAGCTGAAGATAGAAAAAGGCAATATTTTACAAGGCTGAACTTTATGGCATCGGTTGATCTTTTCAGGACGATTGATTTGATCTTTAAGGGAAGGGGTTGAGCCATGTTTAGAAGGTATTTAATTTCTGATGGGTTTGAATTACAGCAGATGCTGAGTTATCAAAGAGTGACTGACTCTTTAAATTCATGGCTTACCAGAACCTTGTAAATGGAACACATTGTTTTAGAATGACCCCAATTCCCCATTCCTGGCCCCTAATTTATTATAACTGGTTAAAAAGATTATTAATGAATCAGGATGATGGACAAAGTTATGAGCTTAAAGCTTGTGAACAAAAGCTTTTCAGGAACTGAAGATGTCACTGTAGTGGAAATCTAATAAGCTACAAGGCAAATGTTATTTAACCCTTTGAAAAATGAAGAAGGCTTTTGTTCAGTAAGGGAGAAGGTTCCCTTTTCCCTTCTACTAGCCACATAAATACTATTACAGATCACAATGAGCCACCTGTATTTCAATAGAGTCAGTCAGGAACCTAGGCGTCTTGTTCGACCCTCAACTGTCCTTTCTCCCCCACATCTGTGCCATGACCCTCTTTGCCTTCCCCACTTCTTCCATTGCCCGACTCCACCACTGCCTCACCTCTCAGACCGCCAAAACCCTCATACAACCAGGCTCGACTATGCCGACTCCTTGCTTGTTGGCCTCCCCCAACTCTTCCCTCCACAAGCTGCAGATCATCCAGAACTCTGCAGCTTGTGTTTTCTCCCACATCAGGCTCCGTGACCCCATCACCCCCACCGTCACCCGGCTCCACTGGCTCCCCATCCCTCAGAGGATCGAGTTCAAAATTCTCATCCCCACCTTCAAGGTCCTCCATGGCCTCGCCCTCTCCGACTCTCTCCGACCTGCTAACTCTTTATCAACCTGTCCACTCCCTCCACTCAGCAGGCTCCGGTCTGATCCATGTTCCTCAGCTAGCCCGACCCGCCCCAACATTGGCGGTCGGGTCTTCAGCCTCTGCCCCCACCCTTTGGAACTCTATCCCACATTCCCTTTGCCTTGCTCCCTCCCTTGCTTCCTTCAAGACCCTCCTCTTCGACCGTGCCTTCAGCCGCTCTCCTACCCTCTCTGCCCTCCACCCTCTCTGTTCCCAAACCCCCCACCGCTCAGGTCCTAATCCCTGACTGTTCAGCGTCCTCCCAACGTGAACGGCACTTTACAAATGTAATATCGTATTGTAAAGGTTATTTCAGGATAAATCTCTACCTAATGGTGAGGATTCAGAAATACGAAGTATCTAAACAAAATATACTCTATTTTGAACATTACAAACACCCTGGGCAAAACACTCAGTGGATAAATGTGCTGTAAGGTTTCCTGCTAAGTTGTACAGAACAGGGATATTCCCGATTTGAGATTCAGTTTCTGTGATGCAGTTGATCTCAGGCAAGTTGCTGGGGAATGGGGGGAAATCAACCAGAATCCTTGCACTTTTGATTGCTACCTAGTGTTCCCTGCTGAAAGCTGTGCTGTGTGTGTCCAGCAAAGACAGGATCAGGCTTATCTATGATGTACCCACAATCATAGCCTGCCAACACTGTACAGGCTCACTAGAGGGTGCCTGGTGCACATATAACCATACCCAGGCATGCAATAGCAGGAGTATAAAAATAGACATCTGACTTCTATACTTGAAAATCCTTGCTTTTTTCATGGCAGAGAGGAAGTCCCAAAGCACTTCACAAGATTTATTGAGAAGTCAAGCGACTGTATATTTTGTAGGCAATCGAAAGAAACTCCCTTCAATTTTCAAATAGTGCCATGAGATCTTTATCCTGAACAGGCAGACAGGGCCTCGGTTTAACGTCTCACCCAAAGGACAATACCTCCGTCAATGGAACACACCCCCAGCACTTTATTGGAGTGTAATCTTAGACTGTGCGAGTTCAAGTCCTGATGTGGAGTTTGCACCTTGGGATATCCTCCTGGCGTGAAAGGCCAATTGCAATTTGTTGCTTTCAGTAATTCAAGAGGGCCTTTAAATGCAATTTACCTTCTGACTGAGAGGCGAGAGTGCTACCAACTGAGGCAAGTTGCCGCACTTAGTTTTAATTCACAACAAAATAATTTTAAAAGGATTAACGTAAGAGCTCCTGCATACTGTAGGATATCAGGGACTAAATTTGACATGGTCAGAGCCTCAAGATTAATACTGAATCTAAATTGATCTACAATTTTGCACAAAATTAAACTTGTTAAGGCAAAATAGTCTTGCAGGCTAAGACAAGATGGAATTCCGGGCCTCTAGTGCTCATCTTTAACTTGGTAAAGGGAACCTGAGGGGTACTTGCCCCCTACAATAATACCCCTTTCTCTTCTAATTGTTCAAGATAATATCTTATGTGAGTCACTATTATCCATCTCAGGCTGTCACCAATGGCTGTCAGCAAATGCGCAAACAGATCCTCTGAGCCACTGAATGCAGTGAGGAGAAAACAAGCAAAACATTTTTTAAAAAGAAAATGTGTATTACTTCAACACACAAAACAATTGCAAATTGCTCTGCTTTCCTTCTCCTCTGCAACCTCGCCTGCCTCTGTCACAACCTCTGCCTGCAGACTGCTGAGACCCTCATCCACATCCTCATTGCCTCCTCGTTCCATTATTCCCAACACCCTGCTCACTGGACTCCCTGGCCCCCCTAGACACAGGTTGGGCAGACTACCCAGAACTCTGTTTACGTAGGATTTAAAATAAAGATACTGGATCTGCCTTTTTTATTATCAAAACAGAAGGAAAAGTGTTTTGCACTTTGGATTTCTATGTTTTAAAACATAAAATTCTTCATTAAATTGCAATCAAATTTTAATGCTCTTCTTAGATATTTACTTTGCTGTAAGTCACTAAGTAATGAAACAAGTCTGAAGTTATTTTCACAGGTGAACAGACTGAGCTGAGTCATTGTACTTGTAGCCGGAAAAATGAGAGATAAAGATAAAGAGTTGTGAAAATCTGCAGGTATTTTTATGAGGAGTGGGTAGAGAGTCGAGAGGGGAGCTGAAGGCACGGTCAAAGAGAAAGGTCTTGAGACCGGCCTTGAAGGAGGAAAGGGAGGAGGCGGCGAAGGCACTGGGGGATAGAGTTCCAGAGCCTCGGGGCTGAGAGGCTGAAGGCCCGGCCACCGATGGTAGGGCGGTTGGGGCGGGGGATGTGGAGCAGACTGGAGCCAGAGGAACGGAGGGTACGGGCAGGTAAGTAGGGGGATAGTAGGTCGGAGAGAGCAAGGCCATGAATGGCCTTGTAGGTGAGGATGAGGATCTTCAATTCAATCCTCTGGGGGATGGGGAGCCAGTGGAGGCGAGCGAGGGTGGGAGTGATGTGGTCGCGTAGTCTGGTGCGGGATAGTACACGAGCTGCAGAGTTCTGAATGACCTGCAGCTTGTGGAGGGAGGTGGCGGGAAGGCCGGCGAGGAGAGAGTTCCCATAGTCCAGCCTTGAGGTGATAAAGGTGTGGACCAGAGTTTCAGCAGCGTGAGGGGTGAGGTAGTGCCGTAGTCTGGCAATGTTCCGGAGGTGATGGAAGGCGGTGCCAGTTGTGGCGCGGATGTGGGGAAGAAAGGACAGCTCAGGGTCGAACAGAACCCCGAGGTTCCTGACTGGCTTTGAGAGGTGGAGAGTGCAGCCTTGGATGCTGTCAGCGCCTGAGGTGCGGAGCCGCTGACGTGAGCCAATCAGGAGGGCCTCGGTTTTGCGGACGTTTTGCTGAAGCAAGTTGTCTCTCATCCAGGACTCGATGTCGGACAGGCAGACTGTCAGGACATCGGCGGTCGTGGAGTTGAGGGTAGAGGAGGAAAGGTAGAGTTGGGTGTCATCCGCATACATGTGGAAGTTAACCCCATGTCTCGGATGATGTCACCAAGGGGGAGCATATAGAGGGTGAAGAGGAGGGGACCAAGGACAGAGCCCTGAGGGACACCGCACGAGACAGTGCGGGAGCTGGAGGAGAAGCTGTTTGTGGAAACAAAATGAAGATTGTGGGAGAGGGATGACCTAAACCACTCAAGAACAGGGCCTTGAAGGTTGAGATGGGAGGACAAGCGGTGGAGGAGGTAGCATGGTCGACCGTATCGAATGCGGCCGATAGGTCGAG